CCCATTGTGTTTGTTGGAATTTGCTAGCCGCTTTTTGCGTCGTCGTGCTGCTGTGTGCCTGGTGTGCCTGATGTGCCTGGTGCGTTAGTCAAGCTTTTAGTAGCTTCAAGCCATGAGACGGAGGACCGTCTTTTACTGCTTGAAGCCTTCTTGACCTCGTTATCCATGTCGTCTAATATCTTTGAGAAGTACTCTTGGGCGTCTTGCTGTGTGAAGGTACTCATCGACTTGAGCTTCCCGGGTATCCAAAAGTGTTTCCCGAGATTTGCTGGATCATTGAGGTTGTCGATCAGTTCATGGAGTGCGCCGTTGGTGGAGTCGGCAGTAAGCGAAGGATGTTCAGCGGTTATTGTGGCAAGGTAATGGCGTAGAGAAGGCAAGGCGGCAAGACCCTGAATAACACTGTTCTGGTAGCAAGAGTTGCTGAGGTTCCCGAGGCCAGGCGGAACGTTGCTGGGTCCGCTCGACAAGGCGTTTGTGAAGCGGGTGACGCCCTTGTGAAGCAAGCTTTGGCTGTGAGAGCCGAAGATGAGTCCCAACAAGCCGCTTGCTTTCCGCATCGTGTTTTCGGCCGGCTCGGTCTCGGACTGGTCGATGGAGGCGTGGGACGACGGTAGCACACCGACAGACATGTCAACAAGCTGCGCGACGCGGGAACGAATAGGGAAACCGGCAAGCTCGAGCGCCTTGAAGAGAGCGTATGCGCCAAAGACGGTTGTGAGCAGAATCCAAGTGAGGGAAGTGCTGGACGTCGGTGCCGTCCACGGCCGATGCGGCGGATGTGGAGCGTCGAACGCGTAGTGGCCGTAGTCGCTCATAGCGCTGTACGAAGCGAAGAATGTGGTATTGGTGGGGTCGAGGATGGATGATGGTACAATGTTCGGGGCGGCAGACGGGTCTTTCAACCTTTGGGCCAGCGCATAGATTGTGTCGGGCAGAGCAAACGCGGTGGCGTTGAGTTTGCCTGCGACATGGAGAGGCGGGAGGGGAGACGGCGACGCGGCAGGAGGGGGTAGTGATGAGCGAAGGCGGTGGTGGTGGTGGTAGTCAAGCAATCAATGTGTTGAAGAGAGGGCTTGTCATGGTCTCGTCTGCCATCGGGGGAAGGAGCGGAGATGGCCTAAACGGGCCTGGCGCGAAGAGTGGAGCCCGAAATTTGGTCTTCGCGACGGCACTGCGGATAGCGTGGTGGCATGTCACGATGCACACGACAGAAGCTTGTATTTGAAAATCACAGAAACAAAATGGCCAAGACAGCAAAGATCAAGAAGCGGGGTACGTCCACGAAGAGACCGCAGAGACAGCAGAGACAGCAGAGACATTCACTGCCACCGGCATGCCGCGACTAACCCACCTCCAGAAGTCACGGTGCACTCGCGTGCTGCCCGCCGCGCCGCCTCGCCCTCAATCGACCTGGACAAGAAGCTCAAGCAGACGACGCGCGACTCGACGTCTCCCTCCCGGCCGTCGCAGGTGAAGCCACACGCCCTCGCCGCCCAGAATGGCGGCATCCAGAAGAAGCAGAAAAAGGGCAACATGACCCGCGCGCAACGGCTGCGGCACCAAAAAGGCCTCGAGCGCGCAGCAGACGTCATGGACAAGCGCCAGGTCAAGGTCGTCAAGAGCCTCGGCAAGGAGCGCAACATCAAGGAGCGCAGCAAGGGCTGGGAAGACGTCAACGGCGACGGCAAGAAGCGCAAGAAGACGACCGGCCTCGACGACGCTGACGAGCACGACGCCGACGGCAAGGATGACCGCGAGTGGGTCAGCGACGAAGAAATGGACGACACGGTCGCTGCTGCTGCTGCTGCTGCTGCTGCTGCTGCTGCTGCTGCTGCGCCCGAGCCTGCAGCCGCTGTCGCAGAGAGCATACCGCTGCCCGTTGTAGAGGATGAGCTGCTGTAGAGTGTGGTTGAGCAAAGTGTGCATTTCATTAGCACGCCTCAGTCAGCCGGCGCCCGTCATGATAGTTACGACTTATGATACCCAAATCTATCGAGACAAACACATCTGTCTCCTTTTACCCGCCTATCACCCTTCACTGGGGCAGGAGCATTCCGTCGCACTCGTTCACTTCCTTCGGACGCACTCTGCCCAGCATGCATAGATACGGGTGACATTGATGCTGGAGATACATACAGTACAGTACATTTGGCCTTCAAGCTGTTCCTCGCCCTCGCCGCGTCATCCTGATCAGTCACGGATACGCATGGTCTCCTCTGGAATTTCCGTTGCTGTCAGAAAAGGCTAGCCCGCAGGCATGAGGTGGTAAGAGAGGTGGGCGTGTCCCAATCTTGATCTGAAGACATCTTCTCTTTCCACGGGTCATTGGCTTCATCTTCGTGATCAACCTCATCTTCATCATCCAAGTAGGGGGCGTAATACCCATAATCATCATCGTCATCATCGTCGTGCGGATCGCCGCCACCGCGAACTGACACCATGGGAGGATTCCTCATGTCAGTTGCGTTATCAAACATGGCGTCTGCTGCACACAAATTGCAAGAGCACACTGAATCGGCTAGCTCTTCGTTTGCGGTGTCAGGTCTGTAGTCGAACGAGTTGATAATGTGGGCGAGTTGAATGAACCGATCATCCTTGCTGTGCTGGGGCATAGTACGTACCGGAGTAACTCGCTTGTCGTCCTGTGCACGTGGTACAAACTCGACGTAGTCGTCGCTATCAAAGGTCTCCCACGCAGCAATTCTGACAGCATTGTCGGCCATGGTATGTGCCTGGTGGCTTTCTGGGATGCCGACGAGGACCACGTCGTCGAGCAGGGACTCGGGGAGATCGATGCCCATCCTGTCTCGAATCTCTATGATGTCTCGTACCCTGGCGGCACACGTATCTATCTCCAGATCATTATCGTGTTGATGGTTCAGAATCTTTCGAACATCCTGTAGCTTTGTGCCTTGGGGGAACTGAAGAATCTGTGCGGAACTTCCTGGTAGGACTATGACTGAGCGCAGGGGATAGAAGTAAAAATACATAGCTAGTGTCCTGTCCGCAGTCATCTTCTCACTCGATGTCGTCTGCAACTCTTTGACGGCGGGGCTGAAAAGGACACGGGAATCTCGTGAAGCTCCTTTGTTTGGGGTCGGATTTGCAGGTCTCTGTACCTCCATCTCCTTACCTTTATATTGGTCCTTCTCCTCCCTCTTCTCCATCGACTTATTCAAGAAGCCTAGCTCCATCAATGCATCCGCCTTTTCTTCCTCAGCTGTGTCCAATTCATCTTCCAGACTCGTGAGCATATTGATGTTCCATCTCAAATCCTCAACGACGCTGTTGTACATCTCCTTGAGATCTTCGAACTGTCGCTCAAGATATGTATTCCGCATTCGCAAAATACCAGCGACGCTGATCCAAGCCATGGTGCAAGCTGACGTTTGTTCCTTCCCACAGGTTTCCAGCGTGTTACGAACCAGCTGATCGTAGATACTGTCAAACTCTTCTGCCAGGCGGGTATACGATTCCGATGGTGCCTGGATGGGAGTAAGTATCTTAGCACATCCGCCACCTCTCATCGTAAGCTCTTGTTCCTCGATTGAGGTCTGGGGTTGAGGCATAAGGCTCTGATCAGTCACAATATACATCTCGCCCTGACCTTCTGGTGCCCATAAGTCCTCATCGAGAAGACCAAGCTGAGCAATTGCCTGCCTCACGCCATGGTCATGCTCTACCTCGAAAAGGCAGGTAGCCTCGCTGCCATGGCCGTATTTCTTCGAATGATTGAGCTCAATGCTCTTCCAGGTATCATTATCGCAGGCATCTCCGCGGAGGAAATGGCAGACAATGATCGGAGTTTCAAAAACGTGTTTGTCGGGGCAACAATCCAATGCAAAACCTCCATTGAGATATACCATGTGGATACCACAGGGTTCAAAGGAGTCATCTCTCCGATGTAGACATCGAAGTACATGTCCAGAGCATTGGTCGTTTGCAAAGCTGACAGATCCATCTACGCTCGAGGTCTTGGTATCAGTCCCAGCCTTTGGTACTTTTGCCGATGCAACTGAAAGCTTTTGGTCCACCTCATCCCAGTTCTTGTACTTCGCATGACTGTACACGTGCTCTTCATCTTCGAGTTGACCGCCCATGCCGCCCCTAATTTCGGGACGAGACTCGTTCACATCTCCATCGCGAGTTTCAAGGTCGCTCAACTGCACTAGCAACGAATCAAGATCGTGTTGCAGCCTATCGAAATCCAAGATGTATATCGCTATTCCTCGCGAGTTGTGTTCAGCGTCTCCGATCGGTGAGCTCCTTAGTTCCGCATTCTCCTGCAGCTCATCAACTTCTCTTTTCAGTTTGTTGACCTCCCAATCCAGCTTGTTCTTCCTCTGCTCTAACTTTTCAAGAGCTTTGTCGATGGACTCCATCATCGTTTCATACCCATGCTGTTGCTCAGCAGCATGCGTAGAATGACTGAGGTGATTCTCCCAGCCTTCTGCACCAATGCACTCCATTTCGTCCAGAAATGCTTCAACTTGTTCGCCATCTCGTACCGAGTTCAGTATAGTTTGGCGCATTATGGGTATCTGTGAGACAAGCGCATGGAGGCGTGTGTGGTGTGTGGAAGAGATTGAAACTGGAAAGCGACAGAAGTGCCTCAGGATCTCAGCATAGTGGATTGCTGTTGGTTGGGCCATAATGTATGCCATGGACTCTTCTTCGTGGCCGCAATGATTGTGAGTAGTCGCTATCTCGGTTGGTTACGTGCCTGTTAGGTGGAATCGGAAGATGTGTTACGAAGTCGCAAGAAGAATATAGATGCGCAGAGCAAAAAGTCTTTATTAAGAAGCTCAGATTCAATGATTGACCACCCTTGGAGAGCTCAACATGAACTTCAATTCTGTGATCCTCAACGCTGTGAATCTGAGAGTCACAGCCACAACAAGTGAAATTCTGGGAAGTAGAAATTGACTGAGACAACAATCATTGTCCGATCGTGTTGACAAACTATAAAAGACAGCGAAAGTGAATGCAGTGAGCAAACAGATCAAGCACAAACGCAGGAAACTGACAAGTGAGAATCAATATCGTCGAATTATGTCATGTATCATGCTTCTATGTCTATTGTACGAACTCATAAAAATAAATGTTGGCTGATATCATGCCGGGGTATACCGTACTTTTGCCCCTATAATATTGCGCCTTGCAAGACAATGAAACGTACAAATGTACTACTAAAGCCTCGTCGACCAGATAAATCAAACTGTTAAATAAAACCCATTGCAAAAGAATGAACCGGATACCGAAGTTGCCATCAGAGAAGCCAGCACTGTATACTACGTGGCTGCGCTGTTAGCCAAACACCGTTGACTGCACCACCCTGGAGAACCAACACGAGCCTAGTTGGCAACGCGCGTCATGGGTCGTCCTCGTTCGACGCGCGGAACAGTGTCTGAAGAGATAGTGCGCGTTCGCGCAGCAGCAGCGGCTGCGACGGCATCTTGATGTTCCTTGGCCATGAGCCTCAATGCAGCCTTAGCCTCTTCCAGAGGTACACTATTGTTGCGCTTTGGACTGTTGCGCCTTGACTGCGCACGGCTGGAAGGGGTAGAAATTGGAGAAAGAGCTCCTCGGATGCTGCTCGCTCTCGTACTAGGTGCGCTGGGCCCATCTCGGACGCTGCCAGGACCAGTGCGAAAGGCAGTGCTGACAGACTCTTGACTGCGAGCATCGGCATCGGGCTCGTGCTCACGTGAAACAGGTCGCGATCGTATGAAGTTTGGGTCGTCGCCTTTTCGCATATGTCGAAATTCGTTGGTCGCAGAGTCGATACACCAGAGCTTGTAGCCAGACGTAGATCCAGGAATGAAAGTGCCATGTTCATCCCAGCAGTGAACCCATGCAACACCATTGTCGAGCTGAAAGAAGCCAGCTTCAACTTTTCTTCCGCGCTCGTTCTTGATCTGGGTCGTTCGCTTGCGGCGCTTGTAATCGTCCTCTAGAAGGTAGCGACCTAACACACGGGACCGATGAACTGGGATCGGCTTCTCGAGCTTGTCAAACTCGCGTGGCTGCGACGACGTCTCTGGGGAAGATGAACCTTCTCCAGAGGCTTTAGAGTCTGCGGATTCTAAAGGTACGTCCTTGACTTTTGCAATTAGGTACCAGCCACGGCCCGGGATGTATTCGTATTGGCCAGGCACAGGGGTGGTCCAGTATTCAGTGACCCTCACAGGTCGCTCAGTCTTGGACGCGCGAAACCATTTGTGCGGTTGGAACACCTTTTGAGTGGCAAGGAAGAGGTTGGGTGTCATGGTAGCGTTTGAAGTAAGAGCCGGAAAGTTGTCGTGGGAGTCGTGTGCTATACCAGTTTCAGAGTCGACCAGCGCTTTTCGAAGAAGCTGAGCGGATGTCGCGTAATTCTGACTTTATATACGGCTGTAGAAACGCAACGGAAAACGTGAAAGCTGACCGTTGAAGTAAACTGTTACGCCGGGCTTTGAAAGGAGGCGCAATACGCGTGAAGGAGGTCCAAGATCGGTCACAGAAAGCGCTCGCCCGGGTTGGTGAATGGCCAAGCGATGTCGATCGCTGCGTGCAAAGCACGACTGTGTCGCCAGGGAAAGCGGTGCAAGCCTCCGGATAGTCGTTACCAGCTGTGAATATCAGGATTCGAGAAATGGAGGCCGGGGGGCTGTCGAAGTATTTAAAACGGCTCGGGAGCTAAAATAGTGGTACGGGCCTAGCAAATCTTTCCAGGCTGACGGAAAGGAAATTTGAAAAAAGGCGCTTTGGTACCGTGGTTGATTGTGCAGAACTGTGGGTCGTTGAGCTTATGGTGCGAAGGGGTAATCGCATCGGTTTTGGTGCTTCCTCGTGCGAATTTGCCAGTCGAGGCCCCAACTTATCCGAAGCACAGGAAAGCATGCCACAACGATTCGTCATTGCCCATTACCTCATTCAAGTGTGGTCGGCGATACCGCTCCGGTTCTTCCCTCCTCTTGCTATCGCACACATACGCATCTGCTGTCGTCCGCATGTGGGATGCCCCATTTGTACCTCCTTCAGAGCATCCCACAGGCTACAATGGGCCAATCAGCCGCCACCCACATGCCCCGTGGCGTCAAAACACAAGATAAAGCGACTGGCGTAGGGTGTGATAAAGGTGTGTGCCTATTTGTGTGAAATTACAGGGCAGGCACAGACGGGAGAGCGGTGTGAGCCTAAGGCATGTTTGCGGGATGGACAAGGTGGAGGTATGGAGAACAGTCAGGTTAGGGTGGTACCGGTAGGACGCGGCGCTCGTAAGCGTTCCCGTAAGCGAAAAAAGCTCCCTGGTAACACTGGGAAACATCGTCGACTCCACAAACAGCAAGACACTGGTGCACGCTTGACACACGAGCATGCGAGCAAATGCTGGCCTGTCTGACGCCCACGAGGCAGTCTTTGGGCATCGTGCGACAGCGCCAAGAATCACGAGCCAGGTCGATCGCAGCACGTCTGCGGCTGTACAACTGCTAATCTGATGCTTGATTGCGCCGTACTCGCTCGCACGGCTTTACTGTGTACTGTCGCATAGACATACGGTGAGTAGGGACTTGTTGAGCTGCCATGGCGAGCGGAAAGGGGATATTGCCAATGGCGTTTGGCTCCGTGCTTATGCAACTCTAGCGAGCGATAAGAATAGCGAGAATGGATCAGCTGCGTGGCCGTGAGCGTGAGCAAGCATACCAGCGAAACTCAAAGCACCAATAGCGACCTCTGGTATCTTTTCACTTGCGTGATGTGATGTCTCGAGTAAATGTATGGAATGGTGGTGTTTTCGCGATATTCACATGTGCACCACTTGTGAATCGCTCAAGATCCACAGGGCAAGCGGTCGTGCTGAGTGGATTACCTCAAAGCAATGGCTTCACATTTCCGTCTCGGCTGCAATACCGAGTGTCGCACATTAGTGAAGTTTTGAGGCAATTGGACTTGCTGATGACGAGGGTAAACAAAAGAGCCTATGTTAGCACATTATGGTGCTTGGGCGCAGAGGAACACGGGTAGCAGCGTGGCCGATGGCGACGGATACTGCATGCTGGCACCTGGCATTAGGTGACTCGTCGACGTCCTGTGGTCGTAACTATACTACTGGGCTTGCATGATTCGAATGATGGGACACAAGTCATAGTGAACCGTTTTACCAGTCATAGTACACCGAGGGGAGAGTGGTATGGGTATTGGCTCTTGTTCATTGCATTCCTACTGCTCGTTCTTCTCCCTATGCTGGGTCGTATCGCAGTTTCGTGTCGTAGTGACTTTTGATGTACATGCCTCTCCTCACATTCACACCTTTAGAGTGCGAGCCGAGCCGAGCCAAGCCGAAGAGGATGAAAAGCCTTCCCATTGAGATCGTAACTAATCACAGAGACGCCTTGTATGCCCCGACCAAGTTGAAACCACGTTCGTCTATGACTCGGTCTTGACGCGAGCCTTGCCGTTCGTCACCTTAACACCAAGCTGCTTCGCGCGGGCAACGATGTCGATGCGCTTTCGTGCGGAAACGGAGTGAGCGATCCTAGTGGACGGTCAGTATGATGCTCGCACAATCGATCTGGAAACGGTGGGGCAGGCGTACTCTGCGGCGAATGTGGTGTTGTGCATGAGGAGAAGGTCAACATCGGCGACTGAGGCAGGTTAGCGACTTGTTGTCTGGTAGTAGGTCTCAGCGAGGCCTACCGTTGGCGACGAGGAAAGCCTTGTGGCCGGAGGGCATGAGGTGGCGGGTCTTCCTGTTGGATCCGTAGCCGATCTAATGCCGTGCGTCAGCCCAAATTCGAAATGTTCTTCGCTGGCATGTCCAGTTCATATCCGAAAACGACATGTCCCAGGATGCGAGGGTCGTAGAGGTAGTTCGTACCTTGGGCATAGCAGCCTGGCCCTTGAACCGCCTGCGGACGCGGTTGTCAATACCCTTAGGCTTGCGCCATGAGGGGTCGACGCCTATCCAATGTCAACTCTGCTATTCCTCCCTTCAGACATTCGTAGTCCCTCACATTTGAAACGGTCGGACTGATGGCGGTTGAAGCGCTTGGGGTCTGTATACGATTTCGTCAGTTGCGAATTTTCCGTGTCATAGTGTTCGGTGTGGCATACGCTTCTTGACGATCGCGACGTGCTTCTTAGCGGCAACCATCTTTTCTATCGTCAGCGAGGGTGTCGACGGTAATTGTGGAGGATACGCACTTTGTCTGCTGTTGGGGTTAGTTGTCGTGACGATTTCGACGTTCGAGCATCGAATTCGAGCCGCAGAGGTGCGCTTGGCACGCTAGTAAGCGAACCTCCACTAGCTTTTGCGACCGAGGGGCCGCGAACAAGACGAACATCACTGAGACAGCGCGCAGGATCATCATTTTTCAAGATTGTCTGTGTAATATCCTCTCACGTGTTTCACTCAATGGTATTTGCAGCCTAACGTGCCATACGATTGCAGCAGTGAGAGGCATACAAGCTTGTAAATTCTTGCTGAGCTAATCTGTCATGCTGAGTATGCTGCTCCATGTCCTTCAAGCGTGCTAGTCGAAGCCAGGGTATGTAATGCTCCGGAGAAAATCATGTCATGCGTTATGTAGGCCATAGCGGGCGCTGTCTTTGTCGTGAGAGGGACGCCGTTCTGAATGCGGCGAAAGACCGCATCATATTACTCAGTACTCCTCGTCCATAGGTTCCTCCTTTGAACCGCCGCGCTTCTCTGTCTTGACCCACTCTACAAAGTCATCGATGACCGACGGCCACGACGATTCCTCGGTCCAGAAGGTCATGGCCTCATCGGCAAGTGTAAGCTTGGCGAACTTCAACGTCTCGTTCCACATGTCCTTGTTCACGCTCTTCTTGAACGAGGTGGTGAGGAAGTCCTTCCACCAGTCTAGCCAGGGCGTACTGGCGCTTGACCACTTGATTGCAGACAGGGGTGAGGCGAAGAGGAGGTCCCAGAAGGCAATCGCTTGCTCGAGAGCAGCTTGTTTTGAGTTGCCGGCTTTCGCGATGGTGAAGGCGTACTTGTAGACGCGATCGAAGAGTTCCCGGTTGCCTGGGAGCTCTGACTTGAGGTTCTTGATGTAGGCCTTCTGCTTCTCTATGGTGTCGCAGCTACGCAATGTTAGAAATGCGTCTTGCGAGCTCGGCCGAGCAAACTTACTTCCGCTCTTGCCAGCCGTTGACGAATCCTTCTCGACTCAGTTCTCCCATAGCAGGAGCCTGGACAATCTCGTGTGCTGCGAACGACTCCAGACCTTCAAGATCCACGTTCAGATCTCCAAAATACTTCATCGTTCCCTCGATACCAACTAGATCTGGCTCTGCCTTGGGATCTTCACGATATTGATCGAAGATCTTGTTGAGCGCTGTCTTCATCGAGGAGGAGCCCGTTGAGCCGCCGCCGCCACCGCTGAAGTACCTGCGTGAGACCTATTAGCATACATCATGTCATGTCAAATTGTTATGTACTGATGCAGGAAAGATTGTGCTTGTTAGGTGCCCATCGTACTCCGAGTGCTGTTCAAAGTTGGGAGCACTTGAAGACCGAGGATTCTTGCTTGCTGGAGCCCGCCATGGCTCCATTGCCGTCATCGGGATGCTGGAATGCTTCAAATATGTCTCCAACTTGGCCGTGTCCCGAAATACAGTCGGGCTAGGATAGAATGGGCGTTCTGTAGCCTCCAATAGATGATATAGCATGATACCACCCAATGGAGGACGGAGCGGAAAGTGTTGAGGGTCTCTACCGCCCCTTATGACAGACAGTAGTTCCTGAGCGCTGGATCCGATCAAATGATCGAAGAGACCTTGGCGGTGGAAGTCGAGCTTTCCGTAGAAGTCGCGACGTGTATTTGCAACTGACGATACATAATGTGTTGCTGGTTGACCATAACCAAACAGAGCGAAGAACATATTGTGTGTATACGAGGAAAGCGTCAGCAGGAAATCCCGAAGACAGTTTCCAGTGGAAATTGGGATAGCCCATGCAGGATGTGAGTAGAGGAGCTCTACCCAGTCGCGAGTCCAGCCATATTCGCGCCCAGGATGATGGTATTTGGTGAGGTCTTGCAGCTCCGCAGCTCCGAATGCACTGCCCGTCAAAGCGTCTGCTTGCCATAAGTGCCTAGAGTCATGGGCTCGGATATTTGCGTGACGTAGAAACAGGGCCGCGATCTCAGCGCTTTGCTTCTGCGAAAGTTGCGAAAATTCTTCATCTCGACCACCACCTCGTAAGAAGACCATTGTCTGGGCTTCGAGGTGCTCGCCACATTCGGTTTTGGGTAGGAGAGATGCTGTGGGCACAGTCAAGGGAGGCTGGGAAGTGGGCGCAAACGAGGACCGTAATACGAGAGATGCGACCGGCGTGGTGACAGTTCGTATGTGACGAGTTTTTGCCAATCTTCCCAGTGGCCCATGTGTATGAGACCCCATCATAGGCACGATAGTAGCAGCTGAGTCTAGACCAGATGATGCAGATGATAAACTATCGTAAAGGACTTGACTCAGATACTCGGCCTGAAGCCTGTGTTGTTCGGTGAGAAGATGCTGCGCCTCTGTGGTAGTGTTGGGTTCACAAGATGGTGGGATTGCTACCACACACGTATCGCCGGCGAGGATGGTACTGGGCCGCAATGAACGGTGATTTCCCGAGACTGCTATAGAATCGGCATCCTGATCTGGGGCCGAGGACACGCGGGATCGCTGCGATATACGACTGGCTGAGCTGAGCGAGCGATATGTAGAGGATGAGCTTTCCGAGGCCACTCTGTCTCTTCGCTTCCGATAAGCAAGCTGACGTGCTCTATCTTCGGACGCCCCGAACATATTGTGGCAAGGGCGAGTATGTAGTGTGATGCTCGATAGCAAGTGTTTGGTTATGCGGGTGGTGGATGAGGGTTCGAAGCGCGAGAACGGTAAGTGACATCTATGGTAGGCACTGCTTCTCTGTTGACTACGAGTGTGGAAGCGACGGAGACATGGCTGAGAGCAGGCACTGGTCCTCAGAGAGGAGCTGCCATATCTCATGTCCCTCCTTCCACTCTATGGCCCAGTGTAGTTGTGCTGCCAGCACTTCTCCACTGAGGTCGCAACTAGGCCATTGTGATGCCTATGGGTCGGCTGTGAACGATTCGCGCCGAGGCGCGGTAGCGAGGTCGGAAAGCTGCACAATATGTCTAAGAAAGAAGAAAACCTGTACTTACGTGTTGATAGCTGCTTGCGCATCCCAGTTGTGGCTCTTGAGCACTCGCGCTGCCGCAGTCCGATCCACGCTTGTGAAGCTCATGAACTGCGCGATCGCATTTTTCTGCTGGGTGGTATAGGCTGGCGGCATGTTGTGTCAGCTGTTATTCCTGAAGTTGGAAAGGTTGCGCGGTGGGCTCGAGCTGCGCGACAACAGCGGGGCTGACCGCGGGGCTGTTGGGCGGGGTAAACCGTAGGTTGACAAAGTGAGAGGAAGAGGGAAAGGAAATTAGGAGGATTAAAGTTAGAGAAGGTTGAACCGCTAGACCAAGCTCTGCTCCTTGGTGGACTCGAGTATAGGTGACTTGGGCGACAATAGTCTAGGTAACTGACGTGACCGCATTTACGGTCTACGCAGCAGCTCGAGCCGAGCGGGCATTTTCCGGACATAAACGCCCTAAAATCCACCACTTCCAGAACCATGCCTTGGACAACGTGAACATACAAAATTGACTTCACTTACCAGCCTCGCCCTCGCCATCGCCATCGCCACTCTTCTTGTTCTTCTTGGGAGTAGTCTTTGTCTTCTTCGCAGGACCCTTTGCATTTTCCTGGATCTTGCGTTTGGGCATGGTGAACGCGTGCCTGTGGGTGTAGCGAAGCGTAGAATCGGCGCTACACGTGTATGCGTGTAAGGGTCGAGTTTGCAACTTGCGCGCGTAACTTCTGGCACAGAGATCTCGGTCTGACGTCACGTCGAGTTGCTGTAAACGGCGATGCGGCTCGAATGTGTTGGCGAGGGTGGACCTACGTGTGCGAACAAGACAGAGTGTACAGAAAAGTCGCAAGCAAGGTCGTTTGCCTGGTGTCAGATCAAGCAGATGTTGTTGCTAGGTGAGGCTCGATTGCTAACAAGTACTTTCTCGAACAGGGAACACGGCTCGCAGTGAATCAGGAACTTCGCATATTGGCCCTAAGTCGCGTTGACAAGAGCCCTGGAATATGATAGGCAAGCAGACAAGACAGAATTGCGTGCCGAAGCTGGGTCGGCTCAAAGTACAACGCGCGACCCTCACGGCAGGTATTTTGACAGGGCTGGATCGCCAACTCCACGCGTAGTCATGTGCCCTATCGAATACGGGAGTCCTTTTATGGCAAGTCTGCCATGACCGGCCGAACGAATGCGGAACGCGATTGTGCCACAAACTTTTTATTCAAACGATCTCGAGGTTCACGTGTCACTATACGGTTTTCAAAACCCTGAACCATTTCCTTGTAGATGACAATCTGTGGTCACAGAGGCTTGAGTACCTGCACTACGCGCAGAGGTAGTACATGACAAAGGAATAGACAAGCGAGCAGGTCCTTGTTGCAAAAGAAAGGCTGGATCGCCGCGATAAAATCAAGAAGCCGCATATGCTGGCCACGCTTGCAACTCAAAGAGTTGCGTAACAAAACAGGGGATGTACAAATTACAGCTATTGTCCATGATCATCTCTGTATTATCAGTCGGCTGATGGCATACTCTCCACTTCCTCACTCAATGCCCGCCAATTGTCTGCCTGTAGCTCCGCGTACTTCACACGCTCTTGACTCCATTCCTGATGCAGTCTGCTAATGTGGTATTGGCTCTTCTGGAAATGTAGCAATTCATCTCGGATGCATTCCTTGATGAAGACACCCCGCGCATGCTGCTGAACGATGGATTCCTTGTCCTGTCGAGCATCAAATTAGCCAACCGTCAAATCGACTGTGAAGTATGCTGGGGAATTACCTTGACGATAGCATCTTCAACCTTTTCTGCCTCCCCAGGTTTGATTAGATCTGCAGGCTTATTCCTGATGTTCTGCAGCTTCGTCTCGTTGTTTGCTATCCTCTTTTCCAGCGCCGGAATGTTGTCTCTCGCGTACTTGTCTCTTCGATCGAACATATCCCTCATACTGACCAGTGTGTCTCGTTGCCTCTTAAAGTCCTCGAGTACACCCTCTTCCCATCCTCGTGCCTCGTCTTCCAAAAGTTGTTTCGACTGATCCAGATGTCTCGCTGTTGAATTCATACCTTCGTTTAGCAAGGGAATGTCATTCGTATCGACTGCGTAGGTCTCCTGCGAACTCTCGGTGAGAGAGACGAGAGCGGTAGAGAAGCGATGGTATTCAGCAGCCATGCCTTCGTTACGTCTGGTTAGTCTCTCCATCATGTTGCACAAATTGATGTAGCTCTCTGAGCTTCGTCTTACTCCCGATCGGACGGTATCGAAAAGCTCGGGCAGCGTCTTGGGAAGCGAGTCTTCTAGATCAGGAGGAAGCGTCTTGCCAGCAAACTCTTCTTGGACAGACAAGTTGGCTTGTTTGCGCCAGACCGAGAGTTCCTGCAATCGATCAGTACCCCATGTGTACACGTTCCCCGAGAAGTACTTACGGTAGGCACGGTGAGGAACATAACTACAAGTTGTTCCTGATTAAGCACGGGATGCCTGACAAGTGCATTTGTGAATCGTGTTAATCCTTTCCTTCGTTTCTCCAGGAAGCTAGCATCTGCAGCTATGGGGTTGCCGTTGACTAAGAAATCTCAATACGCATCGAATCGTTGGGGAAGGTGTACTCACTACCAACTCGCTTTGGGGGCAACAATGGAAGTTGCCGGAAAGGATACCGCTTGTGTAGGCAGTCTAACAACCAAACAAAGTCACTGTAGCGACGCACAACTTTGGTAGTCCGTCTTGAGCTGGCCACTTCGTAGTTACGATGCTGGAACAAGAACACGCCCTCCTTTTCGGCAATAGTTGTAATTGTGATGACCTCCTCGCTCCCGCTTCCTCCTGCGCGCCCAATCGAGCGACCCAGCTCAGGTGGAGGATTGTGACCGCCACCTACAGGAGCTGCGCCAAATCCGCCATCGCCTAGGTCTGGCGTCGCGAATGGCTGGCTGGACACGCCATTGTAGCCTCCCCATCCACCCTCACTACTCAAGGAGCTCGGCTGGATGTTGTCTTGATTCGAGGTTGATTGGGAAGTCGAGTGCGTAGTGAATTGACTCGTAGTCCGGGCAGTAGAGGGACCATTCGCGCCGTTCGTCTGACCTGGGACAGCTGCATAGCTCGAATGATTGTGATCTTTGTGCATATCTGGGCTGCCCCAGGGATCGGCCTCTGGATCACCAAAAGACTGCTTGCGCATGGGCGCACGTGAGCGGCTCGGTGTGGGCAATTGCTGCTCCGACGGTTGCTGTTGAGGTGTAGGGCGTGGCGGTTCCTGTGCGGGCGGCGCGGGCTCAGGTTGTTGCTTCAGTGACTGGGGTAACGATACCGACGGAACGGGCAAATCTAGCGGGCCATTAGTATCACCCAGATGCGATTGCGGTTGGTATGGAGATGCTGCACTGACTTCTCTTCCGCTCATCGACACTGTCCAGGGTTATGTCCTCGCCAATTTGGGAGAGGGCAATCAACGCGAACAGCACGTTGAACTCGTTCCTTCCCAGTCCCGCATCCTCATTGCCCGACTGCACAACAATGTCCAGGATCGTGGCTTGGACATCGCTGGAGACGCCGCTGCTGGCCATGAGGTTCTTTGCATCGTCAATGCTAATGCCGCTGGTGGCGCCATGGCCGGCGTCTAGTACTGCGTCGAATGCTTCGATGTAGGCGTCAGGCACGTCCGACGCAGGAAGGAGCGACTTCACAAGAGAGGCGCGACCGCCTTTCTTCGGTGTAGGAAATGCCCACGGCGAGTCGTTGTTGTCAATCTCGTCGGCGAACAAGCTGTTCCCCGTCTTGCCCGCGGGCTTAGGATCGTCATCGAAGAGCGACGACGACTGTTTCGCGCGCGAGGGCACGTCCTCGTCACCAAACAGAGACATGGCGACGAGTGTGTGTTTTATGTATGTGTGGACTAGAAAGGAGCACGAGAACTGCAGCGGCAACGAAGGGTGGCTGCAGGACGAGATTCCAGACGGAAGCTCTATGTGACGATAACATGGAGCTATCACACAGCCGCGCCGCGCAAGGAACAGGCCGACGCGCTAGCCCAAGCTTCAATGGGCACCTATCATCAGCTTGGCACAGTACATGTTATGTCATCACGGCAGTGGAACTCTGAGTTTCGGAATCATCTTTGGACGCATTGTCGTATGTCTGTGTGTATATACATGTACATTTTGTACGCAGATCGATCTCTGCGGGCACAATGTAAGGCAACGCCTCTACGTAACGTGTAGTTGAAAATCATAAACCAGTGGGTATCCATGAACGAACCGTATCCTCGAGTCCTGTAGCCTCTTCTTTTGAGGGCCAACTGTACGCCAAATCCATGCCAATGCTATGTGGTGTAACCAACCACTGAGTAAAACTCTCCCTGCCGTGCGCCTAGCCAAATATGAGGGTATATGCCAACACCAGAAATTCGTAACCATAATGTGAAATGTAATCGACAAGCCAAGATGTAGACTATCTGTCGTGATTTGTGCTTGAGTGAGCCACGGTCTGGTTGCCCAAGACGTCGGAACTGCCGTTCGCATGGAGTGCGATGTTTGACGCAAATCGCACGTGAGACGCACGGCTCGATCCAACTGGCGAAGACGAGTTCAGCGCGGAATCACTCGACCGTGTGCCTCCAGATGATTGCGTGGGTGAAGATATATCTTCCTCTTCGATGGCGGTTGGAACTCTGGTGAGATTCAAACCAGCTGTTGCAGAAGTCTCTTCGTGGTGGCCTCGTTGCTGCTGAACTATAATATCAGGCGACCAGGTCTGACCACGGGGCTGGGCGGGTATGATAGTCACGGGCAGCGTGGCTTCGGCTTGCATATCATTCCTCTTCTTTGCCCGGAAGCGTTCTCCTTGTTGTGCGGCAAACGTTCCCAATCGGTCCGCCAGTGCAAGGCCACTGTAGTTTCGTGGTGGAATGTTTGCGGCTACATCATCAACTGCAAGTGGTTCAATTACTCGCCCTCTTTGCAATTCTTGCGGTGGGGTACGACCATGGCGGCGAAACGTATTCGCAACTGCTTGCCAATGCCATTTACTTTTGTTGGCGGCCGCAGTTCCATGCACATTCGCACCCTTCTCGGGGTCTTCAGGGTCGGTAGCAGAGTGTTGGTTGTGTTGGTTTTGTGTTTGTGTTTGTGTTTGTGTTTGTGTTTGCGTTTCCGAGGGCATCTCGTTTCGATTTGAGCGGCCTTCTGCGGTGCCCGGTGGGAGAGGGGGTGGTGTTTCGCTTATCGGATGGTATCGGACTGTGTAGACTGTAGAATCTGCAGAAGTTGTGTCTGTCCTGCTTACAGGCGAAGAGATGATTGGAACGGGTGGCGGCGTCTGGACACGCATATAGTTGCGCGAACTCCGGTCACCTCGATTCGCAGACACGGATTGGCGATGTGCAGGTGCAGGTGCCGGGATGTGAATACTCCGCTTCTGGCGTGCTTGTGTGCGTGGCGACTCAGTCATCTTTCGGCCTAGGCGGTGGGCGAGATCATTGATACGATCCGTATGAGCAGTCGTAAATGCGCCCAGACCACCAAAGCCTCCTCCGCGCCCAGTCTTTTGCTCGTCATACGTCTTGTGGCCTTCTCTTTTGGAGGGCCACCTCGTGTCTGATGACGGTGTAGTGTCGAGCATGTCGTCTCCGTCGTAGATTTCCCTTCCTAGAATCCCATCTTTTCTCTCCTCTCTCTCTAGAGCTTCAATCCTCTCGACCCACTCCCAAACAATCACACTGGCAGCGGCAGCTCCGGACCCAGCGGAAGTAGTCGCCCCATCCAGCAATGGTGTAATTTGCGATGTCGGTGATAAAAAATACAACAGGCGTAAGGACGGCGATAACGGAGAGGAGCGCAACAACGCTCATGTTCCACATCATGGAGTGGTAGAAGGCGTATCGTCGCTTCGTAATGGCGTAGTACATGACCCAAGCAGCGTATAGCATGCTAAGGGATAGTTGAAACAGGTAACTCAAAGCGGGGATGGCGGTCTCAAAGTGCACGGGACGGCCATTGTTCTCGTACGGTCCAAAGCTGTTCAAAGAGCTGAAGGTAATGTCCAGGAGGATCAATGCGAAGCCGACCCATTTGATGATAACCTTCTCTTTGTGGCGCGGAAACAGGCGTATCAGAGTCTGTACCTGTGCGAGCCAGATGAATATGTCGGAAATAATGCGGGAGACCTTGATCTCCATGCCTGCTACGACCTGGTCGCGCAGCTCCATGGCATCGATGAAGCCTTCTCTGTACTGGCGGCCGGCGATCTTGAACGTGTCGGCAGTGGCGAGCGTCAGCGATATGGCGACGGTGAGGGCGGCCACCTTCTGCAGCCAGGGCCTGCTGCCGACGCCGATGATGGATCCACCTCCTGTTGCGCCGCTAATCATGCCGCGTCGTCCCATGAGTCCCGAGCGGCCCGTCGCATTGCCGACAAAGAAGGTACGAGGAGTGATGATGAGCATAATGACGAGCATCCACGCGATGACGGTCGCAGCGCCCGTCGCATAGGCCTGGGGGGTGATGGAGGCGTGGAACGGGTCGCGGATGTCGGCGATGCTGGTGATACCGCCCGTGGTTTCGTCCATGACATTCTGCGAAGAGTCGCTGCATTGTGGGCGGAAGAACGCGTCGGCGCTGAGGTTGATGAAGTTGCCCGGTGCCAGTTCGATGATGCCGTAGGCAGGGAGTTTGTACGAGGGGCAATGCTGTCGTCGTCAGTAGCTGCGCGCGCAGTGGCTGCTGGCACACTCACGAAAGGCTTGGACTGGTCGCGCCGTCCCAGGAGGTAGGCCGCGTCCCACTCGTCCTCCCACATCTTCGGCGTCTATACTGATCCAGCAGCAGCGGGTGCACAGCGATATTGTCCCATGGAGATTCAGAAGAGCGACATGGCCTCGTGGTCGGGGTGTGGTGCGATGTGGTGCGATGTAGTGCGAGGTGGTGGGTAGGGTCGTGTCGTGGCGGGTGTTGGATAAGCGTCGAGGCACGAGAGAGGGAGGAGCCAAGGAAGATCAAGCTTCTCGCAGAGGGCAGACGCCTCCCTCCAGGCTGGAACGGCAGGTGCCACCCCAACTTCGGCTAATCCCCGCCCGATTGGCCGCAACTGTCGGCCCTTCACTTGGGGGTTCCCCACAAGCAGCCTTCGAAACGTCGCAGGCTGGTCGTGGATACGTAAAGTTTAGTGCTTCTTCGCTGCGTCCTCTAGACATCGGCATCAGTGACAAAATGCGACAATATTTGACAGAAAATTCCATGGCTGTTTCCCGCTGTTTCTCCCCTGCGCCACGGTGCTCGAGACGGGGTGCGCCGTCAGCTGTGCTGGATTGGTCCAAGTGGCTTCGGCTGATGTCGGACATTCATGCTGCTGTTCGGTGCTTTCGACCGCACCACAGCTTCATCTCTAACACGAGCGTAAAACGGTACTCCTACTGCTTCGTTGGGGCAATCTCATGTGCACACGCTAATCGGACGCAATGCAATGCTGTACATGGATAGCGACCTGTCACCTGCAGGCCATGCTGGCATCATGGAAACCGTCACCCTCTCAACTGTACAGTACCGTGGTACCATCGGACTTCTCGCTTGTGCCTTGTGGCGCCAGACGTTCAGTCTCACCAGTCCCTGTCGGTCCGCCTGTCTGTTTGGGCTGCTGCGATCGCTATACACCTGACGTGCTACCATCTTTCGGTTTGATCGAGGCAGACGGTAGTAAGCTTACTTCCCATGTCGCCGGCTCCCTGAACTTGTTCTTCGTCGGCTGCGTTACCAGCATCCAGACCCAGAACATCTGCGAGACGGGTAGCACGGCAGCCTTGAGGAGTCTCCGGCAACACTTCCGCAAGTCTGAGAAAGCTTGGTGGAAGCCACGTGCATGACATTGGCCAACACATCTGGACCATCTTGGAATGACGCACTCGGCCTCATCCGATGCTGGGAGCGCATGGAGCTGCCCTGGTACTGACGTCGTCATATCAGCTTTCTCGACGCATGCCCAGCTCCTGTGGTGGACCAGGTCTGCTTATGTGCACGATACTTGCTGCTCGAGATGCTACTCGAGATGCTAGGCAAGAGCTTGGTTGCGATTGTCTACCGAGCTGTCGATCTGCCGTGAAAAGCGATAGATGGAACACGCGAAATGTTCCCCGCAGTTCGGGAGGCTAGGCGTTGGCAGGAGGACATATCTCAGGTTCGTGTGAAGCAGTGCGTTGAGATATGCCATTGATGCCTCGCGTCCCTCCAAAGTGATTTTAGCACAGCCGCACATAGTCTAAACCTTTTCTATCACTGCATCCTCCATTTCTGTACTGTAGGGTGCAATGAAGCGACACGTAGTAGCGTCTCAGCACAAACTTTGGTCGCTCTCGGCTACGTTCGCCAGAGGATGCAGAATTCTATTTGGTGTTGACCCGACTATATCAAGTCTAAATCGCTCTCGAGCCAAGGCCCAAGAACATGTCACAGTATCCTCGAGCGAACTACATGGTTAGTCAATTTGGGAGCGGGAAGCGAGAAGCTCTTTTGCAATGCCAGGTTTGCACCAAAGTCAGTTGCGTTTACCATCTCTACCTTCGGAAGCTTAGTTCACCCATCAAAATGTTGGGTTTCAAACGACAACTGACCTCCTTCTTCGCAAGTTTCATGAACCCTTTGGATATGAAGACTGTCGGCGACAAATCGTTCACGATGGCTTGTTTGAACCACATGTTGGTGCTTATGGAAGAACGGAAAGATGATGTCTTGTTTTGACCCTGTTTAGGTTTCTTCATATTTAACAACTCGCAGTACAGCTAGCGTTTTTCATTTGCTTCTTGCATCGTGACAGCATACCTCGCGGTTAACAATGTCTATCCTGTACTCAGGAAGCGTGAATGAAATTCGCATAGTGTTGGGTCTATCACAGGTGGAGAGCTCGATGTCGGCAGTTGGCACGTGCTACGCTACCCCAAGTACGCGACGTGCTCCATCCTCAACGCGTCGGTCGCCCCTCCCAAAACATATCAATCGCAATTGTCGCGCCACGTCCCGCGCTGTCAACCCCACAACCAAGGCAGCATCTTATTGAGCACGTACATCATGAGTGCGGCGGTCTCGGCCTCCGAGGTCAGCGAAGTCGCGTCTTCTGCGAATCGTCGTCGCAGTGGCAGAGTCACCCGGAAACCAGAGAAGCTTGCGGCCGCCTCGAGTCCGACCAGCAGCACCAAGCGCAAGCGCCGCGACAATGACGACAGTGGTGTTGACGCCGACGAGGCCTCATCTGAAGAGCAGAGTGAAAGCAGCGAAGGCGAGCCAGATGAGGAAGAGTTGAGAGAGCGCCAGCGCAAGAGGAAGGGCAAATCCGCCACAAAGCGACCCGCGCCGAAGAAGCCCAAGACAAATGGCGCCCCAATAAGTCTGGCGATGCGGCCTGCCGCTGGCGCGTCCAGGAAGTTCACCAAGCGACCGCGCAAAGCCGCCATTCGCAAAAGCGCAGTTTCGGACGAGGAGCCTGAAGGCCTATATGGTGCGCCATCAAGTCGCTCTCGGGTTTTATTTCTGCTAACAACTTGTAGCCGATGTTTTTGCTAGCGGCGACCGACTCGAGGACGTTGCGGCTCGCTGGGTCGCGCGGTTCAACGAGCACGAAGCAAGAGCCGTGGCCGAGATAGTCAATCTCGTGTTGCGGGCTGCCGGGTGCGATCTCCGCATAAATGAGGACGATATAGCAGACCCCGATAACGCGCCTAGTCGCGTAGCAGAAATACAGGAGGAATTCCAGACGGTGAGATTGAGCCCTCTCAGATGACCTTGCGCATACTGACGCAGGGTAGCACGAATTGACAGAGTATCCTCTCATCGCGAAGGCCAAAGATGGCGGTGGTCAAGCCTTCCGAAACGCGTTGCACGGTTTCTTCGACACCCTGGTCCGGACTGTTGCGCAGTCAGGGCTCCTTTACGAGAACCAGGAGCTTCTGGAGAACATATCGGTCTGGCTTGGCGCCATGTCCTCTACAAGTAATCGGCCATTCCGCCACACTAGCACTGTCGCATCTCTCGCCATCACTACGGCTCTGGCAGCAGTCGCAGGCGATCTAGTGGAGAGCGCAGCGAAACGACAACGCCAAAGCGAGGCGGAATCCAAGAAGTCGCGAGTCAACAAAGCACGTGTGTCTGCAGTTGATAAAGAGGTCGACGAATATACACAGAAGCTCCAGATCGTGGACAGTGCTCTGGGAGACTGGTTCAGCGTGGTCTATGTTCACCGTTACCGAGACGTAGATCCGAAAATACGAGTCGACTGCGTTGGCGCACTAGCCAACTGGATTATCACGTATCCCGATCGATTCTTCGATGGCACTCATTTGCGCTATTTGGGCTGGGTTTTGTCTGATTCGAACCCTCCTACCCGCATTGAAGTACTTCAGCAACTCGCGCGACTCTTCCGGGACCAAGACAAATTGGCAGGGCTGAAAACCTTTACTGAGCGGTTCCGACCCCGTATTGTAGAAATCGCAACACGCGATGCTGAGAACAACGTTCGTGCAACAGCAGTCGAGCTTCTTGACACGTTACGCGAAGCTGGCTTCTTGGAACCAGATGATATCGACTCAGTTGGCAAGTTGATCTTCGACAACGATGCAAAAGTACGGAAGTCCGTGGTTGGTTTCTTTGCAGAGAACGTCAACTCAGCATACGAGGCTATAGTGGAGGATATGGGGGGCGAGGATGCTTTGAATGAAGCATTAGCACCCTCAGATGAAGACAACGAAGAGTACCACAATCCGCGACTGGAGTGGCTCAAGCTGAAATGCTTGGTCGAACAGCTATTAGCATATGATGAAGACGGCGCAGAACTACCATCTCAAATGGTCCAAATCGTGCCCTCGGGAGCGGAGATGGGCCTCATAGCAGCTGGCATAGAGTCCCGCTTCTCTTTGGCAGCAAAGGCATTGTATGACGCTATGCCCGAAATCCAGTCATGGGAAGTCCTGGCTGGGTACCTTTTGTACGATCACTCACAGCCTACATCTAACGGCGCTGGTGACGACGCCGAGGCCTTACTACGACAAAACTCCAAGCTGGACGAAAAGCACGAAACTGTTCTTCTTGACATCCTGAACGCGGTTGTCCAGTCACGATTACAGCGCCTAGCAGAGACTCAGAAAGACAAGAAGAAGACAAAGGCCCAACGCGCAGGTGATAAGGAGGACCAAGCAGATATGGCACGCCGTCTATCTCTTCTGATCCCCCAGCTACTCAAGAAATTCAGTGCCACACCCGAGGCAGCAGCCTTGTGCCTTCGATTAGAGCGTGAGCTTAATCTTGATGTGTTCCAGGAATTGCGACAGAACGCTGCTCTTGCTGCTCTCCTCGATGACATCAGCAAGCAGTTCCTGACGCACCACAATGAGCGAGTTCTCAGCGAAGCGATCGGATCAATACGACATGCTCAAGGCAACGATGAGCTGAAGGATATTGTGGCTTTGAAGGTTCAGGCTCTTTGGGACGACCTAATACATACATTCGATGCTCTTCGAAGCCGTAAAGATCTGGCAAAGAGAGGCAACCTGGACCAGAACATCTTAGTCGGAGTCTCGAATGTTATATCGAAGATGGCATCGCTCTCCAAGGTCTCCAATGCCTCAGTCCTAGACGACATCACCGCGCCCGCGAAGTCGAAAGGGAAAGGCAAGAAAGCTGCACTTGACACACCTCCTATTACCTCAGTACTGGACATTCTGGAGCGTGGAATAATGACTGAAGATCTCGAGGCAGAGGCTGAGGTGGCGGAGGACATGCTTGTGCGTCATGCCATGTCTGTCATGCTTGGTTACTTTGCATGGAAGTGCCTTGACTTTGCTGGTCACGTTGAGGGCGGAACCAGTCTTCCTGATGACGAGCTCACATTGGTGATTGAGCGCAGGGACGCATGTGTGATGACGCTAATGCGGATTATGGAGAGTCGCAAGGGCGCAGACAATGTGCGACTGGACGCTGCGAACCTCCTGCTCGACGTTTACTTCATGTTTCACGCTCTCAAAGCAAAGAAGGGCCAGCTCGCCAAAACACCCAAGAAGCCACAGGCCCGCAGCCATAGCGATACTAGTGACGACTGGGAGGCTCTTTGTCAAGACATTGACGGTAACACGACAAAGCTTATCTTGCAGATCCTGACTGCATCGGAGAACAGCCTGGCCAAGCTGAGCAGCAAGAAGCTTGAAGAGCCTGACGTCGACGACGATCCTATTGATCCGGACGACGAGCCTGAAAGCGACGAGGAGGATGCTGAAGACGAGAGTGCGCAGCAAGACAAACAACGACGCACGGTTCTAGCGGAGCAAGCATTATGCACTATAGGCGGCAACCTTGTCAAAGCTGTCCTAATTGGTATGCTGGGGTCCGATGGAAATGACGTCGTTCGCGTACGTCTTCAACGCAACAAGTTGAAGCTCACACCGCAGTGGAAGGAGTGTGTCAACCAGCTCGACGCCATCAAGCTTTCACGAAAGGGTGCGAAGACAGGAGCCAAGCCTGTGAAAGAGACGGCCAAGTCTAGCAAGAGCAAAGAGATTGTCGTTGAGGACGACAGCGACGAGGAAGAGCTTGAAGTGCAAGGTGACGAGATTGAGGATGAAGAAATGGCAGATGGGGACGAGGAGCAAGCGAATGGTGTAGAAGAGGCTGTTGAGAATGGAGACGTGGAAGACCCAGAAGAGGAGAGCGTTCTGGGCGACTGAGCGTTTCATGTATCAAGTGTTCTTACTGTACTTTTACTTCTTCTGCATATTTTACGATGGCTATACGGGACAGACGTGTATGACGGGAGCTGGCTTTACGCTTCTCTACTGGCGCTTTGGCGTATTTGCAAAGGAGAATTCAGCGGTGCCTGCTTTGCGTGGATAGTACGACTAAGAGGATTGTTTCTATCGATGATAACAGTTCGTAGCTAATAAAATAGACGTCTGGCTAGGACACGATCTGTTCTCCAAATCGTGTGGCCTTCAAGTGTAATGACTACGGTCTGGCGCGTCGACGCAATTCACGGTTGGTGCGCCTCTCAACGCGCGAGGCTCAGTGCTTGGAATATTGAAGATGCGAGCTTGGCCATAGCATAGGGCCGTCCAAAACGAATTGTGCAGTGCAGAGACACAACTGTATGTAGTTGACGATGATCAACATGTATACTACAGCTTGCTCTTTGTGTTGTTGATGTTCTGTGCATATCTGTACCCGCTTCCTCGTGCTACATCTACCCTCCCCCATTTTCAATTTCCTTCATCTTGTCCGCGCACTCTTGTGCAAGTTTCTGCGTCTCCTTCTCCAAAGCCGTCACTTTTGTCATCCATTCAAACCTCTCTCTCCAAAACACGAACCTCTCTTTCGAATATCCCTTGGCTCCTGTCCATTTTGGATTCAACACGGCAGTCTGCCAATCATGCTCTCCAGTCATGTTGCCTTGCATGTCATACAAGCGCCGCCCAACATGTTGGAGCCATTGCGCGGCAGCTGGAATTTTCGCATTGAGCATCTTGATATTGACGCGCTCGAGCTCGAGATCGCGGCGTGCGGGCCAATCGAAATCCGCAGGGTCGTCATCGGGGTCGTACCATTCTTCGATTTCTGGAAAGTGGGTGCGCTCCCAGGGCGCGAACTCGCACGTCGACCGAAATGTGAAGCCTGCTCGTTGGATCTGATCGAGTTCTGGATGGACTTGGTGGTGTGTGGATAATTTGGCGCAAAAGGCGTGGTGGTTCACTTGCGCTTGATGCTTTCGGTCTCGCTCTGGTTCGTCGGAGACGTAGTATGTCATTGTGTAGCCAAACTCTGTCCAGTGGTTGTTGAATTGGGGCAGGATTGCGAAGACGTGGTCGCCGTCTGGCAACTTCTGCAGCTCCACTACGAACTCAACGAACCTGTCGTTCAACTCTGTGAAGGAGTCGACAGCCCGGCAGAGAGTGCGCCAAAGTAGAGTGCAATCTGGCCACCGGGGGTCTTGTTCGTTCGCCATGTTTGCGATTATCGGGCTCGCGGCCTCCTTTGCTATCGCTGACATGGGAACAGAAGAATCTGTAAGAAGTTTTTGAAACGCCGAGCGCATTTCAGGTGGTGGCGCATAGCTGTCATGTTCCTGGAATGACAGAAACTCGTCGGGAGTGTCTGCAAAGGGTATTTTTGGAAAAGGCATCTTGACTTTAGTCTGCGGTGGAGGACTGTTGTTGGGTGATTTATTGATGATGTACAGCTGCCGAATATGGGTTTATGTAGTTGTAAGAAAAGCACGTGGAATGTCGTACATCTCAGGGCCGCAAAGGCTCAAAGTTGATGTGTAATATCTTGGCAGCATGAGGCTCAGGTGAGGCACAGTGAGCACCCCGGCGGTTAGCGCTTAGCGCAAAGTGACCCTGCCACATAACGCCTCTCCGTTGAGGCTGTGCACATTGACTCCGAACGCACAGCGATTGTAGCAAAAGGGATAGTGCTGACGCCTTGAAGGCGTTGTACGAGTGCCAAGATCGGTACAAGTGCTATGGTTAACGGGCGGCCTATATTTCGGAGGTCGACCTATGAAGCCCGAGACTTGGCTTATTACCCAATATGCACTAGTTTACAGTGGTATGGAATGATAGTGATGCTGTTAAGGTTATTCGGCAGCGACGCGGCGGATACGGCCCCCAACAAGTGTGATGTTAAATTCCGACAGGAGTCTTATGCTTGAAGGATTACCGAGATGCTTGCATCGGACATGGGAGAGCATTGTAGCTTGTTGATCATGTCCTATTCCTTAGATTGACGATGGTTTCGGAACAACTTCTCTGAGGCTAGGTCCAACTCAACAGTACACTGACCTCAATCATGCCACGGACACCAAGGCAAGATGGCCGGAGCAGGTCTTCAAGTGTGCGATGGGATACGACATTTAAAGTATAAGAGGGGACGCCATGGATGCTCAATCACCAGCACAGCAACAACCTTCACTTCAATCCACGCATCCAGAGCCACTGCAATCTCGCCAGCCCTTCACTTTTCAGATTCGCTATCCATCATTTCAACATGCGTTTCTTCGCCATGACCGCACTCCTCGGCCTTTCGGTCTCAGCCCTTCCCACGGTGGAAAACAGCGTCGTGGCACGCTCTGCTTCTCCAGAAGCCATTGCCGAAGCAGTAGCTGAATCAGCGCGTCTCTACGCTCGCGGCAAGGACATCAAGTATGCTAGCATGCCAAGCTCTAATGCGGCATGTCCCGCCACGGCTCGCTACGGGGCGCACACATATACGGACAACCAGATCAAGGTGGCGTTCCTCGGAGGTGCTGGTCTGACTGCGGAAGGCAAGCAGCTTGGTACAAGTATGTATAGTCGCAGCCTGGGATGCTGTCGGTGCTAATGTCGAGCAGACGCGTATCCGCACAAGTACAACTCGAACCAGGTACTGCCCAACGGCTGCGGTAGTGAGACGCAGGAGTTCCCGATTCTATTCGACAACGACTTGTACACGGGCGGGAGTGTGCAAGAGGTGCCGGACCGTGTCTTGTATGAGGCCAAGGACAAGGGCAAGAACCTCCTGATCAAGTACTGCGGTGTCATCCGCCACGGCGACGGTCGGGACTTTGTCAACTGCCCCTAAGCAGCTGAAGCTCAGGGTGCTGGAATGGGCCACTGTGCATGGGCCATTGGATGCTTCCCTCTGATATACTATTAGTGTTTCTTGAAGGTTCTTGAAGGCGTTTGTTGGGACATGGATGGATTTGTGTTTAGTCGGTTTGTTGTCGATGTAGATGTTGAAGATGCTTTTGCTCGGGAGTCGAAATAATCCATGTGCGTGGTGGTCGTGTGAACGCGGTGATGTGTGAATACGGTGATGTGTGAATGCGGTGATGTGTGAATGCGGTGATGTGTGAATGCGGTGATGTGTGGGGAAGCGGACATGGATTGCAGTGCATTAACTTAGTGCGCAAGTCGGTGCGTCATGCACGTCCGCTATCACGGCAGCTTCGAGATGGCTAGCAATTGACGGCACCAGCACCACCAAAGCCCGATGTCAGCCAATCAAGGGACGTTGAAACGGAAGCACTCGGGCAAGACGATCAAGGAGCTCTTCACCACGCAATCGAAGCCCCACGCCGCCACAGCCGCACCGCTGTCGCCCACCAAGAAGCGCTCACGACGCGAGCTTGAGAGGGAGAGCTCCCCGCCCGCCGACGAAGCCGCCACAGCGCGCACGCCGCCCAGCAGCATGAGCACCGCCGACATGTACCACTTCCCCAGCAAGCGCGGCGACGTGGTGGACATGACGGCGAGCCCCGACAGCAGCCCGGCGAGAGCAAGCGCGCCGCGCAGCACGCATGGCACGCATGGCACCCGCAAGACAGCGCCCAACATGCATGCCACGGGCGGGCCGAAGCGGCTGCTGGTCAAGAACTTTCAAGCCCACGCGCAAGGCCGACCCCGCCGTGTTCCTCGACCAGACATGGCAGAAGATAGACGGCGCCCTCGACACCGTCTTCGCCCACGCCGCCGTCGACTTCAGCCTCGAGGAGCTGTACCGGGGCGTCGAGAACCTGTGTCGCCAGGGCATGGTCCAGGGACGTCAAAGAACGCCTCGTTGCCAAGTGCAGGGACTATGTCGGCGCCAGCTTGACCGCGAAGGTGCACGAGAGCCTGGGGGGAGGGGGCAATGTCGAGGTGCTGAGGGCGACCTTGCAGGCATGGGCCGTCTGGAACGAGCAAATGGTACGCACCATCTGTAGCACCGCTGTCTCGCATGATCCATACTGACCCGCCCAGAAATACCTCGACTGGATCTTCTGCTACCTCGACCGCGCCTATCTGCTTCCACGCCATGAATCCCTCCGCGACCTCTCCATCGACCTCTTCCGCTCCCTAGTCTTCTCGCATGCGAGGCTCAACGACCGCATTGTCCGATGGCGCCTGCGATCCTCGCTCAGCCTCCGATCCGGGCCGGCAGCGAGCTCGACAGCGACATGTTCTCCAAGACTGTCAACATGTTCCACACCCTTCACGTCTACACAAAGCACTTCGAGCCGCGCCTGATGGAGCTCAGTCAGACATTCGTAATGAACTGGGCTGACGAAGAATCCGAGAAACCGCTGCCAGAATACATAAAGAGCGCCAAATCCCTCATGGACCGCGAGCTTTCGAGAGTGGCAAAGTTTGGCCTGCCCAACACCACACGCCGAGACTTGCTTACGCTGCTGGAGGACCACCTGATATCGAGGAAGGAGTCCAGGCTGACCAATCAAGACGAGCTGGCCGATCTCCTCGAAGCAAATGCCGTCGAGGACCTCCAACTACTATACACACTGCTGGAAAGGCGCAAGCTCGGTGCAAGCCTACGCCCAGGTTTTGTCAAATGGATCGATGACGAGGGTACGGCGGTTGTTTTCAACGAGAAAGAGCAGGAAAATATGGTCGTGCATCTTCTGACACTCAAACGTCAGCTGGACACATTCTGGAAAGTGTCATTCCATCGTAATCCCGAGCTTGGCCATGGCCTGCGCGAGTCCTTCGAGGCCTTTATGAACAAGACGAAGAAGACGAACGCAAGTTGGGGCACAGACAATTCCAAGACGGGCGAGATGATTGCCAAATATGTTGATATGCTACTGAGGGGTGGTGCCAAAGCCATCCCCGCGTCCCTGAGTCGGAGGACGGAAAAGCCTGTTGTCGCTGAAGCAGAAGAGGACAACGAAGATGCCATGTTTGATGAGGACACTGAAGTCGATAACCAGCTTGATCAAGTGCTTGACCTTTTCCGATTTGTCCATGGCAAAGCTGTCTTCGAAGCCTTTTACAAAAAGGATCTCGCGAGGCGTTTGCTCATGGGCAGAAGTGCCAGCGCAGATGCAGAGCGTAGCATGCTGTCAAGACTCAAGACTGGTAAGATTGAACACGACACCGAGCCCTGCTACCGTGTACTGACCTGCGACAGAATGTGGCGCTGGCTTCACAGCAAACCTTGAGCAGATGTTCCGTGACATTGAGTTGTCGCGCGAAGAGATGGCTTCTTACAAGAGCATCTCCGAGGAGCGTAACGAGAGGCTAGCCGTTGACCTTAATGTCAGCATCCTGTCCGCCTCCTCATGGCCCACCTATCCCACTGTAACCGTCATTATTCCGCCACAAATCAAGCAGGCTATAGACAAGTTCGAGGCACATTACAAAGCAAAGCATTCCGGCCGCAAGCTCGAATTCAAGCATGCCCTTGCGCATTGCCAGCTTAAAGCAAAGTTTCCTAAAGGTAGCAAAGAGTTGGTTGTCTCTTCCTTCCAAGCCATCGTTCTTCTGCTCTTCAATGGTTTGAAGACGGAGGAGCACATGGAGTACAATTACCTCAAGGAAGCTACGGGTCTCCGTAAGTTCAATCAACCAATGTCACCTTTTCCGTGCTGACAATTCGTAGCTCCGGCGGAACTCAATCGGACCCTCCAATCTCTTGCCTGCGCCAAGATTCGACCACTGACCAAACACCCCAAAGGCCGAGAGATTAACCCCACCGACACTTTCACACTCAACGCCAATTTCACGGACCCTAAATACCGCATCAAGATCAACACAGTGCAGCTCAAGGAGACCAAAGAAGAGAACAAGGAGACGCACGAGCGCGTTGCTGCGGATCGCAACTACGAGACACAGGCCGCGATTGTGCGCATCTTGAAGGCTAGGAAGAGAATTAGTCACGCAGAACTGGTTGCTGAGACAATCAAAGCGACGAGGAGTAGGGGCACGCTAGAGGTTAGCGGAATTAAGAAGAACATTGACAGGTTGATTGAGAAGGAGTTCTTGGAGAGGGAGGAGGACAACGCGGGGTGGTATGCTTATATAGCATAAGCTATGGATTTGGAATTGGATATCAAGGGCAAGCGCTGGTTACAAAGACGCCCATGTAGCAAATAAGAATATAATACCATGACTCGGTGCCACCAAGGAAGCAGCAACAACTGTTGTACGAGAATGAGGGAACTGGGAACTGAACTGCAGTTGTGATCACAATGACGACGCACAAGGCAAATATGCATACATGTTGAAAATGTTGCAGTACTAAAATACAAACATGCTCCTCCTCCATATTCGGGTATCGTCTAGTCTTCCTTTCCTACTCTACGTGTCCAATAACGCCATAGGATAAAACTACTCGTGAAAAACACTACCCAGCTAAACTCCAGTGTTTCTTGACACCCCAGTCCAACCTCGTCATGCCTTGCAGATCATCGCCGTTCAGATAGTCAACGCCCTCTGCCACCAGCACTCTCCAGACACGATTCCGCAGCGCAATCGGCCACTTGGGCGCGCTCCAATACCTTGCCTTGAGGCCCCTTTCATGCGCTCCACGGATCTGACTGCGGATTAGCTCCAGCTGCTTCTCCGACAACGAGCCCCACCACACAAAGCCAATGGATTTGCGGAAGTCAACCGAGGCGTAGTAACTGTTGGTCGAATCAAAGTGAGAGTCGGGCGTTGTGCCAATGGTGCCTTGTCCGCCTTGTGGGTTCAGAGCAGCGTCAGACGACATTTGGGCGAGCGGGGCATCGAAGAAGATGTCGCGGTAGGTGCTGTTTGCGGTGACGAGGTCAAAGGGGGCGTTTCCTGTTGCGACGACGGTGATGGCGCCGGGGATTGTCTTTTCGCCGTCAAAGTACGTGAGGTAGCCCTTCTCTCGCAGAGCACTCAATTGCGAAGACACGACGGGGAAGATGTCGCGGCCGTCGTTTTTGAAGTCGATGAGCAGGACGAGAGTTTGCTTGGGGACAGTGTCGAAGATGCCGTTCTTTATACTTGAGGTGGCTGCGTAATTGCCGAGCTGGTTCTTGTGGTCGAGCATCTTCACCAAGGGGTCAACGTACATTGATCGGAACGTTCGGTTTTGAGTTAGTGCGTTGGTGCTGTGGCCGACGAGGAGCTCTTTATCGAAAAGCCAGACGTCGGCTTCCACGCCAGTGCAGCCCCAGCGGAGGGCATCGTATAATGGAACGCGGCGCCAGTAGTCGTTGTGAGAGTGGCATGGAACGGGTGTAACGTCGCGAGTAATGTCGAGAAGCTGGCCTGGCACTGTCCAATCGAGCGATGTTGATGCCGGATCGTCCCATAGCAATGGTACGTAGCCAAAGAAAAAGTTGACGAGGTGAATGAGGCCACTGAAAGTATTAGTATTTCGAGGTCACTATTGTTTAGATCTAGTACGAGTCTGGACAAAGATGGGCTTGCAGATGATGTGCATAAGCTGCAGCGAAAATGGGCGGAAGCATCCGAGAAGACTTACAAGACAATCATAACCAGCACGGGTATCCCCAAGAAGGTTCTCTTCCTCCACCTGAATCTCTGCGACTTCTTCTTGTCATCTGCACCCAGCTTCACGCTCTTGAAGTCCTGACTCGGCACCACGCCATTCTGTCTCCTCCGCATCGACATGCGTAACCGTTTCCAGAAAGCGGGCCTTCGATGTGGTCCTAGATGTCTGAACTCGCAATTGGCGTCTTCGCCATGTTCTAAAGATGCTAACGATACATTGGACTGCGTTCTTTCCTTTGAGGGATGGAAGTCCTGGAGTAGGGGCTGAGCAGTGGCTGATTCGGAATAGTCGGAAGCTGGACTTGTCATGATGGCGGGCTAGATATCCAGGCACGAGCCAATGGCTGGGGATGTGGATCTGATCTCGCAGGACCCTGGCTTGGCGGAGGAAACACAAGTCTCGTCCAATGTAAAATGGCCAGACAGTCCTTCCTTGCTCCAGCGTCCGATGGCCAATGTCGCTGCGAAACGTCGAGTGTGTTCTCTGGCACGCGTAACGGGCTGGCAGCCCTCTTAAGCTCCCTTGACACTGCCGCAGCGAGCCTGCACGCTGCAGACGGCGAAACGAGGGCTAAATTGCGCTCTGACGGAGATCCAGACAGGCCGACAATAGACCCCGGGGCGTCGCTCCAGGCGTGAAACGGAGAAGCTAAACAAGTAGCGCCACTGGATTGGGTAGTCGACACTTGACGATGGATGGAAAGGGAAAGTCGCGCACTCCAGGGTCCAGGTTGCGTGTTCGACCAAGTATTTGTATCACTCCGAGTTTCGAGAGTGTCGGCTACGTTTCTCGGAGGCCGGACTGTGGGATTGAAGAGAAGCGCATGGCCGTCTGCCAACTCTGGATCAGCTGCAAGGCTTTGCAGCTAGTGTTGTGGTGCACATCTCTGCAACCCGTTCCCAGCCTGGGGAAACAACATGGCCCAGCGAGGTGACCACGCTCTCGAACATGCACACGGCGCAGGGTCCGCTAAACCCAGCACGACGCCGGGCCTGCCCGTATGATTGGCCGACCCGCTTCACCACCACAATATGCGGCACCGCCAACGGTGGGGATTTCCAGTACTAGCGTCAGACGGTCATGCTGCTGAGTCTGCGGAAGGCTTGGTATTCCGTTGCAAACACCACGACTTCGCAACTCTGTATATCTGCGGCCAAAGTACCGAATGCAACGGTATCATGTCGGTCGTTTGCTCACGTCACTGCATTCGCTGTGCTGCTGAATGCCTGCGAACGCGCGTCAGCCACACTATTGTATACGCCGGCCGTGCTCCGGTTGGCTGAATCTACCATTTGACGCCTAGGGTGGCTGGTGGCTACTTACGATGAGGACTGACGCAGGGGGGAAGGGCGCATTGGGGCCGACTTATCCTTTAGCTTCAACGTCTGTCCAACATCGATGATGATGAGGAGTGCTGACACGAAGCCGCAGTGCTCCATCTGAGCCATTTTCACTGGACCCAGCGTGGCCCCATGCTGCTCCGAGGGGTCGACTTGAACACCGGGCAGCATACGTGTTCTGTTAAGATCCATCTGAATCGACTGTTACATCGATTGAGAAGCCATTGTCGTCTAGTCAAGATCGTACAAGATGGTCGTCACAAGGAAACAACTCTATTTGCAAACAGCTTCTATCTAACTACCCATACCCCTCGGACTCTTATCCAGGACAAAAACAGCAAGTCAATTACATTCAAGACAATCACCAACCCGCACTTTCCCTTACCTGTTCCACTTCCATTGCCAGCACTCTCAATCCTGCGTCTTCGCCTGCTTCTTCTGTGTCACTGTAGAGTCTGGGCCAGGACTGGACTCTTTCTCCGGAGAAGAGTCTGAAAGCTGTACGAATTCGCCTAAATCCAGCTCTGCCTCAGGTGACGCCATTTGGACATCGCGCGATGCATTAGTAGTACATGCCGATACCGGTGCCGATGCCGATGCTGATGCTTGCTGCTCACCCTGGGCCTCATCCGCGCCTGCTTGGAATTGTTGAGCCCTTTTGCGCCTCAATTCCTCATTTGCTTTGACTTGCTCATATCACTCTTTTGGATGAGGCTCGCCGTCTGGTATCTGGTCCAGGAGAAAGGCTGTTCGTCTCCCGGGAACGGGTAGGGATTCTTTGCGATGCCACTCAGTCCTACATCTAGTGATTTTGAGGGCTCATCGTCGGATGATTTCGCAAGGATCTCTTCACCGTGCTTGCGTCTATCACTCATCTTGGCGATGTTGACGGTAGATATAGTGCAATATTACTAGGCCCGTCTGGATATATGTGAAGTTGCAATCTTGATCAATCGACCCTGATCTATGCAAGTTAATTTATCTCGGCAAAAGTGTGTTGCGGATTGTGAAAGTACTGTTTTAAGTTGTCTGATATAATGCAACATGACTCTAAAAGGTGACTCGGTGCTCAAGTTGAATGATTGGGCCTAACGATGCGTCATATAGTGGCAGAAGGGATAACTGTAATAAGTTTGAAGAGGTTGATTTAGGATTGTACCAGATGTTTGATGTATCGAAGCTTACACCATAGAGGTGGTATAGGAGCGACAGTAGCGGCTTTTTCCATATAATGCTTGAAGAAGACTTGCAATCAATTGCAGCGAGACTCGTGACATCATGCCAACAACGCAATGTAGGTAAACACTACTTGTTGAATGCCAATGAGTGTTGGATTATTCACAGTCAAGGGCGTGACGCAGACGTGCAGTGAACTTTGCCCGGTTCACCGATGGGTCACCAGGGACAGCTTCATGTTGTGATAGAGTAGGTGGGGAGATCCATCTCATGCCATAGCTTTCCTGCATCACACAAGCACAAATTCTCATTGAAGATTTTGTCCTTCTTGCACCCCTGGGCCCATGTTTGCTTCTTTTTATGGTTTCCCCTGCGTTGCTTCAATTTTTCCACTTTCCGGTGCCGACTTCTAACGTGACAAGCTTTCTCTCCGACGTGTTTCGCTCTCTATCCCATCTATACTGAAGTAATTCTAATATTCAATCATAGTAGCCGCATTTGCTTCACTGGTTTGGGGCAAAGAGCCATCAGGGTATGAATACACGACAGTTCAAGTGAAGCAATGTATGCTCAATTTGAACAAATTACACAGCAAATGCCTTGACTGTGATGAGGATTCTAATCTGCAGTCCAAACTAAAGATCGACTTTCGATCCAGATCAAGCGTTCCTCTTTGCAGCCATCAATTCCCTGTAGGTGTCGATGATTGTCTTCCTCTCTTCTCCTAGCTCTTCTCTCTTCCTCAAACTGCCCGCCGCATTCGGCACATTGCCCACCTTCGCCCCCGCCCCGTTCTTTACCTTGAATATCTCCCTCGGTGTCTTCGTAAACTCCGGGGGCGCAGAGACCACGTCATGTAAGCCCTTCCTACTCTCTCTCTTCTTATTGAGCGCCTCCCACTCATCTTCACTATTATTATCGACTTCGCCAGCCAAAAGTTTACGTTTACTCTTCTTCGCCTTTTTCTTCTTGCCATTGACCGTAGTAGGCAAGTCTGATGTTTTGTCCTCCCACATGGCCTTTTCCTCGTCTTCCTCCTCCTCGGCCAACTCGCGCTCCTCCTGCTCCTTCTCTCGTATGCGCGCTTCTTCTTCCCGCCAGCCTTTTTGTAGACGCTTCAGTCTGCGTTCATGCTTCGTAATTCTATGGTCGCTGACGCCTGCAACCTTCTTACTGGATTTCGTCACGCCGGAGAGAGGGAGAGCTTGGTCGACCCGAGCTTTGAATTCGGACATGGACTCGCCCGGCTGTATTCGGAGATCGACTTTGTCGGCCTTTTGCTGTATTTCGGCCTTGCCCCGATCCTCTTGGTCTGTGCCCTCTGCCACCTTTTGTTGCTGTTGCTCTTGTTTGCGCTGCTTTTTCGTTTTCACAAGGCCGTCATCCAGGCCTGATCGTTTAGGCTTGGTGCCTTGTGAGAAGGCCATCAGGCGCGCAAAGCCCTTTGGTGTGTCGTCTGCCCCGTAACCTTCGACATGTCCGGTCTTGCGTTTCTTTGCTTTCGGTGCAGAGCTGAAAGTGCGTGCTTTGCCTACTGGAAGAGATGTTGCATGGAGATCTGGGGGTAGATTGAATCTGCGCCAATACTGTGAGTGGTGCCAGTCAAGCATGAGCGCGTTACGTACTGGTTGGCATCGTCATCGTCGGGTCTGCGCTTGTGTTTGTGCGGCATGGTGGCTCTGTGTCCTGGTGTTCGAGAGACTGTCGCAAGTTGAGGTTGGTTCCCAAAAGTCACAAAAATGTTGCAGGGGTCTTGCGCATGTGGGGCCAAGGTTCCCGCTAGCGTCCATCTCCACGTGCACATGCCTAGAAGCATGGCGTCGTCGTCTTCATCTTCAGGCAAGAGCGCAGACCAGCAGGGTGATGCTCTTCGTGAATAAATCTGTTGATTCTATCGATACTTGTATGGGTGAGAAGCGAAGTATCTATCTGGCCACGGTCCATGCCTTTCCTGGTATCACCGCACCGAACGAACGCCACGACGCCTTGCAGTCTATACTTCCAACTATAAAGGGATCATTTCACAACGTAACCATCGTACAGGTGCCTTTGTCTAGAAAAGGCTCCATCCTGCTTTTCGTCCACCACCATCCCGTTCCCGTAAGGCTCTCTCTTCACGCCGCGACATCATGCGCTTCTCTCTTTGCTCGAGCTGGCGTAAACCCTCCATCTCCTTGAGAACGTGCTCCAACAATTCCTTGCGGCGCACTACGTCAAGATGACGCTTGATCTTCGGGTCCTCCTTGGCAAAGCGATCGATCTCTTCTTGTGTAAGGCCACGGCCAAGGCGTGCATCCAGCTCACGTGGGAACTAGATTAATTAGTTAGCTTATGCGTTGAAAACAATACGCTCCGAGGACAGGGCGGTGTAAAGACTCACAATGTAATAGAACTTTGAAAGTAACTCAGCATCCAGGAAGAGATCGGCCGTCGTAGTGAGCTTATCCGCTACAGCGTCGAGGAATACTTCAGGGCAGTGGTACTTGTTCTTCTTCGTGGCGCACTGCTTGCTCTTTACAGCAAGGAGACGTAGCTTGAGAACGTCCACTCGATCGCGGAGAAATACCGCTTCACGTCCTGCGTATCATCGTCAGCATTGTATACAGGCCGCGTCTGCGAAATTCAATATACCTTTTGCCAACAATGCCGCACTGAAACCCCCAGCACCGCCGACACCGTCGCCCTCTAAAACCACCTGGCCACTACGTACACGATCGATGAATGACATGACGTCCTTGACCCTCTTACGTCCGCCCATTTGGTCTTCGAGGTGCTTCACCGCAGACTCGCAGACCTTGAGCTCGTCCTTCAGAACTGTCGTGACGTTCTCTCGTCCTTTCGCCCACTCGCTGTCTTCCACCTCGATGCGGTATTTGTAGGGCTTGATGCAAATCTCGAGCTCGTCCGAGATGTCGTACGACAAATCTTTCAGTATTGACGTGGACGCATCAGTGATAGCTTGTCGTGCAAAAGGATGTGCGGCAAACCGCGAGTTGGTAATCAGACGGTCAATATGGGCTTGCAGAGCGTTGGCAACTACGCTCGTAGCCACACGTCCGACACCAAGCTTGGTCAACGCAGCACTCGAGCTGTCAAGCTTGATTTTCCAAATGTTGTCCTCACCTTCCACATCAGCTTTAGCAAGGCTGCTCAATGGATCAGCATCAGGAAAGGGGACGCTGAGATCATCGAAAGGACGGTTCCAATACCGCTGTGCCAAAAGGTTCAACACTTGCTGATCAAGCTCGTGCTTTAGTAGATCGCGGACTTGTTGTCGACCGAACTGCTCTGAAAAGCCACGGAAGGAATGTTTGAACGAGTCTAGAGATTCTGCGAGATAAGACTCTGCGCTCAGAGGGCGCTCGTTGTACTGCACTTTGTACTCGTAGGTTGCATCGGCAAGTTCGCGTTGGATGGCCTCGCTTGTGGTCTTGAGACTACCAGCCATAGTTTGCTCTAAGACATGCATGAGCTTCTTTTTTAGGTTTTTGGTACCAACAGCTAGTTGGGAATCTGGGGAGAACTCGGGGTGCGAGGAGAAGTACGCAGCCTCATTCTTGTTGATGGCATTTGTGATGTTGCCGTTGCCGCGCGTGAAAAGCTTATTACCTCCAGCATTGGCAGGAACACGACACACAACGCCAACGTATCCTAATCGCAAAGCGTACTTTTTGTCGGTGAGCAGACTGGCACCACGCTCAGCGTCCACAAGGTCCATCTTTGTGATGACACCGATCGTCCGCTCGCCCCGCGGATCGACCTTTCTTGATGCTCGAAGCGCGGTACTGTTGGCTAAGTCGACGTCTGCCGCTGAAATGGCTAAAATGACGTTTGGTGATCGGATGTACTTTTCACACAGCGCCGATATCTTCTCTTTTAGCTCTGGTGGCTGATCGCGTCCAACTACCTGAATGTATCCGGGCAGATCGATCAATTGCAGGTCAGGGACGTTGGGTGAATATATCCGCAACTGAATAGGATCGTCTGAAACACAATCCGATGCGGGTACAGCAAGGTTCAGGTCCGTGAGCGTTTTCTGGATCTGGTTGAAATCCGTGACTTTGCCTAGTCTGAGGGCTGGAAACTCTCCGTATTCAGCCTGTGCATCCGGAGTGTTGACCAGAGTAAGCTCGATGGGTCGGCGAGTGACCATATTGTGCCCCTTGGGCAAGAACTCGTGCCCAACGATAGCCTCCAATACCGAGCTCTTTCCCGAGGACTGCGATCCGATGACGACAATAGATGGCAGAGTGAGTGTGTCGGACTGCCCAACCGTCTGCAGCAGTCCACGAATCTCAATCATCTTCTTGGTGAGCATCATCATCTGCTCATCCCGGGCGATCTTTTCTGCCTCCTGTTTGTCCTCCTCATCCTCCTGCGGATATCCAAAAGCTGCGGCCGTTGATGCACCTGCCGCTGCTGTACCCACACCGCTGTGCTTCGGCTCTTCTGGCCCTCCGCGTCCACCATTGCCGCTCGAGCCACCAGACTCATCCTTGGCGAGCAGTCGTTGAAGCCATTCCGGGTATTGTACTTTGTCCAAGTCTTCCTTCGTCTGGTTCCATCCTTTTCCAAGTTGGTCGAAGACGCCGTTCGCTGTGCCAACTACGCCGCCCGCCAGTTCGGTGGCGCTGTCTTTGGTTCGGTGGAAGAGATCAAGGGCAAATGTTCCGGCCTCTGTCGCTAGTCAGTTTCTGGATCTATGTTGTCCTTTCGATATACATACGGCCGGCCTGGTACTGTATGTAGGAAACGCCGGCAATCACGGCGCCCCCAGTGGCGGCTCCTACTGTCGCAAATTTGCCGACAAGTTTTGGTATGATTCTCGCGAACGAGATGGATCTCGTTGCAGGCAAGTTATGCAGGGCATAGCTTCCAAGCGGCCAGGGGCGGCGTTTGATCAGTCGAAGGCCAGCTTCGTTTCGTAGCAGACCTCCGGCGGGGAGCGTGTTGGTCGTGTACTGTCGGGGCGTGTGCAGAGGCGTTCGGCGCGCGAACGTAGCCAGGCGGTTCGCGACGAGCCTGCCGCTCATGGTGACTAGGAGAATGGACCGATGCAGTATGCCTCGCGCATAAGAGTCGTTGGGTGTCCAAAAAGCGGTAGGAGCATGCACGTCACACTTCACTTTTAGGGCCGGAGCGCACAGACCATCTGTGAGTCGCTAATGCGACATGGGTAGCTCTACAACGCATTGCATCCCAGATACAGTGGAGTGAGGCCAGAGAACTGTGTCATCGAAAGCTGCACTACTTGTATCTCCCCAGGTGTACTTGCTGCCCGAAATTACTTTAAGCAAAGTATAGCCCGCTCTCCGAAAGCTTGCAGCACCGACCCGTCCTCCTTGATCATGTCTCTGAGCCAATTCCTTGAGCCTTCCACTTCAGCACTCGCAAACTTAACCAACAAAAATCCCCGAACATTGGCAGCACTCCATATCAGCCCATCAGTCTTCTCTCTCTGCTGTCTAGCATGGCGTCTTTGCTCCCTTGACGTCAAGTCTGGCTGTGCAGAGTCGCCCCAATTTCTGCCGCCTATACGTGGCAATGCCTCGAACTCGTCTAGAAAGAACTGTGACAATGCCGAGAAGATTGGCCCTCGGATTATGAGCGTCCCAAAGACCGAATATCCATCCATACGCGACGACAATGCCATGTTTGTGCGGCCGTGGTTGTCTAGTATCAAATTGTCCCTCATGAGCAGTCTCTTCTTGCCAGCGTTATCTGTAGTCCATACTTCGTTCCTGCTCTTGTATTCATAAATATCCCAGTTTTCTCCACGTGCCGACCGTCCACTAGTAACCCAATCGCATGCACATAAGCTCCCCTGCTGGTTTTTGAGATGGTATGTCTGTGATTGAGAGAATGCTGTACGTGCAAAAGGCTGGACTGGATCCGGAAGATAGACGAGGGCTGCATTTTGATCCAAATGAACCGTCATGTGCTGCTTGGACACCACTGAAGGATCGAGGGTCTTGAAGATCTTCGTTGACCCTTGGGTCAGGAGTACGAGCCTAGTCCCGCTGTCCAAGCGCACTTGCAAATCGATACTATCACCTGCAACAATCCCTCCTCCATATGTGAGTAGGAAGACAGTATGGATGAGGCGAGGCGATATCATATCAGAGCCGAATGCAGGTGGTGGCAGCGGATCCGGCGCGACCAATTTGAGAGGGTATTGATACGACACATTACGAAGCACAGGGTTGTCTGGAGGTAATGTTACGAGAATGATTGACCCATGGCCTGCTTTAGCAGTAGAGGAGCCGAATGGAGAGGTGAAGACCATCTTGGGATGTTATTGGTCTAGAGTCTAGGTCATCATGTGAACGCCAAGTTATACGAAACCGGTAAAGCCAAGGAAAGGGAAGAAGTCCACAGATGTGATCGCAGAACGCAGCAGATTATTGTTTAGCGGACACAGGTGAGCGAGAGCAGGCCAATCATGCGCTCGGGCCCCACGCTAAGATACCCCCACCCTTTCCTCAAGCTGCGCGAACACCCGCCTGCAGAACCACCTCTATTCTACCGAGTCAACCCATCAACCACGCGTTCGAAACCCCAAGGCGACAACTTGGCAATGACCTAAGGGTGTCCAATTCTTTTCTTTGTGCTGGCAGAGGCAAGGGGACGGGCGGACAATCATGGCGACAGGCTTCGACGCGCTGATCGACTTTTTGCTGTCGGAGATCGCCCTGTGCGGCACTCAAGGTATGTGGGTCCGCAGTTCGAATCTCTCACTCGCCGCATATCTTCATAACACTTTTGGGGGGTCATACTTCGCATTGTCACTGTTCGTGTATAGTCGCAACAGATGAGTTCTCCGCTGTTGCTGTATCGGATAGCTACAGTGCGCCCAATTTGCCATCGCTCAAGTGTACGCTTTCTCAACCTCCTCGCTGACTTCTAGTATAGGAGCTAGCAGCGCAGACTTTCAACGCTTCGTACAAAAGTACTATTCTGGCGACACTACATCCAGCCCACGAAATGGATACGCACAAGGACCTTCTCAAAGTGTACTTGGCCGCACGTTCTCGGAGAAATTGTGGCAATGGGTCACTACGCACTCTGACATCCGCGTCATCCACAACAGCCAAGCCCGTCACTATTCTCTTACAGATTTCATAGCCGCTGAAAGAGCCGATGGCGATGAGACGAGCCTTGAGAGCGACGATATCCTAGCTTTTACCTCACCTGTTCCTCAGAAAGTCTCACCGGCGCAACCTCTTCTGGCACTGCGCGCAGCCTTGCAACAGCGCTTGTCGGCGGAAGGGCAGGATGCGAAGAGACAAAACAGCTCGTCTCCACCTTTTATCCACTCTACACTGCCACAAAGGGAGGGCGAGATGGACAAGCAGGCTGCCCTAGTGTCTCATGTTGCAGTGCGAAGTCAGCCTCGTAATACGGCGAAAAGTTGCTACTTTGATGCTGCGGTATTTGATGAGCCTACATCGTCTACTTCAGCTCCTCGTCTCTTCGCCAGTCAGAACCGCATCTGGCAGGCATTGACAGGGCATAGTATGGACCTAAAAAAAGTGCCGACCATGGAGTTCGCACTCTTGTCTCTCATTGCTGCTCATGGGCCAGATGGTATCACACAGCCTGATCTCGTGCACTTCAGTGGCCAAGACAAGCGATCAGTGCCGCACAGAACAGACGAACTGGCTCGAAAAGGGTATATCGTCAAGAACCCTGTACAAGCTGGCAAAGCTCGTACCAGTCTTTGCGTACACACCAAATTCGTCTCGCAGAACCACTTCACGACCTCTGGGGCTGTAGAGGATGCCTTTCGACCAGGCACTTTTGTTGCTTCAAGCTTCGTGCCACTGCTTTACAACTCGTTCAAAGATGCTGGCGTTGTGCTTACACGTGATCTCCGAAAGCGAATGGTAAAAATTGTGAACCTGCTGTATGAAGTCCGCTAATAGCTTCAAGGGTGTACCGCTTGCGACTTGGAACAAACGAGCTGTGCATGGCGCTCTCATTCGCCTCGATCAGAGTGGCATGATCAGGCGTTTTCAAATCCGCAAGCAGAAAAGCAGAGATCTCTGGGTCACCTGCATACAGATTCAGAGAGAGCCGCGTCCAGAGGATCTCGAGAATCTTGGTTTCCGACGTCAAGCGCCTATTGCCGATACCACTGGTGAGCAACTACAGGAAGACGACGATGGTGAGACCTTCATGAGGGATCTCGAGGTTGACATGCTTGAAGACGATGAGGATAACGACGGCAACAATCAATTGGATGGAGTCACTCGAATACCGCCACAGTGGACGCCTGATCGCCTGCTCAGCAATACCTTCTTCGAGTTCACTGCTCTCGGTCAGACATCAGGCTGGGATGCGCTCGTGTTGCGTGATCGGGTGGTTGGCCCTTACTGGCGACGCCCCATGGAGTCACATCTGACACGTTTGACTGACGACTGGGAACGTATGCAGCCTCCTCACCTGCGGCATCTCGCCATCATCCGTGATACGCGTACTTCGGACGAGAAAAGATTTGTCCATTACGTATATCGTACATACCGCCATTTCCAACAAGCAGTTCGCGCCGGCGAAGCAGCATGGGGTGGTGTATGTAAGCCATCTCACAAGTCCGATGGGAAGTCGGGCCAGAAAAAGAGCGTGAACGAGGTCACTAAGTTGGATTCCTGGGGCTTTCATGGCGCCAATCAAAAAGACTTTGTACGATTCAACGGCACAGCAACCTTGTCGGATGTTCGTTCTGCTATCGCCGCGCCCCGCAAATATGGGACTCGCTGGGACATTCCACTGGCTAAAGACATAGGCTACGACAGAGCCAACGTGGCCACACCGAAGATCGTGGCCAAGACACGACCTAAGAATGTATCTACTGGAACAGAAAGCTTGGAACGTCCTCTAACGGGCGACAAGAATCATGACGCTGAAGGCACAGAAGAGGCCGATGATAGTGATGAGCAGCCACCTACGCTTTCTGTTTTTCGCAGACCAAAGAACGGCAAGACCAAGAGGAAGGGCTCAGGTCTGGTCCTCACCCCAGAAGAGAGAGTGTCACTTGGGTTGAAACCTTCTGGTCGTCTTAGCAAAAGCGCTGCAAATCAGATTCTTGCTCATCGCCGAGAAACTGGCGACCCTAACTCACTCCCGGATAAGCTCGTTGACGAGCCTGTGATACGTGCAAAAGCACCACTAATGACGAGAGAGGAACGCATTGCTGAGAATCTACCGCTGAAAGGTCGGCTAGGCCTAGACAAGGAAAATGAGATTCGTGAGAAACGAGGTTTGCCAAAATTGGTAGAGAAGGTCAGGAAGAAGCGAGGGACGAAAGAGCCGACTGTTCTGACGAAGCAACAACGGATAATGCTCGGGTTCAAGGACCACGGCAGACTACATCAGTGGTTCATTGACGATCTGCGTCGCGAGCAAGAAAACGATGTTCCCTTGGAAGAATCACCCGCAGTGAAGAGATACCGAGAGTTTCTGAGGGGCGACGATGTGAAGGCAGGAACTGATTTAGTTCCAGCCAACCATCCTGGTCAGACGACGCCACCGAAAGGGCAGACCCCAGTTGCAACCAAAGAGGCTCAACATGATATGTCTGAGGTTGTGGGACAAACGCCACAAGTTGTAACGACTCCAGGTAAACGCAAGGCAACGGGTGTTGAGCACAACTTCAGCAAAAAAGAAAGAGGGTTCACACCAAATCAAATGTGTCGCGGGACAACGCAGGCACCACAGTCACGAGTCAACAGGCTGATGCCCAACACCTCAACAACCCACAGCTTCCGAATGAGTCTTTGATCGAAGGCGCTGTGGCTTCAATGGAAGAGCTGCAGCCATCTAATCACAGTACACCATCACGTCAAGGACCTGCCTTAGTTGCCCAGGGCGTGGGGCACCCCGCTAAGCCTGTTCCAGTCCCTAGAAGCACTGATGACAGCCATGAACGCCAGGAACGATCTTTACCAGGGCTGTACCTGTACCCCTCTGCTAAGCGAAAAGTCTTGCGTGGTCGACCTCGAAATGCTTTTCTCGCAATACTTCAGACGTCCCGTTTGGTCGAGTTGCCGTTCTTCACGAAAGAGCAGACTGGCGGACACGAACCTACAAATATCATCTTACTGGGGCCATGCAGATCGGCACCAGGCTCAGGCTTGCACATCTGCTTCAATAAACCGGAGGCAAGTTCCAGCTCTTCGAGCTGCGCACGATTACCGCCCCAGTCGGCAAATTCGCTTGAGCTTAAGGAGACGAGTACCGCGATCCTCCCCGGGTCTCCGGCACGATCACGCGAAGAAGGTGAAGGCCCAGAAAATTTGGAAGAACAAGGTCAAGATGGACTGTATAACATTGATTCGCAAGCACGGGCTCCGTCTCAACTATTCCAGCCGCCCGAGATCGCTCCAGATATGCAACAGGAGTATCGAGCTGTGACACCAGGAGACGAATTACCATCCACTGTTGGACCTAAAGTTAATGGCGAAAAGTTGAAGCCCTGTGTGGTAGCCGGATGGAACTCACTAAATGCATCCACTCAGGTCACACGACCATCGTACCAGAGCCCTTATGCACAATCATACACTCCAGCTTCTACTCAACAGGTAGCAGCCGCTGACATCACGCGACTTCCCACGATGAGAATGGAGACGCCTGATCTCGATTTGCAAAGCTCCACAGAATTGCCCCAAGGAGTGGTTGGGCAGGTACTGGAGGAGGAAGACGCTGAGATCGCTGCATTCAGGAAAGCACAAGCAAAATCTGCAGCACCAACAGCCGTAGGCAGTGCGTTGCAATTTCGTCGAGAGATCATACTAGAAATCATCGACCGCTGCAATGGTGTCTTTCCACTTCACGGCGAGATTGGGCGACCGTTTCGGGCAATGTGGAATCTACGACACGGACATACCAGCCTCCGAGTGCCCGAAAATTCAACTGTCCATGATACCTTGAAAAATATGATAAGTAATCCGGCATTTGGTCTTAAGCGCATGGCTTTTCAGGTAAAAGCCAGAAATGCTGCCGGCAGGAAATTGAGAGCGATTGTAGCGAGATCTAACATTGCGCCCAGCGATCCAAGGGTCATGAGATTAGCTTACAACATGGCAAATCATAGTACTGAAAAAGCCAATCAGTTCTTTCCCGAAGAGATCCGCGATATCTTTGAATACGAGACATTGTACATTCCACCGCCAGTTGCTCCCAAGGATGAGAGCTTTACCTTGGCTCAACTCTATCCGGAGATCGAAACCTCTATCCAAGAGAACAAGATACGACGTCGGAAAGAAATTGCAGCACAAAAGAAGGCGGAGAAAGCAGCTGCGAAGAAACAAAACAAACAGGTGGAAGAGGTCATGCCGAAGCGACGGGCACGAGCACAAGAGCAGAACGATCCCGCTCAGAACAGCGTTCGCGAGAAGCGCACCCGACTCGCGAGTTTGAACGACAAGAACAAGAGGTATCGCCGGGCACCTGTACAGGTTGGCATATTGGAAGACATGGAAGAGGCGGCAAGTCACTCTGAGATGCGCGAGCCTTCCCCTACTGGAACCGATTCATCTGACGACGTGCCGCTCATGACCTTACGACCTGGACGTGTTAGTCCCATCTCAGAAGAAATCACAAGCGGCGATGAGGACGCACCGCTTCGCAGTCTGGAAAAGAGCGACACTAAGATTTTGGGTGGCTTTCCTTCATTCGTCGCCAACATGGAGGCGGTCTCATTCACTGATCCAATCATCCGATTGCATGCGACGACTGGCACATATGCGACTGATTTCAGTCTGATCAAATTGTCCGATCGTCTTGCACACATCAACATCAGAGAGGCCACAATACCCGAAGCTAGTGCTGAGCAGACCATATCTTCTCCAACTGCTGCGATTCTCAATCCTCTCGTCAACTTCCACGCCACCACTGGCACGTTCTCTACATTCTTTGCCCTATTTATACCGGACCCGAAATCCGGCCTGATCACCGCGGCGAAAAGGACACCAAAGAGTTCAATCAATCCGAAGAAGCGTGTTCGAATACATGAGCCTGCCTCTGAACGCCCTGGCAAGAGGCTCCGCAAACCCCATGTATCTCAGAAAGAGGTGCTAGACGATGAGTTTGTTTATAGCTCCACAGAGGACAGTGATGCTACTTCGTCTGAGGATGAAGAGGAGGAGCCCCGCCCTAAACAAAAGCAGAAGCAGAAGACGAGGGGATCGGTCTCCAAACGCCAGTTGGGCAAGGCTCTGCCCACGCCAACTCTACTTGAACGTTTGACAGGTCTCACTGGTGATCCAAATGACCCCATCTACAAAGATCCTAAGGCGCGTTCAGGACCTGGCTCTGGACGGCCCTGGCCAGAACGTAAGAGAAAGCAATTCAACCAGCAAAGGAAAGAGCGTGAGTACGTGGAGACATTAGATCACGCCGACAGGTTCAAAAAACTGTCTTTGACACTAGCTCTTGCGTCCTCTCTATCAAACGAAGAGGGCGTTGTCGACTGGAGTATCGTTGAAAAGGTGTACGCTCGCGACCGTCTCTTCGACCTGCCAAAGGCGAAGAAACTTTGGGCCTGGATGCAAGCCCACATGAGTACACAGCTTTCAGAGCTGCTTCAGATGTTGCAGACAAACTTCCTTGAAGCATACGAAGCGGGTCGACTTCCTGCGATTGAAGACCCTGTGACCTATGACTGGGCCGGCCTCGTTCGATGGACCATGCGTACTTGCGCATATTCTGAGCCTCCTCTTCCCCTTTACCGCGAAACAATTGAGCAGTTCGCTGTAGACGAGTCTAATTACTCTACCATGGACAGAGTGACTTGGTACAGCAAAAGACTCGCGGACACGGGACGAACACAACTGCAGCTGCAACTTCCCTTCGTCGTACCTATACATGGACCATCTGCTCAGCTGCGCTCAGCGACAGGTAGCCAGACGAAAGCGAGGTCGTGGATACGTGCAAACATTGCGACTCCACAACCAATCTATGATGCTCACCTTGCACACGAAAAGCTCGAAACGATGGGCGAGGGAATTCTCAGCAGTGTTGTCGGAGACTTTGTACAGCATGAACATCTCAAGATGAGGAAACTCAAACGACAACTACCGGGAAGAAACTATACGTTCACAAAGAAGTTTGCCAAAAACTACAAGCGTCCTTTCTGAGCTGGAAGACTTTATGGTTGCAGCAACTGTCAAGAAAGAGCTGGATACCGCTTTTGCAAGTGAGGATCCCAAGAAACGATTCTACAGCATCTCTCGCTGTGAGGAGGATGGCTCTATCATGGCAATCATGTCATTAGTTGCAGACGGCAAGGTCAAGCTGGTGCCGCAACTTCCACCTGTTGATAATGAATTTGGTGCGCCACTGCCAAGGCTTTCCAAATGGGGGTTCTGCGAGGGTGACTATGTCCACCGTTCGATTGACCGAAATCGCATGTTTTGGGACACACGTGTCGTACCGACCTTGGACTACACATTCGGTAATCCCTTCCAGCCTATACCTTCACCGGCGGAAGACTGGCCGTCGCTTCCTGAGCCCCCACTTCCCGGCTGTCATGATGACGATGCATTGCTACCTATCTGGAGTAGCATTGACGGGAAACGAGTCACATGGCCTTGGTGGTATCGAATTTTGAACCTTGTTCTGCAACCGTTGTACCTACAGCCAGGCGCAAGAGCTGCCGATCTGTACTCGCACTGCCCAGAGCATACAACCGAACTCTTTGAGGTACAGCTCGTCCTTGACTGGCTCCAATCTATCGATGCTGTTTCCAAGACAGTTGGTGACGGTTACCGAGTCTCCTTGAACTTCTGGGCTGCTTTCGGCGACGTGCTACTCGACACTCGAGATGATATCTTTGGTCAGCATGTTAAACGCCATACCAAAATGACTACGAAGCAACAGTGGAGGGATAAGTACAACTTGCGGTATTCGAAGATGCAGGCGCAAAGATTTCAAGGCGGTATTCAGCAGCTCGTAATGGACAGGCGGAACGTCTTGATGCCACAATGAGTGAGCGGATCATTCACAATTCAAAGGCGCAGTATCGAATCATCCAGCAAGCGATGCTGAATCCGCCATCAGAATTCCAGGCAGAGACCGCAGAAAACGAACAAGCCGTTGAGCCTCAAGTCAAAGATATGGCAGATGTACAGGCTTCTACCGCATGTAACTCAGAGCAGCTTTTCACACCACATATGCTCGAGGACGCTTACCCTCCGGCTGCAGACGTTGAAATGGCCGAAGCAGGCGAAAGAGGCCAGGAAGAAGATGCTGAAGGAGAGCAGGATGATATAGATGCAGAGGGAGAAGTGGGACGATGATATGTACTGAGTACGTGTAAGAATAACAACTGACCAGTTGGGAAGGTTCAAGAGGCAAAAGCGTTTCCGCCACAAGCATAGCGAGGCGCACAACATAGTGCAAAACTACAAGAACTTCTTCATAATAACTGTTTAGTATACTTTTGAAATACAGTAGACCTGAGTTGCACATGCTTTTCTAGCGTTTGTTAATGGTGAAGAGGGCATGCGTAACGCTTGTCAAACAATACCCCAGTATGTCAACGTGTGTTCGATCTCGGAACAACCAAAGTCAGCGGTAAGCCTTAAACACCGAGCCCCAGTAGATTCAGAACGTCTGCAACCATAATTTGTTTCGCGCACATTGCAGTCACAGTAGCTGTCGCCCGCGCTACTGTCGATGTTTGCCTGAAAGTAACTGTCGTCGTCATTATTTGTCTAGATGTTAAGGTCCTCGTCATTATTTCTCTTAAAGTGACAGTCCTCGTAGATGCCCCTGTTGCTATTGTCGTGCATGCTCTTGTCACTGTCGTAGTGGGTGGGCGGTTGCGTGTGACCGTCCGCGTGCTGATTCTCTGCTGTGTCACAGTGTGAAGACTTTTCATCGTAATCGTCTGCGATTTTGTGAGCGTGATGGTACTTGTTTGCTTAAGTATTCTTGTTGTTGTCTGGGTTGTGGCCGGGGCCAAAGAAGTCGTCGTGATGTATGTAGTTGAGATCTGAGTGGTTGCCTCTTGGGGAGCGGCTGAGGCTACAGATGTGGTTGTGATTGTTTGAGTAGATCCTGGCGCTGTTGAAGTTGCAGTAATTGTCTGTGTTTTGTATTGCAATTGTGTAGAGGTCATGAGAGCAACTTGTGTCGTGACTGTAGTCGTCGAGACGTCGGCGTACGCGGGAAATGAACAGCCTATGTCGTAATAATAGTATGGCTGTGAGGGGTCTGTTGTGAAATTCCCGTACCTACGACCTACTGATTAGTATAAAACAATGGTTCACGACCCCCAAGCACTCTACTTACAAACGATTGCCGAAGAATTCGCAGTACTGTGCGCCTGCTCCGACGTCTCGGGAATAGCGAAAACTTTGACAGTTTCCAGCATCTTTCCTGCAGTACAAAGCACATACTGAGAATGATTGTGGACCCTTGTAGAAGAAGTTGCCCATGTAGTAGGACATGCTAGTTTCATTGTGTATGCCTTTCAAACCGCATACATTGTCATCGGAAACCACACCAGTGAGAAAGGAGAGCCAGAACAATAGAAGTGCGTGCATAGTTTTCCAGTCCTTGTAATACTAGTTGTCTGGATCGAATATGGATATGAAGTGGAGACGTTAGACACTCGTGTTGTGAAGGTTCGTCAGAAGAGACCATTCTTTGCCGGAGCAGCGTTTTCCACATCGAGCTGATGGTCGGGGCAGACGCGCTACACGAAAGGCATCGCAATCTCCGAGCAGTCAAACATTCGTAATGGGAAGTTGTGAATTTGCGTCATAATCCAGGCGAATTAAGGCGCGATCCAGCCTACCTTTGCCATCGGCCATTTAATCCAAGCGCGATGCTCGGCGTCCATGGCTTCAAAGATTCCGGACATGACATGATGCGTCCATCCCTTCATGTACCAAAATCTCTCCATGTCCTGCATGAGTACAGCGAAATGAGCGTAGATAATGAGCGGTAGTGGGTCGCATTGCTGCAATTGGTCGAGGAATCCGTCTGACATTTTATAAAGCCAGGCAAAGGCGACGTGGTATTCTGAGTCGACACCTCCATAGCGATTGGAGTAGCACTCCTGCAATATGCACACAGCTCGCACATTCTCTTCGATTTGAGATGATGGAGACGCTATAGAGACGTGCTCGTGGAGTTCCGATAGCTGGGATTCGTAGCCCATTGGCTCATCCGTTGATACAAGCGGACGGGATTTGGCCTTCGCAGCCGAGCCATGTCTTTTGTGAAAGTTCTGCTGTCCAAAGCTCTCCAGTGTCGTTCGAATTCCGCGAAACATCACCAGCCATTCGGATCTCCCATTTTCACCAAAAGCAAGATATTCCCCAGGTTGCGGTCCTCGCGCCCAGCTGACAAAGCAAATAAGCTGTACTGATAGCAATATGGCGTCACAGTTTTCGGCATTTATGTTCGCTATTGCTTGAGTGACACACGTCAGAGCGCTTTCATAGTGCTGGTTCGCTGTTGCAGTATACTCTTTCCGGCGAGTTGCACGGCAATATGCCAAATGCAGAGCAGTGAGTGCGAACATAAGATGAAGAACATGTCGATGACTGAACGCGACTTCTTCCATAAGTGTGTGCCACACTGCGGCACCTGATGCCCAAGCGGACAAGGAGTGTGAGGTGGTCGTTGTCCAGTGATACGTGAGCTCAATGTTTGACAGTTGTGAGTATTCCATCTCCACCGAGACACCTCTATTTTCCGAGGTGTTCAGTGGTATGTTTGTACCAAAACTGCACCGTACCTGGCGCCGTGCACAGTTCGCACATCGAGGCTTCGCTTCATCGCACTAAGAAAGTCTCAGTACACATTCCCAAAAAGTTTTGTGACAAGCGAAGGTAGCACTTTGAGGAAGCTTAGGGGCAGAAACAGGCTAACTTACCTTGATACGACGGCTCTTGCAATTCGTACATCCCGCACGCGATTTCTGATGTGATCTTCGCGTGATCTTTCCAGAGGCTACGTCACCGGAGAGTTCTTGCGGCGTGGAGATATCCTCTGATAGTGGAGACTCTTGCTGCATCTTAGAAGAAATTCGACGTTGTGCGTTGTTGCTTTAAGTACATGTATGCATCGAGCGGCAGTGTAGGTGATGGTAAGCGTGGTGCACTTTTGGAAGCGTAGGCGCAAGTGGCTAGCGGCGGAGTTCGTTCACGAACTACTGGTAGGCATATCTGGAGCAACTCTCTGCTCAGCGCGGATCGAAAGCGATCACTAAAGTAGATACCTAGGTATTGTACCACTAGATGACGCTCTCGTCATTCAACATTAGTGCTCAGTCGAACAAAGCCTAGTTCGGCTTGCCGAAGTTCAGCCGAGACGCGCAGATTTCGTATTCTCTCTCTTTTCGTATTCTGCTGTAGTGCCACCTCGTAGTCTCCACAGCGCCATATGTGCTATTTCAAGGGCACCGGCACTTTACTAGCCGCGTCATCAGACTTGACGATGCAGTATATATTGTCCCCCTCAACCTCACTCCGGTAGATATCCCTTTTCTTTGTATTCAGCCCTGCGTTCTTGTGGTCCAGTCTTACTCCGTCCGTCTCGAATGCATATCACCAAAACGGAAAACATGGGCTCCCAACACGAAGCCGAAATCTCCTCCCTTTCGTCAGCCCCAGCCAAGCACGCTCGCCCTGAGGTGCCACCACCGCCATACTTTGAAACGTACTTGATCAGTCCGAGCTCTTTCAAGGCTGCGATCAACCAAAAGCTCAGCAATCCTTTCACCTCTCTCTTCCAAGTCACATTTCGCTTTCTTCAATTCGCCTTTGCACTGGCAGCTGGAATATCTTACGCCATCGAACTGTCTCACGGAAATGTTTCCCGTCCAACAACCTTCATTTACAGCCAAGTCGTGTTCGGCATCACGCTCTTGTTCCTTATCGTGGATAGCACAACGGTCCGGACATATCGACTCACGTGGATGGTTGAGTGGACGTTGGTGATCTTATGGTTCGTCTGCTTCGCTGTCTTCTATCAGGCATACCTATCAGATGCCGTTAAACAGGAATATGAAGGCGCTGATGTGGGCCGGATGAAACGGGCAGCTTGGTGTGATCTGATTAATGCGCTTTTGTGGTTCGGCAGCGCAATCTTTTCGTCAACTATGTGTTGTACTGGTATCAAAGCAGCCGCTCAGAATAGATTGGAAAAGAGAAGGGCAAAGAAAAATAGGAACCAGTCTACAACACAAAAGATGGAGGAGATGGAGAGCGGTCTGATCGGAACGACTGCCAGATAAGTGCAAGTTCCTTGCTCCACGAGCCATTTGGCCGGCAGAACGAGTTCGAAGGGGTACGAAAGCAAGGGGGGAGGCGCACAGAGTGGCCCAGAATTTCACACGAATAAGTGAACTATATGAGTTATATCTATTGATTTCACAATAAATTTTGGTGGGTGATGATGCTGTCTTGTTTCAGCAGCTCAGAAAGTTTTGATGCCCATGAATTGTCGCCCTCCCTAGCTAGCGTCGGCGACGCGGCCATAAAGCTAATAATTGTCCCGACGTTTCCGCGCTCCGCAACTTGATTCAACGTCCGGTCACGTTTTCGCCACCCAAGCGTTACCAGCACAGTGGTTGACTACTGCACGAGCCCTTTTTGTCCTGTTTGCGTGGAGCTTGAGTTTTCCCTCCTGCGAACACCCTCCAGACGGGTCTTGCTGTCCCACTCCAACCAGTAAGCTATACTTAATCCTCGCGCGCTCACGCCGCCCACATGCAGGGCATATATGCCAAGTTTACTCGAATAGATGGTCTACCGTGTATGTAAACATATGTAGCAATTGCGTGCAGAAAACATATTGACTAGTGTACAAAGGGCAAGCCATCTGCCGCATGTGGTGAATGCAGAAAGCGGCGGAGTAGAGTAAGTCAAAATCCTACGATGGACCCAGGTAACGCCTATTGCCGGCCCGGCTTGAACATTCGATTTGGAATAGCGATGCCGCTTGATCATTGCTCATCGCTAGACGATTGCGCTTGGCCATTGCTGACACGCTGTAGTGCGATCAAGTTTTGCCCGCATGTGGACAATGTACAAAAGCGGGCCGCATTTGCCCAGGCTACCGCAACACGGTAGACTTGATGTTCCACGATGAAACTCGATCCATTGCTCGTAGAAACAAGATTCAGCCCTCAAGTCATGCTGAAGTCCAAGCGGTGGCCGGTCCCAGTCTCGAAGAGCAGGCTCTCATGAGAGTTGCTGCCGCTGCGCCCGTGAAGCTGACCGACTTCGTGCTATACCAACCTTTGGACGATCTGGGCGTCAACTTCTTTATGTCGACCTATGTTGGCGATGATCCCTCGGTCTCACAGCTATATTACCTCCCAAAGCTGTTTTCACAGACTGGATCTTCAAATCCTGGGCTGCGGCAGAGCATCACAGCTGCTGGTTTGGCAGGCTATGCCAAGACTGCTCGTCGCAACGACGTGAAGCTTACTGCCACCAGGCTCTACGTTTCCGCAATCCAAAGCATCAATGCTGCCATTTCAGATCCGACGACAGTCGTGCAGGACGCTACTCTCATGTCTATCGTCATGGCCGCAATGTTCGAAGTCTTAGTGATTCCTCGCTTATCCGATTTGCGAAATTGCAGCAAACATCTTGACGGAGCTGTAGCCGTCGCGCTGATGATGCTGAAGCAGAAGAAGCAGACAGACGTCACCTACAAGCTCATCACTATGTCGATGCAAAGTATGATCATCAACAGCTGGATTTCGCACTTACCTTTACCGGCCAACTTCATGGAATTGAAAAGAAGGCTTGGGTCGAATCCAAAACCACATTTGCATTCACTCCATGGAGACTTTCTGGATATCGTTACTGAGCTTGTTGATTTCAGAGAAGCTCTTAAAGAGAGACTGTTACAACGACCATCTGATATCATTGAGCGGGCTCTGGCGGTGGATGAAATATTCGAGACTTTTGCAGACACCATGCCACCACATGCCCGGTTCCAGGCTTACCGTATCCTCCTTCAGGATGTGGAACAACTTGCTTTTAATGGTTATTATCACGGTATAGACGACACTTCCTGCGATAGTGCACCGACTGACATTTCAAATAGTGTACCTTCAAAGTTTCACTGCCCTTCTCTGGAACAATGTCCGCGCTGCGCGTCTGCGTCTACATCAAGTAATTCGCAAGCAATGCCAGATCATCCTATCGTCGCCAGCTGTACAAAAGCATGGCATTTGGAAGGCCCAACTGGCAGATTCTGAATCGAAGATTATAGAGTTTGCCATCGAGATCTCCGCAACTGTGCCTCAGCTGGCTGGCTACTTGGGGCAGCTTGAATATCGACGACTTCCTAGGACACTCCCATTGCGCGTATCTGAGGCATCAGCGGCTAGCGAGCCATTCCCGGAGCAGCCTCGTCTTGCAAAAATAACGGGCTCGGGAACCATGGAGTATACTTCGCATTTCGGCAATGAACCAAGCCCATTTCGAAGGGGCAACACGGCGCAAAAGACGCCAAGTACCATGTCCATCTCCGATGGTCATAACGAAGAGAGTCGCAACGAAACAAGCGGTCCCCAATCAGCCAGTGTATACCACATGCTGTTCCAACTTTACAGCTTAAGCCGCATTACCATGTTACCCGCACAGCTCAGAGCATGGGTTCAGAATCGCATCGCATGGATAGAGAGTATTTCCGACCCAGAGGATTTGGCGCGTTTGCAAGACCTGGTGGCTAGGCAACCGGGCGATGGCTTTCCAGTTGACAATGCAGGGTGAGTCGCTTAATAATCCTACCAAAGGTGCAGTTTTTCCAAGCAGTCGAATTCACCTGCTAATTTTGATAGGCTCTCGTTCATAGACGTGACATATCTTATTGACAGGGGAATCCGCGGGGCACATAGCTTGCTGATGGGGGCGTATACTTTGGGAGATGAGAAACCGAATAAAAGCCGGAAAAAGACTTCGAATGTGGTCAAAAATATCTAATGTGGAGTTGCACGGAGTTTACTGCATCAGGCAGATAGGGAGCTTCTTCCATATGGCAACAACACCACAAAACGAGCGAATGGTGAGAGGGAAGTGAAGGAAACGTTGCAGCTGATCAATGCTGCGGAGTGGGTGCTCATATAGGCAAATGGTTCACCGAATCTTCCAATCGTAGTTTTATCGTTTTTCCGAGTGATATCACGAAATACAGTTCATTGGCGAATTAACCCTCAAAGAAGGCAAGGTGAGAATTTGCATGACTTATCGGCGCAAAACATCTAACAAAAGCGGGTATAACACTATCAAAACTCACTCCTCATGCCTCCAACAGCCCCTTGACCTCTTTCACGAGCAGTCTATCCTCCGCCGTTGTGGGCTGTATACTTCCCACTGTACCCGCAGCATCCATGACCTTCCATAAGTCCTTCAGTTCACCATCCATATCTGCTCCGTATACAAGCCAACCCGTGCAAATCAGCGCCATCTTCTTGTTGTCGCTCCATTTCTCCTCAGTACCCAACGTCTCCAGCAGTGACGCGAGAAGTTCGACTTGCTCAGACTCGGGCAGTTCAGACTCGCTAGGTAAAACAGGCGTGGCGTTCGCAGTATGCTTCTTCATCCGGATCTTGTGATTTGACGAGGCAATGTTCATAGCAAGGCTGAGTGCCGAGACTTTGAGCGCTGGGTACTTTTCGTCGAGCAGGGCCGTTGTCAAGATGGACACGAGTGAAGAGGAAAGCGGGGTAGAGAGTACATGCGGTATGAAGAGCGACGAACTGAAGAGATTGCACGCCACGTGCAATGTTGTGAGTCGTAATGGATATGGCGCTGAAGCTCCAAGACTGTCAACATGAGTGAGCAAGTGGTGAATAGTAGCTGGTGTGCCGGTTGCGCCCTTGTGCTCTTCAGCGAAGAAACCTGCCACACGTGCATCTGTAAGACTGATGCGCAAAAGGTCGTACGCAGTGAAGAGAATCTCAGGAGGAAAGGTTGGGAAGTACTGGTTCCTCAGGAATTCGGCGAATTGCGGAAGTTTCGTCAAGGGAGCCTCTATTGCTCCTGACCGCTCACGAGCATCAATGTAGGACACTATTGATGACACAGCTGGATGCTTGCCAGCATCCCCCATTTTCGCGACAATCTTTTCCAGAGCTGGTACTTTGGTGAAGGCAATAGGGCGTTGGCTCTGCCTCAACAGTAATGGTGTGCTTGAAGCAAGATGAGGATGGGGCGGAAATGCAGCGTTCAACAACATATCGACATTGCTTCGCAATTGTCGTGGATCAGCTCCGCTCCACTCGTCTCTCTTCTCGCCGCGCACATACGTGATGAATGTGGGAGTTGCGCGAACGTTTGGATAGCGATTGTTGATAGTATTATCCGCATGGCTGAAGTCGATCTTGATGAACACGCACTTAGGGCCAGCTTCCGCGGCGAGGTCATCAAACGGCTGATATACCAACTTGCAAGGGGCGCAGGTAGAGCTCGTGAAGAAGATGATGGCGCATCGATCCTTGGCCAGCTCGAGAAGGCGATCTACATCTCTTATTCCAGTCACATTGTTCACTCTTCCTGTCGCTGCAGCCAGCGGACCATTGATAGCACGTTGCGCATTGGCCTGCGCCATACCGTTCGATGTGTTTCCATTCGTTGTCTGCGGTCGGCTCGGTGCTGCAGGCTGTGGCGTGGGCGCTTGAGTGATGGGTCGCATTGCAGCATCGATTTGAGGTCGAAGCATCTGACCAAATGGCGTGTTCAGGACTGTCTCAGGGAGCGAGGTGATGTGTTCCGGTATACCTTTGCCCACCAAGAACATGGCGAAGTCATTTGAGAAGTTGTTGCAGTTGTGCGCAAACAGGTCGTAAGACTCGGGGGTATAGACTTCCTTCAGCGACTCCAGGTACTCCAATATAATCTCGATGGGCAGGTCTGTTCTCCCAAGCTTGATCTTCTCCATTGGCTGGCCATGATGTGTTGCGCCGGCGCGACATGTTTGAACACCCTGACCGAAGTAGTATTCTATATTGTCGAGGACGATGGACGTGTGGTATACGGCATCGATCTGAATTCCAAGAAACTGACGACTCATGTTCCTCGCAAGACCCTGTGCTCGTCAGCATATTTGATAATCGGGCAAGACCACATGCGCTCACCTGCGAGAGATCGTACACATACAGTTCGACATCCATCGTGCAGGCGATGTTTGAGCTTTCGCAATTTGCGTGGTGACAATAATCACAGGAGGTAGGGGGTAGTCAGCAGGTAGCCAGATTGAGTGCGGTTGAATCGAAGCCTTTCAAGTTTCCCAAAAGTGGTGGACGTATAGCGGCGGACAAGAAGTGTAGGCAGAATGGCTTACGTAGAACCTGGAAGATTCACGAAGCCGCCACACGTCGCGTGGAGGGGCAACTCGCGCTAGCACATGACCGACACGCTACCCGCTTCCTAGGTACCCGTAGAAAGTACATCCATTCACATTTGACATGTGTACAGTCTGACTTTCCCGGGTCTAGACTACATTAGATAAGGGGCTTGAACTTTCGTCTTCGTGTAAGCATTGTCATCTCTGAAAGTAGCATCACACAATCGAAATCGGGTCCTAGCAGAGCTGGGTTTGATCACTCATGATTGAACAGCTGGTGGTATGATCGATGTATTGTCGTTGAACTTAGACCATAGCTCGCGAAAACGTCCGCTCATGCCGGTCCTTACATTCTTCAGCCACAATTCAAGCCCTCCAGCCATTCCACTCAACGAGCAGTGTTTTGAGACGCAACATCTCGTCGGGTCCGTTGAATGTTGAATCAATTGCTCGCTCGCACAGTACCTTGATATCGTCGCGAGTAAGTCCAAAGTGCTGTGCTGCAAGATAGTACTCCCGGGATAGAGGACTACAGAAAACTCCGACGTCGTCCGTCTGAAACTCATCAGCATTTCATCGGAAGCTTTTCCCACGAGGAAACGCACAGAGAGGGCAATTGGCACGCTGCTTTGCCTCCACATGCCGAAGTGGTGGTCACTGTAAGTACCCATGATCATCCTAGCTTGCACGTTGCAGCTCAAACACAGTTCGACGCCAATGTTTTCCTTCTCAATGACGTTTCGATACTCTTCCTTGACGTGTATGACATGCCCAAGCCGGTCTGGCTTCCAAGACAATAGCGTGGAAAGCTCTTCGTCAGAACCCGACAGCTTCGTCTCAGCAAAATGCAGTGTAATCTTCAGACCGGCTGTTTTGGCTCGTGCAAATGCGTCGGCAAATATACGCACATCGCCTTTGGTTGGGTCACCACACAGATCAACAGCCACGACGCTGGAAGACTTGTACTTGATGGCAAGGTCGACAACTTCGTGGGCCTCGGCAAGCGTGTTGCGGCGGTCAACAGAAAGGATCAAAAACGCTCGCATGGCGTTGGAGGCATTCTCGTTATGTGCATTCAGGATGTCGAGGATGGTCTTCACGTAGTCATCCTTGCTCAAACCTGCTGCTGGCATCGCTCTTGGGGTGGTCCGAAGTTCAACGTACACGACGCCGTCATCTTGGAAGTCTTGCAGCACGGCCTTTGTCGAGTACCTGCATTGATCAGTGACCGACGAACCTGCGTAGGTTGATAGGCATACTGTATGCTGGGTAGATCGTTGCAGAGCTTGTATATGTACGACGAGAAGAGAGGAAAGAACCTGGTAGCACATCAGCTGGCTGGCGCTATCGAAATGTCGGTCAACGCTGCCAGATCAGCACATGCACGCTGCTGTCAGACATTGAACACGTGACGTGATGTGAAAGCTGAAGGCAGGAGGTGCCCTGACCAGTCCGCCGCCTAGAAGACATTTGCACGACTCAAGTAGTGATGCTAAGAGAGACTTAGTACGTATTGATGTCATAGTCGACCTTGCCTGATGGCATTGCACTCAGGGGATCTTGGAGTTCCAAAGCAGCGTCGCGAGCCTTTTTGGTGGCCCAGATGTCGTGCAAACATTTGCGACTGATGCTTCCCGTAAGGTGTGCATGAAGCTGAGTCGGGTCGGAAGTTAGCAAGGCTGCGAACCGGACGGTCCAAGCGTTCCTGGTGGGTTTGAAAATCAAGGCAGGGCTGGTACCTCGATCTTTGGCAAGGCCTTGGTGAAGGGCCAGTGTCGACGGGGCTGGCCGCGACAGACATGGCGGGCTAGAGGGCTAGAGGGCAGCCAGCTAGCTGTATTGGTGGCGCTCGTTGAAGCTTCTCGAAAGCAACGTGTATGGCGGCGGGCTGGTGGTGGTGCGGTTTAGGGTTGGCTCTTAGCGAACGGGCGCGCTACCCGAAAAGAGGAGGTGCGATGCAGGAGATGAGATTGCAGCGCGCGCCTTCTTCGTCAGGTTCGCCGGCAGCAGCATCAGCATCAGCATCAGCATCAGCATCAGCATCGGCTTTCCACCTGAGCCTCCCATCACGCTGCAAGACGCCTCCTGCGCTGCGGGTAATAGATAGAGAGACATACACCTGCGCGCCGACGCTGCACCCCGCATTCCTGCACAGTTGCTGGTGATTGTTGGTCGATCCGGCACAGAGGAACGCCCTTTGACGACTCCGACTGGTGTTTCTCGGCTCGCCAAGCGCGACCCCCGGCACGGCCGCTCTCGTACCTCTCAGCTCCAGCACTCCGCTGCAACGCTCCCATCCTCAAGCCCCCCACGACCGTTGTCCGCCGTCGCTCACTCGCAGCACGCAATTGCCTCCAGCCTGCGCGCGTCTGTCGCCATTGAGAGCCCGTTCGACCTCTGCCTCGCTCGTCCGCTCGGAGTCCGGCCTGCCGCGTCCCCTGCAGACGCCCCTGGATTGCCTGCCTCGCCGCCTCGCGCCCTTCGCGACCGCAACCACCCACCGTCCGGCAGCCACAGCGTGCTATGGCCGATATGAATCAAGAATCTATCCAGCAGAAGATTCAGATCGCGCGGCGCGATGCCGAGGCCCTCAAGGACAGGATAAAAAGGAAGAAGGACGAGCTTGCTGACACAACCCGTACGTCTACGCCCCGGCCCCGTTAGCTACTGCACCTGCGCGAACTCCCCAATGCTAACCGTGTGTGCGCAGTTCGCGATGTCGCAAGAGACCGCGTCGAGGCCCTGCCGCGCCTCACCATGAAGACGAAGCGCACCCTCAAGGGCCATCTCGCCAAGATCTACGCCATGCACTGGTCGACCGACCGCAGACATCTCGTCTCCGCCTCGCAAGACGGCAAGCTCATCATCTGGGATGCCTACACTACAAACAAAGTCCACGCCATCCCCCTGCGATCATCGTGGGTTATGACGTGCGCGTACTCGCCCTCGGGCAACTACGTCGCATGCGGCGGTCTCGACAACATCTGCTCCATCTACAACTTGTCAGCGCGAGAAGGCCCCACGCGCGTCGCACGAGAGCTATCTGGCCACTCCGGCTACCTCAGTTGCTGTAGATTCATCAGCGATAAGCGCATCCTCACCTCGTCAGGCGACATGACTTGCGTGCTCTGGGACCTGGAAACTGGCTCCAAGGTGCACGAGTTTGCTGACCATCTTGGCGATGTAATGAGTTTGAGCATCAACCCGCTCGACCACAACCAGTTCGTGTCTGGTGCCTGCGACGCCTTTGCTAAGCTGTGGGACATTCGCCAGCAAAAGTGCGTGCAGACCTTTGCCGCCCACGACTCGGACATCAACGCCATCCAGTTTTTCCCCAACGGAAATGCCTTTGGGACTGGGTCAGACGATGCATCTTGCCGTCTTTTCGACATCCGCGCCGATCGCGAGCTCGCCTCGTATCAGGTACGTGTGGGCATATGGTTTACTTTTTCGCGCGCTAACGCAATGGTTCTTGCAGATCCCCGAGCCCGTTTGCGGCATTACATCTGTCGCTTTCTCCGTCTCTGGTCGACTGCTGTTTGCTGGTTATGACGACTTTGAGTGCAAGGTTTGTGGCAAAGATCCATATCCAGGTTACGCGCGCTGACAGCCATCTAGGTCTGGGATGTTTTGCGCGGAGAGCGTGTAGGCACATTGCAAGGCCACGACAACCGAGTCAGCTGTCTCGGTGTAAGTAATGACGCGCTCAGTCTTTGCACAGGTTCATGGGACTCCATGGTAGGTTTCATATGCACCCTTAGGCCACGTCGCATATAGCTAACTTGACACAGCTACGTATCTGGGCATAAGCGAGGACCCTTGTAACAACATGCGACGCCATGTGACGATGCGAATATGGACAACGACCGTGTGCGCACTTATCTAATTTCTGGTCCCACCACAACATCATCTCTCCCGAGCTCGTCTGTCTTACCATACCCACCTGCATACCACTTCCGCCGGGGGAGCTCCGTACACGGTACACGGTACACGGTACACCGAGGCCTTGCACCAGCATAATACACCAACCTTGGGCAACGATGCATTTGTTTGCATCATATAGGTGGACAGGCGCCTGGGACTTATTGCTCAAGTTCTTTTCCTTACATACCACTAGTGCTCTTTTACCCTTCTTGTTCGGCAACCGCGAGCCTTTTGTTCTCGTCTTCTATGTCTAAGCTCGGGTCGGCTGTTCTGCGTAACACGATACGACAAGTGCCTGTTTAACAAATCATACCAAAGACATCAAATCATCCTCAGTCCGATAAGCTGATATCTTGCCCCCAATGTCAATTTTTGACCATCACTGACTAGGTTCCCAAAATCGGCCAATATGCTTGCACCTATGAAATAAGGCAAGGGGAAGCAAGATGAAATTTATGTATGGATTGACTGTATGCAGATGGGTTGGGGATGGAGGGGATGGATGCGATGGATTGTGTATGATGTTCTGGACTTGTATGAAGAGGTTCGTGCGATAGAAAGACGATGGCTGAATCAGACATGGTAATTTCCCTGCCAGCTTCATGCCTCGGTGGACTTGAAAGGCTTTCGTGCCTGTGTGAGATAAATCTCCGAGTGAGATCTCGCTAACCCTTCTTTCGATGAACGGTTGAAATTGGGGGCGCTACGGCCACGTATTTCGGCGGCTTCTAGAAAGGCAATGGAATGTTATGCCCGCGGCAGAAGCGGTGACAACAAGGACGCACAGTCGTTTGTGAATGCATTGCACATGAAGAATAGTCAGGAACACAGAGGTTCGCGCATCTTATGACTGATTCCTATCGTTCTGCAGGACCATGGTGATATGCGAACATATAACCCCTATTCTATCACGATTGATTTGCGGATGGTGAACCAAAAGAGGTTTTGACATTTGTCCATGTGGCTCATTTGAGTTTAGTGGTGACCATTCCAGGACGGCAGTTGAATTGCGTGGAGACTCGACAGGACCCTTATGACAGCATTACATACGAGCAGTCTTCGGTCGAGACGGCATGTAAACTCACCGCCCCAGGGCGACAGGGCGATGGGAGGGCAAGACACGTGGACATGGTTACAGTAGGTGAGTAGGTACTGAATAGGACCGTGCGACTAATGCCCAATTTTAGGCGTACGTCCATGACAGCGGACGTGCTCTGGTGCCATGAGGGAAAATGCTTGAGGCGGCGCATGAGAGAGTCGGTGCAACAGTGTTCTGGAAAACAAATGGAAAGCCTAGGATAATGCTCGTCAGCAAAGGGAGTCGCATCAAAAGCAGAAACTGTCCTGCATTGTCACAGACGCAAGTTACAGCCGGGTGCATCACTCAGGCTAAGCTGTAGTTCAGTGCATGAATTCTCGTGGCCCCCAGAGGCGGGCAACTGGGGCGAGGCATGGTCGGTCCTTACAGTCGGTCCCCAATCAGCCCGTCGCTGGCAAGATGATGATGTGACACGTTCATCGGTCGATTCAGCCGAGGGCGCGTTGCAGAGTGCGTTTCAGCGTCACGACGCTGGCACGCTCGATTGGGCAGTGAGCAGCTCCTCGTTTCGCAGTCGAAGGGCCGTTTCACGAGAGCGACACGTTCGTTCGTCAGTGTCGACGATCCTCGGCGGGCTTCGTCGCGTGGCCACGCATCACCTCAGCCCTAGGCCACACGGCCTCCAGGACCTCCCTGCCACCCATGCACGATGCACGCATGTGAGCAGCCCAGGAGCGTGTCAAGCATTCCCCAGTGTGGGTACCCAATCGGGGTGTGCTGAAACGGCGCTTGCTTTTCAAAAATAGTAGAGAAGGAACCCTGGTCGCGACTGCCCTGCCAAGCCCATCACGGCTTCTCTCTGACTTCGACCAACCCTGCCCTGGCCGCCTTCCAACACCACACCGCCCCGATACAAATACAACCCGTGTCCCCCGCGACACACTCCTGCTTTTGAAATGTCTACAACTGCCGCCCAAGACGAATTCAACGAGCTTCTGCGAGACAAGGGCCGCGAGACTAGACACCCCGAAGACAGACACGACGACAGCGACATCTCGGAACCAGAATCAGCCGGCGCCGCAGACGACTACCTCGAGAAGATCGACACCGACGACGAACTCGACCTCCCCAAAGACATGCGCTCCAACTACTACATGCCGTCGATGCGCTCCGAGGCCAACACGGGCCCCAAGGGCGTCATCGCCGACGCGCAGGCCTTTGAGCAGGCGAAGAAGCAGGCCCGCCGCTTCACATGGAAGAAGAACGCCTCGCCCCCAACATACAATGCCGCCGCCTGGCACGACAAGGACGGTGCCTCGAGCGAGGACGAGGGCGACGACAGCTTCATGAAGGAGTGGAGGGCCGCAAGGCTGCGCGAGCTGCAGAACGTCGGGCAAAAGATCCGCTCGAGGACCAACAGCCCCAGCAGGCGAATCTACGGAAACTTCCCCTTGGTCGATGCCGAGGGCTACCTCGATGCTGTCGACAAGTCGTCGCCCGAGACCACAGTAGTCGTTTACATCTTCAACCATCACGTGAGTCCACCACTGCAACCCCCAATCGACTACGCTAACCGACCTAGGTACAATCTGGAGTAGACCAGGAAGTCGACATTTGCATGCGGGAAGTTGCAAAGCGCAACGACACCGTACGCTTCATCAAGCTACATGCCGAAGACGCCGAGATGGACCCAGACGTTCTCCCTGCTGTGCTCGCCTACAAGCGCGGCGACAAATTCGCAGATCTTCTGCCAATGCTCGACCAGCTACCCGACGACTCAGAACTGAGCGCCGTCAGCCTCGAGACATTATTCAGGGCGTAAGTTGTTGTTATCCGTAGCCATAGTACGCACATGGGCTGACCTGTCCTTCACAGCAACCGCATACTATAAGCATGGCTTGATCTCGGCTTGACCACCTTGCTGGTGCCCACAGTCCTCGTCCTCAGCCACCAAAATCTCCGCCCCTCGTTACTGTGCCCTGGTCCTCGGACACCGGCACACATCATGATTTGTTTTCGCATGTCTTGTTCTTAAAGCGTTGCATTTTCCTTTTTCCAGCAATGCTATGATCATTGACGGTCGTTTGCCTGGGTCACTTGAACCTCGGTCTTATTGGATTTCCTCCTGACAGCGCTGCTGCAGTATGTTTGGCGTTTCGATATAGACAGGGCTGAGGCCAGCCTCACATTTCAGGCTGGTTTGGACACATAGACATGGGTTGGCGCACTTGACGCCTCTATACCCCCTACATGACATTACATCATAGCTCTAGAGAGCACAATAACATAATACCTACCATTACCATCAAACCATTCGCTTTGGGTTACGGAACCTGGGTGTGCTGTCCCTCCTTGCTTTTCGCTGGTGTATCATAGGCGTACGCCACCTTTTGCTTTTCGCCACTATTTTTTCCCTTCACACTTTGTTATTCCGTTTCATCCTCCTTGCACTGCATCGCACTACCTACTTATCCCGCCTCTCTGGTAACCAACACGCCTCGTGTCAAGTCATCCCGCCCCAACGTCGGCCGCTTTGTTTCACGCTCCGTCCGATTCATGCCTCAGATCTTGTGGCGCACGTCAAACTCTATCTGACATCGCCGATCGTGGCGTTCGCACAAACTAGCATCAAAGGCATCGACGATGGTGATACGTTAGGTGGTGCGTTTCGAAGGTTGTTTTGATGGGCGGGGTGGGCGGGAAGATTGGGTGCGGGACGATGCGCTGGTGGTGTACTGGTGAGAAGGGAGATCTGAGGTGGCTATATAGTTTAGCGGTGAGATACGGGAGTGTGTTTCGGGTGGATATGGTTGGTGATGGGTACAGATTCCCTGGTTTTGGTGTGTTAGAAGGCTGTTGGGGAGAACGATGGGTGGCAAGGTTGGGAGTGTGGACGACGCGCCGGTGAGGCGTCCAAAAGTTGGTTTCCGAGACTTGAAAGTCCCGTTGTAGTTGATGATATGTACTTTCGGGATACCACTTTCCATTGTATCTCTGCGTCTTCAACATGTTTTGATTACAATTCGAACGTTTGATAATTGATGGACTTAAATTAGGGTCACGCACTCGGTTCTGACATCTTGTATGACGAAAGGGCATATCGCCTTGAAACTATTGAAAGAATCGTCTGATCTGTATCTTCTGTGGTGCTGCATTCGCGCATACTCGGAGGCATCTGCAAAAAAAGAAAAGCACCCAAAGCCCAACCGTTTGCCAGGTCCCAGATTTTAACCCTGGCACTAAGCATAATCCCACACATGTAAACTCTTCCTCTCTAGCACCTAACGTGCTACGAGATTGAGACTTGCACAGGACACCCAGATGGATTTGGGAGATGATTAGTCGTTCATCTTCTACCAGATCTGGGTACAGGTCGAAAGCAAACGGCCATCGGCGTAGAGCAGGCTCTTGCAAAACACCAGGCTTGAGTCCAAATTCTGCGGAGAGTATGGAGCTTGCGTTGCACATGTACATGCTCAACGTGATCTGGGATCCCTCGAAGTCATGATATAAGCTGGATACCTCAGCTTGATCTGAATAAGAAGGTTGATCAGCCGAAATCAAGGTAGCACAACCATATTTTCTGAAGTAGGGTCCTCGACCGTTTTGAGAATGCTTGAAAAGTTCGACCGGATCGAGTTTGATGAGATTAAGATCGCTGTTAGGGAGCGAAACCAACGACCACGTCGGAACCTTGTGTATTCTTCGCTCCCTCTCTGGTATCGGCCTCGGTTCTCTGGTAACAATGTTTGGCAACAAACAGTCTGTAGGTCTCCAGACTTTCCATAGCAAGCACAGAGGTAAATACTCAGCCCAGAGACTGGCAAAGTAAGTCAGGCCCGTCAAATTATGCGCAGCGCAGGCCGTTCCTGCAAACGCCATGATCCTATCCCTTGAGTTGGTCAAAGTTCGTGAGCGGTACTCTGTAACAAAAATGTTCCAGAACTCCAAAGACCGAGACATGAAATATGGATTGGCAGGTAAATCTTTCGCCATACGGATTTGCAACATCTTATCGAAGAAGCGTGACTTGGGAATGCTATTCTGGTAGTCGATGCTAACTGGTCTCAACCACTCATCTTTGCTATTCTCGGAGCAATCCCATACGAGACATTGATTGCCAAAGAATATTGCCCGTGAGCTGAGAAAGTGCTCCTGGAAGGTCCTAGTTGTAGTAGCGTGACGTTAGCCGATGTTCAGACTTGCCTTTGCTGTGGCATATTGCGCCTGAAGCATGCGTACCAAGCTCGAGTGAACAGCGGCCAGTATACAGGCTTGTGCCATTTATACGCAAATCCCAGCTTGAACGACCGCGAGTATATGTATGTATTCATTGCGTATAGGCCAGGTGCTTCGGGGGTTGCAAGACTGACTACACAAGGTATGCACACTCTCGGTTCCGCTCGCCATTGGGGGTTGAACGAGATATCCTTCAAATCTTCTAGACTCGTCTGCTGATGAAGTCTTTTAGCCGAGACGTAAGGGTATGGCGGGAGAGACTTACTGCTGTAGGGTATGAGCACAAGGCTCGCATTCATACCTACACCATAGAAGATGCGTGTGAAGACTTCGACTTGTACAATTTTCTTGTTTGTGTCCCATGGTGTACCAGGCATCAGTCTTTGCCGTGCGTTGAACCGGACAGTACCAATTTCATCTTGGCAACTTTCAGCAGGTCTCGTGCCACTTGGATCGAACTGCATGATTAGCATCGAACAAATGTGACAGGTTTGCGATCTGGCGTAGAGCTCAATGGCGCTATCTTGAGTTTCATACTGCCAGCTAGTATCATCATGACTATCGAACCCGATTGCCCGACAGTGGCTACAGAGAATGTGTAGAGGGACGAGGTCTTTTCCATATACCCGTATTGTAACCTCATCAGCGGACGGACCCGGATGTTCAGGTTCATCGTCACTAAAGCTCAACAAATGAGGATGCCGGATCAAAATCACAGCAAAAGATAGAGCCAAATCTATCGTGGATAAGATTTGGTATGTATTAGAGAAGTTATGGCAGCCTAGATATTCGACAAGGCTGAAAGATGACTGCAACAGCTGACTAAGCAAATGTGCATGTCGCCTAATATCATTGGTGTATGCATGCAGTTAGGAACAATAAAAGAACATCAATCCTCTAGATGTCATCTAGCTTAGAGAGGCAAAAAGACAGCCAAAAAATAAGAAGAACAAGATAAAATCAGGACGTATATTCTACTAGTAAGATTAAGTTGTTGTTACTAAATAAGTAGTAGTATATCTTGCTTTAATTGATAGTGTGCACTTCTTTGTACTGGTTTATAGTCTATCGGAAACAGATCTGTTGAGTTTTCATCCTATCACTAATTCATACTGTATCGCATGTCAAGCGTTCGACAACTGAATGACTGAAAGTTTGATAAACTTTCGTTACCGGCATCTCCCTATGGAATTATGCCACGGCTTCAAAGATTAAGACTTGTTATCAGCACAGCTAAGGAGTTCTATTTGCTTACTCATGTGTGATATCACAATCAAGAAGCGCAACTGGGTATTGCTGTTCTTATACCTAGGCAGTCGATCCTGACTTGCCTCAGTCATTGATATTTGCTGACCTCCGAACGTTCCCATTTTCGCAGGTTCATCCGAAGAAGAACGTCCATAGAACGAGAAAGTGCTCAGAACTTTGTTCTAGACTGGAGTAGCACCGGTGGCGAAGAGGGTCGACAATGCTAAAAGAATGCCGGTCGACTCGATATCACAGGATGATACAGCCACAACGGGGTCTTGAGGCGTTCCCATGTCTCCCATTTAATTCAATCTTGGAGCCGACTGCGCTAGGATAGCGGTTGTACCATCTGAATTGATTGCATCTAAGGCGCCTGCTGACTGAAAATCTCTACCCCGAGACACGGCCCTATCTCCTGATCCTGCTCCAACTCAACCATATGAGCATCACTCCTTTCCGTATTCGCATCCTGCTCCGCCAAAGCCTTCGCCTCCCAGGACGACCACCTTCTGTGTCAGGGAACCTGACTTTACCAGTGCCAGTGCCTCGCCGTCTATCAAGCCATGTGCATACCCGTCGCTAATGAAAGAATACGCACACTTTGCGTGCATGTTGTGCGAGGGGCGGCTCCACTCCCCGAGGCTCCCCACGGATGATATTATCGTTTGCAAAAGATGTGCACCCCCCCTCAGCCTCACTGAATAGAGCGTAGAGACACCTCCGTATACTCCTATTAGCTTAGATCTTCGTGATAGTCTAAGAGGGTCTAGATAGCCGTTAACAGGTGTTACTTTTAGAGCGAACTAGATAATTCTAACCTCTAAAATTGCTGCCTGTAATATGATATTATTAAGTACATCTCCGCTCTCCTGTTACATCATTATTTATCATAGACTTTTGTCATTATAGAAGTTCTAGGGGGGTGCACATCTTTTGCAAGGCACCGATATACGGAAATTTTCCACCCCACAGGACACACACTGCATTGTGAAGCTGGGCGATCCAGGGAGCGATGCCGATGTATCCGGGCGCGGTGCGAAACTTGCGGTGATGTGGGGTAACAATGCGCATCCATCCGTCAGCTCGCATGGAAACGATTTCGGGGTCTCCATGGCGAAGCGGTACGGAATGGCTGGCGCCACTCTTGTAGGCTAAGAATATGCCAGCATCCATGGCCCAGTTCAGTGCAGTCGAGTAAGTCTCGCGCGAGTAGGGGTATTAGTCGACTGGACCAATCCCCAAAGTTAACATCAGATCATCACCCGGGAACAAGAGTGGGTACCTATTGAAAGTATTGTGTGAGGGTGACATGCTTCCTCCGAGGGCAACGATGTGGTCAACGATTACCCCCTGCAGCCCCAGGTAGCCTTGTGCGTGGTGGATATCATGAGCTGGCTCGCCTCTACATGCATCGTACAGGTGTAATACGCCTTGACGTTTGTAAACGTCTTCCGAATAGTAAGGATAATACTTCTGTTTCCAATCGGGGACCCACGATGGCAGGTTTTCGATCGAACTTTCCTAAACCGGAGGTCCGTCAGGTACAATTACCTGGCTAAGTGTGTCCGAAGTTCTGGTCTTTTTCATGTCGTATAACACTGATTGCTGGATGTATCCGAGGGTGTACGACTGTAATTGATGATACTCTTTGAGCCTGACAAAAGCCCTAGCATACCAAAAACATGATTGAGCTGATTGGTCGTCTCGCGGTGGCGGTTATGGATCAGAACCTTCGAGAACGTCAAATCCTTTGACTGAAGTTCCTGATGAGATACAACTAGAATGTTATTGAGACTTTGCATCCTGGTCCAGATATTGAGAGGCAGACTCGAAAGTACGCCTTCTTCGCGACAACACTCTTCAGTCTTGTAGTGACAGGGAAAAGAACTACCACACAGCTCGCTTCCAGATAGACCCAGCCCATCAGCTATAATTGGCCTGACTTATCCTCAAGATCTCCTTTATTTATGCAAACTGCATCTATCTAAAGTGGACGAGTCTTGTCATCGAACCGTAAATCTTGGAGAGTGGCTGCGAGATTGTACGTCACTTTGACTGGTACGCCGGACACTCTGACAAAATTGTCATCGTCTTCTGGCTTTCCCCGTACATATTAAAGTGCCTCATAGTTCGGAAGCTCGTCCAGTGAAGTAACGAGGAGGTGACAACGTATAGGCTCAGTGTCATGTCCTGGAAGGAATTTGAGTAGTATGATCTCGCGGCAGTCGATGTTCAGACGTTGGTAAATGCTGGATAACGCCATGTGACGTGAACACAAGTGTAGATTGAACGTGAATGAAAAGGAGATTCATTCGAAGAAGACCTCGCCAGTGGTAATGTGCCTATTCAGACAGCAGGATTGCATTTAGAGTAGAGGTGTCTGAAGTATCGAAGTGCACCTTGCCTATTATTCAATTTATGCTATAGACATAGCGTACTGCAGGGACTTCTTTAGTTAAGCTCTTCAGCCGCAGCTGAGGACGTTCCAGGCTGGTGGATGCATGTCAGATGTTGCTAGCTCTTTGCGCTTGAACAAAAAAAGGCAACCACTCCTGTAATTCGTCAAGCTTAGGGGAGCAAAAAGACGGCAAAAACATACAACAGCGGGGATTCGCCAGTAAGGCATATACCTCCTTTCAACCCGCCCTACAATTGTGTAGGAGAATGCTGCCAGAAATAACGGCTTCTGCGCGGATAGTCCTCAAAACTCGATTAGTCATCTTTTCCGACATCTTCGAGTACGGTGGCTAAAAAGCGGTCATACGCAAAGTCAAGCTTGTTCGCAACTGAGACGATTCTACCAAGTTAGCATCATGCAAGTATAATGCTTTAACATGGGGTTTCTGCACGAGCTCGCCTCTTGGCTGCGATTTGACCGTTCCGTTTCTTTCGCTATTTGCGACGGCCACGCAATAAACCCGCAAATCGCAGACTAAGAATCCGTTCACGCTAAGTTAGCGGAGGTCCTTCCCTTCCTTGTCCCCCGTCCACGCCAATGTCTGATCCATGTGTCGATGCAGGACTTCAGAACCGCTTTTCGCTGCGACGAACATAGGCGGTATTTTCTTGTGCGTTATCACGCGTGCGCATACAGTTCTGAAGTCACTGCAACTCTCGATGCTACTGAGACTAGTCACATCATGTCTCGCGACGCAATTGGCTGACACGCTCCTCGTTTGCGGTTTACCTGCTTCGTATTACCTCACGCCCACCTTGGGACATGTCATGCTCTCTACTAGTGGACTAGACTGAAAGACCATGCGGACTGGTGTGGCTAGTGCTGAATTTGTACCCGATAACCTTTCGCCAGACTTTCCACAAATAAAACTACCAGCAACTTGGTACCTGGACCAGAAGCTCTACCAATTCCATTGGGCGCTACAACACTGTAGGATGAGTGAGTAGGTCCGTCTAGAATCCCCCAAATGCAATTCCCGTTCCTCCCCCCTGGTACTGAGCGGCTCGTTTGTTACTTCTACTCCCGATGCGTGCATGGCTTGTACCCTAGACTCGTTTGTCGCTTATACTCTCGACGGCGCGATCCGTTGATGCCATATGGCGAGATTGCAGCGTCTTCTGATTTGTGCAGGAAGCCGTTGGAGAAACAACAGACAAAGATCCACATACTCGGGTGCTAAAAAGAAAAAGAGCTCTCACAAAGCCCGCCCTGTGTTACTCGCAACACCAACGGCAATCAACAATGAGAATAAAAATCATAAATAGATATAGTTTTAGAGCTGTATTCTTTCTAAGTTTTTTGTTCTTGTGGAACATATCAAAGTGTTGCTGTTGCTGTCGCAGCAGAGAAGGTAGTCTGGTTGATTTACCTCGACCTTAGTGTGGTTTACAAGGCCCCTTTTTTGCCACCCGAGGTGCCACAGTACAGTCCATCAAGCTCATCAAGCTAAAAGGTGGCGGCATTTTCAATAAAGTTCACGACAAGACTGATCAAGCGAGCCGACGCTCAACAGTCTCAGCGCTTCTTTTTCATAAACGCCATGCCTGTTCAAATACGATTTTAATTAGAGATGCCTATCATCAAATGAATTCCTCGCCATGATGGGTGTACGATCGTTACTCACAGTGCTGCTTTGCCTTTTTGCGTTCCTCAACGTGGAGGTTTTGGCATCAAACCAGCAACTGACAATCGCTGACATTCCAGCATGCGGTGTATGTACCTATATTTTCGTCAGATGCGGTGCTGCCTTTGACAGGTATTACGCAGCTACAATGCCTCTTCGTCGGGCTCGAACCGAGTGGGTGCGCGGCAACAGACATCGGGTGCATCTGCGACAGCACGTCGCTTGAGTACGCACTGGCGACATGTCTCTTGGCAAATTGCACGATGCAAGACTCTCTGGGTATGCTTGTTGCATTCATTACGCTGAAATCACATGAAAATGGAATTGACCCTATCATCTAGGTGTTTCTAGGGTACAAGCAGACCTTTGTCATCTCTCCAGTGAGTCGAAGACTCAACAAGTGATCTTGTACACGGGTATTGTGTACTCAATTGCTTTCGTTTCTGTCGCCCTGAGGATAGCTGGGAAACTTCTCTTGAAGAGACTAGCTTGGGACGATGCGGTGGTCGTGGCAGCTCTGCTGCTTACAGCGATACCGGTGGCATGTGTACTCCAGATGGCTCTGCACGGCTTTGGTCAGCACTTATGGGACCTTGGGGACGGAAAGCTGAAGCCCATACTTCTCTACTGTAAGCGTGGTTACGATTATACGCTTGGCCATCTGCATACTGACACGGGCAGTATACGTTTCATGGTCTACATACGTCGTCGTACTCTGTATGATCAAAGTATCTCTGATACTGTTTTACATTGAGATCTTCAGGACACCCCAATTCCTAAGGATATCCTATATCTTCCTTGCGTATATGATTCTCAACACCTTAATCATCCTATTCATTGTACTTTTCGCCTGCAAACCAGTAAACTCCTTCTGGGACCGAGATATCAAAGGCGAATGCATTAACATTCAGGCCATGGCATATGCAGCCTCAGCTTCTGCGCCCGTACAAGACCTCGTTTTGTTGATATTGCCAATCGCTTTCATCCGAAACCTTCAGATGAAGCGCTTTCGCAAGGTCGCTGTCGGCTTCATGTTCTGTATTGGTACATTGTAAGCCCTGAAGCTCCCGTGTCTGTACTGCACATGCTAAATGACACAGTGGATGCATCGCCACCATCATGCGCTTGCCTTCGCTTAGCACATTCAAAATCTCGATCGATCCCTCCTGGGACTACTCCGCAATTACCATCTGGACCGAGCTGGAATTGTGTGCCGGCTTCTTATGCGTATCCCTACCATCGATTCGCATGCTCCTAGTCCGTCTACTCCCTCAACGCGTCCGGGACTTTACCTCGAGCCTGTTCCACTCCTTGCGGAGCAAACCTACCCCACGACCCGTTGTGACCCCCGAACAGCGTAGCTGGAAGAAACCCTCGTCGTGGATCGACATATCAGCGAATAGTACCGATTTCTCTACCTCGAGCTCGGGCGACAAAAATCTTGAGCTCTTGACGCTCGGTCCCGACGTCCGCGGAAGTTTCATGAGCGCTTTCTGGAATCGTAGAAGTACCAGCGGCACGCAGCTAAGTCAATTATCACATCTTCGCAGCGGCTCGCTGCGCCTCGAGTCGGTAACGAGCAATATCACCGAGTCGAGGGTGGCAGTCAAACAGGTGGAGATGCTGGATGTGCCAAAAGCGAACCGCTATACAAAAGCGAGTGTGGCGAGTCAGAGGAGCGATGAGGAGCACATTACGGCACTACCTCATATTGGGTGTATATCGGAGACAACGCGGTCGGGCTTGGAGGTACGGATAAGGGACGAGAGAAGGTATAAGGGGTTGCATACTGAGAAGAATATGGTCTGATGCCAATATCAGGTAGACAACAGACAATAGACCATAGGATAATAGTAATCAAGACAAAGCAAACGAATTCTGGCGTACCTCGGTGGATGCGAGCGGTCTGGCTCAAGAACTCGCCCTTTTACCTCTTCCCAGTATCCGCCGGTGCGCTGCTTGAATATGGCTGAGCGGACGGGTAGCCTTGTACTCAACGCTCTATGGCCGCATGTGGAAGACGGAGTTTGGATTGGGAATCATATTCCAGTGGTCAGACTAAGTTGTAGTGACTTCGGTGTAGTGACTTCAGGGAGGGGTCGTGCCACGCTAATCGACATGTACATCACTAGCAACAACGCAGCTGACACTTACAGAGGTGATATGAAATTCGACGTTACTGTACCCTAACATGCCCAAACCCTTTACTCAGCGCTTTGTTAATATCACCGCCATCCTGAATTTCCACCCCGTCTTCCCCATGTCCTCTTCTCCTCAACATCTCATCGACCTCCCTCTCCCTCCTCTCCTGCTCCCTTTCCACCACCTTCTCCACCACCTCCCTAACCTTCTCTTGCTCATCTTTTTCCCTATTCGTCTTGCGATCCCAGCCCTGCTGCAATTCATTCGCACTCGCTTCTTCAAACCTCCTCTTAACATCCGGGTCTTTTTCGAGCGCTTGGAAGATATCCTCGTCGGTGGTGAGGTACGCGGCGCGCAGAGATATAGTTGCGAATTCAAAGGTGACGACGGCGGCGAGGATGATGATTAGTGTGAGCCACCAGTGTAAGTTTGGGCCGAAGAGATGAAGGAATGTGTTGCGGACATAGTAGATGGCGTTGGGCGCTTTGTACAGCGAGGAGAGGATGATGTTCCAGAGGAACCAGCCGCCGATTGAGCAGAAGATCGCGATGGCGTTTGTCAAGGTTTTGGAGTGCGTTTCTATAAATCTGAGAATCTTGGGTCAGTGTCGCTTCATCATTTGGGAGAGCGGCGGGAACTTACTGCATCTTCATCGCAATAATCGCCACAATCGCCGTATACGTAATCATGCCGGCGGGGAAGATGGTCTCGTCGACTGTCCATTTGGCTTGGCCCCAGAGCCCGAGCATCACGAAATACACAACCATGGCTTCTGCGCTGGCCATAAACATCCAGCTGAGGTAGACGCGGATGTTGAAGCCGCCGTTGCGTTGGCCTATGACATATAGTTCCGGGACGGCGATGAGTGTGGAGGCCGACAAGTCTTTCTCAAACACGCCCATGAAGATGACTGGGAGAGAGGTGAAGAGTGTGTTGAACATGGATAGAGACCAGGATTCGTAGAGCGAGGTGCCAGTGTAGCCGACGGAGCGTTGGTAGAGTGCTTGGGTTAGATAGAAGAGCTGATGGCATGGTGTTAGCTAAGTTCTTTTCGAACGGTGTATGAGAAAGCTGTAGACTCACCATTTCCTTCCAAAACGTGCCAACCGTATACTTGCATGTCCTGATGTAGTTCCATCGCCCATGCACCAGCAACAACTTCACCAAGAACCTAAACTGCGCGATACTGTAATCACTAGTCCTTGCAGCCTGCAGGCCTTCTTTGCCCGTGATGCCAATACCGACATGTGCTTCTTGAATCATAGCGATGTCATTGGCTCCGTCGCCAATCGCCAGGGTGATACTCCTCTTCACCCTCTTCCGAATGCTCTTTACCAACATAGCCTTCTGCGCGGGACTTGCACGACAGCAGATCACACTGTCAGCCGAGATCGCCAACTCATAAAACAGCGTCTTAAGCGCTTCATTGTCGGTGATTTTCGCAAGTGTCTGGCCATCAACGACAACCACCGAATGCGCAACGCCGCCACCATTGATGGCGAGAATCGCTGCACCAATACTGCGTTCGACTTCGCCAGTCTCGTGATCGAGGACAGTGACGGAGCTGTAATCTTTGATCAGACGGCACGAGTAACCAATATTGATAGCCGTTTCGCGCTTATCGCCAGTCAGCATCCACATCTTGATCTTTGCTCTTCGCAACTTGTCGATGGCCTCGGGAACGCCTTGTTGGAGTTTGTCTTCGATGGCCGTGGCTGCGCAAAGGTCGAGGTTCTGCTCAATCCTGTCGCCTGCATCTTCGATTAAGCGGGTGCGGTCGACCAAACTCGTCGTCGCCTCGAGGTACCCCTTCTTCCATGTCTGGTAGTCCTTCTCATCGATGAAGCGGTATCCGTAGAGAAGCGTTCGGAGCCCTTCAGTAGCAAAGTCGTTGATGTGTTGGAGACAACGTTCGATAACGGCAGATTCATCGCCTGCGACATTCTCGTCGACCATGGCTTCCATTTCCTCAAGCTGTATCGAGCTGCGAGCCTCAGAAGGAGCCATGGAATATCGGCCGAAGCCTGAGTGACGTGGTGTTTGTAATGGCGTGTCTTCATCGAGCGAGGAGAGGTCGACGTCGTTTTCGCGTTGTCGGAGCCACTGATCCATCTCGTCTCTTGCAGAGTGTGAGCCGCGAGCGCCGATACTGTTGCGAGCGAATGATGGACGACCCAGGCTCATACTTGCTCTCGCAGCCTGACCAAACGTCATGCTACCACGTCCGGCAACGCTGCTCTTGCGTCCAACGATACTGCTTCGCCGATCATTTTGCTCACTCATGCGCGCTATGGCTTGGTGAGCTTCCATGCTCTTGCGCTGGTTTGCCCTCCGCTCAATCTCCACCATCTTCTTATTCGCGAGTGTTGCAAGCTTCAAACGCTGCATGACTATCGAATCTGCTCCCTTGCAAATAACACAAACGCGACCGTCTGGGAATCGCAGAAGGATTGACATCCTTTTTCGCTTGCTTGAAAACTCAATGATGTCCAGAATCTCGTACGTCTCTGTGGTGCTCTCTCCACTGACATTGGGAATCTTGAGGGTTATCGTATGCACATCGCGATTGATCAGCAAAAAGCCCAAGTCCTGCGCAGCTTGGACGAGGGCGAGCTCGTCAGGAGAAGAAGCCATGAAGTGCGTTTCCCCATTCTCCTGAACTTCGGGAAGACAAGTGTGGCACAATGCCAGCGAGAGGAGGAACATGCGAGCCTTTTTCGAAAACGGTGTATGCGGTTTTCGCTGAACGTATCTCAGCATATCCTGCGTTCGAAGTTCTCGTGCTGCTTGGCTAGGTTTCGCTGTTGATCGCCACGTTGGAGCTGCTTCATCACCCAATCCATCAACCTGCTGTTCAACTTCTACCGTCGGTGTTGGAGGCTCATCTGGTGAGACATCCTTCGCCGATCTAAGACTCTTCCTTGTCTTCACAGGCTGCTTTCCCTTCTTTCTTGTCTTGTGTATCAACTTATTCTTCTTCTCTTTTTGCAGATCCACATCATGCAGCCATGCCATACCAGCCACACTCAACTTACGGAACTTCATCGAATTATCCGTCAGCGTGCCCGTCTTGTCGGAGAAGATGTAGCTGATCTGGCCCAGCTCTTCGTTGATTGTCGACGTCCGAGGTTCGCAAGGTGTGTCTGAGATTGGATCGTACATGTCGATGTCTGTGTGCAAAAAGAACATTTGCGCCAACTTTACGATTTCGAGACTGACATATAGCGACAAGGGAATCATGGTGTTGAACATGATGATGAAAGCCGTCAAGCTAGGGAAGAAAGCGACAGAAGCACCACCCAGGTAAAACATCTCGTCTTCATTGCGTTGCCAGATCTTATAGGCGACTGCGTTGAAGATGGAGAGGGCCAGAACAAAGAAGACGATGAGAATGACGATGCGGTTGACAAGACCTTGGAGCGCCGGGGCCTTGATGCGCGGGTTCTTGTTGGCATTCATGCGGATGCGGCATTCTTCGCCCGAGTAGATGACCATGCCAACTGCATCGGGCGTGTTTCGCAGGACACTTCCGCGAAATACAATCTCGTTTAGCGTTATAGGTGCTTGCTTGCCATTGACAGTCACCCTGCCCTCGAAGCTGTACAAGTCCGGGTTGGGGTCTTCTACTACGAACTCGGCATCTGATCGTAAGACGTCTTCCTGGTTGATGATGGTCTTGGACATGGATGCAGTCGTTTGCTTGCTCTTGAGGTTTGTCTCGCCGTCCAAAGCCATGGTCTCGACAAATGCAACGTTGTTCTCACCGCTGGTATGAAGAAGCGCAAGGTCTGCTGGGGCAGCGTCGTTGCGCTCCAATTTGATGATGTCTCCAACATTGAGGTCTTCCCACTTGATCTTTTCCCACAACAACGCTTCAGGCGAAGGGGATGTTAAAGATCCGTCATCCGATGACCCACGAGGATGCACTGATGACGGACTAGCCCGAAGTACTTGCGCCTCTCGCCTGTTCTCAGCCTTGTCGAGTCGATGTCGCCTGAGATCGTCGTAGCCCTCCTTTGCAATGGACAGTGTGACGAAGAACATTAGCGGTACAATAGTTGTGTAAGTACCTGTTGTACTAAGGCCGGGTATCAACTGCAAGATGGAAATGACCAAGAAGTAAAAATTCGCAAGCTTTGAGAATTGGGCCACAAGTTGGCGAGGCACAAAGTTCCAAGCTGAGTATCGCGTTGATCGGATCCAGTTGCTGGTATATGGCTCGTTTGTGCGTTCGTCTAAGAGTCGTTCTTTGCGCGCTGCATCAACAAAAATGTGTCGGCCATCCTTGCTGGGCGGTACGTCCTTGATCCGGAACACAAATTTGCGGGCTTGCTCAGCGAGGTCGCGCATTCTTTTCATCATTTCTTTGCGCTTGCTTGGACCTTTTCCGTGCAGCCACTTGTCATAGTTCACGAGGGCAATTGGTCCCTTTCCAAGCTTTGCTTTAGAGATACTTGAGGCTTCTGACGTGTATTCCATTTGCGCCGGGGAAACCGTTATGTGAGCATCGCCGCCTTTCCGCCCATCAACGGTATCTGCCACTTGACCTGTCCCGCCTTGTTGACGCCCAACGCCTTCGTCAAGCTCAATGTTCGATTCGGGCTGGTTGTGATCGTATACGTTCTTCCGGAACAACGCACTTCGTAAAGAATACCCGCGATTTCGAGACGCAGGTGAGAGTGGTGATCCACCGCCAGAGCTGCCTGGAGACCGTGATATTCGTGCATTCGAGCCTGTAGCCGGGGATCTTAAACCCTCACCCTCTCCCTCTGGTGAGACCTCACGCGTCTTGATCGTCAGATCCGGCGTGCCAGGTCTGCTGCCCTTCCCCGAGCCCTTCCCAAATTGTGTACTTCCATGCTGTAATGTCCAGTCTCTTCCCACCGTGGAACTTTGCCCTGCGCGCTGCCTCTCTACATCAGCCGAGAACCGCACCTGTCGCGAAGCGTCCGTGGACATTCGCGAGACAGACGGTCGTGAAGCATTTTCTACAGCCGAGGTTCGCACAGCCGATGTGGCGTTTGTCGGGCTTTGAGGTTGTGCGATTGTGTATGGCGCGTTGGCAGTTTCTGATGCGCTCTGAGTCGCCGGAGATAGTTCGTCATCGTCGTGTGAGGCCGAGTGTCGCCTTCGAATGCCTTCGCTCGGAGGGTCTCCAGCTCCCGACATGGTCTCCGCACATCTGTCTTCCCACGTCTATGCGACTGCGATGGTCTAATCCCAGCCTTCCCGTCGTTGTTGGCTCGGTGGTTCTAGAGGCTTGTTGTGACTTCAGCGCTTACGCGGCGCTTACGCGGCGCCCAGCAATGGACATGGCAATATTTGCAAACGTAGCAAGCCCTCTCGCAATCTTTACAATGGCAGACCTGTCACAATCAGGCGTACCCAGAGTCGAGCGATCGTGACGCGGGCTGTACGACGGATCGCGAAGCCAGCAGCACCTGACAGGAATCCCTGCAGGCCGTCACATCTATTTCGGGATTGACGTAGCTCTGCCCGCAGCCCCCACATCAAAGTAAGCCCAACTCCGCAGTCACCACGTTCTGCCCCGGTGAACCGCATTTCACAGCCATGCTGCATACGCGCGCTTGCTGAAACCCCACGTGCATCCACTTTCCTTGCACGCTGAAGTTGATCGAGCTTGCATGCGGCACGATTTGACCGATATAGGGCCGATTGTGAGATGAGGCTGGAGAAAGACTACATGATAATGGATGGTCTAGATTGGAATGAGGCGACTGAAATCTATGCTATGCTCGCAGGTAATTACGGTATCGCACGTGCTGTCAAAAACAAATGCAAAATGCAAAATGCAAAATGCAAAATGCAAAAAGAGAAAGAAGATTCAAATGCCATTCAAAATGCACGTGAACCTACTATACACTACTCCAGGACCAGTCCAGCTCCGCTCCATGCAAAAACTAATAATAAATACTCAAACTCCTAGTGACAATGGTATAAAGCCAGGAATCGTCTTCTGCTGCCAGAGAAGCGATTCTCACATGTCCTCCTCTGTCCTACATTTCCATACGAAAGCAATCTGTTGTGGTATCGGGTAGTCGTGTCGCTCATTAATTATGAAACTTTCCAAAATAGTGTAAGAAGTAGCCCGGACGCCATGCAATATGCGGCCCAATGATAGATCCAGGTGACGATGATGATTAAACAAAACGCGAAGTAGGAATTGGTTGTCCCTTCCTCACGATGTGGCAGCCACGCACCAATGGCGATGGAAAACCCAGGCGCTCTTTTGGCACTCTTTGCTGCAGTACTTGGTCCGTCGGCAGCGGCGGCACTTAGCAAACTGGCGCGTGAACTCTTCCCAACGACCGCATTGGTAGTAGGCGCATTGCCGAATGCCTCCCCGCGAGTCGTCTTTCCGGCAAAGGTTGCGCATAACGACGCTTGCCCAGTACTGCATGTCCGAGGTATGATGTCGCACCGTAAACTGCTCGACCAAGGGGAAGATGTTGAAGTCGTCTGGAAGTTCGTATTCTTCAAGTTCTTCCTCATCCTCTTTCTGTGCTTCAGCAGCCGCAACGTCTCCCTCGGTGAACTGCAAGTCGCTGCCAATCTTCAACTTGGGCACCAGATGCGACTTCTGGAAGTAGGACCGGAGGTTGCAGTATTTCGAGACGTAGGCTAGCAGTTGCAGGGACATGAGAACATCCTCATCGCGGGGCATGGCGGCCGAGTACCCTGCTGCTACGTTGCGGTCTGCTGCGCGAGGGTACCAGGCGGGCGGTGGGTTTGTGTTGACGACGTTGATGGCGGGTTGCATGGGTGAGAAGCCAGTGATGGGGTTCGTGGGAGGAGTTGTGGTGGGGTTGATAAGACTACCATCAAGTGCGGGACGGTGTGTGATGTTGAACGTCTCGTTGTTCTCGTCTGTCCCTTCAGAGGGTGCTGCAATGGGCACCGGCGTGGTACCGGCATCCAGCATCTCAGCGTTGTCGACAATGTCTGACATGTTGATCTCGTTATTCTGTATGCCGACAATGGGCTCATTCACAGGACCTGCGACGGCGGCGTTGTCTGCCACAATTTCATCTTGTTGGGCTTCGAGGTCGGACTCGCCAGATACAGACAGCTGCTGCCGAATCGAAGGCCTACGTCGTGGCCGGGTGGGGCCAACTCTGGTGTTCTGATGCGCCTGTGGAGCACTGGGCGTAGTTGGCGACTCGGGTTGGGAAGTGATCTCCCCTTGGAGAGCGGGGAGCATAGAGGGTAACCGATCAGCATCGCGCACGGGCCGCAGCGCGAAGGGGTCGGTGGCTTGCGATCCATCGAAGGCAGCGCGGTGACGAGTGGCTGCCCGAGACCACGAGTTGTGGTGGGCGCAGCTCCGAAAAGCTGTGCTCGACCTTCGTGGCTGCGGTGGTGATGGTGGTGGGGAGGTCGGCCACGGTTGAAGGTGGTTCGCTCCGGAGGGGAGCTCAAGGAGAAGGCAGGGGTCTGCGTGGCATCTCCCAGTTGTGATTCTGCCTGTGCCTGTGCCTGGGCTTGTGCAAAAGCCTGGGGTATCTCGATAGGAGGCGGGATGGCTCGCCGCGAGGATCGCTCCGATCTGTGGCTGTGGATGTGGCTGTGGCTGTGGCCTGAGCCGGATGCCATCTCACCAGAGCGGGAAGAATGGTGTCGGCTGGAAGCGCCCAGGCGAGCCGAGCGATGCAAGTCGGCTTCGGCCCTCGCTTTGCACTTGTCGACGACTTTGATGTAGTTGTCGAGGATGGTAGCAATGACAGGCACCATATCGGCTTCGACGACCCGCGTCCTGACGTTCTCGGAACCTCGCACACCAATGTTAAAGATGCATTGGAAAGCCAGGTTCCACTTCCACATGTCCATCATGTCCTTGCTCCGCCCCTCTTTGAGAATGCATATCAGACGCTCGATGCCGCCATCGACGGTGAGAATATCCCGTATCCGCGCCGACGAGGTTGTGAGGTATGCGAGGTGGTTGAGCGAGTTGATGAGCGGCAGGGTGGATGTGCAGTCGAGGGCGCGGCGGTCGTAGAGGGCGGTGGTGATGCCGACCGACGCCTTGTTGGCGTTGGGGATGCTGAAGTTGACTTCACGCATGTTGGATGCTGCGCAGTGCCGTCGCTGATGGGATGGATGGGAGGTGTTGGGCCGGGAGGTGGTGCAGCACTAGTGTCGCATGTGGTGGGCTGCAGCAAGCAGTCGGGAGATGGGCCGGCGGATACCAGAGGGCAAACGGAGGCTGCGTCGACGCGGAGACCGAGAGCGAGTCCTGGATGGTGCTGGTTGCCAGAGGTTGTTGGGTGGGTGAGTGTCTGCAAGCGTGGGTGAGGCGAGCAAATCAGCAGCAGGGTCGGCGAGGTCGAGCTGAAAGGAATCCGGCAGGCTGGAGAGGCGGGCGGCAGGCAGACTCGACGTCAATGGGAGCAGGGCAGAGCAGCGCACGGCGATAGGGGGAGTGTGATGGGCGGTCGGCGGGAGATGAAGATGTTTGCTACTATGCGTTAGGGGTGGTCCCAGCCAGAGCCAAGGCAAGTGCAGGTGCGTGTGGCGAGCGGTCGGGTCGCCGTGTGTCGCCGTGTGAGCGCGCAGCAAGGCGGCGGCGGGCTGGCTCGCTTCTCTCACTTATGGGCAGACTGGGTGAGGGGGGACAGAAGTATGTTGGATGAGGCTGCAGACAGATGAATGGTGTGAGTGTTCGGTCTTGGGCAAGAGAGGTGGTGGATGGGCATCGGTGGGTCTCGCCTTGGCTCTGCTGTAATTGGTAGCGGCAGTCTCGAATCTCCAATTTCAATGCGAGACACCAGCACCGTGATAATCAGACCGCACCAGCTGGGAGAGTTGTTCACGGCAAAGCTGCTCGCCCTCATTCCCATGACTATGTGCGCCACCTGGGGTCTTCGAGACTGCACGCTCGTCATGCCGACCGACCGCAGCTGATGCCGGCCGGCTGGCTGACAAAGGACCCGTCTCTTGCTTACTGCAGACGCATCTTCCCGCTTGCGCCGTGCCACCCAGATTCCACCCCGGCCGTGACAGATTCGCGGGCCCTGCTGGGCTCGTTCTCAACCATGGTTTGGGAGTTGTGACTGTTCAAATATCGTCCCGCGGACAGCGCCGACAAGGGCAGTTTGTCGGCGCTACCTAGAACACTCTAGCATCTAGATCCACGGGATTCCCGCTGCTAGCTCGGCGTGGTATTTTTACCTCCGCTCTCGTTTGGAATCGCGTGAATGGACGGCGTGGGCTGAACTCCACATTCGTGCATCTCGTCGTTTCGAGCATGCTCCTCGGGCGCTGTGTCTTCACGACGGGGCACGAATAGGAGTCCGCGTTTTGTCACAGCCTAGCAGCCGCCCTGAGCTTCTCAGACCTTGACGTTCTTCTTCTCCTGCATCAAGACGGCTGCAAGAATCCCATCAGCGCGCGACACCTGCGCTATCCATGCACCATGGCGGCATCACCCAGCGAAACCCGCGTCCAAGACTTTGGCGCTGCCGCCTCACCCACGGCTCCACAGTCACCAGCTTCCGACGACAGGACACCGGCCCACCTCTCCGTAGATACTCAGCTTGATGACCAGCGGCGGCGCGGACGCTCCGCAACCCAAACAACTGCCACCGCAGCTGCGCCCGAGGAACTGCTCTCGCCAGATCGCTCCTCCATCGACACCACCCTGCGCCGCCGCATAACGCGGTCGCATACTGTAAAGAAGTACGACGAGTACAAGTCGCCGACGCGACCGCACTGGGAAGAGCCTGGTGCTGAACCTGGTGTCGACACGCAGAATGACACCGACGCGCTCAAGTACCATCAGCTGCATACGCTGTGTGGCATCACCGTGGTAGACTTTTCCGACGAAAGAGTCGAGTGCCATGAGCTGGACAACGACAGTCTAGAGGCCTTCCTCGAAGTGCCAAAGGAGGACTGGGTGGCGTGTCGATGGATCAATGTCAATGGCCTCAGTTGGGATGTGATCCGCATGCTTGGAAACCACAAGCAGCTGCATCGTCTGGCCATTGAGGACCTGATGAGCGACCGGGGCCGCACCAAAGTCGACTGGTATTCGGACCAAGCATTCTGTAAGCCAACCACTGTGCCGACTGAAGCGGATCAAATGCTAACAACATCCAGTACTCATGACCTTGTCGAAGCTTGTCCGCACGCCTGTTGACGACTCGGACAGTAGCGATTCAGATTCGGACGACGATGTATACAGACACCCCCGTGCGCGTTCACGGTCCCGTCACCCACCGCAGAAGAAGAAGAAAAAGAAGGGTTTCTTTAAGACGATGAAGAATGCATTGCGCCCGACCGTTAGCGAGAAGAAGCAAAAGAGGGACGAGGAGCATACAATGGAGAAGCATGAGCACAACTACAATCTCGACGGGAGCCACTTGTCAAAGATCCCAACACCGCCCTCAACAGCGCACATTAGGACTCTGCAGCGGTACCGAGGCGGTCCCAACGTCGACCGCATCCTCTACTTGGAGCAGAACTCTGCACTCACCATCAAGCACCTCACTGTTAGTGTCGAACAAGTTTGCATCTTTCTACTTGCAGACAACAGCGTCATCTCCTTCTTCGAGCACTCTGCCGATGAAGTCGAAGACATGATCTTGAAGCGTCTCAACACGGAAGACACCATCCTCCGCCGGAGCCAAGACAGCAGCATGATTGTGCAAGCCATCATCGACGCCATCATCGATCTCGCCATGCCAGTAGTAGCTGCCTACGAAGACGCCATGGGCGAGCTCGAGCTCGACGTTCTCGACGACCCCGAAATCGGCCACTCGCAACTCCTCTACCTCTTGACCTCGGAGCTGTCAATTCTACGGAACACAATCCAACCCATCGTCTCTCTGATCAACGCTCTGCGCGACCACAAAGCTGACCCCATGGCCCAGAGCTGGATCTCCCAGTCGAATTCCAATCTCTTAACCCGCAAAACCATGTCTAGCATCACCATCTCCCCCCTTGCCCACACCTATCTCGGCGACGTCGAAGACCACTGCATAATCATAATCGCCTCGTTGGAGCAAATGAGACGTGCAGCCGACAACCTCATAGACCTCATCTTCAACATGATGGGTGCCTACCAAAACGAATCCATGAAGATCCTGACCGCCGTCACCATCTTCTTCCTCCCGCTCACTTTCCTGGTTGGATACTTTGGCCAGAACTTTGAAAAGTTCGACGCTATCAAGAAATCAGACTCGTTCTTCTGGGTCATCGCGGTCCCGGTTATGGTCGCGACTATGCTGGTGCTCATGAGTAATACGCTGGTGAGGAAGGCGCGTAGGTGGATTGGCAAATTTAAGCGGAGGGAGGCGAAGAGGCAGCAGATGGCGAGTCGGAGGAGGGCGAATGGGATGGGGATTAGTAAGGGGCTGGGCATGGCGATGAATGGCGGGGTGGGGTTGAGTGTGGGGAATACGAGGACGGTAAAGAGGAGGCAGACGTTGTATTCGAAGGGGCAGATTGGATCGTTTTGAGTAGGCTTTGTTTGATAGGAGATGTAAGATTACGATGATACCCATAGATATTTCACAATTACATACTTTTATGGCACTCGCATTAGATACTGTTCTTTGTGATAGCATTTCTATGTTTGTGTACATCAAAGCCCCAGTTGGATTGTCCAGTGCCTTTTCCTAACCAACTACCAATAAAACGCCCTGCCAATGCTTAATACATGGGCGTCGTCATCTACAAAACAGTGTGCGACGACATGGCTTTCCATTACCTATACGTGGTAACTGGCAGGTTACCAGTTGCGTAGAGAAGTAACAGGGTCTTGCTGATGCAATAGCCGGAAGAGATGCAGTGTGTTATTAGGTTTCGATTGCGAAGGCAAGACTCTGTGTGTAGCTCCAGGCACCCTGTTCGCTTTCCATCGTAGATAGCAACATGTCATACACATAGTGCAAACTCGCACCTGTCAATCCTCGCTCGGCTTATCCTTAAACAAAACCCCCTCCGAAATCCCGCTTAGCGCCTTTCCGCACAAAAAGCTTAACCCACTTTTTCCCCGACCATCCGTCTCTCGAAGCCGCCTAGAACTTGGGGCAAACACAAAGGTACACCGATCTTCACCAGAATCAGCACTTCTCGTCTCACTACTCTACTGGACCTGCTTGATCTTGCAAGTCCAGCCCGAGTTAGCCTCAAGCAGCGGAAGACTAATAAACACGTTAGCAAATGCGCAAGGTTTTGCAGTCACGAGAATCAAGGTTACTCACCTAGCTCCCAAACACCACCCCAGCTCCCTATTCTGAATCTTCTTCGCAATCTTGACCTCGCGATCAATCGGCATACCATACCCAGACCTCAGCAGTGTGTACTGGAAGTTGAGATCAAGACACCACTCAGGCCGTCCCTTGAGCTCATCCATCGCCTTGGGCACAGCGCCGAAAACATCCCAGCCAGACTCACCCGCGCAGACCCTGTTTGCCAGATCCTGCAGTTCGCGGAGGGTAAAGGATTCAGGCATGCCGAGTTCCATTGTGCGATCGTAGAAGTAGGATAGCAGGTAGACTTCCTCGCGGGCAAAGGTCTGCTCGAAAGGAGGCTGGTAGACGCCACGGAAAGCGCAAGGGGCAATCTTACACTCGTCGTCTTTGTGCAGAGATTTCTCGGCCCAGTACCGGCATTGGGTGGGCGCGGTGACGGCGGGGCCGGTCATGTTGACAGTGACTTTGTCGCCAAGGGGGTGGGCTGCAGGCATGGCGACGGCGACTTCGCGAGACATGCCTGGTGCAATGCAGGGGTTCACGATGGGTTCCTTGAGGAAGTTTGTGTTGCCCTCATCCTTGTGCGCCTGGTACTTTGAGTCGAGGAGTGTGGCGTGCAGGTTGTTGCGGGCTTCCATGAGGCCGTACCCGAGGTAGGAGTGCTGGTAGAGGTCGAAGTCGCGGCCGCCAAAGTTCAATGAGTACTTGTGGTCGCCCTCTGCGAGCTTGTTGGGGAGACCGCCGCGGGGGACGTCCGGGAAGGTTGGCTGGAAGATGATCTGGGTAGAACCGCCACCGAGGTCGAGGACGGCGGCAGTAGGAGTCTTGTCTGGTCCGCCAATGTGACCGAGGAGGTAGTTGACGGTGATCCAGGCGTAGACACCTTCCATCTCGCCAGGCATGACTTCCACGCCACTCTTCTCCTCTGAGACGACGGGGAATGGGTATACGGTTTCGAGGCGGCGACGGACAGCAGCAAGGGTGGCGTCGCTCTTCTCTGGGCCAAGTTTGCGGAGACCTGCAGTGGCCTTGACGGCGACGGGTGTGCAGCCTTGATATTCTGCTGGGACCTCCTTGAGCGCAACGTCCATGAGGACGTCAAGACTCTTTGCCGCGCCCTCTGCGTCGCCATCGTAGGACGAGAGACCGGAGCCACCCTTGCCCTCCTTCTTCGCTGTTTGTTCAAAGACCTCGTTCTCAAGCTCGGGGCTGGGGCCACAGTTGTTGAACTTGTACACGTGGATACGGGAGCCGGTGCTGCCTGCGTCGATCATGAGGGCATATTGGATGAGCGGCTTCTCCTTGGAATACGACTTGGTGCATTGTGCTTTTGCGTCGCCAGAAGCCGTGTTGCCTCCTTTTGAAAAGGATCCTGAGCCGCCTGTTAGCATGTAAAAGCACACGTATCGACTTCTGCCTACCTCTTGAAAGTCTGTCGCTCGGCGCAATAAAGTACAAAACGAGCAGTATGAAGGCGATCACACCGCCCGTCTTGAGGTAGCGCAATCGCTGCCCCTGGTTCATGATGTTGCTGCCTTTGTAATCCCCCATGAAGCCGTTTGAGTTCGTCGAGCGGTGTCGCGAATGTCTGTCCGGTTTCTCAAAGGGGTCGGCCTCGCGATTGGGATCAAAGTTGCGCGGCAGGGTGACAGATACACGGCGGCGCGGGCCAGGGAAACTGAAGTAGGACCAGATGCCGGGTCGTCGTTGGCTTCCGGGGACTTCAACGCCGCTGGACATGCCACTAGGGAGAGGAGAGAAAAGGGTCCAAGGGTTTAGGGCGAGGGCATGGAGCTGAGCTGCATCCTGGATTAGTATGGCGTCGTGTGGCAAAGACACAAGGAAGGGGCTGCATACGTTACTGCCCTTGGAAGAAATAAGTGCCAGAATGTGAAGGGGTGCTCGTTTGGCGTTGCACACCTCCGTTGCACATGTGCTCACTGTTCTCCGCTACGTGATGTTGGGTCCCTGCATCCCTGAAGCCTTGGCGGACTTCTGCGGCTGAACTTTTTGATTGGCGCGGAACATTTCAGCTGCGACTATCTATGGAGAGGATGCATTCACATGGTGAGGCTGTCAGGTAGATATGGTGACACGTCTGGACTTCCAGGCTTCTCAATTCCCAGCCATACTCAACGAGAATTCCATCGACACACATCTTGCCTATCAATAGTACAGCTCCAGCCCTTCAAAGAGCTCAAGTCTCCGAACACATTCATGCCTGTCCACCCCAAATTGCGCTCCTCGCCCGTGAATCGGCTGCACTGCTGTCCTGCTGTCCAGTGTTCTATAACTCTGGTATGTGCGGTGAGGAGTTTGCCGTCGTCGATGTTTCCGCGTTACTGTTTCGTGCTGTTTCTCCAAACACATTCGACTTCACCCAAAAGACAGCCCAGCCCTTTTCATCACGCTTTCAAAGTCCTCAAGGCTTACGCCTCCAGTCTCCATCCCTTTGCTCTTGACACCACCGTTGGCCTCGAGGATCATATCCTTCAAAACGTCGTCAGGTACATCCTCTCTGAGCTCTTTTGCTACCCGCCGTAGGTGCGCGATGGTTATAGGGCCAGCGCCGCCATGAGTGAATAGTCTGTATGCCGCACTGACTTCCTCTGCGTTACTTTCCGCTTGATACTCGTCATCGTAGTCTTCTTCATCGTCACCTTCTTCTTTGTTGTGCATTGCAATCGCGGCGTACGAGAAGAACGGGACAAACTCCACGAAGCCAGTTTCCAGCGGATCTATGGTCGCGAGAATCGACGGTATCTCAGACTTGTCGGGCCCAAGGTTCAGCGAGCTGTACTCAGGTCAGTGTTTGTTACTCGGCATGCGACAACAGAGCCTACATCAAGCATCTCCGCACATCGTCCTTGCGCAACACGCCCTCCTTTGAATCCCCATGATCTGGATGATGCACTGCAAAAAGCGCAAAAGCCTCTCGTATCTCCGCTTCTTGGTCCGCAGTCAAGCCATTCTCTTTCGCAAGCTTGGATGCGCGTTTTACAGGCTGGCGACTTTTTACCAGGTGGTGCTTGACGCGGTTCGGTGGACTAACGAATAAGCATCAGCAAGAGCACAACATAGCTCTAAAAGTCTAAACTCACCATCTCGTCGCCTTGAAGTTCGTTGTTGGAGTTCACGATCAATGACGCCAGCCAGTGCATGGGCCATGGCGCTTACCTCACTAGCGCCAACGCGCCCGCTTAAAACCGACAATTTCTTCCTCACCAACCTCCTCACACACGCACTTTCCGCGTTTCGCAGAGTTCCTAAACCTTCTCCTCTTCACCACAATACTCACAGTCCTCTACATCATGTAAATCTCACTTCTCTTGCCTCCGGAGGCACTACTTCTCACTACCTTCTCATTTCATTCACCTCTGGCGACAAGAACGCGTCCGAAAATACTTCTCCATCGACGGACCCCCACTAAAGACTACGACAACGACAATAAAGCAACCCATCCCGATTGATTCATCAGTATCAAACAACCACCATCACAACACGCGTCCAAGACGCTGGTCTGCGGGCCATGGGATGCGTCCTTCTTTGAGGCAGTGTCCTCTCTGGTGTAACATCGTCCTTCGGTTTGGCCACCCGAAAGGGATGGTGCGAACCTGTCTGAGCATGACCACAGACTAAGTCCTCGAGGAGGTCTTGTCGTAGGTTGGTGCAGCTCTGTTTGGGGTATGCGTACCTCAGGTCTGACCCACAGACTGTCTGGGCCGCGAAGAGCGCCCTGGGACCTTGTCTTGGGATTTGGCAGAGCCCATAGGCATGGGTTTGCCTGGGAAGTCGGGAGACGTCCCGTCCAGTGTCACGAGCTCGAAGATTAGAGACTGACAGAAGTCGAGCAAGTGCCGCTCGCAAGCATCAGCAACTCAGAAATCAGTGAGGCTGATTGAAGTCGAGGTCGAATGCACTCGCAGGCGTTGGTTTCCAGACAGGAGCCGACGGAAGTCGTGCAGAGGCTCGCACAATGCGCATGATGGTCAATGACAGCGCATCGCGTCGAAGGCGAATAGCTGCGTCCCGACGATCAAGCCAGAGAACCAGGACAGAGAGTCCGCGAGAAGTTCGGCTTACAGGAGTTCCGACGAGCCAAGAAGACCACCGGATAGACTCTGATGCGGCCGCTGAGGAGAGTGAGCGGCGAAGCGCCCGACTACGAGCCTCCAACGGAAGCCGCCCGCGGAGACGGGGAGTCGATCTCCAGAATTCAGCGTTGAATTACATGCATGACGAAGCAATCCATTGCGACGAACGAACATCATGCCCGCTCGAGTCCGGTCGGTACGGCAAGGAGTCCACTCCAGAATCATGGCTACGGCCAACAACGACCGTGTGTTGAATCGCACTGGTCCAGGGTTTCACATGCCAGTTTGGCTGTGAGTTCATCATTAAACTGTTTTGTTGCAGTTCAAATGCTGTTGCTGCTGAACGCAGTTACAAATGCGGACCTTACGAGTAGGGAGTACTCCCCGCCACTGCTTGAGGAGTCAGGAGAGGCTGGACCTCTTGCGAAAGCAAGGGCTTCTGGCAGGTCTCAGAATCCGATACTGGTGGAAGACGTCAACCGACATGGAGTTGCTCTCCGAGCGACTTCGACAGGCCGAACGGTCCTTGACATCCTGTACTCAGAGGCACCTGCAGACTAGATGGCGTCCACTGCTGCTCTGTTCTGGTCCTCGAGCATCTTGGCGTCTCCTTTCTCAAAATGCCACTTGGAAGATGCGACTGTCGCGAGGCTCGCAACCTAGCTTGACTAAAGTATTCTGGACAGTGCACACGAGGAAAGACGCCAACGATCGAAGCGACCACGCAGATGCTGGCATTTTGGGTGCAACAGTCACTGCCTTTGTGCTCTTGTTTTGTATCATTGCCCGTACTTGCTCACAAGCTTTGCTTGCCCATGAGCCTTGCCTCAGCCGAGCAAGTACTTGGCAAACAGGATCGAGCTGATCATCTCGTGAGAGGTGCCAGCAACGGCCGATCTTGATTCCGACCGATATGCGTATCGGTCGAAGTTCAAATTTCCCGGTTCCATTTGGACAACCTGGAGAAAGCGACGCAATGAAGACCAAAGACATTCGAACTGGAAGCCTGGCCGGGTCTGATGTTGACATTGACGTCAACTTCTCTTTTTTTCCAGGCGACTTGCACAGCATCCATCGCCTTCCACGAGCTAGAGAGCGCAGCTTTCGCTTGTGACAAGTTCCCCTCTGGATTTAGGAGTGAGTGGACATGGAGCAGGTATTGACCATCCTGTGTGCGACAATAGGTTACAACGTCTTCCGATGTTGTTCGTGGCTTCTGGGGGTTCTTTCGCCTTTTTGGCTATTTGTGACTCTGGGGGCTTATATTCTGTCCGACTATTGTGGTTTCCGAGGGTTTTTGCATTTCTCGTTTCTTGTCTCTTCGTGGCTGCTCTGTAGCGACCGCAGGAGTCGAGTGCGAAAAATGGACAGGATGTTCGCAAGAACATCTTTCCGCTTCCAATTAAGCTAGAGCTCGCCATCACGTTATTCATCCACGTTGAGCGAGTGTGGACAGGGAAGCAAGATTGATCCAGTCATTGCCTCTAACTTCACGGCAGTGATGCCTTTGTTTCCTCCGTTCGTTGAGCCGATTAGTTGGCTTGAGGATGAGGGAGCAGAGGGTACATACCTTTGCAAGCACCTTGTGTTTTTTGTGATGTTTTAATACAATTCGTTCATTCTTTAGAAGCTGTTGCCAATATGATTTCGTGCGTGTGATGGTGACTTGTAATAATTCGCTTTGCTCTCTCAACTGTCATTGCTATCGTTTGCCTTTCCTCCCCTTGGAGCCCGGCTTGATCTATTACTTCTCATTACTTTGACGTATGATGCTTAATTGTAGTCAAATCAAATTTGCATGTTGAATTCGCACATGTTAAAGTCACCATTTCTGTGGTGTTCACGCGTCCTTGCAGTAATCGCGACTCAATAGGTTATCGATTGCGTGAATTAGTCTTAATTAGAGAGACGATGACCAGCAGACACGTACTGATACAAGCACTCATAGTGTATGATGCGGGACGACAATCAAAGTACAACAAACAAATAGGTGACACGACAAGCCGTAGAGCTAAAAAGATGTATGTACTTTTTTTACTTTTAAACTAAAGTCGAGACCAATGTACTAAATATCAAATGCACTCTACTTTTCAAACACGGAACGGATCGTATGCCGCACCCCTCCCAGCGTACCTAGGGTCCGAATACTCATCATCCAAAAATGCCGGCCTCCTCTGCTCACCCTGCCGTTGCGCCATGCGCGGATCCGCTCGATCATAATACAACCCCGGATCAACACGGTCATTCTGGCCCCGTCCCAACGGCGCCCGCTGCCCGCGCTCATTGAACATTTCCCTAAACTCATCCAAAGTGTAGCGATTCTGACCGAGTCGTGCACGTTGCTCAGCGTTGTTGAGCTGGTTGCGCAACGTGGTGAAGTCTTCGAAAGTGTCGCGGCCAGGTCCGAAGAGTGTGCGCTGCTCGTCGAGTTTGAGCTGATCTAGTTTGAGGCGGAGTTCTTCAAGGGTGAAGCGGTCTGGGTTGACGGGGATGTTTGTTGGCATGTAGTGTTGCGGTTGTGACGCGTACATGTTGTTGCCGTTCAGGTAGTCTTGTGGCTGCTGAGCATATCCATAAGCACGACTTGGCATGCCGGGCATCTGGGGCATAGTAGCTGCGCGATGGGGGAGTGGACGGTTGTTTCCGATACCTAGTCCTTCAGAGTAAGGATCACGTGCGCGATGAGGCAATGGATCATGCGGATAGTCGTTGACGTTGGGCTCGCGAATGTTGTAGTTATGTACGGTTTCGTATTTCTTGATGCTTGGCCGGCGGTGCTCATGCCGGGTGCGGGAATGCGTACGTGTGTGACGCCCACCATGGTCACGTCTATCGCGTTCGTCGGAGTACACTGACGAAGTGGCATCGGTCCACGAATCCTGAGACGAGCGACGAGACATTGGAGACGGTGGACTGAAGTTCCCAGTCCTCCTGTTATTATATGCTCGCGTTGGTGATGGACGGACCCAACGATCAAACTTTTTGCCATGTCTGCTCTCGTCGCTGCTGCTGGCATAGGTCGCCCTCGTATGGGAACGATTTTCGGATGAACTAGAGCCCCTTCTGGGCCTACTCGATTGACGACGGCGTTGGCTGACACTGCGACTTCTCACACGGCTTCTTGACTTGTGGACATGCTGCTTCCCATGTTTGATAGGCTTTGAGCGTCCCCGACCTCGATCTTCCACATAGGCAAAGTCATCGCTGACACTACGAGTCTGCCATTGTTCTGAGCCCGAGCTGGTCTCTGTGTCCCAGTCGTCGTCTGACATTCTTACGTGATGAAGCTTTTGTTTTGTCGGCTTTTGACCATTAAGAATATGAACACCTGGCTGAACATGTCGCATGCCCGCTATAGGTGTCCCCGGATAAGTTCCGGGCATCTTTTGCATTTTTGGTTGCTGATGCTGGCCATGCTGATGCTGGGTCTGGTGCTGGTGCATGTGTCCATTCATGGGATGTGGGGGTGGTGGAGGCGGTATACCACCATGGCCGTTCATCTGTCCAGGGTGACCTGGTGGAGGCGGTGGAGGGGGCGGTGGATTGTTACCGTGGTGCATTGGAACTTGACCATGAGGAGGAGGTGGTCGCTGCTCGAAGTGTTGCCCGCCCATTCCGTGCTGGCCCTGCTGTTGGACAGGTCTTTGTTGCTGGTTCATATTCAACCCTTGGTTCTGCAGACTACCCTGTCCTTGAGGCCCAAGGGGATTATTAGCCTTCATCGGCTTGTTGAAGTCTTGGGCACCATGAGCGGTGCCTAGACCACTTGTGTTCAACCTTGAGTTGGGCACATTCGGTAGGCTTGTTTCTTCGATCTGAAGGATGACTTGTACACGGTGTGGATACTTCTGCTTATCCTTGCGCCCTTGGCGATGATCGGAAAGCATCATGCCGGCAATAATGTACTCGCCTAGCTTGTTTTCCTTCTTGAGCTTTGCATTCTGATCCTCTACGAAATTCCTGATCTCCGCACGACAGCTCCTTGATTTCGTAGCATCAAGGCGATCCGTCACTGTCTCATCGTCCCGCTTGAGTCTGGCAAGCTTCTCTTGTATCTCCTCCTGTGAGACATATTCCTTTCGCGGTTTGACACCATCCCAGGTCGAGGACTGAGACGGCTTCTCAAATGTCCAGAGACTTAGCTGTGGGATCGAGTCGACGTATGGATTACGGGCTTGCTGTTGACCTTGAGAAGCCTTTTGCTGCATAGTCGGCATCTGCCGCTGTTGGCCAGCATTCAGATGTTGCTGAGGTACCTGGCCGCCATGAAACTCAGGTTGATGTGCACCGCCACCATGTCCTTGCTGATGGAACGCCATTCGATGATTGTTGACGGTTACAATTTATGTCACGGGTGACCAATAGCTTTGCCTTGATCTACCGGGCCAATGGTGAGTCAAAGAATGAATAGATACGATGTTGGAAGCGAGAGATGATCGTGGGAGCAAGTGACCAGCAAGGCGTCCTTGACAGCTCGAGGCAGACGAGGATCTCGACTCATGATATACTTGAGAAGACCGTCCTGTTACACATTGAGTGTTATCCACGCCCTCCGCCCACGGCAATGGTAACACCTTCTCGCTACGTCTCGGTTATGGTGCCCCTCCTTCCGTGCATACGCCTGCATCCCTTTGTTTGGTGCTCACAGACTTGGGACATTGGCCATTAGGCATTGCAAGCCCTGTGTTCAGATTGGTCATCGCTCACTCACCGGATGCAGCCACCAGGCTGACCAGGACGCTTGCAAGATCAGGCAAATCGGATGCCTAGACGAAACGAACCAGCTGGAAGCTGGCTTTTAGAACGCAAAAGAGCCTCAAATGTTACTGACCGGTCAGACTTTGATTTCATGATACACGCAATCAAGTGGATCGGCATGCATAAGCAGGACTCGTGATGGTTGTTGGCCCTTCGCCACAGCCTGGTTGTGTTTGCGTTTGTCCGGTGCAACCTTGCATGAGAACATGTTGTTGCGCTGGGATCTCGTTAGCATGCATCATTTGAGACGCCATGGTTCGCAAGATCTGATGCTATCTTCCCATGCTCGCTATATTGAGTATGTGACAGTGAAGAACGCAGGTGTGCTTACGATGCGATGATGACGCTGCAGTCGAGCATCGACCCCTCTTTGACCCATGCCACCAACATCGTTCTCGAGTTTCAAGCGTATCAACGTTTAGAACTATCAACACAACCATCCAAGTTCAAATCACCGTTGAGTATGTTCTCCGTTGAGAAGTCGCACCGTCCCTTCTTGTGATACCTTACGTGCCTTGTTTTATACCACCTAAGTCCTGGTCCAGCCAGGCGTCCCAGCCAACACGCATTGGAAAATACCTTTGCCGCACTTCGCAGGATTGAAGTGCATATCACTGACGCAGCACATACTCTGCTATACCAGGCTGCGGTCACTTTGACGGAAATTCGCCAGGAATCGCACACGTCAGATGGACATACAACTTCACCCTCCAATTGCTTTAACCTGTAAACGCATTAAGTAGCGAGGTTTGCGTTAGGTACTAAGGCTGCAATACAGCAGTTCGCATATTGCAGCATGCATCACCTTAGCTTGGTAAGTTGCAACACACGGGGCAGCTATCGCTCGAGTAGGCACAACACACGCCCCGCATCTGCACAGCGATATCTTCCACGAATTTAGCTTGGCTGTTCGGCCAATGACTATCATTCTGGATGGCAGCGGCAACTAGCGACACGAGCGTGCCGTGTTGACACCGGACAGTGGTTACGCCAGACCTGTCTGATGACACGGTGGATCCTCAGCCTTGTACGCCCGGACAGTCAAACGCCAACTACCAGCCAAGACGTGATCAGTGATTGGAGAAAAGTAGGAAGGAAAATTGGATTGGCGACCTTATGCAGGTTTTCTTAGTCTCACATTTACATCGCCCCGAGGACGACACCACCGGACGGGGCGAGCCGCCCTTCAAATCCACTATTGTACGTGAACGTCCTTCAGGATCTCCACTTAGATCCGAAAGGAGGGTTCGAGACATATCTTAGCATTTCTGCTCAATTGTCGCTAGGCAACTGCCCATGGCTCAGTCTTGCCCTGGATTCTGGGTTCAGGCCCTACCCATCTCGGGGTTGGACAGCTCGCTTCACTACACATATTATAGGGCTTGATGTAGCACTATGTCTTCGTCTGTGACTATACGGTAAGTATAGTAATGCTCTGGAAACCCACTGTTACCTTCACACTGTGGCAACTTCTCAGCGTATGTACACACGGGCAGATGAGCTCGCTAGCATGAACGAAGCGTGGGCTGACGCAAGCCGGCACTTTGACCTATACCCCAGGACACGGGATAGAAAAGTTCGGCAAGATATCTGATCTCCCCGCAGTTTAAGCATCGTCTTGGTTCTGATAGCTTCACCGGTCATGGACGATCCCACTATTTTCCGGCTTACGAACTGGATCAAAAGCACTTCCAAGACATCGTAACATGCAGTCTTATCTCAAGCACCGGATGCTCTTGATGGATCGATTGTCTGCCGCTATACATGCATGGTGTGCGAGCTTCTGCGTTGCGAAGCTGCATGCTAGAGACATGGCTCGAGAGTCCTCCGAACACTTTCAATCTCCGGCAGTTCGTACACTGAACTTTATCTGTCTACAACCATGAAATGCAGAGCCTCATCTTTGCCACACAGAGGACGATCGATTACCAGTACGACGTTGTGACGTGTCCGCATCGTCGCCAACCAAGCATGCACGATTGTGTCTGCAGACGAGCAGACACGGTAGCATATAGACTTCATCCCCTTCAAGCTGTAGGCTATATCTGATCAGCCTCGGGCAATGCCTTGTCTGTAGCACGTTCAGTTGACGTGCCACATTTCTACACAGAATGTGGAGCAGGTGCAACCATCTGCTACATGGAAGAGTCTGGAGAACTAGTTACCGAAGGCCAAGATCTTTCGTAAGCTAAGTGACACGGTCAGCACTTTCTTTGAGGTCAGCACAGCCTTGTGATACGAGGGAGATTTCCATACGACCGCAATCTTGTTTCGACCTTCAAGCGATAGGGAGAGCTTTCTGAGATCACTCTTTGTGCAACGAGCACAATCTTGCGTCACCATGTACAAAATCCACAAGACCATTTCAACGGGTCCGAGCCTAAAGTCACAACGCAAGATTATCGCCACAGTAAACAGCTCAGCCTTGTGATGTGACAGAGCACTGAACCAAGCCATCATTTCGTACTCTCTCACCAAGTACATAACGGCACAGCCTCGTCGCACACCAGGTACAAATAATCGCACAGCCTCATCCATCACGCATTGCCACTCTTCTGACCCCCAACCCAGACACAGGGTACAGGCCTTATTTCTGAAACACAAAATTCGTCATTGAGATCAGACCGTACCGAAAAATTAACCTCACTCAGGTTGTCACCACGTCCGACCATGCACTCTCAGCATGATAAAATCCAAATGGCACGCGCTCACAACTCCGCGTCAATGCCCTGCCGAGCCCATCGTGTCCGATACCTCTCTCACATTTTCCCCTAAAAGCACCAACCCGCCCTTGTCCACATACTCGCTTACATCAACGCATATATGTACAAAGCCATCGCGGGGCGGACTCTGGCAGGATGGAAACTTGTCGGCTCTGCAACGGGATTCGAAGCTAAACCCCATAGCCCATCTCGTCGTGAGAAAACATCATGTCTTGGTAATAATCGGACAGGACAAGGACGCATCTTCAGCGACATCAAGCTAGAAGTCAGTAATAGTCTTGTCTTTGCGTGAACTACCGCCGTCAGGACACCGACTACTCGGGGCCATGATGTCACAGTCCCAGGAACGGGCGGCTCCTGAGGTATTACACAGAAGGTCAAGTGAACATAGCGTTTAGTCACTAATGAACGCAGACTTCACGCGAACAGACATACGACGACTTGGCCTTCAAAGCAATCTTTCATTCCTGCCTTCATCCCCCCTCATCCAATATATACACTCCCCATATATCGCCCCCCTACACCCATCTCTACATTAAATATTACCACTCGCTGTATCAAACACCCCCCTCAACGGGGCGTGCAAGCAAACAAAACAAGGTCTAGCCTCTTAATCACCAAGCCACACCAAAAAGGTCCTCCTCTACAGGAACCCACACGAAGAAAGAGAAAACAGGCAAACAAGGTTTTGGAACGTAGAGTTAACAGCGAGGGTATTGAAGAGTTGGTTTATCGTACAAAGAGAAAAAAATATAGGAGAATTTGTCATCTCGCGCCTGATGCTCCGGGAATGCTGAAGAAGTAGGTATGCGGTAACAGCGATGGTGATGATGCAAACCGTGGTGCGGCATAAGGCTGGGTAAACAAATCGCACAGATCGATGTCGCTTACTTGAGCTGCAACTGCACGTCCTCCACACCCCGCTTGAGTACGTCTTCGAGCTTCCACCTTGGCAGCTTGGGCTCTTTGCTTGCAGCGTCTGCAGTCTTCTCCGCAGAAAGCTCCTCGGGCTCAGCGCCGCCGGCAACACCGGAGCTGAACTTGAGCTGCAGGATGTCGCCGACTTCGTCGCAGGCTGCGAGCATGCGGTCGAGATCTTCCTTGGTGTGAGCAGCGCTCACACAGAAGCGTGCTCGACTAGAGACAAGAGGTGTGGCAGGGTACCCGACGACGACGACGGAAATCTTGCGCTTGAGCATTTCGTGTGAGAAGGCAGGCATCTTGGCGGGGTTGTAGAGCATGACTGGGATAATGGGCGAGTCATCGTGACCGTAGACAATGTATCCAAGACGTTTGAGACCTAGGCGAAGGTAACGCGAGTTGAAGCAAAGACGCTGGAGACGCTCCTCGCCCTGACCAGGAACAATTTCGCCGTTAATGATGCGGAGAGCGGACGCGATTTGAACAAGGACTGGCGGCGATGGAGACTCGGCAAAGAGCATCGCGGCGTTTTGAGTGCGAAGCTTGTCAATGATGGACTTTTCTGCAGCAATATAACCTCCGTTGGCACCAAATGACTTGGTCAGAGTACCCATGAGGATGTCGACATTGGAGGGATCGATGTTGAAGTAGTCGCAGACACCACGGCCACGGGGACCGACACCGCCAACGGAGTGGGCCTCGTCAACGAAGAGGTGGAACTTGTACTTGTTCTTGAGCTCGATGATGCCGGGGAGATTGCACATGGTACCTTCCATAGAGTAGAGACCTTCGACAGCAACTAGAATCTTCTTCCATGGGCGGTGAGTGCGGGGCTGGCCTTGCGAGATGGCTTCACGGAGCTTGCGCTCGAGGTGTCGCATATCGTTGTGCTTGAACATGGTGACCATAGCACCAGAAAGACGTGCACCGAATCGGATAGACGAGTGGTTGAGTTCATCGGAGATCATGAGGCAGCCCTTACCAACAATGGTGGGGAAGGTAGTGGCGTTGGTGACGAAACCCATGGAGAAGACCATGGACGCTGGCTTGTCGACGAACTTGGCAATGAGATCCTCAACCTCTACAGTGAGCTCTGAAGTACCGCTGTCGGAGCGAGGACTGGCCATTGAGATTCCGTACTTCCTGATGGCAGCTTCGGTGGCATCGGCGCAGGGTCCTTCTGATTGCGCGAATCCGAGGTAGTTGTAGGAGCTCATGTTGAGGGTTTCGGTGGTGGTGCCGAGCAGCTTGAAGGTGTTGTTGCCGTCGTCAGACTTGCGGTCGAGTACGGTGATGAAACGACCGGGGACACCGGTCGTGGGGCGCGAGAAGCAATCGTTGATCCTCATCTTCAACCGACGAGTGTAGAAATTATCAAAGTCGCTGTTGAGGGGCGCGTAGCCGTCCCGCTCCTGGAGATGGCTGTAGTGTTGCTTCCTGAAGCGCTTGCCGAAAAAGTCGCGAACATGGCCGAATACGATTAAGATTAAGTAGCTGATGTAGGTTGTAAATAGGAAGTAATAGGGCGGCTCATCCTCAATAGGGTCGCCGAATTCGCCCTCGAATTTGCTGTGGTACCTGTGCTTTTGCGATCCGAGGGGTCCAAACTGTGCGTGTGCTCGTGCGATGCGTCGCTGCTCCTCGGGGGACGGCGGCTGGAAGAGGGTCTTGGGCTCGGTGGGCATCTTCTCGCCGGTGGCAGTGGTCAGGCTGATGCTCGGCAGAGACAGTGACTGGGGAGACGGCGAGTTCAGGAGAGCTTGCTGTTGTGCGGCAAGGGCTTCACGCAGGACGGCGGCGTCTGTCCGTGATTTGGGTGAGCCGCCGAACAGCGAGGTGAACTTGTTGCTGCCCTTGGCGAAGGAAGACCGGCGCTGTGTGTCGCGCTTCTCGTGGAGGGAGTCGAGGGGAGGAGTGGGAGTAGCGGCGGCGAACGGGTTGATGGTCCGGACAGGCATTGCAACAATTACTCGGATAGTCGACGGGAGGGTATTGGCAGTCGAGGGGCGGTTGTCAGAAGGAACCTCTGCACAACTAGCGCTGGTCGGGTGTCTGGTAGACAGACAGTGGTATCGGAGACGGTCCCAGACGTGGAGCTGCGAGCTGCGAGTTGCAGGGCAGATGCAGGCGGTGAGGGCAGGCAAGGGAAAGGAGGCGACGAGGATGGCTAGATTCGGGCGATCAGCATGCGCCGACTCGAGGGTTTCAATTTCAATTTGGGCGGCGACGAGGACAACAGCAACAGCGTGCGCAGGACTGGGGTTTGAGCAGAAGCAGGCTGGGGGTGCGACTGCAAAAAGAGCTGGTGGTGTCTTATGAATGTTGACGTCCTCCGACAGAGCCGGTGCAGCCGGATGCTCTTGGTTGGCTGCAACCGAGCGGGAGTCGCGGGCGCTTTGCTGGAGCTAGGAAGTCGCTAGGAAAGTCCACCTACGTTGTCTATGTCTTCTCTCAAGTCAAGTGCGCGAGACGCAGAACAAAGCTGGATGTTGCTGCGTGTTGGACGCTTCGTCAGCGCAGAGGTGGCAGCGTCGCAAAAGGCTGGTGGTTCTGGTGGCGCAGCCGTTTGCTGAGTGAGCTCCACCGACGCCGAAGGGTCGCCTTGCCAAGTCGCTGTCGAGAATCTGAACGTCGAGGACTCAACTTTGATCCAAGTTTTGCGTCGTCAATTCGGTCCCGACGCGCGGGTTGGCTGCAAACACGGCAATCGAAGGAGTGAAGAGTGTCGTGTGGGCAGAGGACAGAGACAGTCCCAACGGTTCCCAAGGGAGCTGCGTGCTTTTCAGGCGCCGCCACTCCCAAGCGAGCTTCGGTCTCAGGGGCAGCTGTTGCTAGCTCGCTGATCGCACACAGCAACTGATGGGCAAGCCTTGCACAAGCTCCGGCCGCGAAGAGCCTCGCCCAACCTTCCGACGCCCCGACCACCGATTCGCCGCGCCATCGCGCGATGGCCTCGCTCTTCCTGTACGTCATGTCTGCTTCGCACGACCTGGCGCAGCATGCTTCTCGCTGTTGGAAAAAGAAATGATTTCCGAACACGCTACTAAGCGCTCTGAAACTGACATAAGCATCCTCCCCACTGCGTGTCACGCTGTCGCTCGGCATAATCCCCACTCTTTCAGTCTCTGTCACACAGCCTGAACTCGGGGTTTGTTCGCCCTCCGCTTTTGGAGCGGATGGTCGTTGCATCCATCTGCCGTGAGGTGTTTTTAGCCCCATCTGCTGTGCGAAGAGCTCGTTTACCTTACCGAAGCTGAAGATGGTTGCGAGGCGGCCCAGACCCTGCAAATGTCCGTCGCCAGTGTTTCGAGTCGACGTCGACCCTCATTGGCCATGGTCCGCAGCCATTTCGCAGCCTCGTCAGACTGTAGTCACGGTGGAAATAAAGCTCATTTGCAGCATTCAATCAGCTCCAGACACTGCATTGAGGCGGAGTACCGTTGAGAGATTGCGATTGGCATTCTTGTCCTTCCCGGACACGACGCAAGTCTAATTTCCCTGGAATATAAGGCATCCTCACCTCTGCTCAGTGTTGAGCCTGCACACGCCCTTCATCACATAGCATCACCATAAACACAAGCAGGTGCTAGTAATGATGTATTGTTCACTGACATGCAGCAGAACCGTATCGCGTCTGAAGATCTTATAAGACTGCAATCAAGCACGCACAGCGGCTGTTCAACTACCAACACCCGCAGCAAGATCTCCTCAAAATTGCATCCTCCAACTGGCAGGATGTGACGGCCCAACGTGGCAACAAATGAAACAATCCAAGCTCGCAACCAAAAAAAAAAAAAATGAACATGAGAACTATTCCGAAGACAAAAGCCAGTGTTGAAATGGTCAAACTGAGGTCCAACGCAAGTGGTAGCGCAGGTTCCACCAGTCAACCTTTTCTGTATATATACCCTTCCTGCCCATGCAACGCCGGAAATGTAAACAAGCCCGCTATTGTGGTCGTTCAACTTGCGTTACGAAGGTAGGTGGAGTCGAGGAGTAGAAGGTTGTCTTCCTGTCGGCAGCAGGTTAGACTAATCGATGGATATGCGATATGTCGAATGGTGCGAGACCAATATGTAAACGAGAACGCGAGCACAGATTAAGTATGGGTGCGGCGTCGGTGACCGAGGGCAGCAAGAACTCTCGCCTGTCTCAAAGCGGAGCCCCCGCGCTCCACGTCCCTGAGCCGATGCAACAAAGACTGGGTATTCACGCGAGCGAAAAGAATTGACAAAGGAGAGACATGAGAACACCAAGCTGTGCCTACATTTGATGATGTTCAGGCGACAGGCTGGACGGATCTATTGTGCCGAAAGATACCATGTTCTGCATGTCCAAGTCATCAACATTCTCCTCCATCAAAGGCGAGTGGAAGGGAAGGTTGAGACTTTGCTTCGCGTACATGTCAGTCATTTGCAGTGCTTCGTCTGACATGCCGTGCTCATGTGACATTGGGTAGACGTCGGCATGCGCATCTCGTCCGAATGAGCTCAGAGGTGGAGACTGGTTCGCAATGATGGGGTCCTGGTGGCCCATTTGTGGCATCGGCGAAGTGGCGGCAGCAGAATGGGGAGGTGGGCCCATTGGCGTGTGCACATACGGGGGGATGTTGTACTGTTGACCAAAATTCGATGCGGGGATGTTGTCGTTGGACGGCCCAGATGTGAAGAAAGCGGGTGTGCCGTACTCGGATGGAGAGTTAGCGGTGGTGGCCGACATGGGGTACTGCCTGTAGTCCATGCCGTAGCCCGCAGAAGTGTCAATACTGAGATGCGATCCCATGGGACCTGCACTCTGGGGAACAGGTGCATAAATCTCGGGACTTGGCATGTACGGTGAGTGCTCAGGCTGGATCATGAATGAGGGCATCGGCTGGCGAATCATAGAAAAGTCAATAGCAACAGGCACCGAGCGACTGCGTTGACGCTTGTGACCACGCTGTGGGAATGGACCAGGCGCAAGATGCGAGTCGTGAAACATGCCCATGTGAGGATGTACGAGATGATTGGGTTGCGATGCAGGTCGGTGGGCGATAGGCGAGACGGGTGCCGAGACTGCAAGAGTGTTTGGGTCGTACATGTTGTGTCGGTTCTGAAACGACTCCAACGAGACGAGTTTCGCCAATTGGCCACTGAGCACTTTGGGGTGACCACCGAGATGGTGCACAAAGATGTTCGATGCCTGCTGGTCCTCTGTGAAATCGCCGCATTGGAAGAAGCCTCCGGACCCAGAAGAGTCCATGAAGAAGTTTGGTGGCCGGTTGAGCTCAACAACGAGACCTCCTGGTCGTTGCGAAGCGCCCTCGGCGTTAGCTGTCATATCACCATTCTCCAGGCTGATGTTCTTGATGTACGCGAATGGGTACTCAATCTTGTAGCCGGCGGAGTCGTTGTTGATGTAGTATGTAATGCAGCACTTTTCTGGTGAGTAGAAAATGACCAGGTCCATGGCGCTCTGGCCAACACGTCTCCAGTTTCCGATGCTAAGAGAGCGGCAAGCAAAGTGGTGAATGACTGAAATTTGTTAGCACGCCCCATCATGTTAAACGTGCTTTGCAAGAATTACTTACCAACTTTTGAGGAGTTGGTGTCAGTGTTGAGGAGCATGCCGCTGCCGTAGGGCATACCACCGGTGCGGCCAAGGAAGCTGGTTCCGATTGACTTTCCCGATTCCATGGCCTGCAGTGCGAGGTATCTCCGCATCGACTCGGGAATGTCGTTGCAGTCATCTCCGTTCTCGATGCTCTTCTTCGCAATGTTCTTAATCTTTGCGCGTCTGCCCGAACATTAGCATCAGACCATTACAAACTCGTTGCAATCCTCACCTGTTCTGGAACCAAATCTGCACTGATCGTTCCGTCATGTTGATTTCGGATGCTATCCTCTCACGGGTTGCAGCAGTAGGAGTTGGGTTCTTGTTGAACTCGACTTCGAGGGTAACCAGTTGGTCCTGGGTGGCGCGCTGTCTCTTTTGGTTCCTCTGCTGCTGAGTGAGGGTGCTCTTGCGAGGGGGTCGGCGAGGAGCGGATCCATGGGTAGGGGTGGGGGTCGACTGGGCCCCGGGGGAAGGTGAAGGAGACACCATTGCGTCGTCGGCGGACTGCATAATTGGTTCTTGAAGAAAGTAGAGCGAAATTGGCTCGGCTAGTTGATTTGATGGGAGAGGGAGCAGTCAAGCTAGGCGCCTCTGTCTATCGATGTCGTAAGGGTATCGTAAGGAGCAATGGGTCCAAGTGATATGGAGTGGTGAAGATAGGAGCTGATTGAAGCTTGCAGCGGGTCCAATTCCAGTGGGTCGGTGAGGTTCCGTGGGCTGTCGAGGCGGACACCGTCCAGGCGCGCGTGATGCTGTCGAGGAAGAAAGTCTGCTTGCCGAGGAGCAGTTTCAAGAAAGATCGTCCAAGAGCGATTCAGGTGGTCAAGGAGGGGAAGTGGTGAATTGTCAAGGAGTGGACAGGCAAGGCCTAAGTGAAGGATTGTGGAGAAAGGAACGTGGGCGAAGGCCGAAAGGAGTGGCAGCACTTCGCAGAAGTCGACAAGGAGAAGAGACGGTGATAGAGATCGCACCGACGATGAGGTGGTGACGATGCGGGACCCGGATACAGGAGAGGCGGCGAGGTAAATGAGCGACTTGGGGGAGCGAAAGGGGAGATTAAGGAAGGAGCGTTCAAGCCAGCAGGCTAGGGGATGGCGCGCTAACCGGACGTGCCCCATAACAAGGGCCAGTAAGCGCCCACCGCCCCACTACCCATCACCAGATTTAGTCTGTTAGGCTGCTAGCACGCCGTTTTTGTTGCGAACGCTGCTGCGAGAACCTTGCGATACTTGCGGCCCTATGGCTCTGCGTAAAACAACACGCCGCCATTACTCGCAGCGATGGCGATGCACGAGAGGGCGACGTCGGCACCCGCTGCATCGTCGCCACGCCGCAGCGAAGTCTTCTTCTGCCCATCCCATCAGGGGCACTCTGCGCGGAGGATCCAGCAGCTCCTTGTCCCGCCGGCCGGCCACTCACAGCGGGCAGCCTGGCCGGGATGCAGAGTTAGCCAGGGCGGCGGGCGCGTTCCTCCAAGGCTCAGGAGACGTGGTGCATAGGTTATCCCGGTCCGCAAACACTCGCGGACCGCCTGATGAATCCTGACTGACGGCTGCATCGTATCCAGTCGAGGCCACGGCCGCCATGGGTGTTTGACGAGACGGCGCACGTACGCACCTGCACATCGTTGTTCGAGCGCTGCCAAGCGCACGACGCCCTGCAGCAGTGCAGCCTCGCCAGGTACGGGACGAAAAACAACCCATGGTTGCAAGTCTGCGTGAGACAGCCTCTGGTTCACCGGCATGACGGCATGGAGACACAACCGACGCGCACCAACGGCCTGTTTGAATCAACCTCATGTCTGAGAAAAGCTCGGCATTCCACACGCTGCATGCCTCCACCGCTGCGCCAAAGCTCTCGTCACCGACTGTGAGACGGCGAAATCCCGGGTCCGCATCTTGAGGCGCGCGCTCAACAGGCCCGTGTCGCAGACGCAGATCGCTCGGGACAGCCGAGAGGAGACGAGACATCCTGACGAGCATCACAGCCCGTGCCATGTGCTCTCGACAGCCTGACACGCCCGTCTTCGACTTACGAGCATCTCGGAGTCAGTGTGGACGATGTTGTTCTTCGCGCGTTCTTAGTGCGGACACGACAGTCCTCTAGTCTACTCGCCGTACCGATGCTAATCTGGAGCACCCACCACTTCCTGGTCACCCAAGGTCGCGAGGCACACCAACGACGTCTCGGGCATCGGCAATCGCTGTGGCTAAAGTGCAGTTCATCAACACCAGATTAGATCCGATCGCATTGTAGACCTGGATGCCAACGCTCAAAAGAAAGGGGTCATCTCGATATCATCCCACACACATTAGATCGAATTCACGAAACGACGAACAAAGTCGCATACAGTTGTTCTGAATCACCGCTCCGGTTTATGCCACCTGATCGGACCTTCCTAGGGATTAGAGCTCAAGGTCATAAGAACATATGGTACCGACATTATGCCCTTGTTTCGCACAATATCCCTAGTCGCTACGAACAAACAGTACGTTGTTATCGACTTGTTTCTGGAATTTACATGCATTCACCTTGTGCTCGCATGAGGGAGTTCCAAATTGGGCGCGAATAGAAGAGCCAGAGCCAACAATCGGTCAACAGAATTACGTCTTCAGCACACGGCTGCATGTCCTTGTTGGCGAATGGGTACAATCACGTGTACGAACCTTCGGGTCGGTCAAACATCACACTGCGCGTGGTCATCATACATGACTAAACTGTCGATTGGAGTGGTTGACCCTGTTTCCAATTGTCCTGCAGCTCTCCCGCGAACATCGGCCAGCTGCAGCTTCCTCTCGAATCAAAGTGACAACCCAACAGAACATACATTAGCTGCCAAACTAACCTGGCCACGTTCTGTACCCACCGTTTTCTCGTAGTACGGCCAAACTATAGGGCATGCGTCAGGCACGGCGACATGAGTGGTCGGTGGTTTTCGATGCTGGTAGCGAGCGAGAATAACCAGGACGCCGGGACCTGATCATCCAACAACGGCACGCTCCGGCAGTTGCGGATCGATTTAGCCTATAGCCGTTCACTATGATATGGCAACGACATGTGGGCGGTGGAGGCCTTGCTAAGCCACTGCTCAACGTATGTGCAGCTGTCTTGTTGCTGCATTCCGTAGTGTGCAGGTGTTGGGCAGTCGTGGCGCTACCGCATTGAAAACATTCCGAAACGTCTTGATTGCGACATGTAACGAACAGCCATGATCCCCACACATGGAGTGCCAGCGTCACACCATTTGGGGCGAAAATGCAGTGCACTTCTCACCGCCGGTTTCCGAATACGGCCGTCGCTGTCATGAACAGGAAACACATCGTTGGGAAGCTTGGACATTGCCTGGTAGTCTTGCTGACTCGTGGCGTATCCACCTTCCCAACTCGCCCATTCTGCTGGAAACAGTCGCTCGAATGCTATGGCCATTATTCATATACAGTGGAAGACCATGCTTCCAGAAGCGTAGTAGACGTAGGGATATCGCTGCCTCAACGTCACTGAGTCAACGACAAGCCTTCAAAGGGCCGCTCTCTGCCGGCTGGCGCACGTCATGGTTCCGCTTCGCGAGGGTTGAGGGTGTGCAGGCAGATGCGTTTAACGTTCAGGAGGAGTACTGCAGCTCGATACCGACAGACCGGAAGATTTGCTCTCTCTTCTTGAGGTCCAGACTCGCCCCCAAGGTAAATAGCAGTTCCTTGATCCTGCCCTCCCACAGCAGTCCGACACGCCCATCCTGGTCAACCTTTGCTTTGAGCACGCCAGCGACGTCGTCATCGGGCGAGGCGGCGGGCCGTTTCCAGTCGGGGCGCAGTTTTTTGACAGCCCATTCGGTGTCGGTGTTGCCGCGGCGTCGCCATAACTCGCACCCGAGCTGCAGCTCGCTTTCATAAGAGTAGAAGTTGAAGTCGAAACGCGAGCACAGCGCCAGACTAGGGCCAGCCTTGACAGCATAAGTGGAAGAAAGATTGCCCATCAATGGGTTCAGCGTCAGTGTCATGGTATACGGAAAGCCCGGATGGTTGGGAAGGGTAGTGAACCGCAAGCCAGTGCTCATCCCTCCACTCTTGTTCAAGATGCCGTAGTACAATTCCGCGCCCGCGCTGAAGCGACCATGCACGGGTTCCACCTGCTCTGGCCTTGTTGGTTCGGTGGGCGCGACTCTGGGATCCGGACCAAAGTTGTAGAGCCCGCGCAATCCCATCAGCGCCGAGTCTGTGCTGTACATGTACTCGGTGCTGTATTTCCCGGAGTCGGTTTGTAGCAGAGTAAGGATAGTGCCGCCATTGTTGAGGTTCGAGTCACTGACGGCGGCGATTCTGAGCTGTCGTGTCGGGGCGAGACGGCGCAGATACAGGGCTTCTAGCCTTGACTGAGGAAGGAAAATGCGCCCATACAGTAGGGTGTCTGTCATGTGTCTTAGCTGCGGTTCGGTAAGACAGTAACAGCACCCTCACCTTTTCGGTCCACCCGCCTCCCAGCATGCCACTGCTCCCACGACCATTTCTCGTCTGGCTTCCGCAACTCCTGGAGATGTTTGAACCCCCTAATCACATGATGTAGGTCTATCCTCGAGCTCTTGAAGTCTTTCCGCAATGGCAGCGACGAGTATAGGTACGACACTGAGCCATCGACGACACCGACACTGCCGAGAGTGTACGAGGTTGCAAAGTTGGGCGCGGCGAGTGAAGAGATCTGCAGTCGTAGTCCGCGCGGGCTGTCAAAGTCCAACAGGGCTATAAGTAGGTAATTAGCATCTCAATGTAGGCAGAACGGAAAGTAAAACGTACCTCGCGCAGTCGCATTCAACGCGCCGTAGGAATTGTCAACGTTCCAGTGCGAAGCTTCGTAGAATGCATGCTGCACATTGTCCATGAAATCCAACATGTCTCTGTCATCGGCGCAGCATCATACTAAACTCTTGGTGGGATGGAGCGTGGGGAGAGTGAATGCGGACCTGCATCGCGGAGCTCGCGCCGCGGCTGCCAAGTGCAAGTGTCGGTGGTTCGCCAAAAATTCCCCGCTGCTTTTCTGCGACCTCGAACTTTTTTCTTGGGTGCTACAACCTACCACGATAACAACCGCAACACCGCCGACATGCCCAAATCAAAGCGCGCGAAGGTAGTGCACCTCACCAAGACCGACAAGAAGGGCAAGGAGCTGTCGCAGAAGCTTTTCGCCAATGTCCAGGAAGCGGCGGACAACTTTGAGCACATTTTCGTCTTTGCCGTCGAGAATATGCGCAACTCGTACCTGAAGGAAGTGCGCGCTGCGTTCTCTGACAGCCGGTACGTCTCTCAGTCTGCGCTCGACCTGCTCGTCTAAATTTTGTCTAGTTTCTTTTTTGGCAAGACCAAGGTCATGGCAAAGGCGCTCGGCCAAACGCCTGCGGAAGAGCACCTCACCAACCTCTCCAAACTGACCGAATACCTCGCCGGCAACGTTGGTCTCTTCTTCACGAACCGCGACCCGTCTGAGATCATCGAGTACTTTGGCGCATACTCGCAGACCGACTTTGCGCGCGCCGGCGTCACTGCGAGCCAAACTTTCACAATTCCTGCCGGTGTGGTACACTCAAGAGGCGGAGAAATTCCAGAAGAAGAAGATGTAGCGCTACCGCACAGCGTCGAGACCACAATCAGGAAATGGGGCATGCCAACGAGGCTCGACAAGGGAAAGATCATGCTCGACGCGCCCTACACAGTGTGTACCGAGGGCGAGACCATGAACAGCCACAAGACTGCGCTGCTGAAGATGTTTGGCGTGGCCATGGCAGAGTTCAAGATCGATCTCAAGGCATACTACTCCACCTCATCAGAGTCGGTGACCGAGGTTGGAGCCATGGAGGAGTAGAGCGTGTGTCTAAAAGTTGCAGAAATAAGCTGTATGCATCACGATGGCGTTTGGGCGGCGTTCAACTTGGCCAGGGAAAATTCATGGGAACCTCAGATTCGTCTCTGAAGGGTAGGATCTTTTGATGAGCAGTCTATCTACAATATACCCGTTCTTCACGACCCTCGCGAGAACTCCTGTCCTCTCACTAGCTTACTGCAGCTATTCTAGAAGTCCGCAATTTCTTGTGGCCTGAATGGTTGTTGGTTCTTCTTCCAACATGACCTCTCCCAGCTTGTTTTCAATTTCCTCCTTTCAACACAGCACTTTCCCTGAAGGGCCCATGCCAGGAGTTCATCCTCACACACTTTGCCCATATATTGTCTACAACATTGCCAATCCAGCCAACACTCCTCCCACTATCGCGCCAACTACACCAGGAACGTTCTCAGCAGCAGCGCCGGTGCTCTGTGCAGGTGCCGATGCCGATGATGAAGCCGACGGGGTGCGGGAGGCCGAAGTCGAACTCGAGCTCGAGAAGGAGGACGAGGATGAGTGGGAGGTGCTCGATGATAGCTTTGTCGAGGACATGGTTCCGTTTCTGGACGCAATCCCGGAGAGAGTAGGAAGCACTGATCCAGACGATGCACCAGACGTAACGACGGAGCCAGAGGCAGACAATGTGCGCGATGGTACAAACGTAGGCGTTCCGACCGAAGTAGGTGCGGCGGTACTGAGAGTTGGATCGACGAGGCCGCTCGGACCGAAGAAGGGTGCATTGCTTGGGTCGAACGCTGGTCCAGTATCTGCAGCATAGTCGTTAGCATTTCAGACTTCTCAAGATGTAAGAGAATGTCGACTTACACTGCGCAACAGCAGCTCCCAGCATCCCCAACACAACAAACACCGCGCGAACCATATCTGCACTAATCGTCGAATTCACAGTACAAAGCAGGTAGTTGTATGTAGACGTCAAAGATAGGTAGACTAAACCAACACAAAAAACCACAAATTAAAGAGCGACTGAAACTTCAAGTAAGGATCGACTGCGGTACCACAAAGACAACGCAATCCCACGACAAAGGGACGCGAACATGTTTATTAAACACGGCTGTCAAAAACGCCAAAACTCCCGGGCCCCTATGACAGGCATTCTAGAACAAGCATTTCGATAGCGCCTCGTCACGGACGCACTGACAGCCACACGACCACCCGCCCTCGTGTCTGCCAGGAGCGGTTGGTGTGGTGGCGCTTAGCGATGAGTGAGCTCGTGTTGAAAAATGGATGCGAGGGAGGCCGCCGGAGTGCTGGCACTGGTGTATTGGGCTTCGTGTGGTGAGCGCTAAGTTGTGGTTTTGGGGATTGATGGGGTTTGATTGGATGGCCCCTGAGTCGCAATGGGACTTGGCAGGTACGGGAGGATGTGGGCGGGTGTAATGCAACTTTGCGGCGCCACACGTCTTGTACCAATCCATGGTGGATTGTTATGCGATCTTTTAGGTCTGCTGTCTACGTTGAATGTTATGCGATACTCCTCTATCACGAACCTGCTGTCCATGATGGGTCGTCTCCAGGCTACGAAGAACACACTTCTCTCTGTACGAAAGATCACGTTTCTTCCCGTGCACGAGGTGGGTGCGGATGCTCGTTCGCCAGCTGTCAGAACCCGGATTTCACACTCGGACAAACATTACCTTAGACATGTCTCGTCTGCACAAAGAAGAGATAAGACATTGCAATCGACCATGACGCAGAATGGACTGGAAACCACTTGCACAAGGTAGTATAAAGGTCATTGATGATGTGACACACATGAGATCATAACATCTCCAGGACGCGGAATCATCATCCAAGTCAACATGGCCTCGTGGCAGATCGTCGCAGGACCTCCAGTCGTTGCTGGGAGAGGCGTGATCGCAACACGGGACATCCAGAAGGGGGAACTCATACATGAAGAGCAACCGTTGGTCAACGTTTCGACCGGATATGGCCCCCTTCAGTGGCCGCGGCCAGGCAATAGTACCATTTTCTACAACAACGAAAGAGCCGGTACGACTACAATTCTCTCCCGTGCTGTTACGTCCCTCAGTCCGGCGAACCAAGGACTTTTCAATGTATTGTTCCGTCCAGCAGGTGCAACAACGGCATTGAGGCAACTGGTTGCCCGTTTCGAGCACAATGCCTTCCAATATCGGTACTGGAGCAGAATGCATCTTGTCGTCTATCCAACAATTTCCTACGTCAACCACTCATGCGTTCCCAACGCGGATCTGGAAATATGTGAGGCTGCCCATGGCCAGTCCCGACTGATCGCAACAAGAACGATACCGAATGGAAGCGAAATCTTCATCAACTACACTGCGGATCTCTGGCTCTCTAATCACCTTATTCGACGCCCAGAGCTGCACACCCATTGGGGTTTCTGGTGTGGTTGTGACGGATGCATTCCTGCAGCGGCTCAAGTCGACATACAAGAAAGGGCCTCAGCAACCTCCTATAGAGCCAACCTTATAACACCTGCGGCTGCACTCAATGTCATGCAACTTACCACTCGCGTCGACAGACTCAGGGCTTACATCGCCTTGATGAACAGCCTCGGGCGCTGGACTTCAGACATGTCACACGCGTAAGTAAGCAATTATCATGGTTGAGATCAGCGCTAATCGAGTTCTTCCAGGTGTCTCATGTTAGCAGGTCTTCATTTTCAGCAAGCGGATTACATCAAAGCAATGTTTTGCGCAATCGCCGGGCTCTTGGTGGAGCGGCATCACTACCATAAGATACACACACCACAGCTGAACACTATCGTTGGCAATTGCTATATGCAGGACTCAACGCTGCATGCTGAATACAGTCGAGCTGCCCTAGCACCTTACCCACTGGCGTAGGAAGGCGAAGGTAAACAAGAGGGGTACACAGCCTGGATATTGACAAATTTGGGAAATGTTCGTAGGGAAGGTACAATAGCGACAGCGCGAGAAAATTGAAACAAAGGTCCTTGATCTCACGGGTTTGACTTTCGTTATGTGCTCGCTCACGTTGGACATCAGCTTTGAAGCAGGGCAAGACTGGGTCTTCTTCGGCTGCATAGATAGTTTGCGATGCTTATCCAGTGTAACATGGCATTTGCCTCACGAATAAACCAACCGACCGAGATTGCATGCCACTTTCCCCTGAGTCCATGACCGTGATACGCTGAGTTTCGAGAAGGGTGGTCCTATCAAGCTTGTTCGTACTATTCGTTCATTTATATTCGCGCCGCCGATAAGGAATGTAGAGTTCGACACGTAAGATTGGTCGATCTTGAACGCCACTCACTCTGCCACGTGTAGAGATTAAGTGTGGTGACACAGCTCGTCAATGGAGGTGTACGAGGCTGAGAATCGGGTTCGGGATCCGCGCATGCAGCCAGGCTGTTTCTTACGTCTTTCTGCCTAGCAGACATTCCTAATTCTTCTGGTTCTCTTTTGTGGGACAGCTACGATCGAACAGTAGTACCAGATTGAAGTAGCCCAAAATGCCCTCTCTACGCGATAAACTAGCATCTTTTCGAGCCGGCCGTCGGAAATGGCAAGTAATGTTCCCGGATCACGAGTAACCAGTCTGACCATAATCGGCCAGTGCAACGAGAAATGGTTGACGAACGAAAGACGTTGAACGACACAACAGCAGGCAAGGGAGCCCGAGCCGATATCATCGAAGAACAAATTAGAGTCAAAAAGACCATCGCTGGAGTACGGTATGCACAAAGAGAGGCACTTCAGGCCCAAAATTTTGATGCATCCCTAGCCCACAAGGGACGAGACGACACCAACAACATCATTGAGCTCGACAAAGCCATTGAGCGAATCAAAATGAACAATGAGAAGCTGATCGAACAGAAGCACGAGAAGCTGACCAACAATCTGGTAACACGGCATAAGAAAGAAGTGCGACGCCTCCAGCGAGAAAATGGAAAGCGGGAAGAAGATCTCAAACGCGAGAGAAAAGCCAACGAGGAAAATCTGGAGAACATGAAGCGTCACACTGCGGTCATTGAGCAAGGGTTGACTAAGCTCCAGTTCCGACAGAAACTTGTGAAGACTCCTGTTTTCACAAACAACATCACGTAAGTTACCCTGAGCACCATACCCTTCACCTCATATAACCATGGCTACGAGCGAGGAACCCAGGAGCGCAAGATAATCATCACAATGGTATTAAGGATCTTAAAATACAAGACGGAATCTCGTTGAAAGCCCATGTTTATTTGCGCACTGTTTTTTTCAAATGTCAAAACGCTAATGGTTAGTCAAAGATCAATCTTTCAGCTCGCGATAAATGAGACGTCTTTCTACTTCAGAGGCCCAAAACACACATTAGGGCAGGTTCTCCGCCATGATTTGAACTTGTGATTACCATTTTCACTCATCTCTCATACCTTCTAGTGAGTGGCATTCTCCTAGGGATGGCGTCTACGACCTGAGCGATAATAAGCACCAGGCAACAATAATGGGTCAGGACCGTACATGTATCGTTATCACCCAGGCAGGGTTCATCAACTTCTGTGAATATCTCAGCACAACCTATGCTCATTTGAACGGAATTCACAACGAATTTACTCTCGACTGTGCCCGTCAGATCGTGCTAGGTTGCGATAGGAGATACTTCATTCAAGGGAGGGATTGGACGCAATTTTATCTAGACGACGTCATCAGGGACGATTCCAGAATGAAGAACTGCAAGGAAATCGATGTGTGTACGCTGGGGAGGTCTGGAACCTATGTCATCCAGTTCTAATCTGGTGCCCTTATCTGGAATCTGAAAGGGCAATACTATGGGTTGGAGCAGCGCATCGAGGAGGAAGTGGAGCCGGGAAAGTAGAAATTTGCGGTAAGCAGTAGTGACGGAGCGTGTATAGTGCCCGAATAACCTGTTATGTTCTCTAGGCGCTGGCACTGAGTCTGACAGATCAATGCTTTGTTGCACTGTTCAAGTGGCGTAATGCTATGAAAGCCACATCATATTATTTGAGGGCTCTCAATGCCGCTCCGAAAGCTCGATGGAAGCATTGGGCAGAACAAGAGTCGGACATGACTTGAGAGTCGGATTATACTGCAAAGCGCTAAATGCAGCTACCTGGACGAGGATCTAGCTCTTTTGTCTACCTGTAAAACGTAGGAAATCCGCCAACTGCTGGTGGAGAGAATATCCTTGCGACGTCATAGTGAAGTATATTTAGAATGCTTTTAAGATCCAAATCGTCTGGTACAGGTCGCGAAAAGCCATGAGGGGCCGGATTGACTTTATTTGCCCAGGTGGCAGCAGAATCAGGCTGACACTGGAAGGCTGAAGATGCCCATTGGCCCAGGCATAGCTGCAAATCGCCACTCGGTGTAGCGATATCTTTTGATGTGTCACATGAAAAACTGCTGATGACACGCCAAAAACTACGCATAAAGTCGCGACCGGACTAAGCTTTTCATGAGAGACCCGGATCATGTCGAGCAGCCACCACTGCCTTTTCTTGCTGGCCAGGATGAAATGTAACCCCAGGCTATTACTGCACTACCATAGGTAACTACCCTGCAAGCCAAAAGCTCGGCTCTCGTCTAACCATGTGGCAGTAGGTCCAAAAGCATGGCACCTGCACAGTAGTGACCGAGGTAAGCACCACAACCACGCGTGTCGAAGCAACATAAAATGGTGACGACGAAAGGACCGTATCTGCAAGCATACTCACATCCAAGCACCTCAATGTTAGACTCCATGGATTGATGATAACAAGGATGGCTATTGGAATCATGCCGGGATGGCTGTCCGCTTGATTTAGGAAAGGCAAATTTTTGTCGAACTACTGCCTCGATAGTCCAATCTAAGTTCCGCGAGCTAAATTGGTCTTGAGAATTGAAGTCTAAGAACAATCTATAACATGACATCGAAACAAAAAACAGCTCTCCATACATATTTCTACAACACTCCTACACAACCGCTATCTCTCATGAGCTCTCGCGCACTTAAGAAAGCGTGACTGTACCGCTTGCGCTGCACTCAACAAAGATACCGCCATACACGATACCCTCCAAGATGCCGGCTTCCTGAATGCCTGACCTCAGGGAATCAGCACCGGGGTTGATCGGGTTCTTGTTAACACCAAAGTGGAACGCGCCGTTGCCGCTGAGGTCGTTGGGAAGGGGTTCAGTCTTCTGCGTCAACGCCTCGTTTCCAGTGGACGAGAAGACCTGGACAGTGCTGCGACATGGTTAGCAACGTCACCGGAAAACATAGCCATGTGAAGGGGAGCGAACGTACTTCTTGTCAAAGTCCAGCTTCAGCGCAAAGTTGGTGAAGTCCGTTCCTCTCGGCGTCGAGAAAAGCGTCTTGCTACCATTCTTACTGTTGCCCAAAAGCACAAAGTCGTCCTTGGTCGCGCCGTCGCTGCCAATCAGCGTGCCAGTCTTCAAGCTGATTTGGTTGCCGTCAAAGTCTCCGCGCTCGAGGAACGTGAGCAGATACTCATGGGTGGTGTTGAGGGGACGCTCGGCGCTCTCTTTGAGGGAGAAGTGCAGGGTCTTCACGCCAGTAGTGGTGATATTGTCGGCGGACTTGGCGGAGTTGAAGAGCAGTTCTGCGCGGCGAACGGCGGTTTGGGGGTTGGAGCCACCGGGGGCGAAGATAGAGTCGTCGCTTTGAGTGGGTTAGGATTTGCAGGGATATCAGGGATGCGGTAGAAAGTACTTGACTGTTACTTCGACGGTCTGCGCCTTGACTTTGGTGTCGAACTGGTATTGTTAGTGGTGAGCTTTGAAGAGGATGCATGTGTCATACCAGAGATCCTTGGCCAGAGAGGCGCACCAGACTGCTGAAAGTCACGTCTATCTGATGTCAGAATATGAAGCCATGCATTTTAAGTTATAAACCGACTTTGGCCCTTGACGTTCTCCGGGTCGAAGATGCTGGTCGCCTTATCAAAGTCCGCCGCCGTAGCGTTAGCCGGAACACGACCATCAAACACGATGGTTTGACATTGCGCTAGCGCGATGCCAGAAAGAAGGTATAAAGAACGTGCCAGCATGTTGGACGAAATGGACGACTGAAAAAGCGAGTGAAAGAGTGTGAAGAGATTTGTGGAACTGAGCAATGCGAGAGAACGATTGAAGTGTCTTAATATTATATAGCTGGTGCGAACGGTCCTTCTGTGGTTTCAGTAGCAGCCCTGCATTGTGGAATATTACCGAGACTGGCCGCTCCGCAGTTTCGAGATGTGTTGGAGTCGCGCAAAGACAAGAACAAGCAGCAACGACAAGGCCGTTTATAAATAAAATAGATTATCGTCTCCACAGGCAATTGCGACACCTTCGCGCTCTTGCATTATGATCGACCAGATATCGTGTTGGCTTTTGTGACGTGACGTGGTGTGGCCGTGGTTGACGTTGAAAGAACCTAGATTCCCGCCTAACCTCTTTGAGCATTCCAAGACAAGTTATGAAACATACACAAGAAGAACGTCACAGATGTGAGCACGGAGGCTCTGCAAAGGACCGGGTGCGGAGCATTTCTGAGTGGTCCAGAATAGACTTTAGCTTCAGATAAGGCTGAGCACGTTCATCAACCTGACAATGTATCGCTCCGATTATGTATCGGATTTACCGCACGAACTGCTCTAGCGTCGGCGGCCTTTTTTTTTGGCGCCAAAATTTGTAAATGTATGTGGTGTGATGGCGCCATTACCAAAGAAGCATCGCGCACACGTGTGCAGACTAGACAAGAGTTCAAAGAGGGAGGAGAGTGAAAGAAACTGCCGAAATTTGAGAGGGGCTTTGTCATTCCTTATATGTTTGGAGATAAGTATGTCCGGGAATTCGCCCAAGAATTCGTCCAAGAATGCATCCAAGAATTTGCCAATGAGTAGGATTGGTTAAGAATGTTCAAAGCATTGTACACCAACTCTTAAAGTGATGGTTCGTTTGCACATCGTTCATGCCCAGGTTTTGTTCATACGACGAATCTTTGTGGCAGTGCAGCTACGTGGTGGCATGATCACCAGCGCGTATAGACTGCATTCGTGCGTACGCTCTGCGCAGGTGGAAAGTACAGGCTTATGAGGTAATTAGTTCGCATTGAGGCTGTGGAAGATTGGTCGTGCCCCTGCAGATTTTCTACCGTATTATGTCCCGAAGCCCGAGGTCGAGATGAAAACCTGAGCTAGTATCTTGGCTCCGAGCCAACAGCCAATGAGAGATGACTGTGGCCATGCAGGCACAGTGGCTCAGACTTCGTGGCTAGAGCGAGAACATTCGACTTCCTTGTGGCCTCGGTCGGGGAATACATGCGGTAGGTGCAAGCGGAGGCGGGAACTGCGGATGGCACCAATGAATGACGCGCGGGGTTTCACCAAGTCTAGGTGGACTTATGTTTATGATGGCTACCAGGGATCATCGGTGCAATACTTGGCGATGGCACGCGTTGCCCCACGGCTGGATTAGTCCGAACTAATATATCCTGCGACCACGGAGATTAGCGTCTGTGCGTCATCAAGGTTAAGAAAATGGTACATATGTACATAGGTACAGCGGCTTCTCATTAATGTATTACGATCGTCGCAAGATAGTCACAATGCCTTCAATGTTCTGTCTAGAAGTAGTTTCGCTCACTCTTGCCTTGGCGACAACTGGGGTTCTTTCCCACCCTCTTTTCAATGGTCAGCTTATCGAAAGAGCTGAGGATCTTCTGCCCGAGTACGACTACGTTATTGTTGGAGGTGGGGCTTCGGGTCTAACCGTAGCCAATCGTCTCTCTGAACAGTCAAGTATGCTTGCTGTTAGTTGATCGTTTGTCCAATCGCTAATTCGTACGTTAGGTGTCAACGTCCTTGTAATTGAGGCCGGAAGTTTGTAAGTCGATAGCATCCGATCACGTTTGCGCGTGAAGACTGACTTGAGTTCCAGCGACAACAAGGAAGACTTTGTTACTATCCCAGGCCTTGCTGGTGGTGCAATCGGAACAAAGTATGATTGGAACACATCCTACGCCGCCGGTGCCGGCGTTGGAGGTCGCGTGGTCTCGATCCCGCAAGGAAAAGTCGTCGGTGGATCTACAAAACTCAACCGTATGGTCTTCGACCGTGGCTCCAAGTCTGATTACGATGGCTGGGAAACTTTGGGAAACAAAGGTTGGAACTTTGCCGGGCCTGTTGCCGTACATCAAGAAGGGTACGTTTAGTCTTTATATCACGAGTCATAGCTAACAGAAGTGTAGAACGAAAAAACACCACTCCTCCCCACAGCAGAAATCGCGGCCGAGTATGATATCAAGTACGACGCGAAGAACTATGGCACCACAGGATACATGCAAACCACGTTCTCTCCCTTTCTTTTGGCCATTGACGAGTAAGTCCATTATTTTCAACGAATCCACCTGATCAAGACTAAACTTCATCTCAGAGAACCTGATCACCGCTACAAAGGCGCTCGGCATACCTATTAACGATCAGGGAACTGGGCAGGCTATCGGCGGGTACTTCTGCCCAAAGAACATGGATCCTAAAGAACTTGTTCGCTCTTCTGCAAGGGAGGCGTATTATGACTCGGCTGTCCAACGACCAAACTTCCACCTCCTCGCGAACAACCAGGTCTCGCGAATTGTCACGTCGAAGGCCAATGGCGCCGTCAAAGTCACAGGCATTGAATATGCGAGCTCGTCAACAGCCGAACGAAAGACCGTTAAAGTTAAGAGAGAAGCCGTCCTTGCCGCAGGAACTCTGCACTCTCCCCAGCTACTACAAGTTTCTGGCATCGGCGATGCTAAACTCCTGAATACGATCAACGTGACCACCGTGGTGGACCTTCCAGGTGTTGGACACAACCTACACGATCATCTCTCTGTAGCCGTTGTCAACCTCGGTAAGCAGTCTTCTAATCGACAGGGTTTTAGTACAATACTAATTGATTGTAGTCACCACCACCGAGGCCACAAGCAGTTTGATAACTTCAAACGCCACCTTCGCAGCTGAAGCCAGGCGCCAATACGACACCGAGAAGAAGGGTCCTCTGACCTCCCCAACGGGCGATTTCCTCCTCTTCCTGCCCCTATCAACATACTCCAACTCCTCCAGCGCCGTCGCAGCCCAGGCCGCCGCCGGCTCCGCTTCTCTCTCCCTACCCTCCGACGTCCCAGCCTGCGTCGCAAAGGGCTACGAAAAGGCCTACGCCTCGCTGAACCAAAAACTCACCTCCAAAGACGCAGCCTTCCTCGAAATCATCTGGGCCGACGGCGTCGTCGTCCTCGGTCTCCAGCACCCATACTCCCGCGGAAGCGTCAAAGCCTCGTCGTCCAACATCTTCGACGCTCCCGTTGCCGACGCCGGCTTCCTGCGCAACCCGCTCGACGTCACGCTCCTGCGAGAAGGCGTGCATTTCGCCCGCAAGTTCGCCCAGGCACCTGGCATTGCCGAGTTGGCGCCTGTCGAGGTAGCGCCAGGCGCGAATGTTACGAGCAACGCGGATATTGATGCGTTCATCAAGGGCAGCGCGTCGACTTTGTACCATCCTGCGGGAAGCTGTAAGATGGGACCGAGGGAGGAAGGTGGTGTTGTCAATGGCGAGCTGAAAGTGTATGGAGTCGAGGGATTGAGGATTGTGGATGCGAGTGTTATGCCGATTTTGCCGGCGTCGCATACTATGACGACAGTGTATGCGGTTGCGGAGAAGGCCGCGGATATTATTCGTGGGGCTGGCAAGGCAGGGAAGTCTGGGAGGTATTGAGAGTAGGATGTAGTGTACTGTTGCAGTAGCTGCAATTCCGTTAAGAGATATGAGATGACAATATATATGAATTTAGCCGTTACTTTAAGCTCATGAGCTGCCGTCGTCGATAAGTGGGTGTGTCTGCGTGCGTTAGGTTACGATGACATGCAGCAGCAGCAGTATCCTGCAGCCGTCTATTTCTTTACTATTGGTGCAAAAAGAATACCTAAAATCATCATTGCAAAGAAAATGCAAAAAGCACGCCCCAGCCCCCCATTTCTGAGAGACAGTTGCGCGACGTAACCAAGTCTGCACAAGTACTTATTACAATCCATATCAGTGAGCTCCAAGGTTGTGCGTCATTACACTTCCAAGTCTGTACAGGATCGCAATTGTACTGTTTTGTGAACTCCAAGGTTTCCGTTACTAGTTTGACCTTTCTAGTGGCGGTACTCGAACCGACGAACTCGTAGGCCACATGGCTATTTGGGTGTTGTAGGCTGGGCCTAGACTATAGCGTGACTCGTGGTTGATGGAATAACGCTGATTTGGATTGGTTATATACGGGGGGAGATAGAGGATGTGGAGGGGTTGGAGATGGAGGATGGGGTGTGGTGCTGGAGCGCGTGGTGGAGGTGAGAGAGTGCGAGAGGGCTTATTTTGTACGCGAGGTTGTGGGTGTGGGAAGAGTGGTGGTCGAGAGAGAGATGGTGGTGTTGAGGTCGGGGGATCGGAGGTTGGGAGAAAGGTGAATGACAGACGATCTCCTATTTTCGTGAATGTTTGCAATGAAACTGTGTAATGTGTAAGTCGTGTTCAATGAGAGTGTACTGCAAGCCTGAAACTGTGCGACGATGGCGAAGGTGAAGGTGGCCAGTTTCAGCGAGTTGGAGTTCTTCGGGCGAGACGATCAAATTACAAAGCTCCCCTCGTTACCTTCACCAGAGAACGTGGAAATGTCTATCTCTTCGCATCAGGGTAGAAATAAAACGAAGTAGTCAGAGAAAAGGAGACTCCAGGTACATGTAGCTGGCTCTAACAAGAGACCGAGTTTTGAGACTGGTGAGATGAAGATGGTAAAATTATGAGGTGTAGTGATCATCGCAAAAAGGTAAGAGAGTGAGCCACAAACTTCCGCAGTAAAAGACCATACTGCCTACCTCACCTGTACCTCCAAAGTGTTTCGCCGGCTAGGCACTCGCGGATCTCTCTTACCCATCGTGACTTCGAGCGCCTGAATTAGACCTCTCTCATCATACCGCACGAAATTCTCGCCCTCATTTTTCCGCCCATACACCCGTATCGCCTCGATGCCAATACCCTTGAGCTCCTCCTTATCCACGGCAGGCGTGCCAGGTCCTTGAAGATGGATGAGATGGGTCACGTAGTTGCGATACCTGCTCCTGTTGACCTCACCAGAGTTGCCTTTTGACTCCTCGCCAGCTTTGGCAATGGCGCCGATGAAGTCCAAGGCAGAGTAAGGATTTGACGACGGCCCGGTTTCGCGGTCAATGGTCGAGTTTAGGATGAGGATTTTGTAGCGGATGTTGGGGTTGTCGATGGCTTGACCGATGCCCTTGAGTACAAGCGATGGGACTATCGATGTGTACAGCGAGCCGATGCTGTAGACTATTGCTTGCGCTTCCTTGAGCGCGTTCAGAACCATGGGGTTTGCAGCGAGTCGGATCTCCTGACCATATGGGTTGATGTACCAGAGGCGTTCAATTCTCGCAGGTAGCTCTTCTTCATCAGCCTTGGAGAAGGTAATATACTGCTTCCGTAGTGTTGGGAGAGAGCCTGGCAAGTTTGCATCTTCGATCCTGTCATGCTCCTCGACCTCATCGTAGCCTGGCGCGCCCCCGAATTCGAGTGCTGTCGATATTGAAGGATGGGATATGGAGTTTTGACCTGTAATGATTTCGCCGTTTGCTAGTCCAACGGAAATGTGGTGCGTGAAGTTGGTGTTGATTGCAGGTAGAACCGAAGTATGACTTGGAACCGAGCAGATACTGGACAAGAGGTAAATGGCCGACTCAAAGGATCCGGTGAACAGGCGGGCGCTACAATCAGTCAGAAACAAAAGCTGCTTTATAAAGCTGAAGTTGTGTGCCTGGGTAGGTGAAAAAAAGACGGATCTTGCAGTTCTAGTATGATAGGAAAGAAATGCTCACCCGGTCAAGAACAGATTGCCAATGCTGGCCCCGGAGAAGTCGAAACTTGAAGATGGACGACGCCGCTTGACTACCTCAAAGGCGACGAGATTGAGGATGGATCGAATAAGCTCTTTCTTCGCCGTGGAAATGTTGGTCCACAGCGCATGCTCTGCCTCAACGATCTCAAGCCACTCTTGTCTGGCAGAGGTACGCTCCTTGGGCAGTCTATGGTTGAAGAAGGCTTTGATGGCAGCTTTTTCGCTGCTGTCGTTGTCTGGGTCATCCGGGATCAATCGCACAAGACGACCTGAAAAATGTCAATATGGGCAGGTTTTAGTTTGAGAAGCTTGCGCGTACTTCGAACATCACCGATACCTGCAAACTGTCAATATAAAGCTCGGTAGTATATATATGGTATACGAACCAGGTCCGCCAAAGACCCTGATGAGCTCCGAAGAACTTCCGCCATTGTCACTGATAGGGATGATGTAGCTCAGCGGACACTTCTTGTCTTCTCTAACAGTGCTGAAGACGTCAACAAGCTCGTTTGCAGCGCTGCCGCCTGAAAAGACGACGATGCCTTTGGCTTTGAGGCTGCCGTTGGTCATTTGCGTAGGTGTGGAGTTACCGCTTGTGGGCGATAGAAGAGCCTCGGCACTGAAAGACATTGTGATGTAGGATCGTTGTTAGAGGTATGCAAGGGGTGAAGACCACAAAGGGTCGTAATGATCATATCAAGCCATGTTGCTTGTGATAAGGTGCCATGTTCCAAAGACGAGGCTGTCCTTCTAGAATCGCTGGTGCGAGAGTCATGCACTAGGCCTTCCTAATCCGACAAGTGGGATTGGCTAAGATAGGCAATATCTCGCATTCTCGTCACCAATACAGCATGATACAGTGAAGTGGTTGTAACATGTTTTTGATTCAAGAGGTGTGTACAGCGCGAGTCCTCAGCTCGAATGAAGTCGTGAAGTGTAAATGCGCCTGCTATCTGCTTCCCCCACATCCATGTTGTCACAGCATCCACATGGAGCTCTGTCATGAGACTGCAGCCGGGTGCCAAATGCATGCATCGTGACGGCCTGCATTCCCACGTCTTTGACGAGTCTCCAATGTTGTGACTGCTGCACCCCTCAATTTCTCCATGGCCCTCGTTCTTACGCCTCCACTAGTGCTCGCCTTGAGCTGCGCCAGCGGCCTCTTCGCGCTCCTTCCTCCGTGCGCGCTTTTCAAGCAATTGGTCTCGTCGGTCGGCAAGGAGTCTGAATTGGCGTTGCTCCACGCCCGTAAGCCAGTAGCCAAAGCTGCCACCAATTCCGGCGAAGATGGGGTAGACCCAGAGCGATTCCTTGTTGAAGAGCGGGCGCATTTCAATGCCGAGCTGCCATAGTCGGGTCGCGATGCCTGCAAAGTGACACTGCCGTTAGCAAGCGCTCTGGCGGTGTGCGAACAAGTCGAGGGCATTACCGAAGCCGCTCCAGAAGAGGATCTTGTGGACCATTGTGGCGTCTGTGGGTGAAGGGCGTATCCGTGCTCGTGATGACGGGTACAATTGGCGGACGCGCGGGTCGATAGTGGGATGCGTTGGGTGGTGAGGTCGCGCTCTCGTCGTCTCGAGGTGGTGCCGGGATGAGGGCTGGTGGTTTGCGACCTCAAGCTCCGGGCCCGCCAAGACCTGGCATGCTCCGTGCGGCAGGAGCAGCCGACGTCGTACCTGGCGCCAGCGCAATGTACTTCGTAGTCGTGCACATGCAGCCTCGCATCTCTCCAATGACGCATTCCGACTGGAGACGCATGCATCGACCTTCACTCACTTCTTGATAGAGCCCGACGGTGCAGCCGCGATACCATCTTCGCAGCGTCATAATCGTCTCTCGCTGGTCGCATTGACCTCCGCCTGCGCTTCCCTGGTCGCCGGCCGCATGCCATAGTTGAACAACGTCTCTCGCAGATCCTGGGCGTAACCACACCACCTCACCACCATGGCCGAAGTCGGGCGCAAGCGCGTGCTTGATGGCGAAGGCCCCCAACATGTGCGCAAAAGACTACGACCCTCTGAACTGCCCTTGTCGCAGGCTAAACGATCGGCCATTGACAATTTGGTCCACACTTTTCGCAAAAAGGGCCATTACGACAGCATTCGTAAAGACCTACTGGCTCAATATGAAGCAAGTGTACGTAAAACAACCTCCAATCACCCATGTACTAAGCTGACTCCTATTGCCAGTCCGCCAAAGACGACCTTTTGACTTCGCTCAAAGACCTGGTCGAGACCGAGACCGACCGCAACCCTCACTTGTTATCCAAGGACCCCCGCATGGCGACTACGCTCATCGAAGGCGCCGGAGAGCGCATCAATATCTATGGCAACATCATGAACACGGTCAGCTCTTTGCTCGACAACTTGATCAAGGAGCAGGGCCTGCCCAAGATGCGAGAGTACAGGGCTCTCGAGATTGGTGCAGAAGCTGCTGCTGAAGAGGAACAGCGAGGAAGTAAGACCGAGGAGGAATGGGCAGCCGAGGCCGAGACGCGGAGAAAAGAACGAGAAGCAATCAGGGAGAAGGAGCTCGAGCATCAGCGTCAGATTGAGCGGGAAGAGAGGGCAAAGAAGGAGGAGCGGAAGCGGCGAGAGAAGGAGCAGGATGAAGCCCGCGAGAAGGCAAGACAGGAAGAAAAGGAGCGGAGGCGCAAGGAGCGCGAGGAACGTGACCGCGCCGACGTTGAGCGCCGACGCAAAGAACGGGAGCGCATCGACAAGGAGAGGGAAGAGGAGCGTGCGCGTCTCAAGAAGGAGAGAGAAGAGCACGACGCCACCCGCGAGGCCCGTCTCCAGAGGATTCGCGATGAAGATGCTCAACGAGTTCGAGAGCTAGAAGAGAAACTCGAGCGAGAGCGTGGGTCACGGTACCGAGGTGCCCGCAGGCGCAGTCGGACACCTGAACGAGACCGGTCACGCGATCGACGCCGTGTTCGCGATAGAAGTCGGCGAAGGAGTAGGACACGGTCTCGCGAGCGGGAGCGCGATCGCAAGCCTTCTGTCAAGCCAGAGGACATCAAGGTCGATGACGATTTGGCTTTGCAGCTCCTACTACAGGAGAGCGAGCAAATGAAGAAGTCTCGACAACGACCCGCCCTGGAACGATCAGAATCGCTCGAGCCTCCCATGCGCAGAGCACAGCCACCTAAGTCGCTTGTACCACGCGACCCTGTTGCTACTCGACTTGCGAAGCTTGACAGCAAATCGCAATCGCCTGCACCATCGCCAGAGAAAGAGCCAGCGACACCCAAAGGAGACGGAGACGTCGAAATGGAAGATGCTCCGCAGACAGACAAATCGCGAGACACGACTTCCCGATCTCGATGGGACATTAGGCCTGCCCTACCGACAAAGGACGACAAGTCGCGCGGCCGCTCGAGGTCTCCCAGCATCGCGCATAGCACGCGTACGAGGAAACGCAGCAAAACTCGTTCGCCATCTCGAGGCAGTCGTTACGATCGTCGACCATCTCGCATCGAAGATGATCGCAGGTCTCGCAGAGATGATGACAGACATTCTTACCGTCCACGCGACGATCGAGACGACAGGCGATCGCGCCGCGGAAGTCGGAGTCGTTCTCGCGAAACTGCCAGCCGTCGCAAGTCCCGCTATGATTCGCGAAGCCCACCTCCCAGAAACCGCGACCAGGACCGTCGCCGTGATCGCAGCCGCTCACGTTCGCGTGGAGGACGCCGAGCTCGTGAACGTACCCCGCCGCCACGTCGCCGTCACAATTCGCGCTCGAGGAGTCCGGACGGCATCGACAGATATGTGCCTCCAGGTGGAGTCGCCGAAGCTGCAACCGCAGATGGTGCTGCTCCCGTTCCTGCTGCCGGAGCTCCTGCGGCAACCACTGAGCCTCGCAATGCTGAGCCTCGCAATGCTGAGCCTCGCAAGCGTGACGACAGCCGCGACCGAGATCGAGACCGTGACCGCAAGCGTGATGACAGCCGTCCCCGAAAGCGCGACGATAGCCGACCGCGGAAACGAGATGACTCTCGCGACCGCAACAGGAGCTACCGATCTCGCGAGTATGATCGCTGGGATGGTGGCCGATCTCGGGCAAACCGATTTGACGAATCAGATCGGTATATCCCTGGAGGCGGCGGTGGTGACAAGAAGTCTGACAAGAAGACGAGGGATCGGAGTCGAAGCCGTGATAGAGACAGGGATAGGGATCGTGGTAGGGATGATCGTGATAGGCGAAGGCGTGTGAGGAGTCGCACCAGGAGCCGGAGTCGCGATCGTCGCCGATGAGGTAACTTGGGTGTATAGGTGGCTGAGGGTTTGCAGAGATGTGTACGATAAACGGAAAGAACGGAGAGACAATTAATCAAGCTGGCAAGGCACTTTAAATGCTAAATCTACGTGCAAAGTCTGGAGACTGACTCCCACCATCAGAATGTGCCGCGAAGTTTTGCTTGTGTTCCTCAGCCTCGTTGCACGCATGCACAATCACAGCTGGGATGAGCCGAAGCCCTCACTTATTTGTGAATATATGCTCATGGTCATTGATAGCCATGGCGTCTCCACGAGAAGACGAACAGAAGATGAAACCAATCTTGTTTTCTGCATCGGCTCATGAAGGAGCTCGTGTTCTCCGAGTTGCAGCCTCCACCAAGACCCTATGCGCACACAACGCGTCAACTCTTTACAGCGACATATTCAAAAAAAAAAAAATAGAATAGAGTGTCATTCTCACACTCTCCTCTCTTACTATGCTGAAGTTCAAGGTTTGTTGTTTGTCGTTGCGGAGTGCTTGGGTGCGGTGTTTCAGCCTGCTTTGAGCGGTGGAGCTGCTGGAATATAAGCTTCTTCGTAGAGTGTTATGTAAAGCTGGGTGATGTGTTACGCATATTGGAGTGACACCATGGAGTTTCTGATGGTCTGAGTCGTGATATGGTTTCTGGAAGAGTGAATCGACGGCTTGGAAGAGTAGATTCTGGTGACTTGTTTGCGGTTATTATGCTTCGTTTCGAACCGAGCACCGCTGGAGATAAACCTTTGCTGTCTGGAATCAAAGTCTCGGGAGAATATCTGCTCATTAGGTGGGCGTATTTGAGTGCATTTGATACAATACTGCTTTAGTGCTATATGTACGTAGGTTTGATCAATACCTGGTGTTGAGCGCCATTGGTGCTTTCTGGACAAATGAAGCTCTCCCGAATCACGGACTTGAAAGCATGGGTCTGCTGTACGGCGGATTGTCAAGCGGTGAACAGAAAGGTAAAGAAATGGCAAGGGAGTTATTAATGAACTGGTTGTTGGAGGGACCGGATGGTCCGCGGATTGATCCTAGCTAACATCGGCGGTAGAAGGTATGCACATGCATGCGCAAGCAACCTTTTCTCCTGAATATCGCGTTCCGCTCAACGCATGCAGTGAGCCTACAAATTGCTGAACTGTGTTTTTTGTGTCACCTTACCAGATCTATTTCTGATGTTATCCGCAAAAACTATCCGAAACCCGTACGCGACGGACCGACCGGTAAAGTATCTGAAGAGATACGGTAGTCTGTGTTGATATTGTGCTGCTTCTAAGTATTATATTGCCTAGCAACACTTCGATTTTCCAGTCAGGCTCCATTCCTCCTGCTGTTAGGCGTGGTGAAGACGACGTATGGTGGGAGCTTCTTGCCAAGCCTCATTCGAAGTTCTACCTTCTTGTCTTACATTCTCGCCCCCAACCCACAATTCCCAATCACTGGCCTCGCCATATTAACATGCAGCCAGCCAAACACCTAGACATGCTGCCACTGCTAGTCTCGCAGTTTGACGGTGACAATAGTGAACCCTAAACCTAACTGCGATGTCTTCAGTCTGGAAACCAATCACAGCAAACCTAAGCTTATCTTTAAATTGCGGTTCCCCTGAGTTCGAACGTCTTACACGCATTCTGTCTCCCCGACTTGTTGTTCTTCACCCCTGCCACATCCTTGTCTCTTTCCTCCGCATGCGCCGTGGGGCTGTACACGATGCTTGATAAATATCCCAGTTTTCCCTGTCTTCTCACTGATGCGAAATTCTCTCCTGTATTGTCAAATTTCTCATTTCTTCGTTGAAATACTCCTTAGGCTACCTGCCATAGTATACAAAAGTTCAAAACGGCACTGGTCCGCATTCGGATTTCGCACCACCGTCGGCCATCCGCTAACAATGGATCGCCACAATGATGGCCCCGACAATGAGTTGTCCCATCTATCGTGGGTGAAGAACGTCTCGAAACAGCAAAGAAACTTTCTAACCATGACAGTCGGCAAGGCTCGAACGTCGATTTGTTGCCCGGCGAAGACGAGCACCACGAAGTCAGATCATCCGCTCCGTACCCGAGATTTCGCGGCTTCCTACGCCAATTTCGACTAGGATTTCTTGCAATAGCGTTCGGTCGCTGCCTCAAATGGCGATCCAATAATGAATACCGCAAGGTGGCAATACACCATAGCCGGACTATCGCGGTCACGCATGGCTTACTTCACCTTGTCCCCTTAGGTGGAGCGATCACAATTCTCATGCTTCAATGGACGAGCTATCTCGCAAGTTTTACGCGCGACGACTCCACGACGTTGCAATTCGTGGCCAAGTTACATGAATTGTTCATGCAAGCATCCATTGTTGAGATCATATTCTGCCTCGTACTTACCCAGGCCATCGATGGCTTCGTTCCTCTAGGCTTATTGTCCGGTACCGTACAGGCGACGCAGCTGGCTTACATTTGGTCCCTTGATTATTTATCAATTTATAAATCGTCTGGCTTTCGCGGGTGGCGTAGAGCGATTTTCGCTATCTCCATTCCTGCTCTTATCCTGCTAATCTCGCTCGTCGGTCCATCCAGTGCTATCTTGATGATACCAAAACCTGGTAGCTCATGCGATCGGAATGCGGTCACAAAATATACCCGAGATTCAACGGAAACAATGCACCCTACCCTTCTGGATTTGTCTAACGGGCTCAGCATGTAAGAGCTCGTCCTTATAACAGTTGCAACGACTGAGTTTCAACAGAGATGCCGCGAGCCTCAACTTGACTGTTGACAGATCTTTCGATGGACAACTTGAGCCTCCTGTAAACGCTGGATCTCCAACTCGGCGCAAATCATACCTGAACCGGGACTCGTTCATGCCAACCCGTGAGCCGGGGTCCCAAAAAACCGCCATCTTGATTTCTGACCGAACTCTGCGCCTTTCCTCTAGATGGGCTTATACTTACGTAGAGCATCAGGTGCAGGGTGAAACCGACCGCTTTTACATTGAAGGTATGCAAGTAAATACAACTATACCGACTTGGTATAGTGCGGATAGCTTCCAAGACATCAGTAACTTTACTGCAAGGAGGGGAACGAATAGAGTAACCAAAGTAGTTTTTCCAGAAAATGGTACCGCAACAGTAAAAATGGCGTACCCAGTGGTGATTACACAGTGCTGGAGTGGATTGGTTCCATTGAAGCCAGACGCCAAGCTTTACTACAACCTGAATGGTACAGAAATGCCACCAGACTTGTCTGAGCTCGCGAAATACTCCACACTCGGAGATATAGCAGAAGAATTATCTTCATCATCTGAGCGGCTTGGGAACGTACAGTTGTATGCACCGGTTTGGTTGCCGTCGCCTTGGCCTGCATCGCCATCGTTATTTGCAGTGTTTATCTCTCACGAAATAGGCGAATCCGGAAATGCCTCGCAATCCTTATCGTGGTACCTGAAAGAGAGAGATCAATTTTCGCGTCGTAGTACGGTTACGGTCACAGCTTGCACGCTATCCGCTTTCTGGGAATTTGGAGAAGTTCAACTACAACAGACTTCTACAGAAGAAACCGTCAAGACTATGTCATACCCGAAGTTTCTCACGCAAGAAGCACGGCCTGTAACGTTGAATGTTACCCACATCGACACGATCCGGAGAGCAGGATTTCATCGTCAACTGTTGGGAGCAGTACCATCACTTGCAGGTGATGGCCAACATCCATTCGAAAGGAGCCACATGCCCTTTTCTTTAGGTGCAATTTTCGCTTTAGGTATTTCCAAAATACCCGACATGGAAAAACATTATTCAGCAAATGCGAGTTTATTTGAACAAGGGGAACTGGTATGGTTTCCGCCACCAGGAGTCGACCCAGCCAACACGACTATGTTCAAATTTACCTTGACCGACTATGGGTACGGATATGGGACTCGCTCAACATCTGTTTACCTCGCCATGACAGTCATATCCATATACTGCGTCATCACTATAATCTATATCAGCTACACAATCATTACCGGCTTCTCTGTAACTGCGTGGAACTCTGGAATCGAGCTAGTCATGCTGGCATTGCAGTCAAAGAGACCGGATTATCTGGGCCACACATCAGTCGGCATCGATTCAATCAAGACATTTGGCGAAAGTGTAGGAATCAGGGTGAATGCCGATGACGAACTAGAGCTAGTCTTCGCGCACGATCGCGACTTCGAAAAGAGAGGCTTGAGGAAGATTGAGCGGAACAAGGAATACTGATAGTCGTATTACAAATGGATCCGTGCGTTGTATTGTAAGATGGCATTACTCGCACCCTAGTCTAGGATATTTTAGTGCCAACCTTAATTCGACTTCGCACTACAGACAACACTACACAAACACTATGCTACTTAAAAGCCCTAACACACTCAAGTTTCCAAGATATACTTCCACCCTTTTCTGATGATTACTCTCCGTTGTAAGGGCTTGGGCCAAACTCCGTAAATGGAGTCCGTCTTACCCTCGTTCTCGACAACTTCCCCGTACTCCAAAACACCACTCACATCCAAATATGTACAAATCTTATCAAACAACACACCCTTATTCCCTTTACGATACACGTAAAATGTCTCTCTCTTGCTCTTCTCCACAATTGGCGTCGGAATCTCCGCTTTCTCCGCTAGAATGATTCTGTCCGCGTAGAACCGCTCTCCTTCCGGTCGCTGGCCGATGTATTCAAGGATGCAGGTATCAGTCTGAGCGTCTCGAATCGACGTGGAGTTAGCGATGAGGTGCCCAGCGTTCACCGAGACTTGGATTTGGAAGTCGTTGGCATAGGGGAGAGTGGCGGAGGGGAAGGATTCTTTCCACAGGCTGTTGGGGGGAAAGGACCATTGTGGGGAGCGGAAGGTGGGGGAAAATGTGGGCGCTGAGGGGATTTTGAGAAATGACGGGTTGGAGGTTTTCGGGCTTATTGGTGATGGGAAGAAGAGTTGGTGTGGTAATCCTGTGTTTGTTAGCTTAAGTGAAGGATGCAGATTTGCTGATTGAGTTTCTTTGAATAGTATATATTTGCCATTGGCGATCTAGCAGAAACCTGTGTTGTTTTCAAGAATGTAACCTGCCGACACCATTGTCAGGATGTGAGGGTCAAACTCAGGATAGATGGTGTTGTGGAAGATGAAGTAGTTGGTGTATTGAAAGATAGACGAATCGCTGACCCTAACAGGGTCACAGGAGTCGACTACTTATACTAAGTGCTTCATTATGTAAGCACGTACTAATCCTACACCCATGCCCCTGCAGTCTAACAACCATGGTTTCAAATTTGCGCTGCGACAGTGCGTGGAGGGCGCCGCATGTGCTTTTGTGGCAGCGTACGTTGAGCGGGAAGCGCCAGAATGTTGGCAAAAATGCTGGGCTCTCAGGGCTCTCTTGGGATTGGAACTTGGATATGTTGACACATTGGATGTTTCGTTCGAGCATGTGCGAAGCAAGGTTTGTATTCCGGGATTCTGATATGAGACCACAGATGCGAAGCACTTCCAAGGCCATGAAGCTATCAGGAAGGGGCACTTCAGTTCTATCTTTCGTATTTGGCGGTGCACCCAAAATGATAGTGCAATCATGGTTTGGGGCCTCAATTTGAGGCAGTCTTAGTTCTGTTGAAACACAATCATCTTCCTGATGATGGACAGGAAGACTGCAGGAACGCGGACGATAAACTTCTGAGAGCATCTTTGGGTTGATGATGGGCCTGTCCCGACCATAATTATAAGGGCTTTGAGTTGAAATTCTCATAACCATGCTTCCAGATGAAGAGTCTTGTGGACGTTCCTGGTTAAAAATGTCTGTGATTGTAAGATGATGCTCAAAGAACGGATCCAATACGACTAAAAGCCAAAAGCAACGCAAGTGGCGCAAAAGAGGAAGAGAGGAAGAAGGGCGATGCACATCCTGCATATGTTTTCATTAAGCGCTTCCGTGTGATCTGCACACGTCCGACTGTGACACTGGTGTAGTTGAAGAAGGTACTTGATTGAAAGTATGAAACCAACAAACACTTCAAACGAATCTGCAACAACGTAACTGAAAATCTTTCCCTGGTATTAGCATTGCTCGTCACTGTGTCAGGATACAAATTTGGTGTTTGCTGATTTTCCCCAACCGCCGATTCTTATCTAGCGTACTAGCTGTACATAATAATAGATGCACCGGTTTGCTCGAATAGCGTGTTCCAGCCCTCAAGATTCAGCAGCCAAGCAAAATCTGGATCGAGACCGACAAATGATGCATATGTCTCGGCGAAAAGCGCAAAGTCTCCGCCTGCAGGATGGTTCATGATGTTCAGGAACTGCGGATTGAAAGGGACATGGTCCAGCCGTTCGGGTGTATGTTCAAATCTTTGGTGTATGGAGCTACCTTTATTCTAGCACATCTTGACCTCCGATGTTCCAAAACTTGTAGAACAATCTTCTGAGTAGAGTAAATTCATCAATGACCGGGTGGGTTGGTGCTGGAGCCCCCGGAGAGGACCATTTTCCAGATAGCGGTGCGAAACTCGACAGGTAGATTCCAGAGTTTGCAGAAAGATGTGTTGCTCGCTCGCCATGTTTTAGGTGAGATTTCGAAATTGGTCGTATAGTAGCTAGCAACTAAACAATGAGTATTTCAGCGATCTTTGCGGCGTGGGAACTTTGGGAAGCGTGATGAGCACAAAATGAATAAAGACGATGTTTGGAGGAGGAAATCTGCTCGACCCAAATTTATGCGTGAAGCTATTGGCGTTCACTCTCTACAATAACAGCTCACGACTACGCGCCGTGGTTGGCAAGAATGGTGCAAGCAGGCTTATGGGCGTGTGGACCAAGCCCTTCACGATGAGTGTAGTATGTGGCGGCAAGTGGAGACTCATCCAGGGATGATCCGCAGTTGGTACTACCAAAGATGCTAGTGTGATCGTTGGTCACGTGGCCCAGAAATTTGGCCAGTGTGATTGGTCAGAATCTTTGTACAACAGGACGTGACTGTAAGTCTTCCCGGCACTCGAGATAGGGCGCGAATCACATAATGACTCTCGACGACTAAATTGTTGGTGTTGTTGGTGTTGTTGGTGCTGGCAAAGTGGTGTGTAGTCAAATGCAGGGCCCCACAGTACTCGATGGCTTAGCGAGACAAACCCTGTCGTTTCGTGCAGTGGCGTCGAATGGCGTGCAGGCGTCGGGAAAGCGCAAGTCACGACTTCCTCGATTGCGCGTGCGACTCCCCGTATTGGCTGACCGGCTGCTGCCTCGTCGAAACACCTCACTTTCTTTTTGTCGGCCTCACCTATACACTCCTTGTAATCTGCAGCCGCCCTCCTTTACCCATACTTTCGCATATAACGTTTGCGCTAGCGCCGTTGCCCGCCATGTTTATGAACCCGAACAAACCAAAGATCAGGACGAAGACGGTGACTGTGAAGAAACCCGCCCCCGCCACCGCAGCCTCGTCGCCGCGAACGCCCTCCACAGCGCAATCACGCCCCGCCCTCCCGATCAACAGCCGCAGTTTTTCGGGGCCGCCTGCGAATCGCTACAAAGTCACGTCATCTGCGTCTGCGTCTGCGTCTGCGCAAACAAAGCCGCGCGAACCCGCGCGGCGGTCGCTTGCCGTGTCGCACGTGCAGAAGCGCAAGGTCTCCCCGAGCACTCCACAATGGGCGAGCAGCGATGACGAGAGCGAAGAGGAGGATGACCGGTTAGGGAAGAGGCGGAAAACGCGACCAGCTAGTAACAGCAGCGAGCCGATGAACCTGAACCGCACCCTCGAGCCGGACTTGAGCAGGCGCATTCGGATCCAAGAGCCGGAAACAAACGGAGAAACAAATGTCACATCAGATAAGACGTTGGAGAATGGCGCATCGTCGGGGAAGAAGACGGGCGCCAAGAGGGGCAGCCTGCTCCAGGGCATGATGATGTCGCGTGGTGACGAGGCGAAGAACTACAAGGCTGCATTCACGGGGTGCGAAAAGAACCCAATACTGGAGCTGCAATATCCGAGTCCCACACGACCAGAACGATTCGAGGCCGTCCATCCGCTAGACGCGCAAGAAGGATACAGCCCGCTGGAAGACATATACTTTAGCATCGAGGAGATCATACAACACTACCTCCCGACCGATCTCGGGAACGAGTTGTCGTCCGACACTGAGGGCACCGTCCGCCTGCTCAAGCGCGCCGTGTCAAAGAACTCCCCCGACGATTTCAAAACCGAACTCGCCAAATTCAACGCTCTCATCAAGGACAAACTAAGCGATGGAACAATACAACGCATCATGGACGAGATGCATGCGATACCTCTCAGCCTCGTCAAGCGCATCACTGCACAGTCCTACAACCGCATCGTCTCCCCGCAAGCTCACCGCCTACGCAAAGTCAAAGGCAAAGAAACCACCTACGGCGAACTCTTAACTCCCTTCGTCCACAAAATCTTTGCGCAAACTGGTCTCAACTCATCGCACGTCTTTGTAGACCTGGGCTCCGGCGTCGGCAACGTTGTCCTGCAAGCCGCCCTCCAGACCGGCGCCGAATCCTGGGGTATCGAGAAAATGGAACTTGCCGCCTCGCTCGGCTCCAAACAAGCTTCCGAAATCCAGGCCCGCGCTCGCCTGTGGAACATCCACCTCGGCGCCATACACCTCATCTCGGGCGACTTTCTCGAGACACCTGAAATCGATGAGGTTTTGCGCCGCGCTGACGTTGTGCTTGTCAACAACAAAGTCTTCGGCGAGAAGCTCAACAACGACCTCCTGCAGAAATTCCTCGACTTGAAAGATGGCTGCAAAGTCGTTAGTCTGGAGAGTTTTGGCGGCGGCGCAAAACAGGGCGTTAGGCATGAACAAGCTATTGCTGGCCTTTTTGACGAGGAGAGGTTTGAGAGCGGGACGTTTAGTGTCAGTTGGGTTGGGGAGAGCGTCGAGTATTACATTGCAACCAAGGCACGATGAGGAGTGCCTCGTAGCAACTTTGAAGCCTTCACTGATGTAAGAGTTGTAGCTTGATTCGGCGGCGCATCATCTTGGCGGTCTCATGGTGTTGCGGAATCTCCGGCGACGCTGGTTCTATGTGCATTAGAGGGGATGGGTATATACTTCAGCGTTGCCTTGGCATCTGCTAATTTGGATTGTACTTGGGTTCTTGTGGGAGCAGGTGGGCTATCAATACCCTGGCATTCATACGGAGTCTTTCTTTGTAGGTGGGGTTGGCGGGCTAGACTGTACAGCTTATTTCTGAGCGGCTTGAGGTTGGCTCAGCAAATACATCAATCACTTCATCATGAACAAACTCAACGTGCAAGTTCGAATCCTTCAATTTAACAATCTCCAATCCCCAGGCTGATTACGTATATATACCGAAGGATAGTAAGGAGCTTACACAGCTCTATGTACCGAGAAAAGCAAAGTATCCCATCCCAAATATGCACACTGATGTTTTTTGCTCTCCCAAAAATGCCGCTGGTTTGTACATGCCATGTAATCGATAAGGAGTGTGGGTATCATAAAGGAGCGTCGATATGCCGCGAAAAAAAACAAAAAAGAGAAGTCGTTTCTCATTACCTCCACTCTTGCTCATCCACCTCTTCCTCTTCCTCTTCATCATCTACAAGAACATCGCAACCGCGCCCCCAATAACCGCAGCTCCGAACCCAACTCTCTTCACTTCCGCCGCACCACTCTGCAACCCAGGCCGCCCCGTGCCCGCCGCCGTCGCCGAACTCGCCGTCTGCTCCGCCGGATCCACAAACGTGTAGCTCGTAACCGTGCTCGGCTTTCCATCCGCGCCCGTCGTCGTAATCAGCTTGATGCTGCTAATCTTGCCGCCGCCGGGGGTGTAGGTGGTCAAAAACGTCCTGCCGCTGCCGTCCGTCTCGGTGCGCACTTCGCCGGGCGTGGGCGCGAATTGCGCCGCGGACGTAATGACGCTCGCGCGGCCGGCAGAGTCGGTGGTTGTGCGGACGACGGCGGGGCGGTTCTCGGTGGTGGTGACGGGTGCGCCGGCAGCGTTTGTGCGGACAATGGTGACGGGGACGGAGGCGGTGGCTTGCGAGAGGACGGAGGTTGTTTGGACGACGGTTTGGCCTTGGGCGTTGGTCGTGGTTTGCGGGACGGGGATGATGACGGCGCGGTCGGTGGTGGTCGTCTCGGCGGGAGGGGCGTTGGAGGTGGGAGCAGCGGCGCTGGAGTCCTGGGGAGGGGGCGCGGCGCTGCTTTCGAGGGGGGGTTGAGCGGAGGACTGGGGTGGTGGGGAGGCGGAGGTGCCGTTGGAGGGCGTCTGGCGTTTCTTGAGGTCCTGGACGGCGGCGACGATGAGTTTGGTTGCGAGTGCTGGGTTCTTGTCGTGCACTTGCTCGACGCCGCGGTGGTGACTTTCGAAGACGCCTTTTTGGAAGTCCTTCAGGCCGCTCAGAGCGGCTTGGAGGGACTCTTCGGGCAGGGCGTTGAGGAGGTCGTGGAAGGCTTCTTGCGCGCTCGAGTAGATGGAGTTGGGCTGCGCGGCATCCTTGGTCGGGGACGCAGGCTCCTCTGCAAACACAGTGCCGAAGAGAGGCAGGGCCAAAACAGCCAGTCTGCTGAATGAAAGCATGTTGATTCTCGATCCGTTCCGTCTAACTGGTTTCGTGAAAAAAGAAGCGATCGTGAAGTGGAACTTTCAACGAAGGGGAAAAGATCAACTCTATGCAGAAACACGAATTAGCAAGTCGTCATGCCGACAATCAAGAATGCCATGATAACAATAAATCAGCCAGCAATAGGTGCAAAGGACATGTATCCCATTCGGGCTGTTGCGCCTTATAAGACGCCGCACTGATGCCGCGGTCGGGGAGAGAAAGCATAGTTTCGGTCGGAAGAAAAGTGACGCTTACAGAATCGGTTCCGGGTGGCTGGGATGTGGTGCGCTCGTGCGTACCAACTTGTCGTCTTGCCTGTCAACGAAAGAGCCGTAAAACAACCACAGGATTTCAACAACGAGTGTCAGAAGAAGTGATGGAGAGCGAGAGTTTTAGAACAAAGGAATTGGGTTTTGCCTTCCGTTCGTGCCAGCGTGCGGAGTCGTTGAGGCAACTATTTTCACCCGTCAGACCAAGGCCTTCGAACACGAACTACACAGACCCGCACCGCACTAGCTAGCGCAGCACCCACTAGTTGCGCGGCGATCTATCCCTCGTTCAACCCTAACGAGTAATTTTCCCAGCCGACACATCTCCAGACGTCTCACGCATTACCTGTTTCTCAGGCTGAATGAACGAGGTGAAACACTTGTGTCTTGAATGTTGGCACCGTGTTATTCCTCAGGATGGGTATATGCGTGTGCCTCATCGATCCTGGGATTCGCTTGTAAGCAGCCATCCTTGTTGTCAGAAACGTCATGAGTGGATCTGTCACGATGCATTGATGTTGAACTTGAGCGCTCGTGCACTGTCTACCTATACTCTCCAATGAACGATTGCATCACTGCCTCAATGCCATTGCCGACTCATCTCCGCCGCCAACGAGCCAACCCTATTCTCTACCGACAATATTCTTGTATTGACAACTTTTCAACACGTCTAGACGTACAAAAATAGCCACACCCAGTTTTTGCCCTGCAGTGCACATCGTCTCGTCTCACTCGCCCGACCAATCCCAACGCCGCGGATCCCTCGGGCTGTGCTTGACATTCGCCACAACGCTACGCGGCACATCGGCAGCCAGCCCACTTCGGTGTGCGAGCGAGTCGTGATGGTTCAAGTGTTGAGATGCGGGAGGGGCGAGGTGATGATGCAAAGACGTGCAATCTGACGCCTTTCCTCCCACGCTTCGCTTCTGTGGAGTACAGCAAGAGTAGATGGCGCTGTGATGACCTTGTGCACGGCATCACAAGCCGACCGGCACAATGTAGTGCTCGTACTCCTCTCTTGATAGCAATAGCGTGCATCGTATCTTCGGGACTAGGTGGGTGATTGGGTGCGTCTTGCAGCACTGCTACGACGACCTCGCATACCGGAATGACATCCGCGTTCAACGGCTCGACAACGTCCATGGTAAAGTTTGTCATACGACAAAGAAGATTTAATATTACAACCGCCCTACGCTTCTATATTCAGGCTCCGAGTTTGTAAGAAAGAGCTCGCTCGTGCTCATTGCTATATGCAAAAATCCCTCCCGCATCGTCACATTTACATGATACACAGGGCGCCCAAGCCCTTTGCGTGGATATCTAACAGGGCTTCGACATGTGCACCAGACGCCACGCTACCCAAACATTCCTCCTCTCGAAGACGCATCTTAAAAACAGTAGATCCACGAGCCCTTACAACGCCCGAAATTCATCATGTCGAATTCGCAGGTGCAGTTGGTGGTGGACTTGTATGAGGTGTAGCCTCTGCACTCATAGATTGCGCGGCATGTACAGGAGTCGATGGTCGTGGTTCTGGCGATTGACTCTCAGCCACAGTGGACAACGGCTGTGATTGCTCTGGTGCAGACGATGAGGCAACCTCTTCCGCTGCGGGGTGCATCTGTGTGGCTAGAGGTGAGCTAGGTGATGGAACAACAGACTGGGCCTCCTGTTGCTGGACCGCAGGAGCTGCGACCGGTTTTTGCGGAGAGGTCGTCGGTGTGGCTTGGTTGGAACCTTCAATCAGAGGCCGCGAACCCTCCATTGACCGTCCTCGACCATTGGGACTGTCTTGCTGCGCCCGTAGGTTATGCGGTGGAGGGAGGAAGCTGGAACTGCCAGGGGGACTCTTTGCCCGTTCTCGCTTGTCCGCACGCTCTTTGTGGTCCTGTCTCATCTTGTGAAACCAGTCAAACGCACTTCCCTTTTTTTCTGGCTTGTCGGAATCCGGTGGGCTCCCGTATGCTGTGGAGAGATCCGAGTTCTGATGCGAGTCGTATTGTAGACTTCGCCGAGAGCCGCTAGCTCCCCATCCAGAACTACTGCCAAATGAGCTCATGCTCTTGTCGCCCCCAGGTACTGATCCATGCAAGTCAGTCTGGCTTGCAGTAGGCGTTGCTCGACTTTCGCCTCGCTTGTGACCCTTCCAAAAGCTTCGCTTCTCTTCCTTGATCTCTTCGGTCGGATCGGCAGTCTCGGAGTACTCAGTCGCAGTGGAATGAGAGCGATATGAACCGGATGGTGACATGCTGGGCTTTAGTGTTGTACCAGAATTACGCGAAGAGACGGCGTCGTTGTTGTGTGACGACAAAGCATCTTTTGAGCCACTTGAGTGTGAGTAACCAGGGGCAAAGGGAAGCTGTGGAGGATGCAGCGGCGAATGTTGCGATGGAGGAATGTGTACCATGCCAACGCCAATGTCACCACCTGTGAGAGAGTGCGTAGAACTGTGGGCACTCGAGATGGCACTGCTCGGAATGCGTTTCTTTTGAAGTTTGTTTGGCTTTCGACCTTCTCTTGCATCACTGGACGGCGATGCGCCGGCCTTGGCCAGGATCTGGGTGAAGGTGCGCGTAGCTGGTGTCATATCAGCGGGTGGGCCTGAATCGACGGGTCCCTCCATGAATTCGGCCCTCTCTCGTGTCGGTGTTAAGTGAGGACTGCGTTGACCCGTGGCAGAAGGAACAGCGGGTAATAGGTCCGACACTACCTGTGCAGTTGCGCTTGGTGTCACGTCTTCGCTTGGCGGTATGATGCCAGGCGATGGAAGAGGAAATGCCCCGGGTATTTGGTCGAGGACGGGAGTGACGAGTGCTGGTTTTCCCTGCGGTAAAGTCGTCATTGGTGCTGCAGGGGGCATCTCAATCCTTGTTGGCGGCATTGTCAGCGCGCGCTGAGGGGCCGTCTCGGGTACCTCTTCCACTGGCTTTGTTGCAACTGGTACATTTACAGTTTCTGACCTCGCTGGTGCTGCCACTGTTGCAGGCTCTGCAGCCTTAGGTGTTGCCGTGTTTGCCGACTCCGAGCTACCATTTGCTTTTGATACTGGTCCTAGGCTTGCTACAATAGCAGCAGCCTCTGCAGATATTGGCGATGTCAAAGGATTCTTTGGTTCATCGGCGTTGGGTGTTGATGGGCCCGACAATTCTCTTGGGAATCGCGGGCTGTTGAGTGCGGGAGATCGCTTGGAAGGCAGAGTGTTGCTCCTATGCACACCGGAAGCAGTGGGCGTGGCAAAGGCGGGCGTTATGGGACTTGGGACAGCTCCAGAATGCCGCGAACGCTTGGAAGAGGTGGAAACATTTCTGCGAACTCCATAATTTCTGCGTATGCTTTCAGCACCTGCGCTCGATGTGGTGGATGCCGAACGACCAATGCCAGAGTTGTTGCGTCCAGGAGTTGTTGGAGTCCTGGCCTGAGGAGTAGACGGTCCGCTCTCTATTTGCTTTACAGTCCCTTCGTCTACAGCAGTACCCTCCATACCAATCAAAAAGTGGTCCTGGTTGTCAATGAGGAAGATAAGCACGTCTTGACTCAGCCGATAATCGGCCGGAGACATGTCATGCTGTGGATGGGACAGGATACCAGGCTGAAAAATGGCAGCAAGATTGTGAGTCGTCATTTTGTTAACATCAGACTTGGCAGCAAAGACTGCCAGCAGATCCAGAATGTACAAGAGCAGCTGGCGGTTGAGGGATGGCAATCCTTTGATCAAATGTTGATATATCCGCACAGCTGCATCCGGATCAAATCCTCCCGTGGATGGAGATTGTCCTTCTATGTATCCTACTGCCTCGGCCTGATGGCCACGCAGCGGTTGGCGAAACGGATCATAGTTCCCGAGTGGAATGATTGGTTCCGGAAGGTTGTTGAAATATCTCCGTAATATGTTGGCTGCGTCGTGTACTGTGTAGCCTGTCCAGTCGAGGCCTTTTCCATATCTCGGCGGGGTGTCAAATGCAGTCTTTAGCTCCTTGATCCTCTTTTCCGACCCCGCTAGTCGGAATATGCCTTCAACGTCGGTCGCTGCTTGGTATTAGCATGTGAAGAGGCACGCACAATCGAGCAACGGACCCTTTTCCTTGAGATATACACCGCATTTTGCGACTACGATGGGCACGTAGCCGTAAATGTAGCTTTCTCCGTGCTCGTTGAATAGCGATATGGCTACGTTCGCATAGGGTATGCTCTGTATGAGGGGTACACCGAAAATTCCGGGCTGTGCCTCTGTGTGTAACAATAAACGTTAGTGAATGCAAGCGATTAGGATTGGCGGGGAGGTTGCAGGCTCTCAGATGGAGAGCTTCGGCCTTGTCAGGTACGGCTGACAAGCTGAGAGCGCTGCACTCGGAGCTGGCACATGTGCACGCCCAATGACCGCGGAGAGGTCGTACCTTTTTCGTCCTCCTTTCTCGCAGGGCGTTTGCTAAACTGCCTCCACCACGACGTCAGGTCGCGCTTAGCTGACGCTGGCTCTGGTGTTTGGAGCGCCGTGGGCTGGAGGTCTCCGTTGCGCACGCGCGGCGTATGCGCGTGGTTCTGCATGCCCGGATTCGGCATGGCGAGCGAGCTGAAGAGCGTCGCAGCTCTCCAGTAGGTGGCTTCTGCTGCGGGGGATGGATCGCAGCGTGGTGCGAAGTCGCGATATTCAGCTGGAGGTGCAGTCGGGCCAAAAGTGGGTAGGCGGCAGCAGGCCGGGGCCGCGACGTCACAGCGAACGCGAGGGACTCAGCGCGCGCGCTGGAGGGCACAGCGTGTTGGCGGGTGAGTAAGAGTGCGCGGACGGCGGGCGAAGCAGTCGTGTGTCGTGCGTTGCTGGCGCGAGCGGCGATGTTGGCGTACACTGAACACGGCGGAGCTCGAGTAACGGCAGCGGTTAGGGGCACTGACGAAGGACAGCAGCTAGCGGCCTGGTGGTTGTGGCTGTCGGCCAATCGACAGAATCCTGGATAGACGGCACCCACGTCGCCTGACGTGCAAACACAGCACAAGAGGGCTGGGACGGGGTAATGCAGGCGGCAGATGCGCGCGCCGATCAGTAGCAAATGCGATATAGAAAGAAGCTGTTGTTGATTCTGTCGTCTATGCCGCTGCTGTGGTTCAATAATAAAGAGGCCTTGGCGGGAGACGGGCACAGGTACAAGCGCGTGGCCGGCGAAAGGAGCCAGAGACAATATTATTGACGTCGTGCGACCGGGTGCGGGGAGGGATTGGTTCGGTCGCTAAGGCGCAGGAGGGAATCTACCGCTCTTCTGGCAAGCAGTCCCTTCCAAGCCTCTCGAGATATTGTGGGGGTTGGTCTGGTGCATCGAGCGCCCGGAAGCTAGGACCACTTTCGAAATTTGGGAAGGAGCTCTGAGCTCATGGGCAAGAGCAGCCCACGACCACCCTTGCACGTCATACCCAATACACTATTCCGCAAATTTCTGTAGCCGCACCCATCCCATCCTACACTACACGCCTCTACAGCCATGGACTCGTGGGTGTGCCAAGACGTCATATTCCTGTTCCAAACTGATCGTGTGCCAGGCTTTCCGCATCTGAGCAGCGCGAGCTGCAGACGCGCATGGAGAAGAAGCAGATGAAGGAGTTTATGAACGTGAGCAATTGCACACGCACTCTTGTTATCGGCCGCTAATCATCGCAGATGTACTCCAACCTCGTCCAGCAATGCTTCGACAGCTGCGTCAACGGCTTCGAGAGCAAGTCCCTCACCTCGCGCGAAGAGGGCTGCGTCATGCGATGCGTAGACAAGCACATGAAGGGATCACAGCGACTAGGCGACCGCTTCCAGGAGCAGAATGCCGCCATGGCACAACAAGGAGGCTTGCCTGGCAGGTAAAGCTCTCACCGCGAGATGCACATGTCAGAGTGATATCAGCGAACGACTTACGATCCTGTCAATGTCTGCACAAGCGTCAGCGGCGCTTCGGCCATATGATTGCAAAAGTTGCGTCCAAGGACGATTTGTACAATATAGAAATGGCACTTGGGTTGACTAGGGCGCATAATATTCTCCATTTCACCGATGCATGAAGTTCGCGAATCTCGGTGAAATTTGGTTTACCGTTGTGGTCCGCATGACTATCTGTACAGCGATGTTTCCCGAATGTATGCTCGAACAAGCGCGTGGTTCGGACAGGCGTGGCTCCGCTAGAGCGAACTGCTACCTACAAGTTCCACATCGTTGTCTCATTCTAGCGGTGTATGCGTGATCATGTGTCGGGGCTATGCAAGCAACGCGTCTTTGGATGGATGTCCAACAAAACTCGCAAAGATGGAACACCTCACATGAAAACATGCTTGGATTTGTACAGGGCGTTTCATGTCACGCCGACAGAACTCGGGCACTATGAAGACATCCAGGTTGGTTCATTGCCCTGGAGAACTGGAGGCGTAGGAATGATTTCAGAACAGTCAGTCCGATGCGCGAATGCGGTAATCTACCTCAGATCTGGCCCAAACCTGGAGCACTATCAAAGGCCCGATAGCTGTCACGCTGTCGGTGAAGATGAATTGGCAATGACGATATCAATGCAATTCAGCCACAAAGCCGCTGCAATCTCGCTTGAATTACCTGTGCGTGCAAAGCGTCGGGCCTTTGTGCATCGTTGTTGGCAGCACGATCTCCAACCCCACACCAATAATGGCAGCAGAAGAACAAGCAGGGGAGGGTCGAGCATAACCGAATACGGTCTTGAATAGCCACAAATTGCGTGTTATTTGCCATGATCCAGACCTGTATCTCCAGTTTGCGGTGTTGAGCACAGCCACCGCTAAGGTTGCGCGCGCTTGGCGTCTACTTGGCGTGACGTCGTCGCAAGTTCACACGCGCTTGCTCCGTCCCTGCTTTGGTTTACAGCCTCCCCGTCACACAGCAGGGCTGCTATATAATTCGCGACTGATCCTCAGCAACCTTCTGTACCATCAAGCATCACTCTAAGCATTTCCGAGATACAAACAACAACCTCTCAACTTTCTCAACACTTCCAAACCAACAAACAGCAAGATGGGTCTTATGTGGCACAAGGGATTCGGTGGTCGCCATGCCGGTACGTTCCTAGTTCAAGGCTAGAAAGCTTCACTCCTGCCGATATCCGTTTGCTGACATGGTTCTTCACAGGCGGCGGTGTTGTTGCTGACAGGCACGGTGTCCGACGGGCTCCTTTCCGCCTGTCCTGCGGACGCTTCAGCTGCTTCCGCTAGAGCATGAATACCTGATACCCTCTCTTTACGAGTCACGACTTGTACGTCTTTCCACGCGGAGACAAATGCATCGTCTAATATTGGCGCAGTCCAACCTCATACCACACCAACATTATCTTGCGATGGCGTTGTTCGGGACCTTTTGTCGGGAAGCATAGCTGGCATTGTTTGTACTTTATGGACAATCAAACCTGTCGATTAGCTTGATACCACATCATACCCACAATAGTAATACCACTGATTTTCCAATGAAACCGGTCCACATAACTGCCTGAGACGTGACAGTGTTTGATAACTTGTGATTTGTGAGAGCTTCTTGACCCTGTGACGTCACCCCTCGCCAAACCTTGTCCCGCGGCTCCACACGGCTGCATCCACGGATCTCCATCACGCGCTGCAGCTTCAATTTTGACGTGGGGTAACATGTAAGAAAATGGAAGCCACCACATTCTCATCCCCATGGGCGAATATCGGCACGGTCGCAATCCTAGGTATCCCAAGATGCGCTCTATACTTATAATCAATCCAAACTCTACAGAGTCCATGACCAATGGCCTGAAGCCACTCGTTGATGCACTCCAATTCAAAGATGTCCATCGCACCACTCACCATATGCTTCCACGCAACTGACCGCAGCTAGACCGCCTACGAATACTTCACCGCGCCCTCGGGGCCCAAGAGCATCAACAACGAAGACGATGCCGCCGAATCTGTGACGCACTGTCTCCCCGCCCTGCGCCAACTCCTCGACCGCCACGACGGCTTCCTCGTCGCATGCTACTCGCAACACCCCCTCGTCCCACTTCTCAAGAATGAGCCCGCGATAAAATCGTCTCGCAAGCCCGTCACCGGCATCTTCGAAGCCAGTGTCGGGACAAGTCTTCAACTCATCCATCCGGATGAAGCTTTCGGTATTGTGAGCACCGGCAAGGTCTGGGAAGACATCTTGTCACAAGCGACGGAGGCGTTCTTGGGCACGGCGAGTAAGCGTTTCGCGGGCGTGGAGACGACGGGCCTAAATGCGACGGACTTGCATGATGCGCCGCCAGATGAGGTCAGGAAGCGTATGAAGGACGCTGTTAAGAGGCTGTTGAAGAAGGGGAATGTTGGGGCAGTGTGTTTGGGATGCGCAGGTATGGCGGGCATGGATAAGATGGTGAGGGAGGCGTGTGTGGAGGAGTTGGGGGATGTCGATGGGCAAAGGGTGAGGATTGTGGATGGGGTTGTCGCGGGTGTTGCGTGGTTGGAAGGAGCTGTTAGAGCTGGCTTTTAGATTGTGAATGTCCAGATATAACTCGGTATTACAGTGGACAAATATCAAAGATATCCGAGCATACCAAGCCCTAGCCTACGAACTTGGAGACGTACAAAGGGAAGCACTACGATATCGGGTAAGTTTGTAGTAAACAGCTGGTTGCGGTACTGTGATGTACATCCATGTCGATGAAAAGTGGGGATGACGTACATGCTAAATGCTTATTCCCACTCCAACTGCGATGAGCAGCAGCACTCCACATGCTTGTACCGACATCGATCCTCGACCCCCAATCCAGTATTTTCTTCGTCTTCGATCTGCCCTAGTATAGTTCTCTATCGAAACATACCGTGACCTACTGTCTTTGAAGAATCGCACCTCTCATACCTAAACATGGAGTCGCTGCCCAATGAGCTCCTTATCCAGATTGCTTCACAATTCGACACGGAAGCTCCTAGTGTCACCAAATTCGCCCACGAGCCTTCTTCACATCTAACCGAATGCGATTTCACGCCACTCAAGTCATTATCCCTGGTCTCATGGCGCTGGCGCAAAATTACCTTACCAATCCTCTTTCGCTACTCTCGGATATTCCTTGACAAGGAACCACAATGGGTTCCAATCGACGCGCGTTTGGTGGATAGTATGCAGACCCAGTTGACGAAGCTCAGCAATCACGAGTTCCAAATATACCACAAGAAGGGCAGCAAGTTCAAGAGCAGCTCCACATTTGCATATGACGAAGCTTTTGACGACTTGCTCATCAACCTGTGCCGCATCCAAGATGGTGACGACTTTCTCAAGGCGGTGCCGCACATTCTCTGGCTCCCACATCTGCCGAAGGCATTTGATGGCTTTGCAAGATTTGTTGCACAATACGACCTGAAGCATCACATCAAGAGTGTGGTCGTGCATACGGACAAGGAATATGAGCTGCGACATGTTAGCACAGCTGACGCACCCTTGGCTCGCGCAGTTGCTGATGTTTGGACCACCATCTTCAGCCACCTGGAACCTATCAGAGTCGTTGTTGCTGCACCTCCGCCTACACTTGCTGGGCTCTTGGACACGCAGATGCTGAGCGCCGATGTATGGGCCTTTGACATGAAGATGCACTATATTGAGCTAGTGCAACCGGAGCCCTTACGTCTCGAACACATGAAGTCCAAATGTCGAGCATGGAATTCAGCTCTGATCCACTACAGACCATGGAACCACCTCGGTTACAATGAAGGGTCTTCCATTACTGCGTACAGCACGTATGAGTACCACTTGAAGCAGTCACCAAAGATGCTTTATCTCCTGCTTGTTCGCTTGGCAAAGGAGGCACAATCCTGCTGCAACATATCGTCATTCGGCTTCACTGGCGTCTTTCCTTTTGTTACAAATGTCACTGCTATTATTCGTGCCTTGCACAAGATTCCGAAGTTGAAGCACATAAGCTTTCAGCTCGCACCCGGACCAGAGAATAGCTCGCTCGACGACCCCAAGCGCATGGGCAGAGCTCAGCGCAGTGACTTTTGGCTCGAATGGAATGAGAGCTACAAGGTTATTGCAGGTTATCTAGGCGTCATCGACTTCGAAGACGGCGCCAAGTTCAAAAGCAGAGATTGTGGCAACAAGCAGTTGGCAGAAGATGTATCAGGGTACATTGAGCTCCTGCAGCAACGAGGTGCAGGTTGGCGCAAGGACGGCGCGGAGGACGGTGTTTGGATCCGCGATCAATCACTCGACAGGGTTGTTACGCCTGTCACTGAACTGGGCATCGTTTGAGCAAGCCAAACAACGACTGCGCATTTCTGTTCCCCATGTGACGTGGATACAAACTACGTTCTTACACCTGTGACTCCTCTTTCCTGAGAACATCTATCCTTCACCTCAGCATCAAGTCACTGTACCGTCATCATGGTGGGCATTGTATATCATGTTGCAAGTTCTTTTGCAGGAGCTCTTTGGTCGACCACTTGTCATCTCCTTGATGCCTTGGTCGCCTCCCAAGAGCGACTCGAGAAGAGAGCAGTCGGCCACGCACCGAACTCGGAGACGTCCTCTACGTACGATCGAGCCCTTGATTCCAAACAGCTCCTTAGAAGATCACGCCAGGCCGAGAGCAGCCACGACTTGCGCGCTTCATCCAAACCTGTATCAATGAAGCCTCAGACCCAACATACAGCATCACTGGACGATCAAAACGTCGGCTATTCACAAGTCCATCCACTTTTGAACACCGACCATTTACGAAAACCCCGTCATTCTCAATCTATGCCAAACCTCATAGGGCCGAGCAGGGAAAGGCGACACAAGTCCACTAGGCCCAGGAGCATGATAACAACAAGCCAAGAACCCTTCGTCGACCCGACTCACATCACCGGCAACCCGATCATCTCCCGAAGCGAAACTAGTCGGCTTCCCACGTCCCCACTGACCATGAGGGGAGTGCGTTTTGCGGATAAAAAAGATATGCAGAGTGTGACTGGCGGTCGGCATGTGGGAAAGGTCACGGATAATGAGTGGAAGGCATCGAATAAGGCGTTGATGATGGTTAGGAGGATGGGCTAGAGTTCAGAACTAATGAGTTTTTTAACCTACACCTCTGCCTTGTCAAGACTATCTCGTCCTAAAACGTGATATGAACTTCTCCTTTTATGTTAGTTAGAAGTTTCGAGATAATATTGATAAGTGACGACTCTTAGCGACTGTCGAAAGAGGATTTGTGACACGGCAAATGAAGACTGTATACGACGACCTAAAAGCATGCAAGTTCTTTGTCATGTTCACTCCACTGTCGCGTGATCGTCCGCTTCACATACCACATCAGCGCTGCCAGACTATCTCTCCTTAAATCTCTCCGCAGGCTACAACATATCAACCTATCTTGACGCACCTGTAATATACATGGAGGCATCCTAACTCTCCCTTTCTCTCGGGCTTCGGCATTTCGGGCGTATACATTGTCAGGAGCCCGAAGCAAATGTTTGTGGCCGAAAATTCCGGAAGTTGAGGTCCGACCCGGGGCATCTCGTCTCAATGACTTGATGGGTTAGCATTTCCGAGGCTCTGATGAAGGCATATGTACGATGGTCTCTAGAAGGGAGCGAGCTTAGCTGCTTCTGTAGTCACCGCTATTCTGAAGAAGTGGATGCCCCCAATCCCGGGCAAAGTCTAGGTTTCTCGACCTCGGAATAGTTTCAAAGACACGTCGACCACATTCGCAGATTAAACTTAAGGTATGACATGATCTTGTGATACTCGTCTAAGTCACGGTTCGACTCTTTTGGCTTCATCCATGGTGTGCTAGTCTGTGCAACATGGCGGCTATACGGATACGATCCTATGCTTCAATTGCTAGGGCTAGGCACATTGTGCTGGAGTGATCCGAGTCGCGTTCTAGCGCTGTCGAATTGGTTCGATGTCACTCGTCTTGTCGACTTGCGGTGTGCGGCTTGCGGCGACACAGAACCCTGAGCATTGTATGAAGCCCCTGGCCAATTTGAGTCTTGCAAATTCCGCAGTAGATACGGCCATAGGAAGTTTCCGCTCCGGACAAACCACCAATGTCACCCAGGATAGGAGGACGCGTCGTTTCCCTGGTATGTGCTAGCATGCTCGGCCGATCAGTCGCGACTCAATCAGGGGTTCGCTGATCGCGGGGGTGCACAGGATAGATGCTATCGGCCGTGAATTGAGAGCTGATAAGTAACAACACGGATAGATACTTGACCGGTCCGGGCTCGCAAGGGTGCTTCTTCGGGATCTGCTTCGGCTGCAGGGGAAAGCGGCCCTGGCGCCTCCCGAGGCCGATGCAGATCCACGTTCGTCGATTAATGAACCCTTGCGATCCGGGGAACCTTGACATAAGCACGCATGAAAAAGGTCTGTGTCTATGCTGGCTGACGTAAATCGTTATACAGTACTCTCGGTCTCGGTCACGGTCACGATGCGTTTCAGTACACCTGGGCATCCGCACGGCGGCTTTTCGTCTCGATTGTTTGCGGCATTTTTGAAGTATTGGCTTCGGAATAAATGCCCGATACACGTCATACACAGCGTATTGACGGAATCGTAGCTATTGTACATGAGCAATTGAGATCTGTGGGAGCTCAAAACGCACTGTCGATACGCTCTCAAATTGCCACCTATCTTCGTGTGAACAACACACTTGCATGTGATTGCGTCGAGAAGACATTGGTATCAATCCGCAGCTCGCATATTACGCCTCAGCCCAAGAGTATTGCTTGTGTGTAGATATTGAATAAAGAATGGAGATTTATTGCTACATAACAGATCTCACCGCTACCATCGGGACTATCTCGGTCGGCTATTCATCTTCATCTTCATCTTCCCAATCAGACTCATCATCATCGTCACATACATACACCGAAGGAACTGTCTCAGCACTAGTTCTGGTAACGGTCTGATTTAGCTTAGGAATAGCTGCGCACACCGCCTTGCCCTTATCCTTGTCGACTTTCGCGTCGGGTGGTGACTGAGATTGCGATGCAGCAGTGACTTCTGTCAGACTTGCGGGTGGCATTTTCGGGTATGCGCTCAGACCAAGGAGTGTTGGCTCTACTGCTTTGAGAGATGCTGTCCGTGCTTTGTACAGGAGCCGAGGCGCTGATTTCGCGAAACAGGTCCTCGTAGCTGCGATCGGTGTCGTACGGATCAGTGGTCTCGGGTCCTTGGGATTGCGATCGGGGTATGGTGCACTGTCTGCGCGGCCGTTTGGAAGGCGAGCCCTGAGGTGACGTTGGACTGGCCTGCGCATCATTTTTCCTCGGCCGTCCCCGTGGCCGTTTGGTGCCCGGTTTCAATTCGGCTGGTTTCTCGACTTTTTTCTTGACTTGTTTCTTGACTTGTTTCTCGGCTCGTTTCTCGGCTTGTTTCTTGGCTTCTTCCGTTTTCTTCTTCATCAAAGTATGCCATTCCTCAGCGTCTGTTCCACTGGGTGCCTTTGGTGTGTCGCTTGGCGATGGAACAAGGTTTCCATCATCATTTACCTCGATAGGTGTCATTGGTCTACCAGAGTCTGTGTTCCCTTGTATTACTCCACCATTTGCCCCATCTGGATTCAACTGTATACCAGGCTGACTGGGCCATGTGTGCATATAACCTTCTTCTGGGCTTGTTTGTTGAGTCTTCTTTCCCGACTTTTTTGGTAGTTTTGGCTTTCTTTCTGGGAAGCGCGGGACCTCCGGAAGGTCCAAATGTTGGGCCCACCACGCACCTTTCTCCCACTTTTTCCATTCCATGCGATGTTTTTCCACATCGCTATCTTCACACTGATCCCAATTGGTCCCGTGGTTCCCACCACAGTTCAAGCAGCGCGGTTGCCTATTGCACTTTTGCGATGGAGGATTCTTCACGTGCTGCATAGCGCATGTAAGGCAAGGACTATTAGTCGAGTTCTCTTGGTAGTTGGGTGGCTTGGATTGTGGAGGTAGTTTGCATTTGTCTCGACCTTGAATTTTCATGTGCCCTGGACGGCCGCAATGGTGACAGAAAATGGGTAGGGCACGCAAGTCGTGTGGTCTAAGGAGACGATGAGTGTCAGTTTAACACATCGCTTTCAGTTATATCGTTTTGACTTACATTGCACGCCCAATCAGACCACTCAAACTCAGATACACGCCACACGCAGAGGCGGCCGCACTTATAGTGTTAAAGTGCCATAAAAGTTTACCATTCCGGTACGAAGTTTTGGAAATTGGCAGTCCGGTGGTAGTCTTCCAACTCATGATGTGATCTTGATGTTCGCGGGAGATCTTACTCATTTGCGACCTGTGCGTTTCGTGCGGGGCGTATACTTGGATCCAGACCACATAATCACCCAGTTGAGGAATAGAGTCTTCAGAGAGGCCTAGCTTAGAAACCAGGCTCTCTAAAGTCTCTTGTTGATTGAGCTTCTCAAAGGCAAGGAGATCGATGGTGTATAGTTCGAGGCATCTCCTTTCATCGGTTTATATCACATTGTATGCGTTGATAGAGTCGAAAGGGGGACCAAATCCATGCACCCTTTCAAGGAATCTGTCGTAGGATTGTTGTCGAAGCAACGCGTGTTCTTCATTGTTCGCCAATGAAATGCGGATTTTAGGCAAACGCGAATACCATTGCGACTTGTTTCCTGGATCATTGGCCCTTTCTCGCGATGTTTGGAGTGAATCGTTTGCCCGTGTCAGACTTGCCACGCTTTCTTGCAGTATTTTCAAGGCAGTCTCTTGAGTACCTAGCCTATCCTGCAGCGTCTTCATGGCAAGTTCTTGAGTTCTTGACGTTTCCTGAAGTAATTGAAAAATGGTACCAAGATTGATGGCCTCTGTCGAACGCCCAGACATGAATTGTGTTACCGCAGGGCCGGCCTGAACATGGCGTTGAGGATCTTCTGAGAGTGGGCTGGTATTGACATGATCACCGAAAGGCATTGCGAAGGAGTTGAGAATTTGTAAGGATTGGAATAAGGAGAGGATGATGAGAGAGAAATGTGTCTGTTTCGTTGTCAATCGAGGAAGGATGATTTGGCGCGCTGAAGCTACTTTCTGACCTGCTTAACCTCTTAAGACAACTTGCTAGAGCCGGTCGTAGAAAATAGTAATGATTCAGAAGCAACAGGCTTCGTATGTGCTAAGCCGCATCCTGGCGAGTTCTAGCTTTCATCGGTACCTACCACCGTGTTGAGCCGCCGCGTGTCTGTCTTCTTGAAGAGAATGTGGTAGCAAATCAGCGGGCGTAAGAAAGTAAGATTTACAGTATACCAGCGAATAATAATTGAACTCAACCTATCGGACCTCATGGCGACTACTTTGCCGCTTCAACCAGGGTGCGGCCCATTTCGATACCTGTATCGGGCCGATCGGATCATCGTCTTCACTGTCCCCCCCTTGTACGGTTCGTTAGCGTCTTTCTCTTGCACGAGCCAATGCTAGGGATGTTGTCCAATATGATGTCCTGGAAACCCTTGCATTGGCTCTTGCACGAGAAAGAAGCTAACGCACCGTACAAGGGGGTAAATGCCGACATTCGTTTGGAAGCCCAAGCAATCACCACTAATGCATCCATGGCCATAGCCGATCATGGAGGCTTCTGGATGTCTTTGCCTCCAAGATAATCCATAACAAAAGCAGTACGGTACATACGTGATGTCAGACGGGCAAACGTAATGTAGGTTGGCCGCTAGGTACGCATGGCTTCGTAAGATTCCACTGAATAATCTCGGACAAGGAGTTAGACAAACAAGAGGCCAAGATCTTGCTTGCTTATCACGCCGATTGTCTGTGTCCCCCTTGCCAGCTCTTATCCAGCCCGACAACAACACTTTGCCTGCAACCATAGGATATCCCTTGGAAAGCTCCGCAGCTCTCACCACGATGGGCAGAAGACCCACCCTCAACTCCATACCTAATATGTCAGATGGGTCTCACCGACATTTTGTTGGCGGTGTTAGCAGTGCTTCCCGTCACATATTATTGTCTTGGCCGTCACCTAAGGGTTAAATATGTAGCATACAACGCCCCAAAACTGCCTGCAGTCCTCTACCTACTTCGTGACATATACTCAAGTCACTCGATCATGATTATGAGTGGCTTTCATTAACTCATTCATTTATTGACCGCGTAGACTGAAAGCATCAGTCGATGAGCAGGTGATCCAAGCCTCCAACCTGCCACTTCCCGAACAAATCCTGAGCAAGGAAGTGAAAACACATGATCTGAAGCCTTCCCTATGGTAAGGTTAAATTCAAGCACAGCGAGCAGGCTATTAGATACTGACATATTGCATTCGCAAGACAATCCTGCCAACTCGGAAGACTTGCGGTAAAGCCGGGGTGAGCCGCATCTATGAGCAACCGTGACGCTCATATGGATGGATCTACACTAGAAACAGGCGACCTCGATGATTTTCACTGCATTATCGTGTCTTCAAACTTGAAGCGGTGTTCCGACCGGCTGAATAAACTTCTCGAACGTACCAAGAGTGAGCGGCGACCGCCAGACATCATTGCCATTCAAGACCCTCCAGCGTATTTTCCTTTCAAAGAATGTGGCAACTACATCCAGTGGTGGAGTACGGCAGACGGAAGCGAGCTAACATGCAAAGAGAACCCAAGTCGGGTCCGATATGTCCAGCCGTACGGGAGGAAAACAAGCGGACCAGGAGAGGATCTCGTTCCATTGGAAAAGGTTGCATTCTGCATACACAAAACACTCAAGAACTACACGATCATCCAGGCACAAGGCAAGAATCGTGGCTTGTTGGTCACACTGTTTCTCACCACCGAACATGGAAACATTGCAATCCATAATCTCTACAACTACGAGCGAGCTGCAGATATCGATGAGCTTATTGAAGCCTGTCGCGACAAAACCTACGCGCACATCATAATAGGCGACTTCAATCTACGTCATAAGGATTGGGAGGGTCCGACCTGCAGGAATCCACATCCGGAGGCGAATACACTTGTACAAAAGGCCGGGGCTATTGGCATGACCTGCGTCAACAAACCAGGCCACTTTACGTACTCTCGTGGTGAATTCAAGACTCCAGGTAATGAGTACAAGAGTGTTATCGACTTGGCATTCGTCAGCACTCTCCTTGTTGGCCATGCCTCGCACGATGTCTTGGATGGCGTTTTCGATTCAGACCACCGCCCCATTCGAGTCACATTGGATCTTCGGGTGGAGCGTAGAAGAAACTACCGTTATCTCTGGAGCGAAGTGACAAACGAAACTTTTGCAGACCTTGTGGAAAAATTGGCTGCAGACATGGACTGGACCGCACCCGAGTCTGAATCTGCCGCATTGCAGATGTTGCAAGATTTCATCATCAGAGTATTGGACCCCGCCGTTCGCGACCTCGTACCACGTGAATTGCTGAATCAACCTCTGCCAGTGAACCATCGTACCTGGACAAGTGTTGGTGTTCGGATCAAGAATTCTCGAAGCAGAATTGTCAAGCTAATGTCGGGACGACGCGGAGTTTGGTCTGTTGTCAAGCGAGCAGCTTGCTGGAGCAGACCTAAGCGTATAGCTCAGACACCAGCCTTCGAACACAGAGGCAGGATTTATACATCGGATTCAGACAAGGTACGGTGCTATGTTGAGTCTACATGGACCAGAACTCAGAGGAAAGGACCTGCCCGACCGTCATCTCCGTCACCTCTGACCGCTCCTTCCCGCTCTTCGTCAGAGTCACAGCAATTTGCAACAACACCAGCATCCTCGACTGGAGAATCACCATGTATGAGCCGTCGGTCAATACCGCCCTCAGATCTTCACAATATAACTGCTAGACCTGGCTTGCCCTTGCCAATATTCAGTTCCACGCGTCCACAGCACGTTGCACTAGACAAGCTTGAGAAAGACGAGCTCAAACGAATTTTGAAGGATCTACCCGACGGTAAAGCGTATGGTACCGACAACATTCCCTACGAGGCTCTCAAGAAGTGCCGCAAAGTCATCGAACCTATCTTGGAGACGATCTTCAACGCATTTTTACAATTCCGTTTACATCCGGACCATTTCAAGGAGACAATAACGTTCGTGATACAAAAGCCGGGTAAGGATGCTAAAGTGCCGACGTCATATCGTCCCATCGCCATACTGAACACCATTGGCAAAGTGTACGAGCGAATCATTGCGAATAGACTCAAAACCCTTGCGCAAACTCACAATCTTCTTCCCGCTACCCAGTTTGGTGCTCCCGGACGAAATACTACGTTGGCACTCGAGCATCTGCTCAACGGCGTCTATCGTGGATGGCTGTGTAAATCAAAGGTCAGTCTTCTTTCCTTGGATCTCAGTGGTGCCTACGATCATGTCGATCGTGAGCAACTTCTGGATACGTTAATCTCCAAAGGAATTCCTGATTGGTTGGTGCGAATCGTCTGGTCTTTTCTATCCAACCGCCGTAGCTTCATTCATATGCCAGGTTTCGAAGGCGACGAATACTGGATCGATGTCGGCATCCCTCAAGGAAGCCCATTGTCACCTCTACTATTCCTATTCTACTCCGCCCCTATCCTTGCAAAGTTTGGTAAGGAATACGGACCAGAAACAGTTGCCATGTTTTCTTACGTGGATGATACCTATGTCCTTGTCGGGACCGCGTCTTATGGCCGTAATTGCAAAATTATGTCTGAAATACACGCAAAACTGTACGAATGGGCCAGACAGAGGAATTTACGATTTTCTCCCGCAAAGTACAAAGTGATGCACTTTGTAAACAAGAACGAGAGGGACTGGAAGCAGCACATGAACTGTTCGGATTTGCCCTCTGTACCAGGATTCAGCAACATGACGGGTGCGCAGAAGAAGAAGGTCCTGCCCAGTGAACTTGTTGTACTCGGTGTCACTCTTGACAAGTGTCTGACATGGGTTGCGCACGTCCAAGCTGTAAGTATTTCCGTCACACTCTCAAGACCTCTACCAACACTTCAGCAGATACGCGAAAAAGTGAGGAACTGTTTGGAGAGTTTCAAAAGGTTCATAGGTTCAACGTGGGGCGCGGATCTCATACGTAATCGTCAGCTTTACTACGGCAATATACTCCCTACCATCGCATATGCTGCTCCAGCATGGTTCACGTGCATTCCATCAGTGCCATATCAGCCGAAAGCTACTCCTCTAACATATGGCATTGCAACTGACGCGTTGAAGATCCTGTGCTCACTGCAAATCGAGTGCATGCTCGCTCTTTCTGGTGCAAGGAGATTGACTAGCGCAAAGGTCTTGGAGAAAGAGATGCACATCCTCCCAATTGTCCTCCAGCTTCATCGGATATGTATGACACACCGATTGCGATGGCATCATAGCCCTGAGTATATTGCTATGAGAAATATCCGCATGTCAGCGTCAGGGCGTTTGCCGCTACCCAAAAAGTCCCTGGGACACTCGAAGGCCGTCCTTCAGACGCACCCTTACCAGACCCTGCGACGATGTGTTCAATTAGACGAGGTACGATTGCGTAAAAGAGTTGGAGCTGCTTTCGAAAAGAAGTGGGAGGATATCAAGAAGCGCAAAATGATGATAAAGGAGTACTACGACGAGATCGTACATTATGTTGCCAGTCTCCAATGGAGAAAGTTTCGACAGAGACGAAATTCCCACGAAAAGTTCAAGCATCCCGCTTATGAAGCAGCCTGGATGGATCATTCCTTACGATTTTATAACGGACTTACCCGCGCGCAAAGCTCGATTCTTATCATGATGAGGACCGGAAACATCGCGTTGTACGGCAATCCCATCCACCGGATGGTCAAGGGCTCGAAAGATTCGATGTGCAGGCAATGTGGTATGCACCTGGAGACGTCTGAGCACCTGCTTTGCCATTGCAAGAAGCTTCACATGGAGAGACAGGCTCTCACCACTGCTGCCGGACACAACAATTTCCATCTCTTCATGACCACCGATTGCGACCTCGCATCTGCTTGGGCAATCCGTTATTTTGGCCTTGAGCAGTTCAAGCATGTCAAGGATGACAAGAGGTATCAGTTTCCTTTGAAACGCTCTAATCGGCTTCGATAGACAGTTGTCTTTAGATACCTAGACACCGTAATAGACTTGTACCCTCTTAGGTTGGCTTCGGCCACCAATTTTGTAAACCATATTTTGTGACTATATTTTGTACTCCAGTTGATCTCACTAATGTAATACAGCAGTAAGTATGCGCCCCGCTCATTTTGTGCAGATTTGCTGATACTAAAGCAGACGGCCCCCCCTGCTCTCGTCGAGCAACTTTTCCATATGTAAGTCCCAGCATTAAACATTAAAGTGAGTACTCAGGAATGCTTCTCGTTAATTGTCGCTAACTATGACAAGCACTAATACCCCAGAACCCCGCAATCCGATGGATGGGCTCGCTGTGAGTGGAACCTTTGGTTGCGTTTGGGCATGTCAATTGACTAATTAATAGGCCGATAAGCCGCCTTGCTCGGCACCTGTGGCAGCAGGTGCTCCGCAAAGTATGTACTCAACTTCACATTGATGTCTCTTTACTGATCCAACAGAAAGCGGCTACATCGAATGCGTTGCCCTCAGGATCATCGCCATCCATTCGACGCTCGCGTATGTTCCTCAGCTTGAATCGCACATTCCTAACGCTGACTTGTCCAGCGGCTCCCAAAGCTCCTTGAGGAAATCCTCCTCATGGCCACGAGGATCCGTCACTGCGTAACACCCTGCTACCCAGTCTGCAAGCATGGCTGCCTGCTTGCTCATCGCCCCCTCATCTACATGAGGATCGTTCCTGGGGATGGAGTGACTCAGCAGCGCGTATCCCAGCCGGTACACCTGTGAGTTCACGTTTAGTAATGTACAAAGCCGCATTTCTAACATCTTTCTACAGCGATCGCGTCCACGATATGGAGGTATACGACGCCACTGCTGCCTCGCGGTATGATGTGACCGACGTTGTATTGCGCGAGGAGGTGGTTGGTGGCGAGGGAGCTGATGACCGACTCGCGGAACCGATTCGTAAGGATTTTCTCTCTCCTTTGAGCGTGGCTAATGAGCATGTAGTGCAATATTGACAACGTAGCGGCATGGCTGTCCATCCACCAGCCGCCTTTGAACATGGCTGGTGAGCCGACGTATCCAGGTAGGGGCTGGGATCTTGCTTGACAGTATTGCCGCTGATATGATATCTTGCAGATGAGCTCGAACGCGCAATCTTGACGACGTAGTTGGCCGTTGGGCTTCGATGGTGTCAAAGGTAAGGGGACAGTGAATTATGGATACTGCGAGTTACAGTTAAATGCTGATATGTTGAAGGCGACATGACGCGATCTGGCAAGGTTGAGTGGTAGGTCAGAATCACATGAGCGATGTTGTCCGGGAGGCGAAATGCTGACGACATGAAGTCAGGAAGAGCAGCAGGTCGCTGAGGAGAGGACACACCTCGATGGTCAGCTGATGGCTTTCCTCCCTGCTTTCTAGCAATACGCTAATGATCTCTTTAGTTCGTTGGATTGTGGGATGTTTGACGACGGTTGCGACGATGGCGATGGTGATGGCGATGCGGTAAGTGTTGCGAATACCAGGCTTCACCAGTACTGCCACTAAACATTGAACAGAAGATGTAAAGAGATGGAAGACTGCAGCACTCGGACAGTATGAGTCTGGCATTCTGAGCTACGAGGTCCAACAAGCTGACTGGGCATTGTAGCTGATGCGAAATCTGTCCTCAACCTGCGCGCGACCGCGCGCACTGCTTTTCCATGGTTGAGCGTACCACAAAAAGTACGTCTTTCTGTTGAACCATGCACTTGTGGCTAAAACTGACCTGTTTGGAAGTTATGCCCCTCGAGCCCGGCTCGGGGCGGGGTGGTCGTTGTTGTGTAAGCTTCGCCCGTCAAGAACTCGCATTTGCTATCGCTGACACACGTGCAGGCCTGAGGCAATTTTCGAGGAGTTTGGGTGTTGGTTGGTGGTGCCCGCACTGGCCTCGCTTAGGACCATCAAGTGAGTGCTTGCCCCGCGTTCGCCATTAATGATGGCCCGGCGTTACTTATGTCCTGGAGGTCTGACTGACTTTTTTCTAAGCCGACACCAGATCACGTGTTTTATACTTTTTTAACGCTTTTTTGTGCTGATGGTAGAGGGCAATTACCATCCCCTTTTGGTCTAGCTTGTTTTTTGATGATACCCCCAGTTTGCGTTTCATATCTAGAATAAATAAAAATGCGGTACCCTCCCGCTAAAAAAATTGCCCTGGTAGCGTATTGTGTAGCTGTACCGAGGAAATGCGCCCACGCTAGACTATGGTGGGGTATCACAACAATGGTGGCCCGAATCCAGGCGCAAATTGATTCAACGTGGCATCACGTCTGCTCGGTACGAAATGTATAGTCTGCAGTTTCCACACTCAGCACCTAATCTCCGCTGCACAAATTCAATCTGCGACACTGGCATCAGCCACCATGTCGTCCTCTTTTCTTCTTCTTCCACGCGAAGTCCGTGACATCATCTACGATTATTATGTCTGTTGCGATGGCGGATATGTATACGACTTCGAAGGGAACAAGCTCGTGCAAGCTAATGGGAACCACATTGAGCTAGCACTCCTCCGAACTTGTCACCAGGTCGCCAGAGAAATGAATGGGCTCGCCTTGCCTACGAACACGATTACTTTCTCGACCTTCTTCTCAGAAAAAACGCGCGGATCAGCTGGCCAATTTCATGCCGCCATATCAAGACAAAAGCAGGGCAAGGACATGTTTATCGAATTTTTGGGTTACAAGTTATATACGCCTCAAATGGCAACAGTGGCAACAGCACGGTATCCCATGTTCGAGCCGTACATCACTTCCCTGGCGTCGCAATCAGGACCTTTTTTTCGTCCACGAAATGGGAATCCCTACGGCCAGCCGCCGTCCTTATGGAGAGAATTCGCCGAATTCGCAGCCGGGGCAGATATTAGAATACGAAGAGGCCAAAACATTTCTTGTAGGCGGGCCTTTCGAGAAGGCTGGCCCAGTGGCTACCGATGCCTTCTTTGAAACATGGGCTATTCCCAATGACGCAGAACTGAAAGAGTTTACTCAAACCCATGAATTCGCTAAAGACTATGCGGACTACGTCAAATATACCTATTTCTGCGGCGTCATTAGCCATTCGATTTCTCCAGTCGGCTCTCACCTAGGGACACTGGGCACAGATAACGAACTATAGGTTTTGCGCGAAAGGACTACGAGTTCGGGTTGGCGTTCCCAGAAGAACATGCTAGGGGACTCATACCATTTTGCGTGGAAAATGCAAAGTTACGCGTGGAGCGTTATGTCAGCTTGTGGCAGAATGCTTTGCCTGTCGCACGACAACTTGACTATACCGGCGTGGACCTCGGCTGGTTACGTTGGGTTACAGACCGAAGTGACAGCGATATGCACCTTTCGGATCCTGAATGGTTGCGCAACGACAAACTCGCAGCTCGAGATATCACAAAGTCCATCGGAACCTGGATTGTAGAAGCTCATCGCTTGCCTTCACTCGGAATGCCTGAAGGCTCATACACGCTTGTATTCGACGGAGGTCCAATGCCAGAGAAAAGTACTGCGGCATTTGCTGTTGTTCAACGAGATGCGGTGTGGCAGGCCGCCTTTACTACCAGGTTCCCTCGTGGCTCAACGCCCGAACACCCATGGTTAAACATGTGTGCTCAACCTGGCTACTTTTTCGAATCGCTGCCTGACGCGATTCGACATATTACAACAACAAGCTCATTGATAAGGTGCAACTTTGATCCTGGGCAGCTACATATTGATAGTGCGAAAGCTCTGGCTGACGCGCGAGTTGGATGGTCGTTGGAAAGATGGCAAGATGACTGGGATACTCACGAGCCACGGGAATTTGAAACCGAGTCGCCGTTGCCGCCGTGGTACAAGCTTCGATGGCAGCGCGTCATGCCGGTACTTTGACACAAGTTCTGATTGGATGGAAGTGCTCGTGTGCGATACGACTACTCAATATATAGACCGTACTATGCTAGATGCTTTACTTAATGAAGATGTATGTATCAGTTAGGTTGACTGTAGGAGAAGAGCTATGACCACACTGAGACTGGAGTGTGACCAGCGCGCCGAAACGCGTCACCAACACGCGTCATTTATAACAGACACGCATCCCCTATCCCGAAACAGCTCTCCATTCCTCTATGTACACTGATCCTGAACCAATTTTCTACGTACGTGTCCAGTCAAAGCAATCGAATCGCTGCAGAGCCACCGCACTCTAGACAATATGAGGAAGGGTCCATATTCCGACGCAGTACGGGATATTCCAGGCTCTGAGTCGTGGCTCGTGATCAACACAGATGGAAGCTCCTTCCGCAATGGTAAACCTGATGCTATCGCTGGCGTTGGTGTCTACTTTGGGCCCAATGACAAAAGGTAAGGTCCCGAGCACCAGGGATGTCGACAAGCCCAACCAGTAAAGGTAACTTAGATGCGATGGTGAAATGGTGTGCTAAATAGTGACAGGAACACAGGACAGCCGTTGGGTCCTGGTAAGCAAACTAACCAACGCGCTGAACTAATGGCTGTCAAAATAGCCCTCGAGAAGGCGCCAATCGATCAGGTAGTTCTCATCTCCAGCGACTCCAGGTACGCGATCAATTGCCTCACCGATTGGCTGCCATTATGGAAACAGAGAAGCTGGAAGAAAGTCGAGGGAATCTTCAAGGAGAATACAGAGCTGATACAGTCCATTGTGAAGCGTATGGAGACAAGGCAGAAGTTCAACGCATTGACTTACTTCTGGTGGGTCAAAGGGCATTCGGGAGATCCAGGCAACGAGTTTGCAGACAAGCTTGCTGTCAAGGGATCCAAGTCAGTACTGCATAGTATTGAGTGGGCCTCGCTAATCATTCTCAGATGCGCGTGGGGCCAGAGAGACCGTCAGCAGAAAGCTGACAGAAGACGACAAGCTCGTATAACCCGCTATAAGACGTTCGTTGCGATCCACCTACCCGTCGAGCGCCGAAGGATACACTATGTACGACGAGAGGAAGTGTCTCAATACACACAAGGATCTGATTGCATCTTCGGGGTGTTCAACAAGCACTTGGCTGCTGCCTGGTTCCGAGACCATGGACCCCAGCGTCACGTGGAGAGACCCCAACGTCCCGCAAAGAGAGCGCGCTCGAAAACTGCAGGCAAGCCGAAAGCCGGTGTACCGAAACCAAAGGAGACAGAGCCGCAAGAGACAGAGTCGCCAAAGATGGCTGCAATGGCGAACCAAAAGAAAGGCACAAAGACGGTTCGATTCGCATTACCAAATATTTCTACCGAGCCTGAAATGGCGCATGATGCCATGGAAGTATGTGCCAAAGCTTGATCGTCTTGTGGGACACAACACAATAAAAGAACATCAAATTTGGCTCGCATATCTATGTTCAAAGGGAAAGAATTGTACGAGTAGGATCGGCGTTCTAGTCCCAATTAAAGTGCGTCTATTATACCACATCGTCCATTTCAAAGTACAGCCCCCAGTGATTCTTGCACCCCGGATTGAACGCACTGCCACACGCGGTACATTTGCTGCCACTCTTCATATACTCATCCACAGTCAAGACATGCTTGCAAGAGCCACAAAGTACCGCGTCTTCGCCTCTTTGGGTACGCGGCCAGGTACCGGATTTGTGGGCTTCGCATTCGTCGTGGCAGCTAATGCACGCGTAGAATTTGCTGCAGCAATAGTGCTTGATGGCAATGATGTCGAGTGGTGAGTGCCAATGAGCACATTGTGTCAAAGGGGTGATGGAGATGCCGTGGACTGTGGGTGGCATGACGGGTGGTGTGAAGCATGTGGGTCTGTGAGTTGGCGAAAATGTCGGAGAGGGTAGGGCTGAGCTAGCTCGGGAGGATCACTTGCTTCTTCCGGCTGCACGACGTCCGGAGCTTTAGAATTGTTTATCTGCAGCTAATGTGAATGGTCAATAATGTGTGCAATTATCGACATTCGGCATTTCGCATACATGTGTAGAGGCACATAATCTGCATCATCCAAGAACTGACATGATTCGCATCGACAGAGTTTTTAAAAAGTATGGGGATTCGGGCGTGGGATCCGCTTCTCCATTGTTTTTCTTTGCACCCACGGCCGTGCCAGAAGCCAGTCCGAAGCTCGCCGAAAGCCTCAGCGCAAGTCGTCACTTGCCCCGCCCCCGCCGACCTCACAAGTCCAAACACTGGAGCTCACCTCGACAACACTGCACAACTCCAGACTTTTGCTTTCACGCCCATAGCAGCTAAACCTCTCCACTACCTGCAAATCCAAACAATACCGCAATCATGGCTCGTCAATTCTTCGTCGGCGGCAACTTCAAGATGTATGTTACGACGCGGGCAGTGAGTACCGCATGTGCAGACAGGAGGAACTGACAAAGTCTAAAGGAACGGAACCATCAAGTCCATCAAGGAGATTCTTGGCCACTTGAGCCAGGCAAAGCTCGACCCCAACACTGGTACGTCCCATTGAGCCCATGACGCAGCAATTCACCAACACAACCCACAGAGGTCGTCGTCGCCCCACCAGCCCTCTACCTCCTCCTCGCCCGCGAGCACCTGCGCCCCGGCCTCGAAGTCGCCGCGCAAAACATCTTCGACAAGCCCAGCGGCGCCTTCACCGGCGAGATCTCCGCCGACCAGCTCAAGGACAGCGGCATCACATGGACGATTCTCGGCCACTCTGAGCGCCGCACCATCCTGAACGAGGACGACGCGTTTGTTGCGTCCAAGACCAAGGCGGCGCTGGACTGCGGGCTCGGCGTGATTCTGTGCTGCGGTGAGAGTCTCGAGCAGCGCGAGGCAAACAAGACCATCGAGGTTGTGACCAAGCAGCTCAAGGCGGTGGCGGACAAGGTCAAGGACTGGAGTAAGATTGTCGTTGCTTACGAGCCTATCTGGTGAGTCCACGCAATTCCTGTCTACCTTATCTTACTCTCAAGCTAACACCGTGTAGGGCCATTGGCACCGGCAAGGTCGCGACCACGGAGCAGGCACAGGAAGTCCACAAGGCGATCCGCGAGTGGCTCCAGAAGGAGGTGTCCGCCGAGGCGGCAGAGAAGACGCGCATCCTGTACGGCGGCAGCGTGTCGGAGAAGAACTGCAATGAGCTGGCCAAGCAGCCCGACATCGATGGCTTCCTGGTCGGCGGTGCTAGCTTGAAGCCCGCGTTTGTCGACATCATCAATGCTAAGCAGGCATGAATGCATGGCGGTGAGGCAAGGTTGTAGACATCGATGCACGAAGACATGACCCCAAGGCTATTTCAATATAGAAGTCGAATATCACTCGGAAAGAGCGACAGTCTCAAGATTTAGTTGTCATGCTCAATTGATCCCAATGTGCGCCGTGTATGCTATTGTGTTTTGTACAAGTAGATATGCAGCATCTTCATATCTGCACCTTTGCCCCATGGAACGGATCCCAAATACCCCTCACGCTCTCGTTGATACTGGTCACAGGCTTGCCCGTCTTCCTATTCTTCTCACCCGTGCTGTTCCGTAGAATCTCCGCCTTCTCCCGCACGCCGTCGTTTTGCAGATTCTTGACGCAGATCGCTCGCTGCGTGCCGTTGATGTAGTGTGCGATGATGACGGGATGCTTCCGTGGCCGCGGGCTGACGGTGATTTCGATCTGTGGGCTGCTACGAGCGAACGCCGGCAGCGAGGATTTGATAAAGGCGTTCATGCCGCGCGAGGAGCCCCACCAGTTGCAGTAGTGGAAGCTGAGGGCCTTGCAGGGCAGGATGAAGGAGCCGACGCCATTCTGTGCATTGTTAGCATTGGTGCTTGAGGGATACCAATATGACATGCCTGCGATTTGGCGACTGCTTTAATGGCCGACAGAGGCATATTGACTTATGTGGCGCTTCCGCAACGATGCAGACGCCGTTGTCGACGTTGGAGAAAGTTGAGTGTTGCGCCGTCACGTGCAGGATCTGGCGCCTGCCGCTAACGTGAACCTGCCGTTCCCTCGACATGCCTGCTGCAGACCAACCCTTCATCGTCACTCCCTCCCCCCTTTCCCTCCAACTACATCACATCGCCAGCTGGAGCGCATTCCAGCGACGACTCCAACATGACGGACAAACTCCCGCCGATGCTGCTGAACCTGTTCGCCCCGCGGCCGCCGCTGCGCTGGGTCGAGCCGTCGGACCACGCGCCTGAGAAGCGCTGCACGCCCAAGATCTCCGGCATCGGCCAGTATCTGCAGGCGATGAAGGAGTACAAGGACAACGACGGATACGTGCCGACCGACAGCTGGCTGCAGAAGCGCGACCGCAAGAAGCTCGAGAAGAAGGAGAAGCAGGAGAAGCTCCTGAGTGAAGGCATCCATCAATGTACGTCACGCACCACGCGCGATCTCTCACCTGTTCACGCTAACACGCCACAGACAAGCCCAGTGAAGACCCTAAAGTCCAGGGCGACGCTTTCAAGACTCTATTCGTGTCCCGCCTTGCTTACGGCGTCACGTCTGACGATCTGGAGCGCGAATTCGGTCGCTACGGTCCGATTGAGCGCATCCGCATCGTCGAGGACATTACTGCGCCGCCTGACGCGCCGCCGAAGAAACGCAAGCGCGGTTACGCCTTTATTGTCTACGAGCGCGAAAAAGACATGAAGGCCGCCCTACAAGGAAACCGACGGCATCAAGATCAAAGATCGGCGCGTCCTCGTCGATGTCGAGCGCGGTCGCACAGTGTCTGGCTGGCGCCCTCGCCGCTTTGGTGGTGGTCTTGGTGGTCGAGGCTACACCAAGGGCCCTGCGGCTCGAGGCCAGCCGGGTCCTGGAGGGTTCGGTGCACCAGCTGGGTCCGGAGGATTCGGTGGCCGTGGTGGAGGCTTCCAGCAGAGCGGCTTTGGCGGACGCGGTGGTGGTCGCGGAGGCTTTGGAGGAGACCGAGGCTTTGGCGGCGGCCGAGGAGGTGGATTCGGCGGCGGTCGTGGAGGAGGCTTTGGCGGTGGGCGAGGTGGAATCGGTTACCAGTCTAACGGCTACAGCGGTCCTCCAGACGGCGCACCCGCTGGCCCCCGAGGCCCACGAGAGGGAGGTTTCGGCGGCGGTCGCGGAGGTGGAGGTGGTTACGGCGGAGATCGAGGCTCAGGCAGCCGACACGGCGACGACCGACGAGGCGGCGGCGGTGGGTATGATCGCGGCTCCAGCGGCGCAAACAACGAGCCCCTCGGCAGCAGAGAGCGCGCCCCACGGGACGGCGGTCGAGACGGTGGGTATGGCCGCGACGACGGCTCGCGAAAGCGCGGGTACGAAGGCGACAGCTACGACGACCCCAGACAACGAAGGAGGTATTGAGCGTGCCTGCGCCAGGGTTTGTCACAAAAGGTTACCTCCCTTTCTTTCGCCTCTTGGTTCTGAGTCAACGAGGGTAAGACGAGCGATATCGAAACTCTTGACGTTCCGAGGACAGATACCATCCGATCAGAGGGTAAGCACCGCACATCGACATCACCACTGTTCCTCGATCATTCGGCTTCTTCTGGTAGGATCTAAGGTACAGCGCACAACACACCATTCGACACATTTCGGGAGTTTTACTTGGACACGTACATCTGCGGGTAATGGGAAGGGTAGGGAACCAAAGGTGAATTTTCTATCAAGTGTCTTATTATCCTTTTTTTCCTTTGGTAGGTATGTAAGTATCAAGTGACACCCGTCAAGGTAAGATTAGGCAGGTAAGGAACTTCTTCTAGTCCGAGCTTGATGATCTTATCGTGGTGCTTTGGGTACATGCCTGATTCGCAAAAGCTGTGAAGGGGGAGTAGGTGGATGTGTATATTAGTATTGTCCGTAGCATGGAAGTCGAGTACCGTGTATTCAAACTTGCAGATGATGTCACATGGTGCACTTTTCCTCTGCTTGATGAAGCCCAGTGCAAAGCAATCCGCGTGCAAATGCTCGGTTCGCCTTTGAAATCGTCTGTACATTGCATCCCTAAAACCCAATCATAGCCTAAACATGAAGCTTTCAAACTCCGGGTATACAACGCCTCTGCCTCTCGACCCCATCATTACGATACGCCGTACATGTAACATCCAGCCCATCACGTCGTGCATATAATATCCGCCCACCCCACCGTCCACCTCACACCCCCCATAATCGCGACCGCCAGCCCTAATCCGACCCCCACACTCGCCGCCCCGTAGACATACGCATGCCTCCTCTTCAGCCCATCCAGCTCCGCAATCCACGTCGACACCGTCGTCAGCGCCCCGCAGAACCCGTCCTGCACGCCCTGCAACACCTGGCAGCCAACCAGCGTCCCGCCCACGACGCCTGTGTGCGCCAGCGACACGCGCTGCAGGTCGTAGCTCATGCCCAGCACCGCGGTGCCGAAGATGTTGACGGCGAAGGTACCCAGCGGGAAAGTGGGTAAGAGCGGGTTGAGCAGTTTCGACATGTAGAAGCGCAGCAGGCAGCCGAGGGGTGCGAAGACGCATGCGAAGAGCGCTTGCGAGCGCCATGCGTTCTGTGGGGGGAGGATGGAGAGCAGGATAGCTGCGAGCCAGCATCCGGGGCCTAGCAGGACGAACAGCGGGTCGAGGAAGCGGCGGGTGAGGCGGAAGGGGAGGGTGGGTGTGATGGGGTTTAGGAGGATGGCGAGGTGCGAGCCGGTTTTCAGCGCGCAGTAGCACAGCGAGAGGGTGGTGAGGATTGTGGCGGGCACGGCGAGGATTGAGTAGGCGTTGTTTCTTGGTGCGGTGGCAGTCAGGGATGAGGGAGAAGGGGAAGGGTGGTATTCAGGCGCCTTGAGTTCGTTTGCCAGACTGAGGAATACGTCGCGGATGAATGAGGAGAAGGACGTGAAACTCCCACAAAACCCTGTCGCGAGGCCAATGTATAGTGGAATCGTCTTTTTCACCTTTCCATGTCTTTTCTTGTCGTGAGTTGTTTCTGGATCGCGATCGCCCCATTCCGCGGCGAATAATGATTTGTCTTCAGCCAGGAAGCCGAAGATAAATGTGCCCGCGACGTTGGCCCACAGCTCGGAGAATGTTACGGGCGCGCCCGGGTAGAATGTCAGCGCTTGCAGACCGAGACGCGCGAGCGTGCCCCAGATTGCGAAGAAGATCAGATACGAAATCGTGTATAATTCTGTGGCGTATCTCGCCTTGCGCTGGGCGGCAGGCGTGGGTTTCGAGCGCACGTATGCATGCATGCCCTCCCCATTGGACGAAGTGATACTCGGCAGCGCGGTGATATCCAACTGACTTCCCGCCGCAATATTCCTCACCCCCCTCTTCTTCTCACTCTTCAAATCCGCAAGCGGGACCGTCGTCGACGACTCCGTCTGTCCGTGCCCATGTGCCAAGAGCTGGTATGGATTCGCCCACGTCTCAGGCGCTAGCAGCTCTTCTAACTTTTGCGCATCCTCAGGGTCAGGGGCAGGTCTGCGAGAACTGTAGGGACGCGCGCGGCTCTTGCCTTTGGCATTACTGCTTGCTCTTGAGCGCGTGTAGGGGACGTTTGGCGCGGGCGACGACGCATCCGCGCGGTCCGGGGAGAGGTCGAAGTCGTTGAGATGGCGCTGGGACTGTGGGCGCGAGCGGGAGCGCGTGCTGGGGAAGGAACTGCGGTCTGAGCGGAGCGAAGAGCGCTGTTGGTTGAAGTGGGATGCGCGCTTGGACGTGTCTTCGTCGTCATTGTTGGTGTTGTGATCCGCCATTATGCGTGATGACGCCTCTTTTTTCCTCAGCGAAGAGAGAAGACGAAAGGACTTCGCTGCGTCTTGTGAAGTACCCCCGACGACGACACCTGCGAAACAAAACACACGCCACGAAAAGACTATTATATCATGATTCGGGCGCACGGTCAGGGCACCACGACATGATGTCGACAGCTACTTTGGGCAGAACTGTGTATGCGACGGATTGCCGTTGGTGCCTTTTTCTCCGATACGTGCAGGGATGGGCCTGTTAAGCTTTATGCGGGTGACCTGGAATAGCGCGTCGGACCCTGCCGGCGAGGCTGTCGTGTTATCGCGGGCATGTGGGGAGCTATGACTATCCCACCTTCCCAGCTCGACGACGTGTTGTAGTACTTATACCACAAACTCCCTTACTTCAAACACGAACAATTGCGACCATGGCTCCCTCTGATCTCCCAAAGAATGCACATGTCTCAGTCCACCCATGTCTCCAGGCCAAGCTCTCCCAACTGCGCTCTGCATCAACCGGGTCCCGCGATGCGCAAACACTCGTGCATGAAATTGCCCTCATGGTTGGGTACGAAGCGCTCGGAGCAAGTCTAACAGCGCAGCAACAAGGAACCGTATGTTCTCCTAATACCACCTGTTCCTCTGGCATATAACCCCCACTTCTAATGTCCGACCAAACCACGCATCAAACATAACACACGCTGATATACCAATGCCTCACAGGACAAATCTCCCCTCGGCTACTCGTACCCCACGCACACCACATCGCCCTCGCCCTCCTCCATATCCCTCGTCCCCATCCTGCGCTCTGGCCTCTCCATGACCACAGCGCTATCCTCTCTCCTCCCCGCCCCCGTGCCCATCCACCACCTCGGCCTGTACCGCGAAAAGTCCACCCTCCAGCCCGTCGAATACTACAACAACCTACCCTACCACACCGCCACGTCCAACACGCCCATTCCCGATTTGGCAATCATATGCGACCCGATCATCGCGACGGGCGCGACATGTTGCGCGGCCATCGACACGCTCAAGGACTGGGGCGTCAAGAGGATTCTTGTGGTTAGTGTGCTTGCGGCGGTGGAGGGATTGAGGAAGGCGTGTGAGGAGTGGGAAGAGGGGGTTGAGGTGTGGGTTGGTGGGTGTGATGAGGGGGTGGATGAGAGGGGGATGATTAAGCCGGGGCTCGGGGATATTGGGGATAGGCTGTTTTTGACAATTGGGAAATAGATTTGAATTGATGTTGATGTCTATGGTTCGATATGGTCTGGTGGTGCTTCGACTGTGCTGTTACTGTAATGCATTAGGTAATGACAGCTGACAGTCGGTCGTCATTCTCGGCAATCTTTCACCAAATACCCGTAAGCTGGACCGCGGAAGTGTTATCCTGGAAATTCTGAGATCTTCACTTCACCGATGGCGTCTCGCTCCTCGAGGTGCACGTGTTGGTGAGGATAGACTAGGTAGGACAATCGGCGACGAACCGGAAGTTCGCTTCCGCCTGCCAAGACACTAATTATGCTAAATCTGACCTCTTACACTGGACTGCAGTTACTAGCTTCGTATACACGCATTTCACACTACGCTATGAGGATGCCCGGAGTGGATAGTCTAACCATTCGGTGAACGTGAGTCTGACAAGCTGAGGCACAAATCTCTTTCTGACTGCCAGGGTGTGTCTTAATCCTGGAATTGCATGACGACGGTGAAGTCGTGCTTCACGACCTACTACAATTTAAGAATTTACAAACATGCGATACAGTCCTCAGAGCGCGAAACTCGCACACAAGAGCGAGGTCTAACATACCAGATTTTAGCACGGGTGCCTGCGCCTTCGCCATGCGTCCCGAGCCGCCTTCTGCACATGGAATCCATCTAACCATCTCGACGAGCGAAGACGCATTAGCTAGGCCCAAGAGGCGTTAGAAGTCAGCTAGAATCATCTACACAGAATCCTTCGATCTAGATGTGGAGGGTAAGACGGGACGGTTGGCCTGACCAGTGATCCGGTCACCGAAGTCACGTGCCGACCATCTCATCACCGACACCTCAGAACATTGAAGTCGAAATGTCTAAGTCCATCATTCCTATCTGAAAGAATATGATATAAATATCTCCTCTTCATCCCCCCAAATAATTCCTCACCACGCTCATCAACAATCACTTCCACATCCAACCACCACTCTTCAAACAATCTTTCGCTTCTCCCAAAGCCCAACCAACCCAACCATCAACATGCAGTTCTCCACCATCTTCCTTGCCGCTATCTACAGCGTTGCTGCTCTCGCCGCACCCTCCCCCGTCGCTGATGCCACCGCCGAGGTCGAGCGCGCCATCCTCGAGCGCCGCGCATGCCGTGACGCCACCTACCGATGCGGTAACAACAACCCCGAGGTTTGCCAGTTTGGCATCTGGATGCTGGCTGCCAAGTGCGGTGGCGGACAGAAGTGTGTCATTGCTAATGGCGCGCCTTACTGCCTTTAAGCGCTGAATGGAGCTTGGAAAGGTATGTTTTTGATTGAGCCGGCTTTGAATCAGTGACTGACGGGTTTCAGGATCTGCAGTAGTCCAACACTATGCGGATGATCAGAGGGATTGGAGGAAATGGCTGGAGGGATTGGAGAAAACTGGGTTGGTGTTGTGATAGACAAGGATTGACGATACTGGCTTGAGTTAGCTATAGTTGTTTGCACGGAAAGAACATTTGCTGCTCACAATTCTTGGTTTTCTTTGCCGAAAATGCGCCTTTGATCTGATTTTCAATTTGACCTTTATACACTTGACAACCAGGTTTTTTCCTATTCGCTTCAGCGTCTACATTAATGCGAAGATGGCTCACTGGTCGTTACTCACTTGACCCCCGCTGAGCTCACGCGCTGATTCTTCAACCGTGCTTACCACTACTGAAATTTCCGAGCCCGACGCAAATGCAGATTCAAACACACTTGCTAACATGTGATCTCCTAGGCACGAGTTTAATACGTGTTTGACAGAACCTGTCTGAACAAATTTCTGCGTCCAAACATGAAAATGCTTGCGATCTCTGTGTCGCACAAAATTTTACCTGTCACGACTCCAACGATGAGACAAAAGAGTTACATATCCAGCCAAGTACAGTCTGTTCCATGAACCTAGCAACGAATGCGACTCCGAAGAGTTCTCATGCCAACTTCCATTATGCGGTCATTGTCAGCATCTTCGAATTCGATGTCTTGCGCTATGCTTCCCTCGATTCGACCAGGACTTGAGATTCCCGCTGCGATCACGCAGGGAGACATCAGGTAATTGCGAATTATGCAAGTTTTGGGATGCAATCAGCGTTGTTGAAGATGAGACGCGAGCGACCCCTGGGAATCAATCGCACAAACTGCACGAACTGTGTAGTGTTAGATATGGCTCTTCGAGATCAACACAAGCTGTGAAGTCTTTCACATATATGGGACCATGGCACCATGACACCAATTGGGGTAAACCAACTGCTAATGCAGCGACCGCGTCCGAACCAGTCAGTTGGACCACTCTGGCACCAGTATTTGTACCAAGCTGGAAAAAGGGGTACGATTCAGAATTTACTATGTAGCCAGACGGACATGGTTGAATGGCTGCATCCGAGCAAAAGCGCCACCATGGCTATCTATTGACTGCACACATAAGCAATACATGGCGAGGCTGGAGAAACAATAGTCGATACCGCTCTCTCGCTATTGGGAAAGCACGTTTCAGAGTCATGATGATGTCTTCGACAAAACCAATCAAGCATCATTGAGCGACCCAGGCTCACTGATGGTATACACACACACAAAACGTCTTTTGGTTTGGATTGGAGAGGCCGAAATCAACACATGTACCACGGTCCCCGGCAAGGAATGCGTCCCATCATTATCTGTAACAACGAACACGAGACTGCTGGTACTTGTTAGTACAGCAACATCTCCGCTCAGCGGCTTCAACATTTGGACAAAATGCACGCAACTTTCATTGCCCTCTCAACTGACAGCTGCGGCTTGAGCCTAACCATGCTCAATTACACACACGACTACCTTTCCGGAATATCGATCAGCGCGTATTCCGACCGTTTTTATTGCACGGAATAGAGCAAGGTTGATGAATAACACATCTTGGAGTGCCCTGGGCATTCTGACTTCCGCTCCTCAGAATATGACCCAGAAAAGTTTGGTTTTGTTCTTTATGTATACGTTGAGAGGCCTGAAGAAGAACTTGTCAGAGCATATATCCACCATTCCCCAAAGCTGAGCTGTCGTGACATCGACAACGATCTACTTCACGACGTTCGGGAGCCTCCGTTTCTGTGGATGATGCTTATAGCGTGGTGTAGTGTTTGAGCACATGATGGGATGATGAAGTAAGCAGCTAATATGTGAGAAAGTTTTCTCCTCCAGGTCTTAGACCTCACCGACAGGGATCGCGAGGAATCTACATGCTGAAATACACTACTTGTCCCACCGACTGCGGGTCAACTCCTAACTCACGAGGCATGAGGAGGTGCATATCCAACAATAGCTCCAAGAGAGGACGATGGCGTGCATTCAAATGTGAATTAGAGAATTGGCATTGGCAGGATATACATGAAGAGGTGGGTAGAAGCTTCACCCGCTTTTGAGGCACTTGTGCTTGTATGGTCGGTTGGCAGGTTAGACAAGCTCGTGTCCAATGGAATACGGCTGTGGTGGAGGAGACGTGGCGCTTGCCGCTAACTCAATCGAGTATCTTCGTTTCCTTTAAAACCTTGCAGCCTCCTTTGTTCGAAAAAGCATACTACTCCTCTACCTAGCGAAGCATAGTTCCTTTGAATTTGGAACTTGGGACATGAGCCGAGCAGCTGAAGTTAGCCTAATTTTCCGTGAAGCCACGTTTTAAACAGCATGCCCAGCTGACTAACGTTGAGTCATGTAGCGAATACGAGATTCGGGTGGCATGTTCGGTCGAGAATAGAAGTACTACGACCTTTCAATTTTCGCTCTCCTCACTCTCTTCAGCAATGGCTTTCGTCCGCCTGCAATGTTTGCATTTTTTAGTCCTTGGCTGGCTCGTTTCGATGTCTGCTTGCACAACCATTCGCACACGGGACGACACTGCTACTCCAGCACCAAAGATGATGCTTGCGCAGTATAAAGCTGTCCCATCCCCAATACGCCCGCATCCAGCTTTTGCTACTTGCGGACTACGCCACGAATCTCCACTCGAATTCAATACGAGACTCTTGACCACAAGGAACCATCTCCATCACCTCGTCCTCAATTATGACGGTACTTCGGAAGGAGCGTACTATATCCCAGACGAAGGATCATGGATATACATCACGACTTCCCGCAAGGACGAACGCACCAAAATGGTGGAAGAATTCGATGCTGCATTTCAAGACATCCTAGAACGGCAAGACCTTGCATCGTTTCGGAAGAACTTCTACTTCTACTTCACAGACTGCGCGACGAACTTTGAGCTCTGCGACAGCGGAATACCATTTTCAACACCTCGATTTAGAAGGGGGACTGAGCGCGTCAAACTCACGGCACCAAGCTTGATCTATCTCCAAGACAGTGGACCGTGTACCTCTGGCGAAATCGGATGCGGAGAGTGGTGTGACTGGCGCTGCAAAACAACGTATCATTATTTTGAACTCTCTGCCCAACGATTGCTATGGAGCAAAAAGCTCAGAGTTACAAGCACGGATGGAAAGAGGACTGTTGTACCGGCGTTTCCGAGTCCCAGTGCGCAGATGCGAAGCATAATGCTGATCTACAAGGCACTTGACACGTTTCACATTGGGCCGAATCAAGGCATATTGAGGGTCAGTGTTGAGCCCCGTGAACGCGATGGTACGCGGAGACGAGTTGCCAATGTTTCAATGCAGTTTTGATATTTAATTGCTATTGATTAGCTGCGGTATATCTGGTAAGCTCACATCTGTCATAGTATTTAGCATCGCACATCTGATATCTGATCTACGCTATAGGCCTGTGCCAAAAAGAAATTGCGAACGTAGACTTGCATCACCATGATACTCACCGTAACTTGGTTATGATTCGCCCATAGACCCTAGGCAAAGTTATTGAGCACCTTGCACTTGACTTCAGAAGTTTTGTTAAAACGGCGCATGCGCCGACTCGCGAAAAGCCTAATTGATGTAAACATGAATTCAGAACATATTATGAAAACGGACGCCGCATGTATAAAAGGTTGCCCTTAAACGTTGTACATAATTCATCTAGTTGTCATGGGCAAGACCGGCCGTAGGAATGGAACTGCAATTTTTATTCCCACATTCTACAACTTTGACTTGACAACCTCCTCGCGTCCCTTTAGCCCAGGATGTTGGGTGATAATCGGCCTCGTCACCGCAAAGAAAGCCGTTCCGCCCGACTTGCTTGAAAACTGTGCCTTAGACCCAACATAAAAGAACGCAAAGTCGCCAGCAACAAGGTGATGCGTCACGCCTGTAGCCTCGTCCAAGACGTCGATTTGGCCGTTGAGCACGTACTTGGTCTCCTCGTAGTCGTACGTCGGAATGTTGCGGGTGGGTCCGGGCTGGATGCGGTAAAAGCCCGAAGTCAGGTAGCTTGGTGAGTCCTTGGTATTTGTGCGGATGCTTTGGAAGTTAGCTGTATGTAATTTGAAGAGCTGTGGGAGGACCCGTGAAGAGCTTACGAGTGGAAGTCTGCGACGATTGCGCTCTCGCCCTCGGGGATTGGGATGAATTCTTGGCCTGCGCCTTTGATGACGGTAAGAGGGACGTATTTTTGAGACACTTAAAGACAGTAAGAATTAGTTGCGAGTTAGTGAATGTCGGTACATCGACTTACTTTTGAAGAATGATGGAGTGAGAGTGCAAGTGGTTGGCGAAGTTATCACAAGGGACCACAGAACATTTAAAGAACTTGCGAATGTTCTCGTGCTCTTTTACTAACTCTCACTTACGATTATTTTAGGTCTATTGATGCATTTGGTTGCTTGTACCCCTTCTTCTCCACTCCGTGATATTTGTCTTGATCGGGTAAGTCGTGCCGGGCAACCTAGCGTAGACAATCTGATCCTACATTTTCGTCCCACATGGATCCACATTCGCTTCTGGCGCAATATTGGACCAATAAGTATTCCTTTGTGCATCTACTCGGTCAATTGTCATAGGTCTAAGAAATGATGTTCAGATTAGGGTTGCGCTAGTGCAGGGGTGCGGTCGATCTTGCCATACTATCTATGAACCAATACCAGATGCACTTGCACTTATCGACGTCTATCGTGATTCAAAATAGTCGCTACTCGCATACAATGGAAATTGGCCTTCTATCTAATCTGCGCTATGAGTATGCTACTCAATACCCTGGGCCATCTTCAACAAATGCTGGTCATGATTCCGGGCTGCCACAAGCGAGATGCCGACGGGCAATCCATTCGCACCGAAACAAGCGGGAATGTTGATGACGGGTACATGTGAACCCTACAGCGCATTAGCACAATGCGCTAGGGATTGTATGCGTAGGACTCACCGTCCACAACGTATTGAACACCGGACTTCCTATGTCACCAAGCCCAAGTGGAGCTTCATCGACCGTACTCGGAGCTACAATAACCAAGTACTTCTTTGCCAGTTCATCTAAACCAGGTCGCATGCTACTGAGCAGATCCGTGGCATTCAGCCGCTCTTTTTGTGTGATACCATTTGCGTCCTCCACAATGCCGCAAATATCTGGCGTAAGCTTGTGCTTGTGCATCCGATACTCGCTGAGCAGTGCCACTTGGGCTTCACCGCTCATGATGGCCGTGTGTAAATGCGCCAGCACTCTTGCATCATCGATAGGGGAAGGTAATGACACCTCTTCAACCTTAACACCATTCTTTCCAAAAACCACCCTAGCCTTTTCCATGACGGTTTTCGTCCCAGGTCCAGTTTGATCTCACATAGGCGTCTTTATCTTCGCAACTGACATGTCTTCAAGCGCAACCTCATTAGGCGATTCATCATCGTCGATATCGAATACAGCTGCAAGCAGCTCCAGATCTTGAATGCTGCGCGCAAAGGAGCCGGTGGTGTCGAATTTATTTGAAGATCGGGCCTGACCAGCCGTGGAAATATTGTTGTGTGATGGCTTCCTTGCAAAGATGCCAATATACGATGCTGGGCGAATGATGCTGCCTCCAGACTGCACTCCGATGCTGAAGGGAACTTGCATATCTGTTACAGCAGCGGCTGAGCCAGCAGATGAGCCGACTGGTGTTCGATTGGGGTCATGAGGATTGGTTGTTGCAGGTCCCGAGTTTGGAACACCGAATTCTGTGGTGCTCGTCTCACCTAGAATGGTGGTCAACCGAGAAGAATATTAGAAGTGGTAATTGACTGAACAATGATGAGCGCACCAGCAGCCCTCAAAATAGCGACCGCTGAAGAGTCTAAATTGGGTTGGTATCCACAATATATCGAAGAGCCGTACTGCGTTGGCACATCTGAACGATTGAGCACCAGGATCTGCAAGGGACTAGATGTGTCATCACCTTTAGTGTAGATAACATCTTTGATACCAACTGCAACACCGTGCAAAGGTCCTCGCTGTTCCTTGGGAACCTTATCAAGAATCTTGGCCTGGTGGAGGACGAGTTCTGGATCTGATTCTCGTCAGTAACCTTTCAATTTAGAGCTTATTATCCTTACAGAGACTTACCAATATACTCCCACTCCTTGACAACGTACTCCCGCTCCTCGATACGCCGCAATATTGAACGCGCATATTGCTGCACATTTATAAGATCTGCGTCGAAGACGCGAGGCGCTTCGACTGCTGTCAGCGACGATAATGGCTTAGATAAGTTCATCCTTGTGTATGTATTTGCTGCGAATCAAGGCTGAAGATTGCATGAGTATCAGTCGTCCAGAAAGGTGAAGTCGACACACGTTCACATTCACATTCACCGTTCTGCGCAGTCACGAACAAAAGCGCGAAGAATGCGGCCAGAGAGAACGTATCAACAATGGTCGATGCGTCCAATACCACAACATGTTCACCGCGCATCACGTGCGCTGGTATCCTCGTACAAAAAGACGTATCGTAGGCCTAGACTCAGACTTGACGGTTGACGCTCGAAGGACCGCACAAGCATGCTCTAAACAGATGTCCTTCGTCGCAAATTCAATGTAGGAAATATCATGTTTACATGCTACGTTAAGTTCACTTGTGTCCTGGAATGTGTTTTCTGGTCTTTAAAATGAAGCTGGCAACCAAGACTTGCTCATATTCATCTCGCCGCTGAATTACCTCATACACATTTGCCTTTGTTCAGAGCCTTCATTAGCAAAGACGCCGTGAGTCAGCTACGTGAGCGTGTATAAGCTACCAGAGATAAATAATGCGGCTCAGTTATATCTCTAATATAGGCGCGTGACAACGACCGAGGGAACGAAAATTATGATCTAAAACAATTTAGATCGCATCGTGCCTAAATTGTATGCAGTCATGTAGCTAGTCTCATAGTCGAAGTCAACGTGGTCCAGGGACCGCTCGGCATTCGGCCTTCGGACTAGCATCGGATCTGATAACACCGACATACTGGACCCACACTCGGACATAGCGCAATCCTTCAAGGCAGCCTTTAGGCTGCAACCCTCGAAGTAGTTAGAAACGCACTCGAAGCAGCTAGACATTCAGGCCTGATGCTTAATCTGATAAGCTCAACGTATTGCCGAGGACGCATAAAACTCGTTGCTTGGCCGCTTTGATCTGATAAGACACTTGATATTTCGACTACAAGATGACTACCACACAAGATGCCATCACGCCCATTGCAGATGTCGAGCTCGCCAACCTTCCCATCATCAAGCCCGATGATCCCTATCTCGTCACTTTCGATGCGCACTTCGACATCGACAATCCTCTCGACTGGCCCCGCGGCCGCAAATGGTCCGTCACTGATGTCCTCTCCGCCACGTCCTTCAACCGCATCATGGTCAGTACCATCATGGCGCCCGCTTTAACCACAATCGCGCGAGAACTCTCCATGAGCCCCACCGAGTCCGTCATGGCGCTGTCCATCTACCTCTTAGCCACCGCCTTCGGGCCCTTGGTGATTGGCCCGTTGAGCGAAGTCTACGGCCGCTCGAAAGTACTGCATGCAAGCAACGTGTGGTTCCTCGTGTGGAATGTGGTGTGTGGATTCGCAAAGACCAAAGAGGTGTTGATTGCAGCGAGGTTTTTAGCGGGATTTGGCGCGGGTGGAGTTTATGCGCTCGCGGGCGGGGTGTTGGGGGATGTGTGGAGGAAGGAGCAGAGAGGGAGGAGTTTGGGGATGTATCTGCTGATTCCACTGCTCGGGGCTGCTGTTGGTACGTTGTGCTCGCGTGACGTCCTGAGAGATACGGTGCTGACAAATGTGCAGGTCCGATTATTGGCGGATTCATGGCGTTCCGGACGACGTGGAGATGGATGTTTTGGTCCACATCCATTTTCCAGGCCGTAATGATTTTGGTGTCGTTCTCCGCATTTCACGAGACTTTTGCGCCGACTATACTCGCTCGCCGCGCTGCGAAGTTGCGCAAGGATACTGGAGATGCTCGTTACTACACCGAGCACGAACGCGCGATGGCTAGCAGATCGGTTGCTTCCGTCCTATCTCAGGCTCTCACACGTCCTCTACGACTACTCTTATTCCACCCGATCATCCAAATTAACGCCCTCATGTCGGCGTTCGATTATGGCATCTTATACATTGTGCTTGCAAGCTTTGCTGACTTGTGGGTCAAGCAATACAAGTTGTCCGTCGAGCTCAGTGGCTTGCACTACCTGGCGGTTGCCTTTGGCGAAATTGCTGGCTCTCAACTCGGCGCTCCAATTCTGGACAGGTACTATCGCCGCATCAAGGCTCGACACCCCGAAGCCGACCCAGAGCCGGAGCACCGTATTCCGCTTACCATTCCCGGTCTCTTCATCGCCCCAATCGGCTTGTTGTTATACGGTTGGTCGGCTCAATTCCACGTGCATTGGGTTGTAGTCGACATCGGAATAGTCATTGCATGCTTTGGCGCTCAGATCAGAGGCATTCCAACGTCAGCGTACATCATGGACGCATACCCGGAACATACGAGCAGTGCCCTAGCAGCCCAGCAAGTCTTGCGGAGCCTGGCAGCATTTTTGTTCCCACTCTTCACTCCAATCATGTATGAGAAAATGGGGTACGGATGGGGCAATAGCGCCATGGGACTGGCCGAGCTGGCATTGTGTCTGCCTCTATCTGCGTCGCTCTGGTATTTTGGAGCCGGTCTGCGACGTCGGGCGCAGTCGACGGAGTAGCAGCAATGACCTTACAGCTTGCGGTACAAGTGTAGCTGCATTCGCATATTCTCCAATTCAATCGGGTACCGCAAAGTCGGAGCAAGCCTGAACCATCGACTCTCATCCTCGTGAATCTTTTCCCACGTTGCTTCCTCTTTATTCTTGTCCTTTTCACCCGTTTGGAGAAGCGTATGGTCCAATAGCCATTGCATCGGGTACTTCTTTTCCGCTCCATTGAGCGTGATTGTCGAATAGCTACCAGGACTATCCACCACTAGCAAACGTGCACCCGAAGGCAGAGCCGATGTCAGGTTGAGCAGAAACTTTTGCGTCAACGACAACGACGTCGAGTAGAGTTCGTTCAAGGTGAAGAGAAGTGTGACCAGAGTAGCGTCCTTTACCATGTCTGAAAGCACGTCGGTAGCGGCGTTGAGAATGTCGAGTTGGCGAAAGGAGACGTTGAATGAATCCGGATTGATGAGAGGAGCATTTGCAGCTTGCAGGGCAGCCGAGGCATATTTTGATAGTGTTGGTGCAGTGGTGACATTTTTTGCAAGCAATTCCATAACCACCGTCCAGTCTGCAATATCAATGGCTTCCACATTCATTGTCGGTGGCACTTGGTCTTGTCCGTCCTGACTCAACATCTTCTGCACACCAGCCAAAGCCACGAGCTCTGCACCTGCACCTCCACCTAAAGATACGATTTTCCGGCTCTTGGCATCTTCTTCCGCACTCTCGGGCCATAGCTGTGATTTCAAATCCAGGAACAAGTCTGCGTAACCCAGGGCTCGGCTTGCGCTCCAGCGTGCGGCATATGCCTCAAGGTATTCATTTTTCCCAAATGCCGTCGCAAAGTCGCGATTGTACAAGTGGCCTTTGACTTCTTGCAGGAGCGGCTTAATGTCGGCCGCAAAACGCTCCGCAAAGGAATCTCTGAAGATGTTGAGTAAAAGTTGCTGCAGCTCAAGCGGGATCGATGGTTCTGGAGGTGGGGCCTCGTGCTGGACCTTCTGCTTCTGCTGCTTCTGAGCTTTTGCCGGAGCCTGCTTCTTGTTGGCTTCCCACCTTGGTCGTGGAGGCGCCATTGTAATTCTTGATTGAACTAGGTGGTGTCGCGCTGATGCAAGAAAAGAAAGGATGTGCTAGTCTACCGCACCAAGCGAACCACGCTAGTGACCCTTGTAATGCCATCGGCCTTCCTTCCGAGGTGATGGTGTACGACTTCGGAGTCATAAAGTCACTGAATCCATCGCAATTTAGTCACCTCCAGGTTCAAATCTTATACAATACTGAAGTCTTAAATCTCATCATGCGTCTCCCATATGTCCCAGATCCGCCCAACTTCACCAGCCCCGAAGATCAAGCCGTGGAGCAGCGAGTACGGGCCAGACGAGGGGAGAAAGGGCTCATAGCACTCGACAAGACGCTTTTACATGCCCCACCGGTTGCGGACGGATGGTAACTCGACTTTTTTTCCAGCTGCAGGCCGAGTCTTACGATGACAGGAACTCCTTTCTCGGGGCGATTCGCACCAAGACGAGCTTGTCAACTTCGGTCCGGGAAACAGCCATTTGTCGTGTTGCCGTGTTGAACAAGGCGTGGTATGAATGGGAGAGTCATTCGCCTATCTTGAAGAGTGGAGAGGGTAAAACACTGCCTTTGACCTAGCGTATCAATACTAACCTCTTGAAAGGTATCACGGATGCCCATGTCTCTGCTGTGCTGGAGTCTGCGCCTCACAAGGTCAATGATGGAATTCAGTCCGAGGCTTTGGCAGCAGTCTTGACATATACAGATGCCATGACTCTGAACGTTACTGTTCCGGACGAAGTATTTGCCAAGCTCAAAAACCATCACAGCGAGCAAGAAGTTGTCGAGATTACGGCAACTGTCGCTGCGTACAATTGTGTCAGCAGGTTTCTAGTTGCGCTTGACGTTGGCGAGAGGAATTGGCAAAAGGGGCCGTTGGAGGGCGGAAAGGAGTGAGCAAGACATGCATATGAGACCATTTCAGCAACGCATCATGAAAAGTCTAGTCACCCCATGAAATAGAGTATGTGTAAGAAGACAGTCTCAAGTCGATGTGTTGAGGAAGGCAATGCGCCAAGACATCAACGGCGCTAGTGCAGTCGCGCTTTCCTCTAAAAAAGTGAGGAACTGAAGCGCAAGCTACAGGCATCTCTCTCCACCAATTCCACCCACCACACCAAGATGCTTTGCGCCATTTCTGGAGAAGCTCCCCGCGAGCCCGTTGCCTCGCGCAAAAGCGGCAACGTCTTTGAGAAGCGCCTAATCGAGGCACACATTGCGGAGAACCACACGGATCCCGTCACGGGCGAAGATCTGGCGGTAGAGGACCTGATCGAGCTCAAGTCACCACAAGTCGTCACCCCACGCGCGCCAAACCTCACATCGATTCCCGCGCTGCTCAGCGCCTTCCAAAACGAGTGGGACGCGATTGTTCTCGAGACACACACGCTCAAGCAGCAACTGGCGCAAACGCGACAAGAGCTCAGCACGGCCCTGTACCAGAACGATGCCGCCACACGGGTGATTGCGCGCGTGTCGCGTGAACGAGACGAAGCAAGAGAGGCGCTATCAAACGTCACCATTAGCGGAGGCGGCGCAAGCAATGGCGATGCCATGCAAGTCGACGGCCAGGCTCTGCCAGAGGAGTTGATTGCCAAGGTGGATGAGACGCAAGCACAGTATGTGCTCTTTCACCCTGCATTGTTTCGCAAGACTAACCATCCCCAGGCTATTTGCGACACGCCGAAAGCGTCCTGTGCCCGCTGGCTGGGTCACGGGCGAAGAGCTCTCTACGTTTGACACGGCATCCACAAGCGAACCCGTTTACCCCGGCAGCAGCGAAGTTGCCCTCGGCGAGTCAGGCGATCTGGCACTCTTTGGCGGACAAGACGGTGTGGCTGGAGTATATTCTGTGTCGCAGCAAAAGCTGGTGCAGACTCTCGAGGCAGGAAGCGCGGTCACGGCGACAGCATGGTGGGCACAGCGCGCCGTAGTGGGAACTGCTGCAGGCCACGTCAAGATCTTCGAGAATGGCAACGAGATTGCCCAAGTCGGCTCGCACGCGGGACCCGTCACGTCCATTTCCCTCCACCCCAGCGGAGCCATTCTTGCGTCTGGAAGTACGGACAAGCGATTCGCCTACTACGACCTCGCCACCTTCAAGACTGTCGCCCAAGTCTATACCGAAGCCGACATTTCTTGCTGCTCCTTCCACGTCGACGGCCTGCTCTTCTTCGTCGGCAGCTCAGATGGCAAGATCCGCATCTACGACGTCAAGAACGGCAACCTCATGGTGGAGCTCGAGACCGGCGGCCCTGTGCAGGCTCTGTCTTTCAACGAAAACGGCACCTGGTTCTCCGTGGTGACCAAGGGGTCGAGCAGCGTCTCTGTCTGGGACATTCGCAAGCAAAATGTTGTCAAGGTCCTCGATGCCGGCAGCGCGGTTTCGAGCGCCAAGTGGGACTACACTGGCCAGTACCTCGCAGCAGCAGGCGCGGGTAGCGTCTCGGTGCACCAATACACGAAGGCGTCAAAGAGCTGGTCAGAGCCTCTGCGCAAGGCCGTACCCGCCAAGGACGTTGCCTGGGGAGCAAGTGCACAGAACATTGTGGCCCTGACGCCAGAAGGAGGCCTCGCAAGTCTGAGTGCCTCATAGCCCGTCACTCAGATTAAGGAGCAGTTGCGCCGGGATCTTCAGGGATCGCGGGAGCGGGGCTTGAAGGGGCTTCACAAGAGCATGTGGCGTTTAAACTCGGGATATCTGGCACATTGATTCAAAAGGGTTGCGGAGGGCGCATATTAGTATCCGTAGTATAACTGTACAATATGACCAGGGTGCAACAATTGCCGCCTCGACATCACGTTTGCCTGCACGACGTGATACAGCGTACGACCAAAAAGCAAAACTAGATTACTTGTAAGCAGTGGCCAAGTGAGTGGACACAAGAAGAAGTGAATAGCGTTTGTCATCTAGTCATTGCCATTGTCATTGTCATTGACGCGGCTCGATTCCTGGGAAGCGCTCCACCAAGCTTCCGCCACTTTTGAACACCAACTCGCAACCACGACACTTCAGCTCGACCGCTCACCACCGCGCTGGCCGCCACGCACGAGAATCCAACATACACGGCGTCTCTTTGGTAGCATCGGTATGGAGGATAGCCTGCGGCGTCTTGGATATACGCAAAGAAATAAGGTGAGTGCCCAATACGGTGCGGCACCCCCAGTGAGAGTGAATACAGGCTGATGAAGCACCTTTAAGCGCTCACATGCCCAAATCGAAGAAGGCGAAGGCTCGGCCTCTTCCTTTTACAACACGCACACGCACGACTCCACCCGCGACTCAGGCGTGCACCGGGAGTCGCCCTTCTACGTGAGCAGCGAGCAGGCGCATGACAGCAACGACGACAACCCTTTTCGCTTCCACTACCGCCGACAGACGTCGCAACAACGACCCGAAAGGCCAGCCTCTGTGGGCGCCGCACATTCGAGCACGTCGGGTCTGCACCTTCCGCGGGTCGAGAGCATGGCGTCTTCGGCGCCGAGGCGGTTTGCGGGTGATGGCTTCGACTTTCGCCGCCCAGCGGGAGCTGCAGCAAGAGCGCACACGAGGGCTACCGTCGACCTAAGTGCCGGAAACGACGACGATGGCAACATGCACAGCGAACACACATCGGCCGGAGGTGTCATTGACCTGACGGCTGATGATTCGGGTTATGGTGCTAGTCAAGACGGCAACAGCAGACGAACGCAGGAAAACGACCAAGAGACACACGCCCAACTACTTCGAAACAACAGCGGTCCGCGACGGCTTCCACGGGGTATGGACATCATCATCGACCTGGACAACGGCGACGAAGAGTGGAGGATAGATACACCCCCGCCCGCAGAGCCCGGCTCGCCAGACATACAGTTCATATCGTCTCGAGCCATTGACCCACCCCACCCAGCCCATCGCAGTAATTCGGAAGGAGACGAGGTCGAGTTTGTACGCGAAAATCCACTGCCGCAAGAAGAACGACAACGCCGCCGGAACGATGATGTGCACAGGGCATTGAATCTAATCGGCGACATGAACGGCCGCTTTGTGCATTTGCGGGCACAGGTCGAACGATTCGGCGCTCAAGTCAACCGCACAGCTGCCAACTTTCGCCAAGGCCCCGTCGTCCCACCGCGGGGAGCGCCGCGCGCCCGAGGACATATCCATTTGGGATTCGCAGCGCCGCTGCTCGACTTCGACATGGTTGCCTTTGACCTGGGCCATGAGCCTGCGCGAGCACCACCTGCACCGCAAACGTATGAACCACCAGCCAAAGCACCCGAGGGCTTCACGAGGAGTCCAGAGGAAGAAGGTCCTCTGATCTGCCCCAACTGTGAAGAGGAGCTGTGTGTAGGCGACGACGAAGTCAAGCGACAAGTCTGGATCGTCAAGACTTGCGGTCACGTGCGTATTCTTTCTTGGGGTAATTACATGGCACTAACAATCACACCAGGTCTACTGCGGCGAATGCACAGCGAACCGATCGGCCAAGAAGAGCAACAAGGGCAAAGAAAGACCTCCAAGAACAAAGCCGTTCAAAGAGTGTGTGGTGGAAGACTGCGGCAAAAAGGTTACAAATACCAAAGCCATGTTTCAAATCTTCTTGTAAACACATTTGGGGCGCATGGATACGGAAGCTTAGTGCGAAGATACCCCGTTCCCAGTTGGTTTACGTTGCATGGATCTGGGGCTGCTTTACTTGTTTCGGCGCTGGGGTTCCTGTGCTGTTGGCATTTGCATATCATGGTGTTATTCTGCGAGGCGTTTTACGAGCTCCGGCCGAGTTTCTCTGCGCGAGGAGTAGAGACATGACCGAGATGGTGGACAGCAAGCAGCAATTGCTTCCTTCGACTTCTTGAGCGCAAGAGGTCTGGACTTGTATATTTAGGATATGGATGAATACATCATGAACATTTACACGAACTCGATTGCTTCGTATTAACAAGCCTGACACGAACTCACACTCACAAGTCAATCATTGTTTAAATCGACTTATCTGCTTATCACTGCGGAATCGACTCGGAATGATATCATTTCGCATGCCACGCTAAACCGAAAGGGATTCCGCTCAGGTACCGCGGCTCCAGCTTCCCTCGCAGAAAATCCTCAGCTCCCACACAAGCCTCCAACCCTCATCAAGGCCAAACAATCGCAGTCATGGCCAAGCCCTCTAATGCGGCTGCATCTCGCAGCCAAAAACCCACTCCTCCCCCATCTGCGGCGAAAAACACATATCTCCTCGCATACAACGCCCTCAGCGCCGCACTCTGGGCCGGCGTGCTGTACAAAACCATCACCGTTGGAAGTCAAGAAATCAGCAAGGCCGGAACAGGTGGGTGGAATAAAGCCGGCGAAGGACCACTAGGTGCCGTCCAGAAGGGGTTGGCAAGCGGGAAAGTGTATGATGAATTAGAAGTGTATACACGCATGGTGCAGAGTCTGGCTGGTTTGGAGGTTTTACATAGTTTGTTCGGTACGTCCCCTTCCCTCCCCGTTCCATTTCAAAAAGATATATGAACATATACTGATCAACGTGATACAGGCATCGTCCGCGCTCCCCTCCTCACCACGCTCATGCAGGTCTCCTCCCGCTTCCTCCTCGTCCACGTCATCGCCTCGCCCTACGCCTTCCCCTCCACCTCCCGCCCCAGCCCCGCATACACCACCATGCTCCTCGCCTGGAGCATCACCGAAGTCATCCGCTACAGTTATTTCGTCTTCAACCTGTCTGGCGTCGGCGTGCCCAAGCTGTGGACGTGGCTGCGCTACAACACGTTTCTGGTGCTGTATCCGCTGGGCGTGGCGAGCGAGTGCTGGTTGGTGTACAAGGCGATTGAGCCGGCGAGTAGAATCAACGAGGTGTATGGATATGTGCTGTATGCGATCTTGGCAGTGTATGTGCCCGGGATTTATGTCCTGTTTACGCACATGTTGAAGCAGAGGGCGCGATTGATGAGGGAGGCTAGGAGGAGTTTGTAGGAAGGGGAAGATGGAGATGAGATGGCATGGCGGAAGCACTTGAACTGGAACACAAGGTTCAGTGTCCCCCAAGTCGGTCGAATCGCCCAATGTTTGTCGGACTGTAGAGTCGTGAACGCCAAAACAGTATCCAATGACCGTAGTTGATTTGACATCAATCAATCAAGCCCTGCATCAGAGACATCCAACCAACGCTCCCTTCTAGCATGTCACCTTCCAAGCCGTAAATGTACTCACACTTACACAAAAACTACTTCGACAAACATGTCACCGTTCCTCCCGCCAAGCACCTTCCCGTCAATGTCACGCCTCATGCATCCGCGGTCCGACGTCGAGCCAATGACCACCAACCACGGCCCGGCAGGCAACGAATCACCAACAACGCTGTGCGCCGCACGACATGTTGTTGCCAAAACAAGGTCTACACTTCTCCGCATTTTCCCCAGTTTTTGCACGCCTCGCGTTCCGTGGATCAATTCCAGCCCCGCACCTTACCACTACCACGATGGCGTTGGTGGGGAAACATGGCATCCAGGTAAACGGAGACTGATGTCGGTCCGTGAATGGTGCAAAAGAACGATGCTAGCTTAGACCACTGTGAGTATAAATATGGCTTTGCTCCTCAAGACACAATGAAGCACCGCAATCGTCCATCATGTTGAGCAAGGGATTGGTTCTGTTTGGGTCCGCGCTTGCTGCCTCGGCCCACTCGCTCGAGGCGCGCCAGTCGAAGTCGCTAGATGCTTGTCCGGGCTACGCTGCGAGCAATGTCAAGGATGATGGGGCGACTGTCACGGCGGACTTGAAGCTCGCGGGCGCGGCGTGTGATGTTTATGGCAAGGACTTGGTGGATTTGAAATTACTCGTTGAATATCAGACTGGTACGTCTCTCAAAGTCGACTTTTTAGCACAGTACTAATGAGAGACAGAACATCGCCTGCACGTCAAAATCTCCGATCGCGCAGAGCAAGTCTTCCAAATCCAAGAATCCGTCTGGCCGCGACCAGCTAGCGCAAGTGTCAGCCCCGACAGCTCTGATCTAGAGTTTTCCTGGACAAACAATCCGTTCACGTTTGCTGTTTCTCGCAAGGAGAATAAGGAGACGCTGTTCAATACGTCGGCGGCAAGTCTAGTTTTTGAAGATCAGTATTTGAGGCTAAGGACGAGCTTGCCGGAGAAGCCGAGTTTGTACGGCATTGGTGAGCACACGGATCCGTTCCAGCTTAATACGACTAATTACACTCGCACGGTATGTACTTCTCACCACCCCGAGATAATGACTAAAGTCAAAACAGTTCTGGAACCGTGATGCCTATGGAACGCCACCTGGGAGCAACTTGTACGGAGCACACCCAGTCTACATCGACCACCGCGGCGAAAATGGCACCCACGCCGTCTTGCTCGCCACATCTGAAGGCATGGACGTCAAAATCAACGATTCAGCCGGCACGTATCTCGAATACAACACGCTCGGCGGCATCGTAGACCTCTACTTCCTCTCCGGCCCCACGCCCAAGGACGTCGCGGTGCAGTACTCCGCACTCTCAGGTCTCCCAGCCATGATGCCATACTGGGGCTTTGGGTCTCACCAGTGCAAATACGGATACCGTGATGTCTGGGAAGTCGCTGAAGTGGTTGCGAATTACAGCAAGGCGGAGATTCCGCTCGAGACTATGTGGACGGATATTGATTATATGGAGCTCCGGCGGTTGTTCACGCTGGATCCGGAGAGGTATCCGATTGAGCTTGTCAGGGGTCTGGTGGAGTATCTGCATCAGCATCAGCAGCATTACATTGTCATGGTCAACTCGGCTGTGTGGCGAGGCGACAATGATGTGTACAAAGATGGTGCAGAATTGGAGGTTTGGCAGAAGCGCGCGAATGGATCATTCTACGAAGGGTCTGTTTGGCCTGGTCCGACTGTCTTTCCGGATTGGTTCCACCCAAATACTCAAAAGTACTGGGACGACAAGTTTGAAGAGTTCTTCAGTCCCGAGACAGGTGTCGATATTGATGGGCTTTGGAACGACATGAACGAGCCGGCCAACTTTTGCCCGTATCCTTGTAGCGATCCTGATGGTAAGTTTATCATACTCCCTACCCGAGCTTTCTGACGTATTGTAGCGTACGCGGCCGAGACTACAGCTCCACCAAAACCTCCCGCAGTCAGGCAGAACGCAGATGGCCGCCAGATCCCTGGCTTTCCTGCTGGATTTCAGCCAGGCTCCAATAGCACTCGACGCTCCCTCGACTCTCGCGACATAAGCCCTACTCCCATCAAGCGTTTTGGCGCGCGTCAGGCGAGTAACAACTCTGCAGATCTTGCTCAACATGCTGGTCTGCCTGGACGCGATCTCATCAACCCGGGCTACCAAATCAACAATGCCGCAGGCTCTATCAGCAATAAGACCATGGATACCGATATTCAAAACCATGACGGCACATATCACTATGACACCCATAACTTCTGGGGCAGCATGATGTCGATTGCCTCGCGCAACAGCATGGTCAAGCGCCGCCCAACCCGTCGTCCTCTCATCATCACACGCTCGACCTTCGTCGGTCTGGGCAAATATGTAGGCAAGTGGCTCGGCGACAACGTCAGCACATGGGAGCAATACCGCTTCAGCATCGCCGGCGTCCTCAACTTCGCCAGCATATTCCAAATCCCCATGGTCGGCCCTGACATTTGCGGCTTCGCAGGCAACACCACCGAGACCCTCTGCGCCCGCTGGACCACACTCGGAGCGTTCTACCCCTTCATGCGCAACCACGCTGGCGACACATCCATCTCGCAGGAATACTACCGCTGGCCCAAGACCACCGCGGCCGCACGAAAGATCATCCCAGTACGCTACCGCCTGCTGGATTACCTCTACACCGCGTTCCACCGCCAATCCACCACCGGCCTCCCCGTGCTCAACCCGCTGTTCTACCACTACCCGACGGATAAAACCACCTTCGCCATCGATCACCAATTCTTTTTCGGCGACGACATCCTCGTGTCGCCCGTGCTCGAGGAAAACAGCACGAGCGTAAGCATATACCTGCCCAACGCGACCTTTTACGATTTCTGGACCGGAGACAAAGTCCAAGGGAACGCGTCATACATCAACCTTACCAACGTTGATTTCGACTCTATCCCTCTGCACATCTGTGGAGGCGCTGTCCTGCCTCTGCGTGCGGAATCCGCAAACACTACTACGGAGCTACGGAAGCAGGATTTCGTGCTGTGGATTGCGCCGAATGCGACCAACCAGGCTAGTGGAACGCTGTACCTAGATGACGGGGATAGCATCAACCAGACGTCTACATCTAACATTGTATTCACATACGACAACGGGGCGTTCAGCATGAGCGGGGAGTTTGGGTATGATGCAGGCGTGAGTATTAAGAACATCACGGTTTTGGGCACGGAGATGAGTGTGCGGGGGCCGGTGAGTCTGGCAAAGGAGTGGAAACATACGTTCAATGCTGGGCCGGAGTTTCCTGGTGCTGGTAGTAGGGCGAGGGCTGGGATGGGCGCGGTGGTCGCGGGTGTGGCGGCGGCACTGTTGGCTGTTTGAGATAGAGATGGGACTGTTGATATGAATGATGATATTATTGTTACTGATAATCTGTATGAGTGAGTATTTCATCGCTAATCTTGCGCAAAGGTTACAATACTTGAGGCAACCGTATTCAATACTGTTGTCTTCACTACCTACAAACTGGGGTCTTTCCACTACCTTCCTTCTTCACACACGATGCTGGGTGAATCACACGGGCGACGATTCGGAGGATAACAACCGATTTTTCGAGACTGCAAAACGCGAGTATCGATAGGGCAATGGTGAGCTTTCACCTGCACGTGATGCAAACTTGAGGAGAACTCGAACTAACAGTGAATGTGAATGAGCACAATACAGACGGTGTAGAGCGTTTGCTCTACGCTTGCGAAGTCTGCCTGTTTGCGATCAATGCCCTCTCTATCTGCAAACCACCAACTCCTACCATCTTTGCAAAAATTGCGCAAGACCTTCGAATCTGACTCGGCATGGGCAACTTTGGCTTCCAGACGCCGCCGCGCGTGGACTCGCCGCAGGAATATCCCAACGCTCCCACACACGAGCACCTCCTCAACTACGAGCAACTCGTCAGTCCCTGGAACTTCGACCTATCGCCAGCCTTCAGCACGATCCCATCCGTCGACCCATTCGAGCCCAGCAACGCGTCTACACCCATTCGCCACACTCAGAAGGACTCCCTCGACACCACCTCAGAAGAGATGCAACACCCCTCGACAACCTTGCCGCGGTCGCGCTCCCCCTCGCCCACCCCCATCACCCTCTTCACCAACCCCCTCTACAACATCTACCAGCCCTCCACCTGGCCCATCGTCTACCTGCCCTACCACACGACCCCCGGCTTCAGCACGCCGACGCACATCAGCGAAATGCTGTGCCACGTGCACTACAAAGGCGCAGGCGCGCTCGCGCTCCACGACCTACTGGTGGCGGAGATGCAAGCCGCGCAGACGGAAGAGGAAAAGGTAAGAATTGAGTTTTCTGCGTATTTGAGCTGGCCGCATAATTGCACGAGTCGATGGGTGGAGGGTGTACAGTGGAATGACGGAGGGAGAGGAGCAAGTTTGGATGGAGGATGTGCGCAGGTATTATACTAATGTGGAGTTGGGGGTGGATGAGGATGGGTGGGGTGAGGTGCAGGTGGTGGTTGAGGATTGGGGAGAGCAGAGGGAGGTGGAGGGCGTGGAGGAGATTTTGGAGAGGTTTGGGCTTGGAGAGGAGGGTGGTCGCGATGATGGGATGGTGGGGGAGATGCGAGATGGAGAGCAGTGAAGAGAGTGAGGAGTGCTTGTAGCACTTGATGGCTTTTAGAGGTTTCTTTGAGGACTTGCGTTCTGGACATCCGGCTTTGGCGGTGGCGGAAATACCGGTAGGTTGGTCGCATCATCCTCACACTAGCTCAATCGGCTAGTAACGGCGCGCCTGGTTCTCTCAGCTCCATTTCGAAAACACCCACCACACTCGTGACTGCATCTCAGGGCAGAACAGCCGTGTATAGATGAACGTTCGAAGAAGCGGTCAGTTACACGACGAATAACAGCTGCACTCGAACGTGTCCCCTCCCTCTTGAGACTCTTGGTCCGGGCAAGGCCGATCCAACCATACCCCTCACCACCGCCATCGCACAAAGCAGTTCACACCCGTTCCTGAGCCTCGCCAATCCTCCGCTCCCATTCGCTGCTCTAAGCATTCTAGAAAGCCTCGTGGCGGCCGGCTGAGCACGCGAATCTCGACAGCATTGGCTCTACGCAATCTGATTGGCCGAGCTTAAACGCCACGCTACTCTGGCATGAACCAATTCCTGTGCGACATGGCCGTCTGCATAAAAGGGTAGGACGATCGACCACCCACCCTGGCCTAATGGAGGCGAAAAGGTAAAGTAGTGGTGGTGTCTTCATAATATTGAATGAACCCCTCATGTTCGCGCTTTCTTGCTAGTATACCAAACTTTCTCATTCGTACCGCCTTGTTATCAGAGGCTCACTGTCTTTACTGCTTTTTCTCTTCTGTCGCACGTTGGTTTACTCCCTTGCGTACGCGTAAATACCCTCGAGAAGATTTTTTGTTTGCGACGTATACACGAATACAAGAGCAGCAATGGCACCAATCTCTGCACCCCAGTTCAAAAACATCATGCTCGCCATCCGGGACTCCACAACTTCAATTCCCCAGGCCCCTCCCGCCACCGACCTACACACATCCTCCTCCTCTGACGGCTGGTCGCCCTCCGCCATAATCGGCATCGTAGCCGCCGTCGTCTTAATCCTCATCATGGTGCCACTCATCGCCATTATCCTGCGCCGCTACGAAAGGAAGCGCTGTCTGGAAATGCTTCCCAAAGACAGTATCTCGCCCCGCATAGGCTCAAGTCACAGCAGCACCAGAGAGGATTCGAGCTTGAAGAGCATCATGGTTACGCGAGAAGTGCAACGTTCGAGTCTGAGAATGGTGCCGGGGGTGAGAAGGCCCGAGGACGCGCACACAAGTGAGCGGGGATGGAGTCATACGGAGGTTAGGGGTGGATGAGCGAGGAATTCGGCATAAATCATCGAGGACTCCATGATCAATGCCTCAATCTCGACATATCCGGTATAACACAAGGTCCGGTCGCGCCGTTTTCCTACCACCCGGCACACCCAGTGACGCAGGCGTCATCTTACATAGGGCGCTATTTCATTCGACATACGATTACACTAATGTGGAGGAAACACGATACCCAAGTAGATATCAAATGGCTCGCGCCGAACGACAGTTGTTTTGTAGCGTTAATGAATACATTCTTTTCATCGAAGGTTTAGCTGCTCACAGACAGCGTAGTGAATCTCAATGGTCCCACCTGACGAAGTAACTGACGCCTTACCAGAGCGACTAGCAACGAGGAACTGGACAGCTTTCTCTCCATCCCCAGTACACATTGCGTCGAGAAAGCCTATGAGGAGAGGCAAGCTTTGATCCAAGTGGACGAACACAAGCGCTCGTGAAGTATAAGTATTCGAGCGTGTCATCTTGACCATTTCACTCGAAGCCTCAACGTGAGGCGTGACAGATTCACGGCTCGTCGTGAATGTATCCAATTCACTTTGGACAGGCCAGGCAGATAACGTCAGTCGAGTAGCCTCGATAATTCGCGCCCTTGGGATACAAGATACCCACACGGTATTCGCCCTCCACATCATCCTCGCATACTCACGAGCACCCTCGACTTTCACAACCCAACCGTCTACTCGAATCAACCAGCGACCAAAAACCATCACCACCCCGTCAACAACCATGCCTCAGCCCAATCCCTCCGTCTCGAACGACATGTCCCAGATCGAGGACTTCCTCAACCGCGCCAGCATGGCTAATATCGAAACCGGCGAGTCGGGCTCCGGTGAGTCGTGGGAAGTCATGGACGGCGATAAGACCAAGCAGATTGCGCAGGAGGGGCAGGATGAGGTGGAGTGGGTCCTTGTGGGGATGACGGAGAAGGAGAAGGAGAAGCGGGTGGTGGAGACGGTGGAGAAGAACCGCCTGAAGTAGGGGAGTACATGATTGACAACTCAGTGTGATTCAGGGAGACACTGCTAGTAGGACATACTTGAATTATACAAGCTGGAGAGCATTGGGCTTGGGTATCTTTCATTGCTAGCTTCGTCGAATATGAACGTATGTCAACGTACTATGCTTAGATATCGTCATGCGTCACATCTTTGTGCAATTAGACCGCTCTTGGGATCGAGTTCCTCGTGGGCGCTCATATAACGCCCTTAAACAACCTCTGATACAACTCACTGCATCCCTCGGCCAGGGAAGGTCGTTTCGGATTATCGTCTTGTCGCTTCCATAGCTCGAGTCTCATTTCTTTCCCTTCTTCTTCTTTTTGCCTCCTGCGCCCGCACCTGCCTTCGGATCCGCTGGTACTCCACCCATCTTCACATCTCCACTCTCATCAACCTTTGGCGTTGACACACCCTCCCCGCTTCCCGCCTGTGCGCTCAAATCTTCCGGTATTTCTGGCAGTGCCGCCATCTCTCTCCCCAGCCTTCCAAGGTTCCCTATTAACCTTCCAACCTCGGCGGCCTTATTGGTTTCATACTGCAAACACGTGCCCGACTCCGGATCATATGTCTTGAGCGTGAACGTGCTCGTGGGGTCTTCGGGCTTCTGCGCCTGTGGCTGTGGTGACGATGCCCGCGCACTCTCTTCCGATTTCGCCGGTTGTTTCGCCGCGTAACTTCTTCGCTTTTCAATCTTGGATGCGGACGGCTTGAGGACGGTGTATTTCGAGGTTATGCGTGTCTGGAGAGTGGGTCAGAATGGAGTCGCGTGCGCGGGCGTGCGGGGGACGTACCGTGGTCGGCCGGGCTTTGAGCAGTAGTGACGACTGCTCGTACCATTCCGCGCTAGTTTTGAAGTATGGCATTGTGAGGTGAAGAGTGAATTGGTGTTTTGGGGTCGTCGCGGGTGAATGTCTGGACTGGGCAACTTTTGGCGGGGTTCAGCGGCGGGGAATTGTCGGGCCGACCCCAGGCAACTTTTTTAGACCACCTCACGCGACGTCACCAATTGTCCAGGATACAGTGATGGGATGCATGTTAAGCTACATGTTTGGCCTGGAAGACGTGTCAAACTGCATGTGATCGGATTCGGACAGACTGTGTACAAGAGACAACCTGCCGCCCTTTTCACTAGCTACTGATCCTGACTCACCCTAAGCATAGAACTTTCGAGCAATAGTCGCACAGTGTAAAACACAATCTTGTCTCTGAAGACAATACATGACTGCTCAATAGTATCTGCTCCAGAGTCTTTCTAAGAATCGCCTGCGCCTTTCCGACTAAGATGACGGAATCAGTCACCAGAGACTTCAGTGCGATGGACCTGGGGACGGAGACTAAGGCAACCAGTGTAGCAGACAGCACTGTAAACCTTGAAATCACCATTCAAAACCTCATTGATCGATGCACAAACCTGCACGAAGAAGTCGAGACGTACGTAACAGCCGTCATTGCCAAACAAAAGCACACCAAGGCCCAGCACCCCGTCGAATACCGCAATCTTCGAACCGACTTCAGGAATGAGCTCGCCTTTCTCAAAAAGATTGCTGGTCAAAACATGGACGAGGAAAAGGCACGGCACTTCATAGTCTCCTCCAACCTGCTTTACTACGAAGCACTGTGGGGAGCGGCCAAACGTTCTCAGGGTCTACAGGCATTTCGAAAATACTTCTACTGGGATAAAAAGGCTCGGAATACCACCAAGGGAAAAGGCGGCGCATCCAAAGGCAGGACAAATGCATTGGCTGATATTGTTGCCGACGAAGGCGGAGAGTGGCTGCGTGTCTCTACTCTTTCAGAAAAGCGGCTGCTGTTTGACCTGGCCAAACTTGGGTGGATGAACGATTCCGACTCCGACGAAGACATGCCAGATGCTCGACCGGCTCTTGAAGATGACGATGAAGACGACGAAGATGAGGTCGACATTGTCAGAAATGCTCGCCAGCTTGCAAGGGCTGCCAAGGCAAATCCAATACGCGGACGGCCGCCCAAAGTCCACTTTGTTCTCACGCGCATTGTTGCTGGCAAGACAAAGGAGATCGACAGCATATTGCATAAGATTCGCGCAACGGGAGCAAGCGTCCAATGTGCGAATGACATTCCACCAGCGCCACCGTTGGAGGAGGTGTTGCAGCAACTACTCATCGATCGCTCGCGAGCCATGTCGCACACTTTAAACATCGACTGTACCATTCTTCTCGCACTGATATCCGACATTTCGCATCAGGAGTGCCCAATACTAGACTGGTACCCCGGCGAAGTGCGCGCGCAGATCCAAGAAGAAGCAGAAGAAAAACTGTTGCCGACGCACTTGTATCCAGCCATTTCATCGCACCCAATGGTGACTACACAAGAGGCGGTGGACCAAATGAATCTCATTGTGCAAACGCTTGCAACAGATGCTGAGAAAGTACGCGCGGATTTGCTCCTCGCGCAAGGTGAGCACGTCAATACCTCAGGAGAAGAGCTGGTCGCCGAGTGGGCAAAGCTATCGAATCACACTCCGCCCGAGGGGTTTCAGTTGCCACTTCGTGTCGTGAAAACCGACATTGAGGCCATCGTATCCCGTCTCCCTGCTGTAGCGACCAGACTGTCCGATGAGCTGGGCGCACTGAATCGAGCCATCTTTCTGTACGGCTGGGCAGAGGGCCTCACGACGTTGAGCGCCAATCGTGGTCGAGCGCGACAGATCGAGACGGTTCTAAATGAGCATGGACTGGAGGAGGGCGAGGATGGGCCGCACATTTGGTTGTGTGGAGAGAGTAGAAGTTTGATTGCTAAACATGGGCGGAGAAGATGAAGGAGGACAGGTAGTCGCATTTACATCTGCATCATCCATTTAGAACATACGCAAAGACATCACAAGCAAGAGACAGTGCCATCCGGTTTGACCCTCTCTCACATTCACGTTCACCGCTCGCATTGTGCGCGTCGTGGCCTTTGATCCCGAAACTGCAACAATCGCTTTATCCTCTCTTTCCATTCTTCAACCACAACATAGCACTTCATTCCTAATCGCATTAAACAATTTCAAACGTCGATCTCTACACATTCATCACCATAGCCCCCCGTCTCCCCTAGGTGTTGAGTGAGAGGGAAACCAGTTTCTAATGATATAGACGTCTAGACGTCAGCTTTGATCAAGACAATGCACGTTTTCAGTCGAAACTGGGCTAGACGATACCATGGCGAGGTGTTCTTCATCTACAGTTCGTCGTACTTATCAGCCGAGATCCCAAGTCTCGGAGATATTGCCTAGCATCATCTCATCGAAGCTGACGATTCGGTCCATGCTAGTGAAATCTGGATCCAGGAGAGACTGCGATATTGCCAAGAGGCTGCCATTGTCAGACCCTCCTTCTCCTAGCTGACTAAGGTTCATTGGATCCCACGGCATGTCGGCCTGATTGCTGAAGGCCAAGTTTGGACGATTCGGCATTTCGTCTTGCTGCAATGGAGCGCCGTCATGAACGACCTGAGCTGGAGCCTGCTCTTGTCTTGTGGAGCCAACTTCAGTTCTATTTTGTTCCAGACAGGAGACGAGGTCGTTTGGAGAGACCCAGTGTCTCACACGTGTCTTGCTAGTTGAAGGGACGTTCTCATAAAGAGGCTCCGAGAGGTCAATGCGATAAGATGAGTCGAGGTTGCAGTTGGCGTGCATGGTCCGCAGACGTCCAGCAAATCTCGAGAAAATGGAGGTGAGTCGCAGCTGGCCTGCTTCTCTATGCGCTGCCCATCTAGCGCCCATCGTATCCAAGCTCTCTAATAATAGCCAGAATGCTGGCGAAAGCTGTGTACGATGATGGCGCCATTGTACTGTCAGGTGTTAGCTGATCTTGCGTGGGTGAAGAAAAAGAACGACTGACTGAGAAGAGTTCTAGCACTAACAAAGGCAGTAAGGCCCAGCTGAGGCGCCAGAGCATATGGTGCAGGTCTTTGCTCGAGAAACTTGGTGATGATAGTGCACACTTCCGTAGCAGCCCGAACACATATTTCCGCACTGTCTAGACTAGGAAGCTGGACCCAATGAAGATTTTGGTCGGGATAAGCAATGCGCTCATGTAGTAGGATTAGGCAAGTGTTGTGAGTAGCATTGGCAGCCGTCATGGCAGGATCCATGACGCCAGGCAGTACTCTGCGAGAAATACCCGAGTCTCTCCATTGTTGTGGGAGCCGCATTTTCCACCTGACGTCTTTGTTAGGAAGTCCGTGAACTAGAGAGTGTGATACACGTACCGCATAAGATAAGCATCAAGTTCTTTGAAGCGAGTTAACCATCGCGCAACATGATTGCTATTACTGCAGTCTACTAGTTGCCTCAAAAAGTGCACTTCAATTGTACCCAACGATTCGACAGTCTCAATGTAGAATGCCAGAGCACCTATTCCAGATGAGGAAAGGTCCTCGTCCTCACCATCGCTCGAGCTTTTGGATGAAGTGTCCTCAACAAACTCAGGAAAAGATGCATGAATCAAGCGCAAATATGGCGTCGGGCGAGGCTGATTAGTGCCCCAGAAGCTGGCGCAAGCAGGTAATCTCCGATGGACTCGTTCACGGGAAAGAGTTGTGGCGCATCCCAACAGAACCATGCAGAGTCTATCAAGCATGAGGTAGTTCCAAAACAGTCTTTTACGTTCTTCTTCCTCGATCCAATCCGTTGAAGCAATAGACACGTGTGATTGTCCAAAGACACCGGTACGACCTGTGCGATGTGGAGTTTCCACAGCAAGCTGGAGCTGTTCAACGCACCGCGCAGCCATTCCAAGCAGTGCTGATGCTCTGAAAGCATTGTCGTCGACCCAGCTCGGTGTAGATCAGAATCAAAAGTGCCTGGCAGCTTTCGATAGAGACTTGTTCTGTTACCGAGGCCCAATATCTCCTGTCTAGCTCTTGATGTGTGCTCAACATGGAAGTCCCACAGACGACCCCACGCCGTTCCTTCTCACAAACCGTAGTGACGACACAACCATAGCTTGGAAAGCAAGCGGCAAGGGCTCCTTTCTGGGTACTACATGTAGCTCCTTTCGAACACTCGGGTCGTGGAGAATTGAAATCCAGGGATGAACAAAACGAAAGTGTGCATCGATCACATCGTGCCATAATGACACAATCTCATCGTGTGGGCGAGTGCGGGCTTCTCTCATTGGCGTTGATGTCGTCCCGGTGGTGTCAGGATCATCTGTACGCTGCCTCTTTCTATACACGGCATCATCATCGACGGGTTGCTGCATGGTATGCCTTTGCGTCGAAGCAATCGTCGAAGCCAGACCACGCAGCTCTTCTGTCAGCGAAGACAGCGCGCCAAGAACAGGCGCTGCATTTTGTTGCTGTGCGTCAGAAAAGGCGCCTAAGCCCGTAGAAGACGCCGGACTAAAGCTCAAATGTGAAGGGCCCGTGTCGTGGTTGATGGAAAGCGCTCTTTCCACAACATCTGTCTTACGATGTCATTGTCTATTCTGGCAAGAACGAACACGAACATGAGAATGTCGCGAGAGTCTTACCAAGACGACGACTCAAACTTTCGACTGCACCAACTTTGAAACCAGGCTTCTTCTTGTCATATTCGTAGACGCAAACAGTTGCTAGATCAATCAGTCAGCACTCATCTGACAGGCGAAGGACAGCGCATACCGAATTTATCGCAATTTGAACACGAAGGCTGTTCTCTTGTGCATTTTAGCTTTCGTTTACGACAACTTTCGCAAGATGGGATGTTCGCCTCGACGGGAGTCTTGGACGATGTGCTGTTCTCCATGGGGAACTGCTGGGGAATGCGGGGCAAGTTTCGGCCGGGACTTCTCGCGTTATATTGTAAACCTCCATCGAGTCATGCAAAAGCCGCGCCCAGCTATGCTGAGTCGTAGTAGCTTTCTAGAATGTGGGTATGCATACATAGTCTTCTATAATGAGATCATTGCATGTGAGGCCGTGACCTATCCACGAGCTTGTGTTCAAGAGATTTAGTTCGAAAATTTGGTATTATACGGAGGAATGCTCTCAATGCTTTGCGACTTCGTGCAACGACTTCTCACATATCTACTGGACTGCCTACTTTTCCTGTTCCTGTTTTTTATGCTCTACTTCAACGTTATGTGCCGTCTTGGTGGACGCAAACCTCCAAGCTGGAATGCCTCGATCATACAACTCGTCCAGTTCAGCATATGTTCGTCCTTTTGTTTCGGGGAACAACAGAATGCAAGGAATCAGATACAAAGCTGTAGTGCCACCAAAGAAGAGACCGGTCTTTTGGCCCCATCCTGCATTTTGGTTCGAAAGCATCAGTGGCACAGTATAACTCTGTGATGCTAGTCAGTTCCGATGCAACAGATTCAAGGGCGATTGGTGTGACTTACGAACAGGATACCCGTCAGGTATTGAATAGTCACTGCGATTGAAGTCGTCTTAGCGCGAAGCTCGGGAGAAGAGGTTTCGACAAGACTGATCCATCCTGTCCGGAATTAGTATGAGTCCGAAGAAGCTTGGTCTTTTGTGGCACTCACCAATTGGAGCTAGCGAATTTGCATAGACAAACGCCCAAAGCGAGCAAAGAAATACTAAAGCGATCCCACCAGCAGGCGTTGGTGCCATGAAGCCTAGACCACCGACAAGGACGTTGATAACGCACATAGCAACGCCTCCGTAAATAAGTAAAGCTCTACGCCCAACGACATCGACAGTGTAGAACGACGTCAAGATTCCGACGACCAAGACCATTTGCTTTATGAGGTTGCCGAGGAAAGGATCTTTGACGCCCGCCAGTTGGAAGAAATATACGGTGTACCCAAACATCAAAGGCACACCACAAACATTTTGAAATGTGAAGGGAAGTGTGGCGACGATGCAGCGCTTGAGGTTGGTCTTGGTACGGAGTGCCGCCCATCCAGAAGATCCGGCAGCCTCTGCCAGCTCCTTGGACCTCTTGGTTTCATATGCGAGAACAGAGTATTCGTGGTCCACGTCGTAGCCCTCAACATTGCCGACAAGCCGACGCAGGGCCTTTTTCCCCTCGTCATGTCTTCCTTTGTTGCAGTACCATGCTGTACTTGTTAGTGTTCAGCATCGTTGAAAATCACGAGTAACATACCTGGAGACTCTGGGAGCAGAAGCAGAGGAATGAGCCATAGACCGGTGAAAACGAATTCGGAGTAGAACATGCGCCGGAACTTGAGTGGCTCAGTTTCTTCAAGCACCTTGAGACCAACTGCAAGGAAGACTTGGCCGAGCGCAAATGCCATGGAAAAGGCTGCCAAGAGAGCACCGCGAAATTGGGGCATCGCAATCTCGGACATAAACACCATGCAAGATGTACCCATCAAACCGCCCGCAAAACCAGCAATGGTTCGAGCGATGAGAATTTCCCACCATGTTTTGGAGAAGCACTGTATAATGATGGACTGCTTTCATCAGCTGAGAATTTTCGCAGTTGGAACGGTCGACTCACTATGCCAATGAAGACGGTAATGCCCCACATGTTGAACTTGCGGCCGTAGCGATCTGCAGTTGTAGGTGCAACAAGCTGAATGGCGATGCAGGTGACAAAGTAGAGTGCCCCCCAGAGTGCAATGTGCGTGGCGTTGAGTGCCAGCTTGCCGGTGGCTGGATCTTTGACGGTTCCGTACTGGTTGATGAAGCCTTGGTTGGCCACAATGCTACCAATGACTGAATTGGCGTATCCAGCATAACTTGACGAATAAGCGTGGGGATAATTTGAATCATAAGAACGACTTACAGTCCGGCAATGCATGCACCAAGTCCACTAAGGTAGAGACGCCAGAATTTTCTGACGCATTGCGCCCTGGTCAACGTCGCAAAAGCAGAGACTGGGGGCGCGTCCTGGGCGATGCTTGAGTCCGTGTCCTCCATTTGGATGGGGTTATTCTTCTCGTCCGTCATGGTGTCAATTCCAAAGAAAAAGGATTTGAGAGATATAACGGTCGCTCTCACATGGGGATAATTATCTCTCGTGGCGAGGAAGCGTGGATTATAAGTTGCCAGGATATCTCTTGCAGGACACCAATGTCATGCCACCCCGGTTAGTCCCGATCGTGGGCCTCTTCCCCAATCTTGTTTCGCTACAGCACAATATCGACTCCTGTGGTTACTCCATACAGTCGGCATTTGAAGCTTGAATCATGGCTTCCACAAATCGAAGGTCATGCGTGGTTCTACCCCAGACTCCGCACAATATCTCCGCATTCCAAGGGCCTGGATGGAGCGCGACCGATGTTTTACCGAGTTCGTGGCCACCTCCTTTCCTGATGGAGCCGCTAGCTTCGGTCCCTCCGGCTCATGTCTCGCGCGACACTTGCTCCGACGCTTCGCAACCAGTAACCACGACGGAAAAGACTCGCATTACGAATCACGAAACGACTTTTGGTATGGAAGACTGAGTCGCGAGTGGAGTTTCGGCATTTGCAGGTGGGCAACATATGTACACGTGAGGATCGAAACTGTGGGTGCTTTATTACGCATCATCTCTTTACCAGGTGCCACTCTCCAAGGTATCTACATCATCTTCCCAACAAGTCATATTTCCCATCATGCTAAGGCCACAGCCCACCGCCACTCGAGAAGTCGTTTCACTCGACGGTCTCTGGAATTTTGACATCGTCAGATCAATCCCATCAGAGGACTACAATTGGACGAGTCGCCTCTCAGACAAGACACAAGTTCCGGTTCCTGCTAGCTATAACGACATCTTCCTCGACTATGACACTCGAAACCATGTCGGCTGGGTGAAGTATCAACGCAAGGTGCGCATTCCAAACGGATGGGCCAAGTCACGTTACTTTGTTCGATGCGATGCCGCAACACACCGAGGAAGGATATACGCTAATAGTAAACTGCTTGCGGACCACCAAGGAGGGTACACGCCATTTGACGCTGAGGTTACAGAAGTGGTGAAGGCAGGGGAGGAGCTGCTACTCACCATTGCAGTCAGTAGTGAGCTGAGCAACGAGACGATTCCGCCTGGCAAGATTGAGACGTTACCCGATGGCCGCAGGAAGCAAACGTACATGCACGACTTCTTTAATTATTCTGGGTTACCTCGGTCAGTGTGGCTCTACTCAGTGCCTGCTGAACATATTCAGGACGTTTCCATTACACCAGACGTCAACTGGGATCGAAAGGATGGAATAATAAATTATCACGTCGAATGCTCTACTCAAGAGGACGTCTACTGCCAAGTGTCGGTAAAAGACGAAGATGATGTCGAGGTTGGAACCGCAACAGGATTTGACAATGCCATTGCTATACCTTCAGCTCGTCTCTGGCAACCAGGCTCAGCGTACCTCTACGACATCACCGTGCAATTGTGTCGATCGAGCGACAAGTCTGTCCTCGATGCGTACCACGTCAAGACTGGTATACGTACTGTGCAAGTCAAGGGCTCGCAATTTCTCATCAACAATGAGCCATTCCACTTTACTGGTTTCGGGAAGCATGAGGACGCGCCGATCCGGGGCAAGGGCCACGATCCTGCCTATATGGTGCACGATTTCCAGCTCCTAGATTGGATTGGTGCCAACTCTTTCCGCACATCACATTATCCTTATGCCGAAGAGGTTTTGGACTATGCAGATCGCCACGGAATAGTAGTGATTGACGAGACTGCCGCTGTAGGGCTGAACCTGGGTGTGGCATCTGGCTTGTTTGGCATGAAGGTACGCAGCAAATTCGCGCTTTTTGTTACCACAACTAATGCAGATTAGGCTCCGCGCAGCTTCTCACCGGAGAATTTCAACGACAATACCAGATATGCTCACGAGCAGGGCATTCGTGAACTAATTGCTCGAGACAAGAATCACCCATGTGTAGTTATGTGGTCCATTTCCAACGAGCCCGCATCCCACGAAGAAGGCGCCAGGGAGTATTTTGAACCACTTGTGCAAGTGACAAAAGATCTCGACCCGCGGCCAATCTGCTTTGCAAACTTCGGTCTTGCGACCGCAGAAAAAGATCGTCTCTCCGACATGTTTGACGTCTTGTGCCTCAATCGTTATTACGGCTGGTATGAGAGATGCGGAGATATGAAAAGCGCTGAGGAAGAGCTCGAAAAAGACCTTCTGAGTTGGCAAAACAAGTATGGAAAGCCCATGATCATGACCGAATACGGTGCGGACACCGTTGCTGGCCTACATTCCGCGGGCATAACGCCATGGAGCGAGGAGTTCCAGGCAGATTTGCTCGACTTGTACCATCGCGTGTTTGATCGAGTCGAATGTCTCGTTGGTGAACATGTATGGAGCTTCTCCGACTTTCAGACCAGCCAGCACGTATTTCGTGTGGACGGAAACAAAAAGGGTATTTTCACCAGGGACAGAAGGCCAAAAGCGTCAGCTCAGGTACTACGACGCCGTTGGCGCATTGACGGAGTTGGAAGGCCCAAGACTGCCGATGTAGCAACTGGCAAATAGTCAATTAGTAGTGTCAAGAATATCATCTCTAAGCGATGCGCCGCTTTAACCCCATGACCAACGATTTCTTCAATAAACTACTTTTCCACGAAGTCGTTTCTTTCAAATGCGAATGCAAATAGTACCGCAAGCTCTTACCAGCTACCAATGACGCTATAGAAAATGCCACGCTTAAGACAAGCGTGAAATTTGCGCCACAAACCCGGCATGCAGATCGCGGCCTCCATTCAGGTTTCCAACTTTCTCTACTGGCGTGCCGGTGATGAGGCTCGTTGCATTTCGAATCATGTCCGTGACACTCAGAATGTCCGCAAGCGCAACTTCAACCGCCTTCTTCGACCATCCCAGTTCTATCGGAAGGCGTTCGTTCTCTAGGGGCCATCAACTCACGCCCAAAGGAATGCGATGGCAACAAGCTTGCTTACCAAAGAAGTACTCCATTAATGCACGGTCAACCGTACCGGCACCCATATCGCCAAACGCAATTATCGGTGCAGCCACCTCGCCCAGGCTAAACTCTTCCGTCGACGCGGTAAATTTATAGTATGGATTCGATGCGCGGCTCTCAATCTGGCGGAAGAGCTTACTGTGCGCCAGCTGCTCCGCCGTCACCGTCTCATCCGTCCACCATTGTCTCGACGCGTTGTACACCGTCTCGTTGAAGACGTGGTTATTGCCAAAGTACGCATCCGTCCGAGTCATTCTAGCATCGTGTTCCAGCACATTGTGCACATTGAGATGCTCGAGTGTGAAGAAGGTGGCATTGGGCTCGGGATTGGCAAAAATGGCTTGCTCCCACATGAGTGCCCCAAGTGACCCGTTGAAGTTCAGACCACCATTAAGACCGGCAATGGCATTGGCTTTTGTGATGTTACGACCGTCGTGAGGAAGGAATCCATGGTTGGCTAAGGTGTTGAGCATCGGACAAGGTCCTCGGACTACGACATGATTAGATCAAGAAGAGAGATTTTGGTTCGACTCACGATCATTCGGTCCGGACGCTATCCATTCGTGAGGGTTGGTGGTTTCGTATTGCAGTCTGGCATGTGTGTCAATGACTATACAGGCAAAGAAGACAAACAGGTTCGTGGCCGATGTCATTGTGAGACCAATCGACAGCTGTGGTGATGTCAATGGGGTTTCTTGGGATTGGAGGTCACCGAGAATGAGGAGATATCTTTATATACATTCCCATTACACAAGAATGATTGATGCCTTAGAATCATTGATACGTTATACTCGTATAGCAGAAATGGGCAAGAGCATGTATGTGGCATGCGAACATTTTCTGGTGTCGCACCAACACCTTGCGCGCGCGACTACACCCTCCATCTTCAGTAATCCTCACTCCGATCTGGGCATGCCGGCAACGGCGTTCCCTTTGTGAGTCGGAAAGAGCCAATGGAGGCTCATAATTTCTCCGCCGAGTGGACTTGGACGTAACAAGTGCGGTTGTTGCGTTGTGGCGAAGTAGGTAGCGCGTGGAACAGTCCAATACGAATACGCGTATTCGCTTATCTGCATAAGCATCCGCAGAGCATTGCAAAAGACAAACTTCGCTGCATTTTATCATGACAACGTCTTGGGCAGAAATTGCCACTGTGACCACACCTACATAGTGAGGAGAGATGGGGCGGCCTAGGAGTACTTTCCGCATCACAGAGTCGTTTCCTACGAATTCTGTTGACATCAGCAACCCTTTGTCACACCACCCTCCTTGCCGCAATCAACATCTAACACCACGTCACCCAGGTGCCCTCAGGAGTTCTGCCCGCTCGGTATGACAATCATCCCCTTCCAAAACAACCTTCGGGACTCTCTTCTCGTGTGTTGGCTTTCGACATGATCCGCAATTCGTCTGGAGAAAGGTAAAGAGGCAGCAAGGAAAAAGCAGCGAAGAAGTGGCTGAGCTTGCATGCATTGCCCTGGAAGTCGCCATGCCTCGGCCCTTGATAATCTCCAATCCGCTTACGAAGCGCGCTCCAAATCCAGTCTCGAAAACAAAGCAATCACGCAAAGATCTCCACTAAGTGGCTCGGAAAGATACAACTATGGATCTTCCAGCAGTATCGAATTGTTTATATGGCGTGGTTGTATGGAGCACTCAGGAGGCCAAAGCCTTGCCAAGTCGTCGAGCACGTTAACGTTTCGGTAAAATCTCCGCCGAATGAAGGCGAACACAGACCACTAGCTGTCGCGTGGTCTACTCCAAGATGCTCAGGACCAATCAGCCAGGATTTAAAGCCAATCATGCGATAACCTTGTGCCATTTTTAGCATCGCAACGGAGAATGTTCTTTTCGGCCCAAATATCCGCAACTCTCCTTCGGCGTGTCATCTCGTATCTTGAACACGATGTCACCTACCAACATGGGATCCTGCACCTCCATGCGCAATGCTTGTGCGCCGTTGAAGAAACCCCACAGAGCATCCCTCAACAGGAGAGGCTCCTAATTACCTAGCAAGGCTTAAATAAGAGCACATGTGCTGCATTCTTTAACGATATCATCCCGCGCCCAGAGCTCCGCGACAGTTGTCCAGCGGCCATCCATCGCAGACACATCCACAATGAGGAGCAGCCAAATAATTAGTCTCGCGCTCCTTGCGCCAATCTCCCAAGCATACGTTTGGCCCAGCAAATACGATGACCTCGATGACCTCCTGTACATGCAATTTGGTTATGTCAGAAATGGACAGCTTTCAGATCGTACGTATTCCAATACTGATCCTCTGACCACAACTCACACAACGATAGAGGTTCAGAGCTGCGATTTTGGCGCCAAACAACCTGGCGTACAGAAGGCAGCACAGTGGGTGCGAACTGCCTTTCACGATGCGGCGACTTACGATGCGACAACCAAGATCGGTGGCTTAGATGCCTCGATCCAATACGAACTTGACCGACCGGAAAACCTGGGTGCCGCATTGAATTCTACCTTGGCAGATATCTCAAGTCTGGTCACGACCCGGTCCTCAGCAGCGGATTTGTTGGCTTTGTCGCTAGTAATGTCTGTAGCTCGTTGCGCCAACATGCGCGTCCCATTACGACTGGGTCGCAAGGACGCAACAGAGGCCGGCATCAAGGGTGTACCCGAAGCCCACACCGATCTTGACACTTCTCGGAAGAGGTTCGCCACCATGGGTATGGACGAGGCCGACATGATAACGTTGATTGCCTGTGGTCACAGCATTGGTGGAGTTAATTCGGTTGATCACCCCGAAATCGTTTCCGGACCAGTCAGCCCCGAGAACAAGGCCAGCTTCGACACTACTAAAGGCGCCATGGACAACCAAGTTGTACTCGAGTACCTGGATAATTCCACAGCCAATCCCTTGATCGTCAATGCCAACGACACGCTCAATTCCGACAAACGCATATTTGCTGCCGATGGCAATGCAACCATGCGCAAGCTCGCAGACAAGGCATATTTTAAGTCTAAGTGCGAAAACGCTTTCGAGAGGATGCTCAACCTCGTACCGGGAGACGTTACGCTTTCAGAGCCTATTGAACCAGCTGACATTCGCCCTTTCATTACGCAGTATGCGCTCAATGCAAATGGTTCTATTGAATTCTCTGGCCGCATCCGTGTTCGCACCACGCCCGTTACCGGCCGGGATACGAACAACCTGACTGCCTCGATCATCCTGCCCTCGCGCAGCGGCAGCAGCCCAACTGAAGTTGTCGCGAAACAGGCCACCTACAAGCTGGGTCAAACCTATGGATACCTAGACGAGGTATTCCTGTGGTTCGAATTCAAGACAGTAATTCCTGCGAGCGCAGCTATTAGCTCTTTCAACATCCGCGTCAACGACGATGTTTACGACAATGCCGGAACTGGCGGATACCCCGTCAACCCCGATGTGCTCTATCAAGCGCCGCAATCCTGCACATTCGCAGACCCAACCACGAAACAATGGTCGATAACAATGGTTGCTGCCGTGTCAAAAAGTCTTCTGCAGGGTGGAGCTGAGCCTCAACTCAACGTCGTGAAGAAGCCGAGGAAGCCGCGCAGCTTTCTTCCTGAATTGACGCCGGAAATAGTGAAGATGGAGCACGCGGGTAAAGAGACAGCAGAGTATGTCTATTTTACTGCCACAACTCCTTTATCCACCGATGGTCTCGACCCCAGGGTGGATATTGAGGTTGGCGATAGTAAAGTGGAGTATATTTTGACAACTGCTCTGACGCAGCAAAAGTGTGCGGCTTTGTAGATGTAATGTTTAATGACTATTTTAATCCCTCCAACCATCTGCAATTTGGAGTGCAAACATGACTTGACTATGATCGAAGCAAGTGATGAAATTGAGGTCTATACTGCTGTGCTGAAGGGCATCGAGCCTTTGCTGAGTTAGACAGAGATCATAGACAAGCTGTGTCATTGACGCAAGATGTACGTAATAAAGTGTCGGGGATGGAAAACAGAAAAACGGTGCTGGCGCTAGAAGGTACTGGCGACGTTTGAAGGTTGAATGAGCTTCTGAGCAAGTGGATCACACCGATTCCTTGATTTGAAACTATGGTCACATAAATGTTATCGTGTAAGGAATAGACGGACCTGATTCTTTGACATCTGCTACAGCGATTGTTAATTCGATGCATGTTAGCAAATACTAACAAGTGAAGTGATGTGCGGTCATATTCTAATATAGGTAAATATGACAGATAAATTAATGGATTAAAAGTTATATAAAGTATTCGAGGTTTAGTTTCCCGCAATAATCTCAGCCGCAATCTTCTCTGCAAGCGCGTAGATGGTCGACTGCGGATGTCCAGGTGGTAGCAAGGGGAATGCGCTGGCGTCCACAACACGCAGGTTTTCAACGCCGAATACACGCGCTTTGCTGTCCACTACTGCCATCTTGTCCTCCTTCTTACCCATCTTGCAAGTTGCCGCCGCGTGCCAAACGGTCATCAACGACGACCTGATGACGTCTAGAATTTGCTCGTCGGTTTGCTTGTCAAGTCCAGGAAATGCTTCTTCACTGCCGACTCGAATGGATCGAAGTTCAGGAGTGTCCCAAACCTCGCGCATGCGGCGGTACCAAGCAATCGCGACCTCTTGATCGCCTGGATGAGTGAGCCAGTTGGGGTTGATGCTCGGGGCAACAGTAGCATCGGCGCTCTTGATGGTGACGTTGCCTCGGGAAAGTGGCGCTGCGAGAGCGCCCAAGTTTGTCGCATACTGCTTACCGTCGAGGGGTTGCTGCAGAACAGGGAAAGCAAAGGTGCCAATATAGCCGTTGCCGGAAATGTGCTCGACTTCGGGCCAGTCATCCGCGAACCAGGAAAGTGCTTCTCTTGTAGCCTGAGTGAAATTCTGGCGGTACTTTTCAGGCAGCTTCTCCCAACCCAAGAACTCAGCAACGTTGGAGCTTAGGGGACCCTCGCTTTTTGTAGTATACTCCACAAGAGCTTCGGTGAGCGCAAGCGGGTCATGTAGCGTTTTGTCGAGTGTGTCAAAAGAGACCTGGTAGCTGGGGCCGAAAAGAATGTGGTCCCACATGTTCTGGCCAACACCCTCAAGGGCAGATACAATTGGGATGTCAAACTGGTCCAAGGTGTCGCGTGGACCAACACCAGAGACCATCAAAAGCTGAGGTGATTGAAAAGCTCCAGCAGAGAGGATAACCTCCTTGCGCGCTTTGATGGTATAGGTTGGGAGAGCTCCAATCAGACTAGCCTTGACACCAATCGCCTTCTTGCCATCGAACAAAATCTTCTTCACCATGGTCTGGGTGTAGACTTTTAGCTTCTTGCCAGTAGATCCAGACCTGGCCTGATAAATGTACGATGTAGAGCTGCTCCGCGTTTGGTCTGATGATCGGATAGTGCATTGGGCGTAATGGTAACCCTGTAGGTCACCGTTCGAGAAGCCTGTTGTTCGTTTCATTCCGACGGATTGAAGTCCTTTCTCCAGCCATGTTGCCCAAATAGAGACAAAGTTGGCGTATCCAACCTGAACAGGGCCACCTTCTACAGAAAATGCGGCGGCATCGTACTCGGTCGAAGCGTTACTGCGGCGCACCGATTCGTTGGGAGGAGTGAAGGTCACGCTTCTCTTGAAATGGGGCAGAAATTGATCCAGCCTGGTGATATTAGAACCTGAAACAGGGAAGACTAAACGAAAGCTTACTTGTAGCTGTCATCGCCGACCGCTTCGGCCCACTGCTCGTATGAGCCTTTCGAACCACGGTGGTGGATCATGAAGTTGAGCGCCGATGAGCCGCCCAAGCACTTGCCTCGAGCATAATGGATCCGGCGGTTGTTCGCGCCAGCTTGGGGCTCGGTCTGAAAGCCCCAGTCTACTGTTGGTACAGTATCAATGAAAGAACTGCCGATTCCAAAAAATGCGCCCGCAGGAGTCGAGCCCAACACAGGCTTGCCGATTTCGTAAAAGATACCGGCTTCGATGATTGCAACCGAGAAGCCTGCCTCTGCCAAGCGGACACCAATGGCATTGCCTGCAGTACCCCCGCCAACTACTACATAGTCGTATCTGGAAGACTTGTGAGACGTAATGAACGCGACAATATCGAGAAGTAGCACTTACTCTTGGTCCGAACCTAGAATACCTCCAAGACCGCCTAGCACACCTTGGATGATCCCCTGCCCTGACAGGATCGAGCCGCTGACATCAAGAAGAGGGTTGACAATAGAGCCCAAGAGCCCAGCTTGAGCATACGAGAAGAAGGTAACCGCAGAAACAACGGACAGCAAACGAAGGAGTACCATTGTTGCGATGACCTGTAGTCCCTCGCGATAGAATACTTATTAGCTAGGATAATCCTTTAACCCACGCAACCTTGGGAGTTGCAGCAGTCTTGAAGTCTTTTGAAAGGCTTTGCTTATTCCTCGGTCCTTTTGCAAGGGGCGCCAATCTGACGGGTCCGTCCTCACGAAGCTGGCAAGGGTCGCGATAATCATCATTTCGAAGCCGAACGACCTCCCAGGAGTTCGGAACACAACCTAGGCAGCACGTGGCGAACATCGCAAAGTCCTTGAGCTATGTTCGATGATGTGACGAGTACTTGTAAAAGATCTGAGCCTCACAACGTCTCGGTTTTCCTATCTGGATGGTTGTATATCTTTGGTCATCGTGGTACAAGAGCAGGGGCGTTGGGCAATGTGTGTGAGCTGGTGCATCCCGCCCTTCCTGTTTCGTACAGCAATCGCTCAGAAGATCAAGGTCGCGCACAAGAGCTCAACACAGATCTGCCCACCAACACCTGCCAAGACCCTTTACCACCAATAATTAAACGTCCTTTCCGCCACAGGTCTAAACACGAGGATGGGCGGTAAAGCTTCCCCGCTATAAGTGTGGGGTCTTCTAGGGTGTGGACCAGGATATGGAAATGAGGACGGACCCCAAATGCTCCCCATCAGTCTAGAAACCGGTCTCTTTTCGGAAGAAAGGAGCGACGAACTCAAGGGTTCAAAAAAGAATGCTGCGCGCACTATGTTGAACAAGAGCTTCGGGTCGCACTGTAGTATACGTAGATTCAACAGCTCTGTGTGCCTTCTTATGTTGTCAGATGCAGGTCAAGGCTTGTAAATTATTACACGATAAAGTTAAATGTTCTCTGAGGCTAGATCACCTGCATTCATTGCCGACAAACCTTCTACTTTGATCACTCACCGATCACGAATCGTCGTACGGCCTGAATTACGCCAGGATATGAACATTGTATCTTTCCAAATCCCGAGGTTGCAACTTAACATGCTGCGCAGAGTCGCTGTCTTGACCTTAAGGATGTTCCATGAGAGCTTAAATTGCGATTACGTGACTCATGGATTTTGAGCAAGCTAAGTCTGTCCGTATGATACTTCATTCCGTTGCGCACTGCAGACCTTCTAGAACCAACTCAAAACACTAACCAGCACGCGCACCGTTTGAATAAAGAAGAAAAAGCAAAACCCAATGCGGTTTAGAAGGGCCACCAGTCTGAAACAAAAGGCATCAGGTGTTAGACAAAAAGACTGAACACAATGCAGCAGTATGAAGAGGAAAAGGTCGAGTGACCAGACTGCCGAGCCGCTGATATGGCTCCGTGTGCGTACGAGAAAGTGACATCCTTCGTCTACTCGGGTTCAGGCAACTTCTCCACCAACTTCTCAGCCAAGCTGATCAATGAGCTGGCATTTGTGATATCCAGAGTCGTCAATTCAACACCCAATTTCTGTCGAATCCAGTTGCGCAATTCGACCGCGGATAGACTGTCTAGCCCATATGCCATCAATGGTCGACCAGGCTCAACCTCCGCCTCCAGCCGGAGGATCTTGACGAATTGGCTTCCAACCGCCTCAACGGCAGCGTTCACGAGCGCTGCTTTATCTGCTTTCGACTTGTGCAAAACACGCACCGCCTTGACAGCCGCATCTGTTGCGTCGCCATCGCCGCCAGTGTCAAGCACAGAACCGGCACCGTGGGAACTAAAGAGGTAGGCAAATCGAGGCTCAAGGTGGAGATCAGAGCCATCCTTTGTCAGAGGGAAACCGACTCCAGTTATCATCTCGGCGTCGCTAGCGGTATTCAGGGGTGCATTGTCCTGCTGCAGAATGGAGTACGTCAATATCTTGCGCAGCATTGTCTCGTTAATGGGTGTCCATTGACGCTTGTCAAAGCGCGCTTCGAGCCCAGTATCCTGCTCTGCGACATAACCGACATCTTCGATAACGCCCAAGTCGACGGTGTGCGCTTTGTGGCCGAGCGAGCGGCGGTAGCTGGCAAACGCATCCAGGAAAGTGTTGGCAGCGGCGTAGTTCGCTTGACCTTTATTGCCAACAATACCAGATGTACTGGAAAGCATGCTGAAGAAGTCTAGTGGATGCTTCTGTGCCACAGACGCGTTGTGCAAGTTCCAGGTTCCATGGACCTTGGCACGGACTGCAGTGTGGTAGTCGTCGATAGTCATAGTCTCAAATGGTTTATCCTGCAGAGATGATTAGCATGAGCTTTGGATTGGGGCACCGCGCTAGACTTACTCGAAGAACCATAGCTCCCTGAATGATACCTGCAATCCTGGGTTTGGCGGTTTCGAACAAGCGACGCACTGCTTGGGGATCGCTTATGTCGCCTTTAGCTTCAACAACAGTCGTGCCATAGTTGGTGCAGTGACGAATGATCCGTTCAGAAGCCGGGTCGGCGATACCACTCCTGCTGCTGACGATGATATGGCGCGCGCCATGGCTAGCCATGTGAATGGCCAAGGTGCCACAAGCCCCCTTGAGCCCTCCGACGATAACGTACGAGACGTCAGATCGCAACTTGAGCTTACGAACAGCTGGTCGCACCGTGACCGGGATGTCTTCCTTTTCTTGATTGGAGATGACGATTTTGCCAAGATGGCGGCCAGCGCGGATATGAGACAAAGCCGCAGGCACATCGTCGAAGGGGAAGATGGTGATCGGGTGTATAGGCTTGATATGACCAGCCTCGATGAGAACGAAGAGCTCGTTGAAGAGCGACGTGATTTTGTCGTTGTCAATGTCCTTTGTAAACGACATGTCGACGGCGCGGAAGGAACAATTGCGATCAAAAGGCTCCATTGCCAAGGTGTTGCGATCCACGATGTCTCTCTTACCAATCTCGACCATGGTACCACCGTTGGCCACAATCCTCCAGGACTCATCGAGTAGCTCGCCTACGAGTGAGTTCAGGATGACATCAATACCCCGACCACCCGTGGCGCGCAAGATCTCGCCTGCGAATTTGGTGTTTCGCGAGGAAAACATGTGGCTGCGTTGGATACCGTACGTGTCTTCGAGATACTTCCGCTTCTCTTCGGTTCCGACAGTCACATAAATATTGGCCTTCTTGTGCAATGCCAACTCGATAGCGGCAATACCTACACCCCCTGTAGCAGAATGAATGAGGACATTTTGACCCTCCTTGAGACCCCCGAGGTGGTACAGCCCATATAGGGAGCACAGGTAGACCGAAGGGATAGTGGCAGCTTCTTCGTAAGTCATTGTAGATGGAATGATATGGCATCTTTTGGCGGCGACTCGTACGCGATTAGCGTAGCTTCCAGGGACCAAGATGCAGACGCGGTCGCCCGCTTTGTAGTTGGTGACGTTGTGACCAACTTGGTTGACAATACCCGCGCACTCAAAACCAATCATGTACTCATTTTCAGGTACAATGCCCATACTAGTAGCAACATCTTTGAAGTTGACACCTACAGCATGAACCTCAACTTCAATATCGTCGGGTTCAACAGGGTCTTCTTCGTACACGCCAGTCTCATTCCACGCTAGGCTCTGAAGAGTGCCGACACGCTCAGCGTACAGCTGTAATTGCGCACCAGTGCCGTGGAACTCGCGAACGACAGTGGCAGCACCCTCGATCTCGGCCTGCTTGAAGTCGTTGACTGGTTTATCTGGAATCAGCCTCTGCACGTAGAGGATTCCATCGCGCTCAACGTATTCGGTTTCGTTGCTCATCTCCGGCTTACTCGCTCGAATGGACCGCAAGACTTGCTCAATTGCCCAGCTGGTAGCCGGGCTTGTGCTGCTCTGAACATCCAGGGTGGTGAGCTTGGCCCTATCGTCCTCGCGGCGAGCAACGCGGAAGAGACCGTTGACCATAGCGTTGTCAGGATCGGTGACACGGTAACTTCCCTGTTCAACGGCGCCCTTCGTAACCCATAACAGAGGCGTGCCCGACGTGAGAAGTTGCTTCAGCGCTTCCCATTGTGCTGATGTAGCGGTCTTGAGAAGCGGGCGTGAGAGCTCATCGATTACTAGTACCACATCGGTCTTCTTGGTGAGCTCAGGGAAAGGTGCCTTCTCTTCGATTACGTCCCAACCGGAAGCCTTCAATGTAGTTAAGACTTTGGGGCTGAGCTGAGAGGTCTCTGTGAGATTGGCCACGAGTAGCTTTCCCAGGCTGCCTTCGCTGGATGTTGACTGTGCCTGGTTGCGCCAAAAGTACGCAAGACTGCCATGAGCTGCGGCGATTTCAATGACAGAATCAGTGCCAGCAGATCTAGACAGTGTTTCCATATTGCGATAATTCCAAAAGCTGTTGGAAGGTTTCAGTGCAAGAAGCTTGCCGTTTGACTCGCCTTCGGATTCAGAGCCAATGGAGCTTGCGGGGGTGTCTGTGGGGGAATGCGAACCGGAAGCTTCAGAAGGCGTTCCAGAGTCATGGGACGAGTCTTCCTCGCCAGCTGTCTTGACTACGCCATGATCGCGTCGGATCAAGAGAGTAGAGGCGCCGTGAAGAAGGAAAGGCTTGAGGTTCTTGACCAAGGTTTTGATCACACCTGAACTGGTACTCGCTGAAGTCTTAAGAAGGAAAAGATCGTAACTTGCGTCTTTAGGTAGGCCGAGCGATTCCCCTTCGTTGTTGGGGTCAATGAGGAAGAATGATGAGTTTGCCTTATCCTTGTACTTCGCCTGAACATTGATCATTGTCTTCGCCCCGATCGAAGCGAAGTCGTATTGAGCATAAGCAGCTCTGGCCTGAATCGAGCCTTCTGATAGCTCGCCACTGGTGGCTTCGAACCAAAGACTTGAAGCATCTGTGGCATCGGCATTGATCTCAAGTATCTTCAGCGCAGGCTTCTTGTGGACGACAAGATCAATCATGCTGTCGACTCGAGCAAGGGCTCCGTGGCTATGATCCACGGGGAGGTGAAACACCTGGTCTTGCGTAAGGCTGTCGACATCAGGCTTCCAGTCTATGCGAAGGAACGTGTGGGGATCGGCCTTGGGAGCAACGTCGAGCTTAACGTAGTTAAGGCCCGAAACCTTGACCAAGAGCTGACCAGTCTCCGAGTCATAGACTGAGGTTTGCGCGATCCAACTCTTGTCGAGTTCCTTGCGACCCCGGCCAGAGTAGTTGGACCGAGCAACAGATCGTCCCGTTGTCAAGTCTGCAGGCACTCTGTTGATGACTATGTCGTCGATGATGGCAGGAATCATAACGTCCTTCACGTTTCCGCGTTCACCCTCGGCGTTAGCCGGAATGGGTGTTTGCAAGCAACCGTCCAATGCCGCGGGATGGAGAGGATAGTACGATTGCGGCTTCCACTTTGACTCCGGCGGCGCAAGAGACATGAGAGTGCGGCAAGAGCGCTGGCCACTGACGGCCTCGATCTGGAGCAGCCTCTGGAATGCTGGACCAAAGTCCATAGCAATCTCCCGTTCGGCTTTGTACCAGAGCTTGGAAGCTTGTGGCGACTTTAAGGGCTCAGCATCTGCTCCGTCGATGATATCTGAGAAAGGCTCTTGAATACGAGCTAGTCCCACAACGTGTTCTTGCACAGCATCGCCCAGGGTGGAGGATATGCGAAACTCATGCCAGTCTTTTCCTCCAGGAACTTGGTTCAGCGTCACATACGTAACGGCTGACTTACCAGCCTCGACTACCAGCGCACGGTTGAACTTGACGTTACGGAAGCGATAGCTCAGATCGTTGGGAGCAATACCAGCAGCATCCGGCAACAAAGCACAGTGCTTCTGCCACATGGCCTCCAATGCCATAGTGACAAAACCAGCACCCGGCATGATGGCGTCGCCGCCCATTTTGTGGTCCAAGAGCCATGGGACATTGGCGACGTCCAGATGATTCTTCCAAGTAGGGTTGTTCCAAGACGTACCAAGCAGCTTGCTGCCCAAGAGATCGTGAACGACGTATTTCCGGAATCGCCAGTCCTTGCTGGCAGCGTTCTCATGCCAGTACTTCACGCTATGGTTCCAGGAGTAGTTTGGTAGGTCAATGATAGTGCGTGGAAGATTCTGCGGGTCCACGTTGTATTGATTGACGACGCTCAGGTCGATCGGGGCGCCCGCGGCGAACAAACGACCTGCCACGTCGAAAATCGTCTTACCCGAGTTGGTCCCGCGAGACCACGCCGCAGTATATGTCACCTCGCCCCCGACAGCAGGCAAAGACTTCAGAACTTGGGACACTGGCCCGGCAAGTGCACCTGATGGTCCAATTTCGATTAGTACATTGGGAGAGTCGGCGCTCGTGAGCATTGCCTGAAGCGCTTCGTCAAAGCGAACGGCGGAGACCATGTTTGTCTTCCAGTAAAGGGCATCTGCTTGGGTAGTCTTCTTCTCGGTCGTAACGGAGGAGTACATGGTAACGCTTGATGATGTGTCAACCTCAAGAGGACTGAAGTTGTTGTCCGATGCCAACAGCTTTTCGTACTCGACACCAATGGGACCCATGAGTTCGGAGTGATATGCAAGATCGACCTGCAATAAGCGAGCAAAGTGGCCAGCGGCTGAGATCTCGCTCTTCAGCAACTCAAGTGTGGAGTTTCGACCAGACACAGTGATACTGCTGGGACTGTTGAAGCAGGCAATCCAGGCTTCGCCTAAATGCTTTTCGAGGAAGCCTGACGCGGCCTCCGCCCCTAGACCGACAGCCAACATGCCGACATCTTTCTCGGCTGTCTCTTTGGAGTTGACTGCCGCACGACCTCGGTAGAAGGCTGCCTTGATTGCACCCGCACGGTCGAGGAGGCCAGCGGCGTAACTAGCTGCAATTTCACCCGAAGAATGCCCGACAACACTCGATGGCTTGATGCCCCAGGACTCTAACACGGCAAGTATAGCAAGCTGGAGTGCGGTCACCAGAGGCTGTGAGTACTCAGGCTGGCGGAGATGCTCTGCCGAGCGTGGCTCTGTAAGTTCGGCTAGAAGAGACCATGCCGGAGGGCTGGGCTGGCTCTGCAGGACATCGTCAAGCTCTTCAAGGATAGAGCGTGTCCATGGAAAGAACTGTAGGAGCTGTGCACCCATCTGAGACCATTGCTGAATTGAGTTAGCGTTGCTAGGTTGATGGTGATTGAACAAAACTTACAGCACCTTGTCCAGTGAAGACGAACCCAACCCGCGGTGCTTGAGCATGCTTCTTCGCAAGAAAGAAAGAATTCTCATCCAGATCGTCCGCCTTGTGGGTGGTGATGAAGCCGCGATGCCACAATTTCGATCGGCGCTCAGAGAGTGTGTAGGCTAGGTCAGGCAAAGCGACCTTGACGCGTGGGTTGATGAGGTGGTTCGAGAGGGTCTTGATGTTGCCTTTTAGGGACGCAGCATCGTTGGCAGACAGCACGAGAAGGTACGGCCGCTCTGAATCGTCTTCAAAAGAAAGCTCCTGATCCTCTCCAGATACCCATGATTTAACATGTCTAACAACATTCTGGTCTGGCAGTTCGAGGATGGCGTGTGCATTCGAACCCCCGTAGCCGAACGAGTTCACACTGGCCCGGCGAAGAATATCTTTGGGCCACGGTATCGCGCTACGAAATGCTCTGACTCTGTTGCCAGCGAAGTCGATTTTTGGGCTAGGGTTAATAAAGGTAGGTGTACCTGGGATGACTCCATGTTCGATCGCCAGGGTCGCCTTGAGCAGTCCCGAGATCCCAGCAGAGGGCTCAGAATGGCCGATGTTGCTCTTGATGGACCCAATGAGCAGTGGCTTGTCTGCCGGCCGGGATGCTGCAAAGAAGGATCCCGCGCCTCGAACCTCGGTGGGATCTCCAGCCTGAGTACCTGTCCCATGGCACTGCAAGAAAAATGCAAGGTTAGCGTTGATTTCGCATCGGACGCATATGCCGAGCTGCTGTAGGATACTGAATAATACTTACTTCGAGGTATGCTGTGCTGTTGAGGTCTGTGATGCCCGCGTTCGCGTACGCGGCACGAATGGCGAGGGCCTGTGCTTCGGCGTTTGGACTTGCTATCCCCGCTGTCCGCCCATTGCTGTCGCACAAAGTTAGCGAGCCACGACGCCACTAACAACTATCGGCTCCTTACCTCGTCGACGCAGTACCAAGCACCACCGCCCGAACAGGGTCTCTATCCCGGAGTGCATCTGAAAGCCGCTTCACGACGACACAACTGACTGCCTCCGCCTTGACGTATCCATCGGCGGAAACATCAAAAGTATGGCAGAGAGCTGTTGGAGAGTGAGCGCTACCCACATTTCCCGCATCAATCATGTGCTCAGGACTCATGTAAAGGTTGGCTGTTGCAACAATAGCAGCTTCAACCTCCCCGCTGTTGAGGTACCTCGCCGCGAAATCAAGACCTTGAAGAGAGCCTGAACAAGCCGTATCGAGTGTAACACTTGGGCCACGGATGTTCAGAAAGTGGGAGAGTCGATTTGCCAGGATAGCGCGACCGACACCAAGGGCATTGTTCGCGGGCCGATCCTCTGGATCCCGACTCTGCATATCTCCGTAATCGCTAGCATACGAGCCGCAAAAGCAAGCTATTGACTTTCCTCCGAGCGTCTCTAGAGGAATGCCAGCATTCTCTAGACCTTCGTAGACCTGATATCGCGACGGAAAGTTAGCACTTGTCTCCCACGCACGAGATGTTGGAGGGACAGGGTTCTACGGACCACTTCGAGCATTTGACGCTGGTTCGGGTCCATGGCCACGGCCTCTGCATTGGAAAGTCAGAAATCGACATGCTCGCCTCCATTTCATGGATAGTCCTTACCAGTCCCCGAGATCTCGAAGAACGGTGCGTCAAAATCAGCCAAGTCGACGTCGTTCAGGAACATGCCGCCGCCTTGGCGCATGGTTCGGGGCTTGTGACTGCCGTCATAGTGGCCGTCGATGTTGAATCGGTCTTTGGGTGCCTTGTTGTAAGCAACTTCGCCTCGTTCCAGGAACTCCCATAGCTTCTGGGGGTTGCTATTGCCACCGGGGAGGCGGCAGCCGAAGCCAATGATGGCGAGTGGCTCTTGACGGTATTGCAGCTTTGACATATTGCCAGAATCGTCGAGATCTAAGGCTATCAGAAAAAAAGATTTCTTGTGATGCTCCCGAGTTTTCGAGGCGTTCTGCTTGATTTCGAGAGCGTTTCAGCTGGCTCATATGGTCTCCAGGACCACAACATCCCACCGACATGCACTTTCAGTACGACTGCGAGGTAAGCGGTTTGCTACATTACTAACTGCCTCGCACATGCATGATGATTACTATGGAGACACCTTTCCGGCATCTGAGGAACTGTTGCTCATGGAGAGCGATGTATGTTCCACATGAACCGCCCTGCATGGAGTGATGCAAGGTCAAACGGCTCGAAAAATCCTCTCCTGTAGGTACGGTAATTTCTCCGATGTCAGGTTCATGATTACCCGGCTGATTTCGGAATCCTTCCTTATCGCAGGATTCCAGCTTCGTTCAGTCTGGCTTCCAGTCTCGTCTAGTCACATCCGCATACATTCACCTTTCCGACCTATTTGAGATCTATTTCGACGGCCTTTCGATCCGAAATACAGAGCCATCTCCACACTCCATACACAAGACCATTTGCACCTGTGTCTCTGTTACCCCATAATCCAGCGTCATGATCCCCCAACAGCGCTATCACTCCGTCGAGTGTAAGACATTAGATGGCATCACTCTTGAAGGATGGTTCTACGAGGTTGAAGGTCTAGCCCCAGCTATCATAATGACTCATGGCGTAAGTGATATTTCGTGCTTGGCTGCGCGCTGAATTGCGACACACTTTCTGATGCCTTGATCACAGTTCAATTGTGTCAAGGAGATGAGCCTGCCAGAGATTGCTGAGAACTTCCAAAGTCATGGCTACAACGTTTACCTCTACGATTCTCGCAGTGTTGGCAGCAGTGGTGGAATGCCGCGCAATCAGATTGATCCTCTCAAGATGGTTGAAGACGTTTCCGGTATGATCCAAGCCTTTCACAAGTGACACAAGACCTGACCCTCAGCGCCAGACGTTGTCACACACGTATCCAGTATGCCAAGCGTGGACCCCCGTCGTGTCTTCCTTTGGGGCATGTCACTTGGCGGAACCGTCAGCGCGTGCGCAGCGGCCGTAGATCAGCGTATCGCAGGCGTGTTGATGGTCTGTCCCATCTTCAGCTTCGTACGGCCTGATAAACGTCAACGAGCTTTCGCGCATTTGATCAAAGACCGAGTTTCGCAGCTGCGTGGTAATGCGCCTCTGACACTACAGCCATTCAATAGCAAGGGTGAGAATCCTATCGGCATGGCTGGATCGGGCGGGCCGGGTGGTAACGAAGCGTATACCCTGATGCGTACAGCGGCTGAACGGGGCCATCCGAACTTCCGTGATCGCATTACCCTGCAGACGTACCATAAGCTCGCCTTATTTTACCCCATGGAGATCATCGGCATGATTGCGGATGTACCGGTCATGATGATGATCCCTGAGCTGGACGACAATAGCCCGGCAGAGGTACAGAAGCAAGCCTTTGGCCGATTGCAGACACCAAAGCGTATGTACTGGGCCGAAAATGCTGGTCACATGACCATTTTAACGGGTGAAGGGGCTCCGAATATTTTGAGCGCTATGCATGTCTTCTTCAAAGAAGTGTGCGAAGGAACTTTCGAGAGCGATCCGTACTAGACAGCAACGACATGACGCATACAATAGTAAAGCCTACACCTGGTCGGTAGTTGGCTAAAGTTGATGTTCCTCCGAGATCCGTTGCTTGTTACTTTGTCAGGTGTGTTTCGCGTGATGGAACGCTGTCGCATTCTCCTGAATTGGTGCCATTGTCCGAAGTCCGGGGATGTGTTGATTTTGATTGCGTGCTACATGCGCTAGCGTTGAGATAAGGTACGGGCCTTTGCCGTCATGGCGCAGTAAGCGATTGCACTTTCATGCACTTGGC